TATTAAATTTATATTATATTATGATGACTTCACTTAAATAAATTAATGACTTCACTATCTAGTCATTCCTTCTTACTTTTTCTTGTTTCCACCCAATTTATTTTACTCATGAATATATTTACTATCTATCTTCAATATATTTGTACAATAATCAGACAATTAATCAAATACATTTTTTTGTAAAATGATTTCCTTTTATTATTATATAAATTATACTTTTCCTGCATTTTTACCAGCTCCATCATGAATACCAATACCACAATGGAATGCTTCCTGCATTTATTTAACCACAAATGCAAAACTATATATATCTTCAACCTTTCCTGCATGATCAAATCCAAATTACTCTAAACCTACTATTCTATTCACTTATTAATTATGTTATTTTTCAGCTATTATTTACAATCCCTTAAATTCACCTTATTTCAATTCACTTTAATTTAATCTCAAATTTTTAATTTTATAACTCTTTTACATTAATTCTTCAATTTTCTTATGTAGCTTTTCTAAAGAAATCTAATTTTATGGTTATTTTCTTTTCTATTCTTTTTCTTTTTCTTTTTCCTTATCTTATTATTAATCTTCTTATTATTCATCTTCACTTTCAGATTCATGTTCTTTTATTCCTAATTCATTCACCAAATCTTCTGTTAAAACTATCATTTTCTTTTCTTATTTCAAATTCTTCTTTATATATTAATTTAATTAAGATATATATTATTCTCTTGTTAATGGTTCTACTTTTTAATTTTCTTCACCTTCCTTAGTAAATATTTTAACCAAAGGACCTACTGGTAAAAAAAGATCAATGACTTCTATATTCTATTTATATTAAACAACTTAATTCTTTTCTTCCTTCTCTTCATCACCTTTCTTTGCAGCTTTCAATACAGTTGGTTCCCAATCACTAATTTATTCATTTTATCTATCAATTTTAGTTATTGAAGGTTATCCTCCCTTTTTGATTTCTTTATATTCAATTAATCCATCCTTTTACATTGTCTATAAAAATCTATGAAATATAAATATAAAATTACTTTCCTATCTTTTAATAAGATGAATTCTTTAAATCTAATTCAATTCCTGGTTTCTTAAATGCAAGCATAAACTTTTCATAAAATACTTAACCTTCTATAGGTAATTACTTATCATTAATTCCAATTTTACAAGCATTTAAAAATGATTCCTTTATGTATTCATCCATTACTTTTGTTGGAACACCTCCAACTTATTATTATTATTATTATTNTTCTTGTTTCCACCCAATTTATTTTACTCATGAATATATTTACTATCTATCTTCAATATATTTGTACAATAATCAGACAATTAATCAAATACATTTTTTTGTAAAATGATTTCCTTTTATTATTATATAAATTATACTTTTCCTGCATTTTTACCAGCTCCATCATGAATACCAATACCACAATGGAATGCTTCCTGCATTTATTTAACCACAAATGCAAAACTATATATATCTTCAACCTTTCCTGCATGATCAAATCCAAATTACTCTAAACCTACTATTCTATTTACTTATTAATTATGTTATTTTTCAGCTATTATTTACAATCCCTTAAATTCACCTTATTTCAATTCACTTTAATTTAATCTCAAATTTTTAATTTTATAACTCTTTTACATTAATTCTTCAATTTTCTTATGTAGCTTTTCTAAAGAAATCTAATTTTATGGTTATTTTCTTTTCTATTCTTTTTCTTTTTCTTTTTCCTTATCTTATTATTAATCTTCTTATTATTCATCTTCACTTTCAGATTCATGTTCTTTTATTCCTAATTCATTCACCAAATCTTCTGTTAAAACTATCATTTTCTTTTCTTATTTCAAATTCTTCTTTATATATTAATTTAATTAAGATATATATTATTCTCTTGTTAATGGTTCTACTTTTTAATTTTCTTCACCTTCCTTAGTAAATATTTTAACCAAAGGACCTACTGGTAAAAAAAGATCAATGACTTCTATATTCTATTTATATTAAACAACTTAATTCTTTTCTTCCTTCTCTTCGTCACCTTTCTTTGCAGCTTTCAATACAGTTGGTTCCCAATCACTAATTTATTCATTTTATCTATCAATTTTAGTTATTGAAGGTTATCCTCCCTTTTTGATTTCTTTATATTCAATTAATCCATCCTTTTACATTGTCTATAAAAATCTATGAAATATAAATATAAAATTACTTTCCTATCTTTTAATAAGATGAATTCTTTAAATCTAATTCAATTCCTGGTTTCTTAAATGCAAGCATAAACTTTTCATAAAATACTTAACCTTCTATAGGTAATTACTTATCATTAATTCCAATTTTACAAGCATTTAAAAATGATTCCTTTATGTATTCATCCATTACTTTTGTTGGAACACCTCCAACTTATTATTATTATTATTATTTTTATTATTATTATTATTTATTTTAAGCACCTTTTTTATGTTTATTGTCATCATCACTATCATCTGAAAATTGTTATTTTACTTATTATTATTATTATTATTATTAGACTGGTTTTGCTTTAATTGTTTTTTTCTATTCTTTTTTTGCTGCTGGTTTCTTTGCTCCAGGTGCAATCATATTTAAATCAATATCATCATCTGAATATTCCTCATAGTTTTATGTTTTTGTTTCTTATACTTCATCAAAGTTTTCTGGTTCTACTGGTTAACCCAATTCATTTGGACCATGTTCCCATAATTTATCCCCTTGTTTATGCAAAATATATCCACCTATCCCCTTTTCTTATTCTTTCTATAAATCTATTGAATCACAACCAATAGCCACAATTGCCAACAATCTAGATATTCTATTTTAATTACTTCTTTTAATGATTCAATAATTTCTTTATATTATCCTTCTTAAATTCTCCTAACTTATCTTAATTACTTATTTAACTCCATAACACTTTCCCTGACTTAAGTACTGCTGCTTCATCAATTCCATCTTTTAATATCAAAGTACCAACTAACTTAGGATACTCAGCAACAACAAATACTAATCAATATTTCAATAATATTTACATGATGGAACATAATCTTCTTTTCCTGTACCATCAACAAAGGCTGGATATTCATCTGTATGATAAATAATCATCTTTGATCCAATTAGCTTCTCTTACATACACTATTCAGAATCCTGAAAGATCTTTTTGACTGTAAGAGCATCAAATTATTTCCTAAGTGCAGTCTCAAATGTTTCTTTGTCCTTTCCCTTTAAAAGAACAGAACCCTAAATTTTTATTGTTTTGCCAAACATTAAATTTCTTTAATTAAAAACAATGGGATGTTGTCTCATAAAAAAAAGAACTCCTCTCTAAAAACTTATGGATATACTCTAAATCATTAAGTTGAAGAAAACAAATAAGACATTAAACAATCCTTTATTTAAGATATATAAGTTATAATATTGAATCATTCAGAAGATGAATAAGATAGAGAATCCCTCCATTCAGAATAAGAGTATTTAATCAATAATTTTTAGCATTAATAATTGGGTATAAGGGGAAGTTCTTGGATAAGGTGCATTTGGTAAAGTAATAATGGGATTATAAAAGAATGGTTAAATTATGGCAGTCAAATAAGTTTACATCCAAAATTTTAATGATCAAGTAAGATTGCAATTTGTCTAATATCTAGAGAGTTATATAATTACAGAAGGAAATTTAAATGCTTAGTAAGTTACAACATCCAAACATAGTAAGATATTTAGGTTGTGAACAAAAAAATTAATTTATTAATATATTTCTTGAATATGTTAGTGGAGGTTCAGTTTAATCAATGCTTGAAAGATTTGGTTGTTTTAAAGAAAGTCTAATTAAGACATATTTAAAATAAATTTTGTTAGGATTAAGTTATTTACATTCATAAAATGTGATTCATAGAGATATTAAAGGTGGTAATATTTTGATTGATAATTCTGGAAAATGTAAATTGGCTGGTAAAATTAAATTTAATTCTCTTTATAGACTTTGGAAGTAGTAAATAATTGAGTGATTTTGCTCACGATACTCTTGGTTCTATATGTGGAACTCCTAATTACATGGCTCCTGAAGTTATCAATCAAGAATAATATGGAAAAAAGGCTGATATTTGGAGTTTAGGATGTACTATTATAGAAATGGCAACAGGTTAACCTCCATTTTCAGAATTTAAGGATGCTATTGCAATAATGGTTAAAATTGGGAAATCAACATAACCACCTCCAATTCCTTCTCAATTAATATCAGTTGAATCTAGGAACTTTTTATCTCTTTGTTTATAAATTGATCCTAAATAAAGGGCTACAGTTGATGAATTGCTCCATCATCCTTTTTTGAAAAAATCCTAAGTTAATCTTATTTCTAAAAATACTTAAAAGGTATTCAAAAAAGAATCTAATGTAATTAAACATTCATTTTTATTGGAAAATGAAATCGAAGTTGATTAAATTGAACCAAATTCCCCTTAATTTTAAGGTTTATAAGGTAAATCCTTATCAAAAACTAATTAAATTAGTATCAAAAAAAAAGTTGAGCTTCCTAACTATAATTTAATAGTTGAACCTGATTTGAGTGATTAGATTGATTTAGAATAAAAACAATAGGAAATTTAAGATTTTGATAGTAATGGTTACATGAAATTCTCGAAAGAAAGGATAAAAGAGAATCAATTAAATTAGAAACAATAGGATTTGTAAAATGACTTGGATAATGTTTTAAATTAGTATTGATGATAGATGTGATTTTATTGCTTAATGTTTGATCAAATATAATTAAGAAACAATAGATAATTCTTATTTTGTGTATAAATTTTTGATTGTATAAAGAATAATTCATATGAAATATTTAATAATTTAATGTATATATGAAAAATGAATATATGTTTATGTCATTTATTAATCTCAATTATAAAATGAATTATAGACTTAATCATTTTTATCATTAATTTTTGTCATATCATCAACAAATTATTTACGCACTTGAGTTCTAAATGATGCATACTCAAATGAACAACTATCAATACAATTATCAAATTATTCGATCATTTTTTCTCTCTTATTTTCTTCAATTTCAAATAATGAATTAATATTATAGTGATTTTTAATCTTTTATGAACATATTACAAAGCATTTTTTAGTTAAATTAAAAAGTGAGCATTCTAAAGCTAATTAATCGACAATTTTATTTTATTGTTATTATGATTATGGTAAATTAAAATTCATTAATGAATATTTATTACTTAAATTATTTATTCTCATTCTTTTCTTAATTAATTCAAATCTCATACTTTTTGAATATTTAAAACAAGTAAAAATATTTTTATAGGAAATGACCTAAGTATCTATATAGACTAAGATGGTTTAGAAAGAATACAATTTTGATAATAAATTAATTATTCATAATTTTTTATTTTTAATATCATTAATGAATTTAGCTGGTTCAAATATTGGTACATGACATTCCAATATTGGGGTTGTTGGACCTATAACTGTAATTGATTCTTTTCTATTTTGTATAATTTTTGATTCATTTTATGATTGTTGTGAAATCTTATTTTATTATTACTTATCTAGATTATTTTACTTTTCTATTGAATCTTATTTTTTTATTACAGCCTTTTATTAAAACCTATTATTTTTTATACCAAATGCATTCATTTATTTCAGTAGATTATTTAATTTAAATATTAATTTAAAATAGCCTCCTTTGAAAAAATGAATGGAATTAATATATTAAATATTACATCATATTGATGAAATTTAAAAAATGTGTAAATTGATTATTGATATTTTATGAAACATAAATTTTCCTCCAAAAACATTTGGATTATAAACTAATATATATGAAAAGTATATATAAAATATTAAAAATATTTAAATATGAAAATTAAGAAGAAGTATGAATCATAGAGAGTTACAGAGTTAGGGGAACACATTTTGAAAACTTAAAATACTATGTTAGCAGCTAAAATTGATCAATTAAAGAAGGAAATTTAAAATATGAAATCTGTATACAACAACCCAATATATCTAGTTTCTAGTTACCAGAATAGACAGAGCGAGAGCTGATTTAATCAGAAGAACTAATTTATTATAAAAAACTGAGTAATTAACTTTCTCGAAGAATAAGAATCATTATGGCTTATAATGAGGAGGCAATTCAAAAAAAAGTTGCCCAAGAAGATATATAAGAAGAGAAATTCGAATGTCTTTGTGGTGCTAATTAGATTGATTCTATAAAATATTTACTTGTAAATGGTCATCAATAAATATTGTAATAATAATAATAAGAGATTCAACAACCAGAAGAAAATAATTAATAAACTCAATCTAATCAAAAGTAAAAATTACTTAAATAATTAGAGATTATATAAAGAAATTAATTTAGGAATCTTCAGAAGAGAAGGCTCAATTACTCCATTAAATAGAAGAATTAAAATTATAATAGAAGTTGTCTGAAGAACAATTCTTTCAAACATAGTTATTTGCAGAATTAGTATAATAAAATAATTATTTAACAACTACTCTATTCAATATTGAGGAATAATTGATATAGGTAATTTTAATAATAAATGTAGTCTTAATTAGCCAATAAAGAACAACTAGAGAAAAATCAATAATAACTGTAATAATGTCAATTAGAATGTGAATAAAAAATAAAAGATTTGTTTTCATAGCAAGATATAATAAAAATAGAAATAAAATAGAATGATGATTAGATATAGAATACTTTAATAGAAGAATTGAAATCATAAGTAGAAAATTAATCAAAAATGATTGAGGATTTAAAGATAGAATTATAATAATGTAGAGAACGTAATAAAGAAGCACATAATTAATTGGTCGAAGCAATAAATTAGAAATAAACATTATTGAATTAAAATAATGATTTGAAATAATATATTAGTGTTCATAAGATATTATCAAAAGATGAGAAAATAGAATAAGTAACTTTAAGATATGAGAAACACAAATAATTATTATATGAAATTGAATAAGAATATGCTAATACAAAATCTAATGAATTTATTTAAAGATTTAGAGAATTTGTTGGATATGTAAAGATGAGAGATGAAAAAGTTAAAGGATTGGAATAATAATTAGATACAAAGTCAAATGATTATAATAATATTAAGAAGGTAAATAATTATTATAATAATATTTAAGTAAATACAATAATTAATTGATGAATTAGATTATAATTCAAATTCTTTTAATTCAATAAATGAAACAAATAAGAATTTAAATAAACTTGTAAATGAAACATAAAAGAATTTAAGCAGAGCTATGTAAGAGAAGGTGGATGAACGAATAAAATTTGAAACAGAAAGATAAGTAAGTATAATCAATTATGAAATTAATAGCATTTTTTATAAAAAATATAATAAGCTGATGATACTATTAAATAATTATAATAATAAAATGATTAATAAAAAAAACTAATAAATTTATTTGAAATTGAAAGAACAAGCTATAAAGAAACTATTAGAATGTTATAAAAATCAGATGGTGAAAGTTAATAAAAACTATTATAAAAAGAATGGGATGTTAGTAAAATTTCAGAAGAAAGTAAAATTATATAAGAAAGAGAGAAATTAAGTGAGTCAATTAATATAAAATTTATAAAAAAGGCAGAAAAATCAAAAAGCAAATTAAAATATTTAAAATTATAAATGAAATTGTATTTATATTATTTTATTTTTTAGAGAATCAAAAGATAATGATAATGAATTATTAACATCATTAAAAATGATGGTAGATTGTTAATAATGTAAAAAAAGAGTAAAATAAGTTATTTTAATGAAATGTTTACATATGTTTTGTAAACCTTGTATTGATGACAATTAAAAAAATCGAAATAGAGCATGTCCTGTTTGTAGAGCAAAGTATGGAATTGAAGAGGTGAAAGCTATAATATTAAATTGAGATCATTATATATCATAAATCAATAATAGAGAATTATATTCATGATCAATTTTTAGATCATATCTAAATTCTATTTTTTAATTTTAATTTATTAATTTATTTCAAATTTTTATATTAATATATATCCAATTATTAACAAAAATTATTTCTTTTATAAAAATAATGTATTTTTTACCTTTCCTAATTTTAGAAGTGATTAGCTTTTCATAAGAGAACACATCAGTTTGTATTAAAGAAATGAATAGTCTACTATCTCTACCATTAAACCAATAATTACAATTAGTATTACCCTATTATTTAATCTCTGGGGACTGGATTTAGAAATTTGGATATTATGATGCATGTTTAAGAGAAGATTAAGCTTATTCTTCTGTCCAAATAGATTAAATCATGTACAAATTGTATTATGGATTTTGCCATTCTAACATTTGTTCTGCTGATGATTTTAACTCTCAAGATGGTCAATATATCATAAAGAATTTGCTTAATAACAGTGGAATAGCCAATTTACTGTAGGTATAAATTTGAAATAACATCTAGATGAATCTAACAGCAACAACCTTAACATTCTATAATCCTTTAACATATTATCCTCATCTTGGATTAGGAACATATGTTACATCAACAATAATATTTATATTGATAATATTGGTTTCAATAGATCCTATATTGAGATTGATAAAAGCATGCAAAAGTTCTCATACTCCTGATGTTCGAGATGATATTATTGAAGAATAAACACTTCCTACTGTTAAAGGAATAGTAAAAAGTGAAACTTAAGAGAATTAAAACCTTATCATTAAAGATTTTTCAATAATTTAAAATTACAATAAGATTATGAATCTTAAGACAATTGATCCAAATTTAGCTATGTTTAATGGTATTAGAGCTATATCATTTATGATGGTTGTGTATGGACATGTATGTGAAATGACTGCTACATCTACATATGTATAAGAAGTGACTTTAGAATATAAGAAATGGAGTATTATATTTTTATATGATATGATGTATGCTGTTGACATTTTCTTTTGGGTAGGAGGATTCTTTTTAGGTTATGTTATGTGTGATGAAAAGAAAACATAATCTTTAAAGAAATATCCATTCTCTATTATTTTGAGTGTAATTCATAGATTAATGAGGATATGGCCTTGTTATCTATTATGTATTGCTATCAACTCATACATAATTCCATATTTAGGAAGTGGACCTAGATGGTTTCTAGAAGAGGGAGCTACACAATGTCCAGGAGGTGCATGGAAGAATGCATTTTTTATTGATAACTTTTATGAAGATTGGCAACTTTGTTTTGGATGGGGATGGTATTTAACATGTGACTTTTAATTATTTTTAACATGTTTAATCCCTATTTTAGTTTATTGTTTAAATTATAAAACAGGATCAAAAATCTTAATTTTGTTGATGATTTTAGGTAGTTTAGGATGGGGATATTATTTAAGTATACATTATAATTTCTTGATTCCTGGTAAGAATACTTATAATCCTGCTTATTATTATAAGTATTATGTAAGTACTTATGCAAGAGCTCCTCCTTATTTTTTGGGATTATTTATAGGTATATGTTATAGAGAGTTAAAATAATCAAAAGAGAGAGGAAATTATAATATTCTCAATAATTGTAGATCTTTAATTTAAACAAGTGGAAGTAGAATATTATTCTAAATTGTATGTTATGGAGTAGGTTTTGGTTTAATGCTTTTTTAATTTTTGGGATGGAAAAAGGAATTCAATAGTTTAGAATTAATATGGCCTTAATGGTTTTAAAATATCTATCATGCATTATGTAAATTTATATTTACTTTTGGTATGACTTTAATTACATTACCAAATTTAGTTGGTGCATATGATATGTATTTATATATTTTATATGATTAGATTTAATCGCAAATTTATGAATAATACTTTGTTTAAATTTATGGCTAAGATATCTTTTTCAATGTATTTAGTTCATTTAATGTTTATTGTTATAATTACTGAGACTTTTTATGAAACACCATCATTTATATAAACAGATTTAGTGACAGGATTTGTATGTGCTGTATTTCTTTCTGTAGTGTTTGGTTTGATTTTATCACTTTTAGTAGAATTACCTTTTGGTAATTTGGATAATCGCTTAACAAAGCTATTGTCAGCTCCATAGAAAAAGAAAGAATCATTATTAAATTGATGAATTAATAAACATAAATAATTTTTATATATTGTTTAAAATTATTCTAATCAATTCTGACTATTAATATTGCTTTAAATTTAATTAACGCTATAAAGAATTGAAAAATATCATTATCAACAATCTAAGATGTAAATCAATTATGAATAAATCCTTGAAGAAACTAAAACTAAAGTATTAACTTTATCAGAATTAACACATGAAAATCAATGGATACAAGATTCTAATAAGGATGGTTGCAGTATACATACAAAGATGAATCCATAAAATGAATTAAAGATTAACAGAATTGAAGCAAATGTTGATGTTGAACCAGAAACCTTTATTAATTTAGTTACAAATATGACTAGAAAGAAGGAATATGATTCAAACTTTGAAGAAGTATTTATATTGCAATATTATTAAGGGAAGAATCATTGAGAAGATTGATTAAAATACAACTATTTATTATGCAAGAGGCAAACCACCTATATTCATAGTAGATGCTAGAGATTTCTGCATGATTACAAGAATTTATAAATTAGGAGATTCTCATTATCTAGCTGTTTGTATTTAATTAAAAATTATCTTATAGCAAAATCAATTGAACATCCATAAGCACCCTTAGTTAAAGGAATTCAAAGAGCTGAAATGATATTTGCTGGTTGGATAGTCAAAAAGCTACCAAATGGAAAGACCAACATCATTATGATAGGACATATGAATCCTAAAGGTGATATTCCTAAAGCTCTAGTCAATTAAGGAGCAAAGTTTTAAGTTGAAGGTTTAAATAAGGCATTGAATTATTTAAATAAAAATAGATAGTGACTAATAAATAAAATTACATAATTAAAAGTTTATTCAAATCTTTATAAAAAACTATCAACAAATATTCTTAAATATTAATTTCTAATCTCTACACATATACACATTATTTATAAAGATATAATTAATTAAATAATTATTTATATTATGAAATCAACAACATTTTATATAATATATTAAATTATTCTATAATTTTTAAGATTCATTTTATTCTAAATAATAAACTTTGATGATGATATAGATAATAATAAATTAATCATTCAATTCTTAATATATAAAAAAAATAAAAAATCTCATTAATTACAAATTTGCTTTTACTTTATTAAATTTTTTACAGAATATCTTTTATCATTAATGTATTTTAGAAATTGTAACAATAAAGTTATATTATCTAAAATTTAAATTTACATAATTTTTAAGGATTATAATTAAAGTAATTCTGTTATTATTAAAAATTACAAAATTAATATTTCTTCTATAAATTTATTCACTGCTTTTAATAAATTAAGAATTAAATTTAATATTTTGAACTAAAATTTAATAAATGTATTATAAATATTTATTAATTCTATGATTTGAACTAATATTTAGATTATAATTATCTTAAGCTATAAATTAAAATACAATATCAATTTTAATAAGTATGTTAAAATATCATTTAGGTTTGTGATAAACTAATTTAGATTTACGACAATCTAAACAATACCAATTTTTTTCAGGTACAAAAAACTCTAAAAAACCTGGATCACAGAATGTATGACACATTTATTCATTACATTTGTCACAAATCAACATTAAATACTAAGAGTGAGAACATCCACAAAGTTAACACTTTTGATTTTCTTCTTATTCTTCTTAGAAATTATAAAATTGATCTTATTCTGGTTGCCATTTAGGTTATTTTAGATTTAATTTTATAGGAGTATTCCTTCTTTTACCATTTTAAATTGGATATATTCTTTTGAATTTAGCTCTGCAATAAGGACATTATGTCTTATATTTTTCAGCCCATTCTTTTATACATGTTAAGCATATCTAATGTTTACAGACATCTATTTCACAGACATTTGATAAATCATCTAAATTCATCATACAGATTGGACATTCTTCTTGTAATTATTATTTTAATCGAATTTTCTTTGGTGCTTCTTTTGATTAGTTAGTTTATTACTGTTTGGATTATGGTATATTCTAAGAATTTATAGATGAATAAAATGAGATTTTACTTCTTTAAATAAAATCAAGTCTTTTTTATCAGGAGTGTCTTTAATTATTTTTTTAGTTCTAAACTTTTTATTTTATTCATGACGTTCCAACCAACGAGGTTCAAAAGTATCTAAAATTCTTTGAAAGTGCATAGTACTATTATTTTTGTTTCGAACTAAAAATTTTATTTTTTAATTTTATACAATTATAACATATTATGGCAAATGCATTAGCAAATGATGCTTTGATATAATAACAAATTGATTAATAAGTAATTTAGAATCCTAACTTATCATTTGCTTAAAAGAAATCATTAAGGAAATCAATCCTAAAAGCTAGTGTAGCAAATGCTCCAAAGAATAGTTCATTTTAAACAATCTTAAGTGTAAGTAATACAATGGTAGGATCTTCATTATTAGTGATACCTGTATTATTTTCACAATCAGGCATTTTGAGTGCATTAATTGTTGCATTAGTATTTTGTTTAATATCTTGTAAAACCTGTTAATTATAAATGNAAATTAAGAATTAAATTTAATATTTTGAACTAAAATTTAATAAATGTATTATAAATATTTATTAATTCTATGATTTGAACTAATATTTAGATTATAATTATCTTAAGCTATAAATTAAAATACAATATCAATTTTAATAAGTATGTTAAAATATCATTTAGGTTTGTGATAAACTAATTTAGATTTACGACAATCTAAACAATACCAATTTTTTTCAGGTACAAAAAACTCTAAAAAACCTGGATCACAGAATGTATGACACATTTATTCATTACATTTGTCACAAATCAACATTAAATACTAAGAGTGAGAACATCCACAAAGTTAACACTTTTGATTTTCTTCTTATTCTTCTTAGAAATTATAAAATTGATCTTATTCTGGTTGCCATTTAGGTTATTTTAGATTTAATTTTATAGGAGTATTCCTTCTTTTACCATTTTAAATTGGATATATTCTTTTGAATTTAGCTCTGCAATAAGGACATTATGTCTTATATTTTTCAGCCCATTCTTTTATACATGTTAAGCATATCTAATGTTTACAGACATCTATTTCACAGACATTTGATAAATCATCTAAATTCATCATACAGATTGGACATTCTTCTTGTAATTATTATTTTAATCGAATTTTCTTTGGTGCTTCTTTTGATTAGTTAGTTTATTACTGTTTGGATTATGGTATATTCTAAGAATTTATAGATGAATAAAATGAGATTTTACTTCTTTAAATAAAATCAAGTCTTTTTTATCAGGAGTGTCTTTAATTATTTTTTTAGTTCTAAACTTTTTATTTTATTCATGACGTTCCAACCAACGAGGTTCAAAAGTATCTAAAATTCTTTGAAAGTGCATAGTACTATTATTTTTGTTTCGAACTAAAAATTTTATTTTTTAATTTTATACAATTATAACATATTATGGCAAATGCATTAGCAAATGATGCTTTGATATAATAACAAATTGATTAATAAGTAATTTAGAATCCTAACTTATCATTTGCTTAAAAGAAATCATTAAGGAAATCAATCCTAAAAGCTAGTGTAGCAAATGCTCCAAAGAATAGTTCATTTTAAACAATCTTAAGTGTAAGTAATACAATGGTAGGATCTTCATTATTAGTGATACCTGTATTATTTTCACAATCAGGCATTTTGAGTGCATTAATTGTTGCATTAGTATTTTGTTTAATATCTTGTAAAACCTGTTAATTATAAATGGTACATAATAAACCTGAAGAATTAGATTTACCATAAACTATAATGAGAATACTTGGATAGAAGTATAATTTAATTTTTAATATTACGAATATCATAATTTTATACTTTGCTGGTGTTGTCTATTTTATTTTAATATGCAATATGTTGTACTCATTAGTTTAATTATTATGTCGTTAATTAGATATAGATTATGCTCCTAAAACTGATTTTGTATTAGGTAAATTATCATATTAATGGTGTGGTATCATTTACATGTGTTTATTATTTCTAATAATGTTGTAAAAGAATCTGACTCTCATTATAAAATTAGTCTAATATGGAGTTATATCAATTATAGCATTAATTATGTATATTATAACCAAAGGTAGTATCAATATGCCAGAGATTGTGAATGCAAATTTATTCACTTTAGATGTTGTAACCTTATGTGGTGTATTTTCAGTTGCATTTATGGTACATTCTTGCATAGTTCCAATAATGAAAAATAATTTGCAATAAGAAAATAATTTGAGAGATATTGCAATTAGTTTTGGTTGGACTTGGCTCATATATGCTTTAGTTGGTGTTTTTGGAGCCATTGCAGTATAAGGTAAAGTTATAAATCCTTCAGGTGATGGATCTACTGTATTAGATTATTTAGAATAGAATATATTTTCTTATGGAATTTAAGTTTTGTAATTACTTTAGTTAACAACTGTATTCCCATTATTAGCATTTATTACAAGATCATAATTTTTTGCATTAATATATAAATTGGAATAGCCTCCATAAAAATGGTTTGTTTTTTATACATCAATAGTTGCCTTCACTACTTTACTATTTTAATGTTTTAATATTAGTGTATCTTTGATTCTTAGTTTATCAGGAGCTGTTATTGGATTTTTCTAAATTTATTTGATTCCAATATAATTACATATGACATGTCTTTATGCTAAAAAGAAAGTCAATGACAATAGAATAGGATTGATTAATGATACAAAAGAGTACATAGAAAATCCAGATGAATCTATATTTGATGAATAAGATTTCAAATGTATAGATCATTCAGCCCTAAAGAAGAGATTTAATAAGCAAACTAGATTCATATTCTATTATATCATAATGCTTATTGGTGCAATGATGGGATTTCTAAATATAATTGCTCCATTCTTCAAATGATTATTAGCATTTATTTAAAATTGTCTATTAGAAATAAAATATTATTATTATTAAATAATCAATCAGCATCTTCACAATCTTATTCATTCATTTCTAATTCTCTGAAATCAACTATAATATCTTCTTCATCTTATTATTCCTTCTATTCTTTTGATACTTCTTTCTATGTATCCTTTTATTCAATTTTCACAGGCTTCTTCTTTTTCTTTTGTCCTTTAACCATAAACTTATTAGCCACAGTCTCATCAATTTCTTATTCTCCAAACAATAATTCAAAAACCTTTATAAATTAAATTATATACTTCTTAAGGTTTGAATTTATCACCTTGAAATCCACCAGAATAAACAGTTGATTAAACATTCTATTTTTATTATGCTCTTTTAACAATTCTTTCTTCTATTGTACCTTTAGTGATTAATCTATAAACATAAACATCTTTAGTTCTTCCAATTCTATGAGCTCTATCAGTTGCTTAAGCATCCATAGTTGGATTCCAATCATTATCATAAAATATAACAGCATCAGCTTATGTCAATGTAATTCCTAAACCACCTGCTCTTGTTGATAAAAGAAATGCAAAAATCTTATCATTTTATTAGAATTCATTAACCATCTAAATATAATATTATATAATACATCTCTTCTATCATTTATTTAACATTGTCCATCCATTCTAAAATAAGTATATCCTTTATGTAACATATATTCTTCTAATATATCCAACATTCTAGTCATTTAACAGAAAATTAAAACTCTCCATTATTTTTATTTGAGTTCTTTCAATAATTTATCTAATTATAACAATTTAGATGAAGAAGCAATTAAAGATTCAGGACTATTAGGTAATATGAATGNAGTTTATCAGGAGCTGTTATTGGATTTTTCTAAATTTATTTAATTCCAATATAATTACATATGACATGTCTCTATGCTAAAAAGAAAGTCAATGACAATAGAATTGGATTGATTAATGATACAAAAGAGTATATTGAAAATCCAGATGAATCTATATTTGATGAATAGGATTTCAAATGTATAGATCATTCAGCTCTTAAGAAAAGATTTAATAAGCAAACTAGATTCATATTCTATTATATTATAATGCTTATTGGGGCAATGATGGGATTTCTAAATATTATTGCTCCATTCTTCAAATGAGTATTAACATTTATTTAAAATTGTTCATTAGAATTACAATAATATTATTATTATTAAAATAATCAATCAGCATCTTCACAATCCTTTTCATTCATCTCTAATTCTCTGAGATCAAATTCTATAATATCTTCTTCCTCTTATTATTCCTTCTATTCTTTTGATACTTCTTTCTATGTATCCTTTTATTCAATTTTCACAGGCTTCTTCTTTTTCTTTTGTCCTTTAACCATAAACTTATTAGCCACAGTCTCATCAATTTCTTATTCTCCAAACAATAATTCAAAAACCTTTATAAATTAAATTATATACTTCTTAAGGTTTGAATTTATCACCTTGAAATCCACCAGAATAAACAGTTGATTAAACATTCTATTTTTATTATGCTCTTTTAACAATTCTTTCTTCTATTGTACCTTTAGTGATTAATCTATAAACATAAACATCTTTAGTTCTTCCAATTCTATGAGCTCTATCAGTTGCTTAAGCATCCATAGTTGGATTCCAATCATTATCATAAAATATAACAGCATCAGCTTATGTCAATGTAATTCCTAAACCACCTGCTCTTGTTGATAAAAGAAATGCAAAAATCTTATCATTTTATTAGAATTCATTAACCATCTAAATATAATATTATATAATACATCTCTTCTATCATTTATTTAACATTGTCCATCCATTCTAAAATAAGTATATCCTTTATGTAACATATATTCTTCTAATATATCTAACATTCTAGTCATTTAACAGAAAATTAAAACTCTCCATTATTTTTATTTAAGTTCTTTCAATAATTTATCTAATTATAACAATTTAGATGAAGAAGCAATTAAAGATTCAGGACTATTAGGTAATATGAATGAAGCAGGGGATTCTTAGATAAATGAAAGTGCCTATCTATTGTATAAACTCTGTTTAATTTTATAATAAAATGATTGTGATCTGCATTCAAATGATATTATTGAACTTTATACTTGAGGAATATAAAACTGCAATTATTTTGAATAAGTATAATTCACTATTGTTTGTTAATCCTTCTTTTTACATAATAGTTCAATTAAATCAAATATATTTTTCTCAAATAAACTGAAAGGCAAATGTTTTAAAAGCAAACAAGCAAATGTAGATTCTCCATTCTTTAATGATGTGTATATGTAATGTGCTGTGAATAAACTTTTCATATCTTCAATTAAATTATCATATACTAATTTAGGAATAATAAAGGTTATAGGATTTCTTTTGGTTACTTATACAATAGGATTTTTTTAATACACCTCAACATTCTATTTATCCTAAAATACATAAGGACTTTTATAAGGCTTTCTTTCAAATAATTCAGGATGATTACATATCTTACGAAACTACATAACCAAATTCATCAAATTATCAACCTTCTATTTTGAATCTAACATTCTAAAGAATTCCTTTATTGATAATTTAGATTTCACATTTCTATATAATACAGCCTATCTACTAGTCATCTCACAAACTATCTAGACTTCTCTCTTCTATCCAATCTCATTCTCAACATCCTTCTTTAATCTTCTTAACATAAATGGCTTCAAAATTGCATGTAATCTTTATAATTAATGTTGATTTAATGTCTTTTAATCTTAAGAATGTGCTTCAATATCTTTTGAAAACCACTCTTAAAATTGATCAAAACTATCAAAGAATCTTGGCATTATGAAATGCAATAATGCCCATAATTCTCCCATTGTATTTTATATTGGTGTTCCTGTTAATAATAATCTATTTCTTGCATTAAATGATAACAAGATTTACCATCTCTATGAATTAATATTCTTAATTGCTTAAGCTTCATCCAAAATCATATATTACCATCTTACTCGATTAAATATTTTATTATCTGATACTACCAAATTATATGATGTAACTACTATGTGAAAGAGAGATTCTCTTGAACCAAAATTTTTTTAAGAAAAATATTTTCTAATTGTTTTTCTTTATTATGATTAACCCCAATATGGTAATACTTTTAAAGTGGGACAAAATTTTTTAATTTCCTATTACCAATTATGTAAAGTTGAAGATGGAGCTATCACTAAAAAAGGACCCCATATTTATTTAAATGAACTTATATGTGATAATAATGCTATAGCTTAAATAGTCTTTCCCAATCCCATTTCATCTGCTAATATTCCATTAATACCTTAATCATATAAATTATCTAACCATCTAAGTCCTTTTAATTAATACTCTTTTAAATCTCCTTTAAATGTAGAAGGAGGTGCAATCAATGAAAAATCTCTATCTTAATCATTATGATCTAATTTTAATTCTTATATTTAAACATTTTCTTATTTTTTACCATCAAATTATTACAATTATTTTCTATTATCATTGATTACTTTCTAAACATTTTCAAGTGCTATTTCTTCATCAATTTCATCAATATTTAATGAAATCTGATTATCTAAAGTTATTCCTAGTTTCTTTGCCATAAAATGTGCATAAATATCTGATTATTTCATTAAAAATTCTAATCTTTTTTATTATAATAATTATTCTCTCTCTTCTTCTTCCTTTTTCTTTCTCTCTTATTCTAATTTCTCTTTTCTTTTCTTAATTTCAATCAATTCCTTATCTCTTTTTCTCCAATATGATTAAGCTTCTTTTGATAATTTCTTTGCTCTTAACATAAATTCTTTTTAATATTTTTAACATTTTTAATTTCTTCTTCTTGCTTCTTTGGCAGCAAAATATGCTATTCTTTTAAAAAATTCTCTTAAATCTTATCTAAACTTGGCTTTAAATCTACTAATTTTGACTGCATTTCTCACAACGATAGCCCAACTTTTCTTCCAATCTCCAATTTCAATAGGATCTTCATATAATTCTTATTGTATTATAGTGTTAAAATAGTCATTCTAAGTTGAAGCCTAGCAATCATTTTTAAGCTATTTATTATTATTACTTTTACTTTTCTTTACTTTTTTATATTTGCTTTTCCCATTCTAGAATCTGAATACTAAATTTTGAATGCATCTTCAAAATTGTACCCTAGTTAAGGTAATTTATTTGATTGAAAAGCAGGTTCAAATTATTGTGATGACTAAATAAATGATTATAATTACGATTCCAATATGTATTTACTATTCCAATATTGTTTCTTATTTGTGGCTGTATTTATCATACAAAAATTTTTCCACCATGTTTGGTTGATCTCTGAATACTTTGGAAAAGAAGATTAGTAATTTATTTTATATTTTGCTTTGATTATTTGCTGCATAAGCATATTTCTTCTCTTTCACTTCATGAGTATTCCTCTAGAAAACTAATTTTTATTATAATGAGACAACTTACCTTACTACCTCTTGTTTTCCAAATAGCAGAGTCGAGCCTCTTCTAAAGACAAGTCTTCTACTGGAGGACGTTTGAGATTAAAAACCAGATTAAATTATGGTTCTTAGACTTTTCTGAATTGAGGATTGACTTATCGAGTGTTCTCAATCTTAAGGATAAAATAAATAATACTTATGTAATCTAATGAAGGAGTTAATCGATATTATATTGTTTATCTTCCTCTTCTTCTGAACTCATATAAAAATTAAATAAAGATTTTTGTTTATTTAAGGGTTATTGGATGAGTTCATTAATTTTTATTTTAAAAAATGTATATATATATTATCTTAATACATATAGTATAGATGAGAAGGGACCATTCATATTCAACCTAATACAAGTATTGTATTGAATAATTATGTTGTACAATATCTTAAAAAGACAAAAGGATAAATAGTATTAAACAAATAAGAATTTTTAAGATATAGAATTTATATAATAAATGAAAATCAAATAAAATTTAATATGATTCTTGTATAACAAAATAAATGAAATTAAGAGCAATCCAATCTATAATCTATCGTTCTTAATTATTTAGTATTAATATTGAAACTATTAAAATTTAGTATTGAATAAAGTAAAAAGAGTTTAGAGTGAATATACTTAGATTGGCTTAAATTATGGATGGAATGATCATGAATGAAATAGGAATAGAAATGGAGGGAAAAGAATTATTCTATGTAAAAAAGAAATGATTAAATTAAAAACGTATTATAAATATGCTAGTATAAAGAATTATGAAAAACGGGTAATATGTGTAAATCGCTTGAGAATGGTTGAGTTGTTGATTAATAATAAAAAAAATGGCTAGATCATTAACAATATTGGCTATTGTGATTGCAGTTGCAACAGCTAGAGTGACAAAGAGTGAAAGTCCAAAAGAAATTTTGGCTTAAGTTAATAAGGATTCCTTTGGTAATTCAATCCTTTCAGTTCTCCAACTTTAATTGGCTACAGGAGGACCAGTTGGTGAGATCTAAATCCTTTTGAACAACATTGCCTCATAATTGAATGGAGATTAAAAGAAAGCTGACAAAGTTCATGAAAGTGACACAGTTGCATTTGAGAAAATCATTGCCGACTTAGAATAAGAAATTGCTTATCATTAAGCCTAAATTGTTGCTCTTTCAAACTTAAGAGACTCAACAACTGAAGCATTAGGAGAAGCTGAAGCTGAAGTTAGAGTAGTAACATCAGATATTGCCAATAACGAAAAGAGCTTTGCTGATGAATAAGCTACAAGAAATTCATAACACGAAACATGGGTTAGAAAGGATGCTGAACATGTTGATTAAATGGATGCCATTGATGAAGCATCAAAAATCGTTCAACATTTATAAGCTGGTGTTGCATTTGCTCAATTAAAGAGTAGATTCGAAAAAGTCTAAGCCAAATTGATGGAAAGCAAACATGCACTTTTCAAGGTATTATCTATTTAATATTAATAACTAGCCACTCATCAATGCCTTAACTTAATTAGCCTCCAAAGTTGATAACAAGAGTATCATCAAAATCTTAGAATTGTTGGCTTAAATCAGATAATAATTGGTTGCTAGCAGAGCCTCACTCCTTGCAACTGAAGAAAGATAAGCTGCTAATTGGGAAGTTCAAAGCTCTCATTTATAAGAAGAACACAAGAGATTAGTAGAAAGAAAGGCTTTCTTAGAAAACTCTATTGTTTAATTCAAAGTGACAATCTAAGAGGCTGTTGAAGATTTGGAAGACTAAACTGTATTAACTTACAATAATCTTAGTTATTCCTTGAAGATGCTGAAGATTCATTGGCTATTTAAGAAAGATGGGCTGCTGAATAAGAATCATAATATGAAGCATAAACCTTCGAAAGAGAATAATAATTGGAAGTTGTTGAAAGATTATAAGAAGTCTTAACCTAAAAATTAAGTGCTGCTTCAGAATTCCTCCAAATCAGAGAAGAAGTATTTTGATTTATCAATAATAATAATAATAATAATCAAGATAAAAAATCTTCATTATCTGCTTCATCTACTTGATCCTTATCTTCATTCCTAATAAACTTTATGAAATGACTTGAACGATGAACTTCATGATAGAAATCTTTTGGATTTGATAAAATTAGTCCATATTTCATTTATTAGACTAATCCTAATCCAATAAAGTTGTAATTCCACATATGATTATCAGGAACCTGAATAATATTAAATAATTATATATACCATGAAAAATCCTCTGAATTTATCTGACAATAAGATCTAAACTTTTTCAAAGTGTTAAGTTGATGATGGATGAACTGCATTCAAATCTTTATTGTTTTTACCCCATTCAAATCCTTAATGAGTTCTTTAAATATAAGAATATTAATATACAATTTATAAGCAGTGATTGAACATGACCCAGGAGTGAATGAGACAGTTTGAACAATACATCTTTCTGCATCCCAACTCTAATTCTCTTATATCAATCTAGCATGTAATGTGATATCATAAGTTGACAAATGCATTGTTTCTAAATTATATCTAAGTATTTACCTGTAGATTAAGTATGTAACCATCCTAAAGGTTCTAGATTTCTTAAGTATTCTGAATCTGGCATTTAATGAGGCATTGTGACATTATCTCTTGATCCAATTTAAGGAATCATGACAATAGCTCTAATTTCTTTGACTTATTAGTTATCTGGAGGTGAGATACCATATAAATAAGCAGCTATTTATGTTTTCAAATCTGCAATTGAAATGAATTTCTTAAGAATATTCTTAGGTAAAACATAAGTAAAACCTGATTACTTTATATCATCAGAATTCACAAATATATGATTAGTACGTAAGTAAAGAGATGTGGCAGCTATTGCTCTGACTCTCCAATCAGAATGACTTGTGAATGTTTAATTTTCATAAGGTTTAGTAACTTAGACTGCTAATTCTTCTCCAAAGACATTAGATGTCTTGACTGTTGTTGCAGTTTATTAAGCTGCCTCCTTGGCTTACTTTTCAATATCTTATATAGTTTCTTTTTATAAATTTGGAGCAGACATCTCCATACCCAATATAATATCTCTGATTTCCATTTGAGTTAAAGATTAAACATTTACATTATTCTTTTTAGCATAATCTTATAAAATTAAATTTTTAAGTTCAACTTCCATTTTGACCCATTCATCATCTGTCAAGGTTGGCCATATATGATTTGGTTAAGTAATTACATTCTTATTTGGTTTTAATATAATTCTAGCTTTTTCATGAGCCACATGTAATGCTCTCAAAATTAAGATTAATCTTGAGAATGCTGTGAATGATGAAACACTCTTCAACCAATCATCATATAAATTAAATAGAACCATAGATGGTTCAGTAGCTTTTAAAATTAAATCTCCAAATTTTTCAATTTTAAGTATAGCTTAGAATGGTAATGAAAGTTCAGATCCTTTGATGACAATATTAGGGAAATCTAATAGATGCACTTCTAATGGATCCAATAATCCTTTTCTTGTTACAATAATTTATCTAGGTTATTCTTCAACTGGTAAAGCTCTAATTAAAGCAGCAACTTCTTCAGCAGTTTTCCATTTAGCCAATTATCCAAGTCTTTTTTAACCTGCCCATACAGATGTATGAATAACTTTTAAAAATAATTATCCAGTTTTAGGATTAAAAATAATGATTGCACCATTAATAGGTTTAGTTGTTAGATTACCTTCAAATGTTTTGTGAATAGTAACTCTATATACATTTGTATCATCAACAAACCAGATGATTTAATTACTAAATAATTCAGCATAATTTTAAGTGTTTAGATATGGTTCAGTAGGTTCAGATGAATACAATTATAAACCCTTACGAATACGTTCTCTTAAAACATATAAAGCAGGGTTAGCCTTCATAATTTTATTCATTGCTTATAGAATAAGATTCTTAGAATTGGGGAACCAATTACCATATCCTGAATGTAAATTGTAAGCTAAATCTATAGCCACTAACATTCCTGTTGGAGATGGATAAATACTGATATTATCAGTAGTATAATCTAAGAATTTGGCTCTTGCATATCTTTCAATATCATGAGAATCATAATCTCCCCATCTTAATTGAACATCAAGCCAATATTTAGATGTAGTAGTTCCATCATAAGTATCTTTAGTATCATGAATCAAAGAAGGTTTACTAATAGGCCATTTGAAAGCAGCAAATAATAATATATCAGCACAAGATGAATTCATTTTATAAGATTTTCTTGGATGAATTGTTTCTTTTTAAACTGTTTCTATTTCTAATGTTTCCATTTCCATATCAAATACTTAACATAAATCCATTACTACACTTTCATGTATCTTTTACCATAAATGTGCTCTGAATATTTGAATTAATGAGATTTTTAATGTAGGTATCTTACCATGCATAAATATACCTGTTAAATCCAATTAGACTTAAAATCCTATATATACATTAGCCCTATTAACAGTAGGTGACCACCATAGAGTGAATCTTCTATTTGGAATCTAATTCAAACCTGAACGTTAAGCATGTGTCAATTTCTTAAATCTCATACTCTCTTCAAATCCACTTGCCTTTTCCCAAAACAAACCTTCCCAAGTTGGAAAATAGGTTCCCTTGAATAATGTGTGTTCCAATATACCTTCTACTCCTCCTAAAGCTTAGATCATATCAGTTCTATAATTATTGAGATTCCATAATTTGCCATCATGTCTTTAATGAGTCCACCAAAATGGATTCTATTTCAACATTTAAAATTGTTTGAAATCTTATCTAACTCTCCATCCCTTATCATATGCTAATGTTAATCTATCCTTTTAGAATAATGTATTAATTCTTGGTATACCATGATCCCAACTATCTTCCAAATCATCCAATGTTAATCTTCTATTTTATACTTATGCTTCTTATCGTTTTAAAGCATATTCAGCCCAAACTCTTTAACTATCTATAAATTCACTCTCCCAAGTTTAGATATATCTATATAGATTAGGAATTAATTAATCTTCATCATGACTCATACCAGCTCTGTAATGAGTAATACCTGTATCAGTTTATTTTGAAAATCTCAAATCTGATTATGGTATCAAGATATGTCCCATTGATAACATACCTAAACCACCTAATTCTTTTGGAGTATAAAATACAACAGGTGGGAAACGTGATGGCATCTTAGAATTCAAACCTATCTTAATTCTAGTTTATATCTTATTTTCACATTTTACTAAGAGATCTAATAATTATTCTGTATGAACTGCTGATTCTCTATAATATGTCATTAATCCTATTAATGTTGTATTCCATTTATTGGCTATTTTGGTAAATGTTGTACTACCACTTGCCATCAATATTTATCTAATTCTATTTTCATATTTCTTCATACTTTCTTCATCTACTCTTAAAAATGCAACAGCAGTTATTTCTTTACTTGATTCATTCTATAATTTCCAAACACCATCTTTTTCTGAGAATTCTTCTTATGTACCTCTAATCTTAGGTAAGATTCTCACCTCAAATCCACACATATTAAATAAGAAATTTGGATTATCCTTTGAATATACAGAAACAAAAGAATGTTCCCAAGATAATGTAGTCAAACATCTTGGTAATCTATTTTTAATATCCCAAAAGACAGCTCTTCCTAAATTTACATCATGTTTCATTAATCTCATTCTACAATCTTTTGGCCAACATTTCTTATTATTATATCCAACAATATTTTCATTATTAGGATCTGGATTCTCTGTTAAATATCTTTAAATTAATTCTCTTGCTTCCTCTGATGTAAATCTGAATACCATAAATATTTTATCGATATATCTACAATATAATCTAATTGGATGTCTAATTTCTTATTGAATATTAGAATAAGTCATGAATTCATGAGGATTATTATATGGACCAGCCAAATCTTATGCTCTATTTAAACCCAAAATCAATAAATCCAATACCATACCATAAAATTGCATAATAAAACTAGTAAACTAGATACCATGTAATACACCATGAACATTAGTATGATTCATATCTTTATAAGTAATTACGACATTATTTTTAGCTGTCATATAATCTGCTATATTATGATCAACAATCAATCTCAACAATCTATTTAATAATGTTTAATCAATCTTTTCATAAACCTTTTCAAATTTACTTTCCAACAGTACTACACATTAACCATCAGAAACATCCCAAATTCCATGTAAATTATTAATACCTTAACACCATTTATATACTAATAAAGGAGGTGGTTCACTATCACTTGGTTTAATCCAATTAGGAAAGAGTCTTCGTTTATCAGCTTCATAAAACAAATATTAATCTAGATAAGCATCTGTAATCTTTTCTAAAGGTTCTACATCATAAACAGGAACTAAATGAGAATAAAGATCCATAAATTCTAGTCTCACTTCTTTGAATACTCTTTAAGTTAATAGATGTCTCTTTACTCTGCTCAATGCTTCATGTGGATTATCATAAGCTTATTCTATCAATGCTAATTCTTCCCTTTAACTTTGATTTAATCTACTTTTAACTGAATAAGCTTCCTTTAATCTCTCTAAAGCCAATAAGAATAATTTAGTATCATGTTTATAATTTACAGGAGGATAGGGAATATGAATGAATTTTCTACTTTCTAACCATCTGACTAAGGCTGTATATATGGCAACTGCATCTTCAGTTGTTAAATATGGACCATCTTTCATAAAGTTATGTTATCGTTCTTATTCTTATTTTAAAAATAAACGTGTTAATCTTCCTAAATTCTTTTTACATACTGTTTTATCAACTGTGGCTCCTCTTCTTATACGTTCTCTATTATAATATGCTGAATTTGTATAATAATCTGCCTTATATTTAACATATCTTAATATAATGTTTTCTATTGGAGCAGGTAAACCTGGAACTTTCCATGGAATATTAGCTTTCCAACATCTCCATGCTTCACTCAAATGTTATAAAATTGTCTTTGCTTTATTAGCTCTTACTCCTTCAGGCATCATATCAATTATATCAGACATAACAGCTGCTCTTAATTCTAAATCAAATTATGATTCCACTCTCTATTTTGTAACAGTCTTAGATATTCCCTTTGAATGTCTTCCTTCGAATGTACGAGCCAATAAATTTCCTAACCATCTCTCCAATAATGGAATAATTCCTCTTAAAAAGAATAACCATACTCTCCACACAGGTGTCCAAAATCCTACTCCAGGTCCTTTACCAACTGGACCAGTATTGAAACGATAATAAATAACATGTTTCAAATCCTTACACATTCTAATTTATCTCATCAATCTGTATTTGTAACGATACATACCTGTCACTAAACCAACATGAGAGAATACATATTATAATCCATCAGCCAATTAAAATGCATCAATATTACCTAATCTATATTATACATGACTATCACATGCTAACTTCATTAATCTTAAAATCTCTCTGCACAAATGAAATGCATTACCAAATCTTGACTTCTTTCTTTCTTTTGTTGTTAATGTTTTTACTGGTTTCAATTAAAAATTGTAATCTAAATGCAAATAATTTAAATTTTTTCTATGAATCAATAAATTTAACATATTATAACCTTAACGAGCTATTTATAAACCACATTCAACCCAATCAATCTCTGTTAATTAAAAGAACTTTGTTGCTTAAAATGCTTTCAATAAATTTCTTTTATTTTAACACTTTGGTTTTCTTTTGTGAAGACTATTCAAAACCCAACATTTCAATAATTTTTAATATGAAACTCTAACCTTTACAGGATATTATGGATTGCATCTTTCTTTAAACCAAGGTGCCACTAAAGGAATATCAAAGGCTCTTCTAGTCTTACCAGTTCTTTGATTGAAAGGAGTTGGAGCCCATAATAGAGCAATAGATGCAGTTGTTTATTCATCAGATAATTCTGTTTCATTTAATAATGGTACAAATCCATCTCCAATTTCAATGTCCAATTCATTATCATCTATTTGAACATCTATCTTTCTACTCTATGTTCTATATGCAGATATTGGATTTATCACAGGGTCAAAATTATATGTTGGTATTTCAGGATTATCTTATTTAATAAATACATTAGCTGGATAATGATATGGAGCAATAGCTACACTTCTTGGTCTTGAATTATATAAAAATGGAAATGCTATTTTGTATTCACTTCTAATTTATTATCTAATAATAATCTTATTGATGTCATTAAATTCATTCCAATCTTCATCCTCTTCAAATATATCTCTATAAAGAGGCTCAAATTTAGGTCCTCCAGGAATAGCCATATTCAATGCTTTTGCAGTGTAAAGGGATTGTAATTAAAATAAATAGAAGTAATTCTAATCAACTATATCTGACAATAATTGATTTGCCAATCTAAATAAATTTTGTTAAACTTCCAATGTTAATTACCAAGAACGATAACTTGGTCCATTCAATAACTTTGTATATCTTAATGGTTAATGATCATAAAACCAATCAAAAACAGCATTATCTTCTCTTTCATCTAATTCCATTTGAATAGGTTCCAAAGGTTCAACATCTAAGATATTATCTCCATAATCTAATGGAATTTCTTCATCATCAAATGGAGGAAATCTCATTCTTTTAAAATTTCTTCTATCTCTTTTTTCTCTTCTCATCATTACCCACATTGTACCCCATTAAGCTGTATATACAGGTTCAATCACTTTTGGTATCTCATAACAAAATGTGATGCATCCTGTAATGTGATAAAGAACCTTTACAGTTCTTACTTATTCCCATGGCATAGGCATATTTTCCAATAATTTATATATTGCATGTGGCATATACTTCAATGCACCCAAATATACTCTCTTATCTTATCTATATTTCTTAGATTCTAAATTTCCATGATCCTTAAAAATTTTCCTAAATTCATTAAAAAAATCTTCTACCTTAAAATTTCAGGAGGTTGAGGCTCTTTCTATCCTTCAACAAACCCAAACTTTCTTTTTTCAGCATACTTCTTTTTTTGAACTTATTACCACTTTTTGAGCTTGTCATCAATAGTATCACTCTATCGAATCAGATTCATATCTATTTATTTAAAAATAATATTAAATGACCATAATAATTAATTATTAGAACCAGAAACTAGAAAATAATGTATGCTTAACTAAGTAATTTAATGTTGAGCATACATTATTTTATAAGAGATATATACTTATTAAAATACTATTTCCAATAATCTTTTGATTCATAAATCATAACGATTTAAAAAACTCTCTTTATGAATAATATTTCAATTGTAAAAATATTTATATTAATTTATTATTATACAAATATCTACTTCCTTGGTGTTATTGGAATAGAGTAAGTTTATTATTAATTTTATAATCAATAATAAAGAAAAGAATAACAATTAAAAATACAAATTAATAGAAAATAATTTAAATATCACTTAGTTAATAGGCAGTAGGAAAAATAATCATCAAATTCAATATGCTTTAGAAAATATGATACAAAATTATTATCCAAATTTTCCATCCTAATCTTAAATCACAGAGTTTAAATAAAAAAAATTTTAGTAAATTATTTTGGAAATTCTAAAAAGACTGCTTATAAGTTGATAGTTATAATAGTAAGATAAAATTTTTAATATAGAGAATATCAAAAATACTATAATTATTATGGAAAAAACATAATTTTTAATAATATTAATTAATGAATTATTATCATAATTTAGGTAATCCTAAGTCATATGCATTACCTGGTGCCAATTATCTTGTAAAGCAAGCCTTAATTGCATCCCTATACATTTCTGCTTTGATTTTGATAAAGTTTTCTTTATCTTAACCAAATTTGGCTACAGCTAAAGCTTTTTAGATTGAAGCTTCAACAATTTTATCTTCTGTTGCTAATCCATCCACAATTTAATATTATAATCCTTCAGTTGCAAGATCATATCTTCTTGCTAATAAACATAAATCTCTATGGACATTAGGTGTAAGTTTACATTGACAAACTGCATTCATTCCTGGAGGTAGATACATACCTAATTAATAGTGATACAATTAAAACCAATCTCAATTTCTGGTAATGAACAATGAGCTTTTTTTGGTTCTGCTCTTGCTATTCTCCAATCATGAGCAAACATGAACATGCATCCACCAGCTACTGCATGACCATTTACTAAAGCTATTGTTGGAACTGGATATCTTAATAATCTTCCCAATAACCTTATAAATTCAAGAACAAAATTATTTCTATCAAATATATTCATATTCTATTTTATATAGATAATTATTTACTCCTGTAACATTTAGATCTAAACCTCCACTAAATACAGTAGGATGAAGAGATGTTGTAATTAACGCTGTGTGTCCATCATGTTATTCTACAATAGTTAAAGCATCATGTATTTCTCTGACAAACTTATGTGTAAAAGTATTGGCTTTTTGATTTAAAATCATGAAATAGATTTATTGATATTAAGGATGTTATTTAATAATCACAGTTTTTTTGAGATCATCTTCTGTTAATTTAAGAAGTTCAATTAATTATGTTTTTATCATAATTTTTATATATTAATGTATATTGATCATCATTATCATTATTATTGATCATGTAACTAAACTTTAAAAATTTATGAATTAGTTAATTCTAAAACTTAATCTTTCAATATGGATTCTACATCATCATTTTCTTTAGTTCTAAATAGTAATTAAGTTGTTTAAATATCAGTAGGTTTAACATATCTGTTAATTATTTCATTTATTCTACCCCAGGTTTCTTGATGTCCACTTAAATGTGGTTTACACAATTCACATTTCTTTTCAAATGAATTTAAATTAGAGCACAATCTACATTCCTCAATCTCTAACTAAAATTAAATATAAAATTACTTCAACTCTAAATTTTTTATCAAATCGAGAATCATCTTATATTTATGATGGATCTAATTCATTTATTTAATAGGTAATATGTCTATATGAATTCATAAACATACTTTTCAATGAAAGCTGTATTAAAAGAAAATCTAAACATTTTTGAATCTTTTAATGCACCATAATTCTTAACATTAATAAGAATATCAGCTACTAATGGAATTTATACTGGTAATATGATATGATGACTCTAGCCTTCATATTTTTTAGAGATTTATTTTGTAGAATATAATACAGAATCTTTTTTAACATCAATAATTTCTATGAATGGATAACATTATCCATTAATATTGATTTAAGGTGATCTATTAATTATTATATTAATAGTACTTTCCATAAAAAGATATTGATTAAATTTAGATGAGATTTGGGAATACTCTTGTATTCATGTTAAGTAAATTATAGAAATATTCAATATATTTAATTTAGCATGGCTAATTTACACTTAAACCTTCTCCATGAAATCTTTTTTTTCCATAATAATTAAGAGCATCATTAACATTATTAAATCTACCAGAATATAATAAATAACAGCAAATAACTGTTCCAGTTCTCCCTTTACCAGCTAAACAATGGATTACTACTACATTTTCATCATTGGCTAATTTCATAATTGAATTAATAACCCTTCAATATATTATGAATTTATAAACAAATGTCAAATAAGACATTTAAAGAGGGAGAATGATGATCTTTCCAAAAATAATCTTTAAAAATTAATCCTTTAAATTTTGATTCATCATAACTTTTTCCACTCAGATTAAAAATGAAATAATCTTCCTTATGTCTTTCATTCAAGTATTAAGCTACCTCTTAATAATGATAATTTTTACTTAATCTATAGGATTACGATATAGTCCTTCAAAACCTTCTCCAGGTAAACTCATTGCTATTATTCTTTATGTGATGTAAGTTAAATCTAAATTAAAATTGCCTTCTTTTAAACGATTTTTTTTGCCTGATACTTTTTGTCTTAGATAATCCATTTATTTAGAAATAGAAATTAATATTATAATTTTAATTAAGCATTATAATTCATTTTGAAACTTTATCATCCTATAAATGTAGTTCTATTTCTCTTAATTCCATAGGTAATTAATTTTATTATTCATGATCTGTACATTATTGATTTATAATCTTATAATTAGTGTAATATATGCACCATTATTATTCAAAGATTTTATGTTTAGGTGTAAATATTAATATGATAGGAATATTTACTAATTATACTACACATAGAATTATAGTTATCACTATTAAAGGAACAGAACTTATTTGGGTTGATATCAATGCTATTAAAATGATATTCCAAATCCAAGTAAATACTGTTAATTTATTTATAAATTTATCATATCCTTCCAATTATTCTTCTATCTATCCTTTCCATAATGCAACAAAATGACGACATAAGAATATTTTAAAATGGATGACACATTGACTTACTATCAATATGAATACAACATAAATTGAAATTAATATAATTGCTATTATTGTAATTGGAATGTATTATATCCAATGAGTAACCATTTTAAACATACCTTTAATCATTTAATAAAAATGTTAATGAATTTTATTAAATAAACTCCAAATTAGAAATAATAATCCTACAAATACAGATGTAAGAGTGATAATAAGATTATTGCAAGATATCATAAAGACATATAGAGTAAAAGACAATATAAAATTGATAATCCTTTTCTTTCTTGATGGTTTTCTAATATTTGATTCAACAGATTATTAATCCATTATTAATAATATAGCAAGTAGTAGAATAGATGAAAAAATACAAGCAAATTAAAAAATTGTTGTTATAAATGCAATCCAAAAAGATTCACTAATAAAATTAGGATATTAAAATGTGACTATTTTCATATTGTTAATTATTGAATTAGTACTTACATAAAATTCAATCTAGTCTTCTTTTATTTCTGTATCAAATGGGAGACAGAACCATGAAGGTAATTTGATTTCATCACCCATATCATAATATTTATATGGTAGTGGATATTCTACTATTGAGGCATCATATTAATTTGATTAACATCCAATTCCCATTTTATCATTACTCAAATCAAATATTAATGTAGCATAATTTTCATTATAGAATTAACTAGTATTCCTCTTTATTAGTATTCCTGTATCTGATTTAAAAGGTATCAAAACATTTTCAAATATTTGAAGATATATTATTATAAAAATGGGCCACCAAATAAGCATAAATGTCAGTAAAATTAAGGTTATACAAAAATCTTCTTCACTGTCTGATTATGTCTAAGGTATAAGTTATATAATACTTATTTCTAATTTGCTACACTCACATAAAATAAACTAAATAATATTACAGATATAACAAATATAGGACTTAAATATAAGGACCAGATCCAATGTGGAGATACATTCAGATATAAATGTGCACATACACTGTAATAAGCAATTAATGAGATTAAGCATATTAGTAAACTTCTGGAATGAAATTTATATTGTTTCATTTCTTATTTAATTTTGATTTTTAATATGGCTTTTTTAAAGTAAGAAAATAATTCAAAAAGGAGAAATTGAAGCCTATTTTGGTATAGTGAATATATGAACATTAATAAATATATGACCATAATTAAATAATATATATATTAAAATAAAAATGTATTAAATCTTCAGAACAATAAAGATGATGAAACAAATAATCAGACCTATGAGATTTTGTGCACCTATTGTTGCTACCAATAATTACTTAAATATATATAATCTGAATCAGTTTTATATGTCTTTACTAATTGACACCAAAGAAGAGGATGAAGAACTAATGTAAGTAATACAAGAACCCAATATTCGTAGGTCAATTAAGAAAGAGAAATGTGTCGTCCAAAATTGATCATTTGAATTATTAATATATAATTTATGCAACATCTCTTACATCTTAATCCAAATCATTTATAGGAATTAAATCTAATTGCTTGCATTTTTTATTATTATATAAGACTTCCAATAAAGCTAATTTTACATTTGGAACTTCATTTTTTAATTATCTCAATATATTATATGTATATTCTCCCAAAAAGAATGCATTCCTTACTCCTAATACAAAGTTTACTCTAACCAAATAATTTGGATGTTTTAATAATTCAATTAATTAATCTATTACTATCTTTCCTTTCTCAATCATATCATTTTCTTTTAATGATCTAAATAATTGTAATAGAGTCTATATTATATTAATAATATTGATACTTTGCTTGATTCTTCTCGAACAACAGAAATTCTATCTTATAGTAGTCTTTTAATTAATTAAATTTCTAGTTCATCAGATTGAAAAGTCTTAAATAATTAAAATTATTATAAATTTGTTAGGAACTATTTTATGATTATTATACATTAAGTACCATTTACATTGATATCAAACATTATTATCTCATTCTCCAATTCTTACATTATTCAATATCAATTATAACTTATAATAAATTCTTAATTATTTATAATGATTCATTTTAAGAAAAAGCATTGTCTGAAATGAATTATAAAATAATATTAAAAGATTTCTATTTAGATACAAATTTAAATTTAAGATCTGTGTCACCACTAATTAATTAATTCATTAGAAATCTTAAAAAATATTAAATTTCTTCTTATTAATAATATATTCTTCTATCTGTTGCTTAATTCAATATCAAAATAACTGAATCTACCAAATTTTATTTTATCATAAAATTCTTTTCTTATTCTAATTATGTCATATATTACTAAATTTAAACAAGGTACTAAAATTAATAATTATTAAATTACTCCTTTGTAAATAGTTTTTGATTATTTAATAAAGACTACTAATTTTCCACAATATATTGATAACTTTTATTTCAACTCTAATTCTGTTTTAGAAAATAATTTAATAAAATTTTCTATAAATATTTTGCTATCTACAGTGTTTTGTAATACTAATAGAGACTCATTAAATATTTCCAAAAAACAATTGTAAGCATTAATATTATCCATATTGAATAATTTATTTAAGTATTCTTGATAACCATGAAACTTGATTAATGCAGGTACACTAAAGAATAAATTTGATTTAAAATCCTTACAATTTGTAAAAATATTATTAGCTAATTCTATACAAAATGCATGTTCTTCAGGATTACTTGCCCATTATGCAAATTCTTTTATACTTAGAACTACTCTCTTTCTAACATTTTATTCATCACTCTACATTAGATTGTTAAAATATTCCATCCATTCTTATAATACTTACTAAGAAATAATATTATAGAGATTAGAAATTAATGTAATAGCTGCACATTATTCATCTATATCACCATCTTTAGCCTCTATTATTCTCTAAGTAACACATTCTTCAAATAAGTCTTATTATTTTAATAATCTATTTCCAATATCTCTCATGATTTTTATGTACATAGTCTTTGTTTCATCTTTTGTTCTATCTCCTATAGTTTCTAGTAATGGTTTTAATAACACTAAACTATTCTCTGGACCTCCAATTAAATTTATTAATTTTGGCATAGATTCTAATAATGTAAGCATTACTTATAATTCTTCTGGAACATCCTCCACTACAATTTTAATTTAATTTATAAACCAGCTTTTTCTTAATCCTTAAGTAAATTTGAAATGAATCCACCTAATAAACCTTTTGCTTTAGCAGGACCCAATACCAAAGCAATAGTTGAAAGGTTTTGTAAACAGTAAGTTCTTGTGCTTGAATGATCACTCTTCATCTCTTCCAATAAGATAGAAATAGGAAGCAATGTTTTCATATCTTCATTTTCATCATCTAAAATAGATAAGGACATTAAGTACCCATATCTTAGAATGCATTTTATAAGAGTTAATGAATTCCTAACTCCTATATTTATTTAGATCTGGTAGTATCAATTGAAGATAATGATTTACCTTTTTATGTTGATGAATTTGATTATTAATCTGTACTCATATATAATTATAAAATTATGTTATTCTGTAAAATATTAAAGCATTGTTTCAGCTTTGAAACTAGAAGTATTACAAAAGCAATCTTATCCTAGAAATTAATAGTGAAAAACCTGTTGTATTAAAAGCATTTACTGTATGGAATGAGAATTTAATGTTGTCAATGACTCCCATTAAAGCTACGTATATTGAAAAAAATAATTATTATTCAATATAAAAACCTGGTTGGATACTTTTTGAATTAATTCCAGTGATTCGTTAAAAAGAAGGAAACCATCATTTGGAATGGGATAAAAAGAAATAATATAGTTTAAGTATTAAATAGATTGGATAATTATTGGTCACAAAAAATAAAGCATATGATGAAACTTCAAATTTCCTTATTAGTATTCCTCAAATTATTATACCTAAGCATATAAAACATAATTAAATGAGAAGAAATTCATGAAGATAAATAAAACTGCATAAGAGATAAATCTATCAATTACATAGGATGAATAATAAGAAAATTAATTCAATCCTTTTAAGATTACTCTGACTTAAGCTGAGTATATTACAGCATTAGAATTAATAAATGTAATTAATTTAATAATGAAATTCTAGTTTTCCTTACCTTTTTTAATTGGATGGGATGCATTATACACACCACAATATTCAGATAATGATTCTTTAGATTGAATAATTTATATATAAATATTTAAAATTTCAAATGTTTTATTCTAATATTACTGTCCTTATATAATTATTTATCGTTCTAATTTTAGCTATTTCATCTATGGGAATAAAGGTTAATAAGCATTTAGTTGACCAAATCTACTTTATAAATATATAAATACTTCTCTATTTAATTTCCTTAAGAAGGGATTCCAACAAAATAATAATGCTAATATTAATGTTAACAAGAAGAAAATCATCAGTATTAATTGTTGAACAATATAATTTTCTTGATCATTTGTAATTATATTTAAGTATTCATTCTTTAATAGTGTAAATGCATCTTTAATTACATAAAATTACATATCATCTAGAATATAAATATTTAATTTACTTATTTCATAACTTTCTGGAGTATTAAGCAAATTAAGTAATTTATTTCTCTTTAGATCAGTAGATAATTCAAGAAGAGTATAATTAGACCATGGAAATTCTAAAGAATCATTTGATATGAGATTTTAATAAGTATTATAAAGTTTTCGTATATTTTGAAAATGTCTGGAAACAGCTGTCATTAATCCATGATCTAAAATTCCATTAGCAAAAGTATCACATGTAATTTCTTTAAAAGTAATTGTTGTACATAGATTGTCAAACATAATAGAATTGTAATAATCAATATAAGAAATATCATTATATTCTACATTTATAGCATGTAATTTCTAATAAAGAGTATCTATCTCATAAACATTATGTATCAATTGAATCAAAGTTGCATTACTATCTTGATTCATTAAATTTATGTTGTCATTATAAATATATTATTTAAGTGAATTGACTAAAATAGAATAATAACTAGAACTTAAGGATGTTTGATTAAATTCATTTAAGATATTAATTTTTTGATCAGCATTATTTTAATCTAAGAAATAGATCATAATAAAGTATGATTCTATTATAGATGCTAAGAATAACATCTTAACAAAAAATCCCATATGCTTATTTTCATTATTCTTAAACCTCTTTCTTTTTCTACCTAAAAGTGAAACAGGTTCATCATTCCCTTTTTCCTCTATGATATCTATTTCACTTAAAACTTCATCATCTTCATTTGATGATATTTAAGATAAAAAGTTTTCACATTTTGAGTAAAATAATTTAGCTGTTTTTTCTGGAATATCCAAAAATATACTCAATATTTCTTATCTTTTATCTAAAGTACTAGTTAATATACATGTCAATATAATAGATGATATAAATGTTAAACATGCAGATAATATAAGTATAACTAATATATCACTATATAATTTATTAGTTTGATCATAAGATAAATCAATAGTATTCATATACATTTCTAATAGAGCACGAATAAAATCATTTAATGAATTGTAAATCACATAATAATAATCTATTTAATTTTCATTTAATTAAGAGTATGCTTATTAAATATTAAGTGATTTACTTACAATTTGTTAACTAGCCTATTCTAAAGTACTAATTTCTTTACCTGATTAAGTATTCATCATTACATCAGAATTAAATGAAATCTTCATAAATATGTCTTTACTCATAGAATCAAATTATTCAATACTATTATTCAAATTAAATAATAATTTATCCTCCTTGTAATATGATAGTCCAAGATTCAATAACATCAATTCTCTTGAATATAATACAATTTCATTAAGATATATTATCATATCAGATTATTTAATAATCATATTCCAATCAGAATTCTAATTGTTGATTTCTTCTCTTTCAAAAACATTGTTCAATATACATAAGATAATTAATAGAATTGTAAGTAAAAATGATATGTAATATAACCATCTTATTGTTCTACTTTCACTTTATGCATTTAAAGTCTCTTATAATTCCTTAGATGATCTAAAATATCCAGATTCATTAGGTTCATCATTCTCTTAATTCTATTATTCCTCTTTCTTAATTTGAATTTCCTCATAACTTTCCATATCTGCATCAGATTAAAACTTTTCTATATCATATATTACACCCTCAAACAATCTCATTACTCTAATACCTGAAGAATAATCAATTACATCTTCATTCTTTTCAATTTCTTTACTTTTTAAATCATATTCTTAATTAGTAAACATACTTTAATCTTATATATGAGTTATCATTTCACTATAATTAGCATCAGTAAATTCTCCATAAAAATGCATTCCAGTTTATTAAAATTGTAATCTAAATGAAAAGTTTTAATTCTTTGATAATTTCTATTATAATTATTTAATATTTGAATTAGATAAATCTATTTATCTTTCTACTCTAACTTAATATCCAGCTAAACCTTATTCATTTTCTGAATTCTTCATTATTAAAAAATTAATATCCTAAATAGAGACACTTAATCTAATTGTTGTATCAGACGCTCCAAATGCAATATGATCATCAAGAATTTTTGGTAATATAAAATCAATTGATTTTCCTTATTTCATTTTAAAATCACCATAACATTCTTTGATTTCTGGAAATAAATCAAATAAATGAACTTCTTAAATTTATAATGATTTTACATCCAAACCTAATAAATTTATACAACCTCCAGAAATATCTTCTACTAAATATTCTTTATTACAAATTAAATAAGCTACATCCTTAATTCTCTTTTCTTTTTTAAATGTACCTACAAATTCAACTCCTTCTTTTAATACATGATAAACTGGACGTAATAATACATTTATCCCTAATAAATAACCATTTTTATGCTTTCCTAATAATAATCTTTCTTTATTTAATAAAGTAGCTTCATTAGTATCTAAAAATCTTCTTAAAAAATCATCATGATGTTTTGCATATAATTAAGGCATAATATTATTTATTTTCTTATTCATTAATTCATTTTTATCAAATCCTAATAATGATGCTGCAGCCATATTAATTGCATAAATCTAACCAAATTTCTCTTCTTCTAATGATATAAATACACAACCATCTTCTTATCCATCAACATTCAAATTTGATGTCATTCCTAATTTAAATGCTTTTCTTTAAGCAAATGAACTCTCTATTTTTCTAGCTTATTCAAGTAAATCAAATCCTGATATTCTATCATTAAAAATTTCAATTAAATATTTAGAATATAATCTTAATGCTTATGGTAATTATTGATTTTAAATTCTTTAAAGTCTTTTCCAAGTAGTATCAACATACATTCTAATAGGAAATAATTTTGATCCAATTTCATATAATTTTATTAAATCAGGCTTTTCATCTGCAAATTAAGACCAAAATTCCATTAATAAACTTACACTTCTTTCCATTGCTTATTTAAAAGATCCAAATTTCTCATCAAAATCTCTTTATTCAGTAAAATCCTATCCTTCTCCACTTAATTCAGATATCTCAGCCTCTATTACACTTTTGATATAAAAAACTATATATTTTTCATCAAAAGATGATTTAAGTTTTTCTATATTACTTAATTCCTCTAAAGCTTATGGCTTGGATTTCAATACTCTTAAAGTAAATAAAGCATATTCTATTCGAATAAATACATCAGTAGGAAACTTACCTATTCCCATTATAAACAATCTTGTCATTGTATCATAAATTAATTAATGTCTTTTATCAGTTTTACTAACCAATTCATTTTTTGCTTTAAACATATTTAATGAGAATTTCACTTTTTTCAATGGACATAATGGATTTGGACAAGTCTAATTATGAAATTCAATATAGCCGTTTAATAATTAACCTTATGGTAATCTTTTTTTATCATATTCTACTAATTTAATAACTTCATGTACATGATTTACCAATTAAACAGGATTATCAAACTTATTTACATAAATCATTAAACATTATTCTCTCTTTTATTATTATAATAACTATATCATAAATACAAAAGGCAAACAAAATAACCAAGTATACAATGAACCAACCATAATTCTCTTCTCTACTAAATTAGATATACATAACATAAGGGAGGCCCACATCTCTAAAGTAAGATAAGTTAAAAATAACTTCTACATTATTCTATTATTATAAGCATCATTTTTCTTGGCATATAAAAAACAAATCACAGATCCAATTAATTAATAAACTTCAAAAAATACCTATGAATTATCATTATGTGGTAACATAGATAACAATACTACTATACCAAAATGGATTGAAGTCAAGGCTGTACATCTTCCATTTCTTTTTGATAAGGCTTTTTCTTAGTCAAAGGTTCCATCAAATAATAAAAGATTAACTGATGAGCACATGAAGAATAGAATAATTAATCCAATTATAGAAAGTATTTAATCTATGACTAATAATCCTTACCAACATTTTTCATTTGGAAATTCATCCATATATCCATTTGTACAACTAATTGAGAACTTTATTATATTAATAATATTATTACAGTAAATAAGAATAGCACAGGTATATAGAGTATTGTACTGAATACAAATGTCATGTATTTTAATATATTGATTAATAATTAAACTGGATCTTTCTAATTTACTATAAATAAGATTGATGTTAAAAATAAGAACATCCATAAACATAATAATGCAATAGAAACATAAATTAATATTTATACTGCATTATAATCCTAATTCAACAAATAATGAGTAAAATTAAAATATCCAAAGATTTCAGTTAATATATCTGCATTATTATCCTACCAAACTGAAACAATCTCTATACAATAATAATTATACCATATGATTGAATTTGAAATAATGAATTTACATTAAAGTGATTAACATAGCTATACTATGCACTATGATCGATTAGTTTTAATCCCTAACCATCAAATAAACTAATCGATATAATGAATGTTAAGTGTTGGATTCTAATGATTTATCTGTCAGATTTTTTCCCTCTTCTGACATTAATATAAAATAAATAAATTATAAATTGATATAAAATTAACCAAAGTTTCATTAAAATGATATTGATCTTTCAGGTATTAAATTCTATGAAACAATCTAATCAGGCAATGTTTTTAATATCCTTTCTCTTATTTTTTTTAACGGTACTTTTGGATAAATGTATTTATCTTAAAATAATTACTTATTTTATGGTCTGTAGTACTTCTCAATATTTTATAGTAATTCAATCATAGAAAGATCCATCTTTTTTGTATGCATCAATATTTATAAAAAATTACTTAATTGACTATGATTGTTTCTAGTAAACTCTCTCAAATATTCATAAACTGGTATCTATATGACTTAAGGTTATTGTAGACGTATTAATTTCATCTCTTTGATTAATTCACATTATTGTTCTATTTCTTCTTCTTATAATTTTAATGTAATCTTTATTTTTTAGTAGTTTGTTAAAAGTTACATGTACTTGTAACAAACCTCATCATATTTTAATTATAGTTATTTCACATGATTTTATAATTCTTTGTATTCATGAGCACTTGAAATCATCTTATAACATACATAGCTGTATTAGGTTTTTCAATAATTATAGTATTGCTAATTGGGGCTACATTCATAGCTCTATATATCCTCTTATCTAAATATTAGAAACAACTTTAAATATTGTCATGTAATTGCTTGATATCAAAATCTCTAAAATCACTCATTTCTTTTAATACTATAAAAATATTAAATAAAATAAATTTAATTGGAAATAAATAATTTTTGCATAAAATGAAATGTAAATAAATTCATTTTTTATCTCTGGTTAGTTCCTTCAGATTGAAATTCTAAAGTTTTTTTTTTCACCCTTTATTTACTGATTTATAAAATTATTATTAAAGATATCAAAAATAAAATAAAACCCTTAAAAAAAAAATGCAACTTTATTAATATTTTTATTGATCTAGAATAACAGGATCTATATTATCATGAGTTTAAACTTTTATTTATTTGAATGTCTTGATATCATTCAATTTAATAACTAGACTTATTGAATTTCTTTTTTGTTATTTTATGAAAAATTTTTTAATATCTCTTGTATAAGATTTGCAATAAAATTTGATATAAATTTTTTGACTTTTTTATATCTTAATATTGCTATTATTCTCATATTACCCAAACTCACAATTGATATTTATGTTGGTAATATATTTTTTTCTAATACTTTATAAATACCGATGACTTTTCATAACTTTGCTCTAATTTATTAATCCGTAATTAAATATCTTTTTTCTATTTTTATTAAAAATTATTATTATTGTCATGACTATATACATAATCCTAGTTTGGACATTTTTATGAATTCTTTTTTCGAAATTTAAATAATTTGAACAATATTGATAATTTTATAGAAAGAAAATAATATATCTAAATATGAATGATAACTTTATCATGATAATAATCCTGGACCTTTGCTTTCATTACTTTTATAATAAAGAATGGCTGAACAACTTGTTGCAATCACTGCAAAAAATTCAAATATAATTGGTAGCCAACATAAATTCCAATTCTTTCCTTTTGTTGTCAAATACAAAATAGGAATGATCAATATCAATGCCCATGCAAGGAATAGTAATATCAATTAGATTATCCAAATATGGTATTTTTTAATAATTCTACTAATAATCGATTCCCCAAATGAAAATAAGAGAACTAATACCATAAAACCCAAAGTAAATCCACCTAAATAAGGAGTTGTTTTAACTGTTTTGCAGAATGAATCATCTTGACAATTCAAAATATCTTCATAACAATCCTTACCATCTAAAGATGTGTGAACTCTTGCAGAAAATGTGTAAAAATATTTTACTTTAGTTAATGTCTTGTCTGCTTCACTTACATTCAAAAAAAAGCAAAATATAATCAGCACTAATCCGAAGGTTAAGAAAAGTCCCTTGTACAAACCCTTATTACGAGAGATATCTCTAAGCATTGTATTTTAATACTATTTATATTTATGGAAATTTATTTATAACAGATTAAATCATGTGCTATTAATTCCATATGATACTTCTTATACACATTCTATAATAATTTTATTATTAATATGCTTTTAATAAATATCTAAACTCAAAACTAAAAATAAAGTTTCAATATTATGATCTTAATGTTTTTTCTTCCTAAATAGAATATCTTTATTTTTAATTATTTTTGTTAAGCCAAAAACTCCTTAAGATAATGAATAATTTTATAATGATATCAATAATTTTAAATCACTTTAAAAAGGTATTATATAAATTCTATAATCAATTAGTAAATAGTCTCCTTGATACTCTTAAACTCAAAACATAATTTTATTAATAACCAATCAAAAACTTATTAATTTAAAGTTATCTTAAATTCAAAGAGAAAGTTTCAAATGTAGTTTTTACTAAAAAGTTAAACCATCAAATAATATAAATAAAAGTAAAGTAATCGAAGAATAATCTAGATAGAAGCCTAACTTTTTATTAGCTAGATTCGGAATTTATAAGCTTATAAATAATGACGATACTTAAATTAAAATAAATTATTAATTCTAAGGTATGTTCAATTCAAATTAGAAATTAACTACTATATAAAGTTTAGAATTCATTTATAGGGTTATCTTGAATCTTTGAAAGTCTAAGAACTTTATAAAGATAGATGTAAAAACTCAAAGATATTTTAATAAAATAATTTAAATTTTTAAATAATGTTTATCCTTCTATATTATATTACATAGAATTCTATAGGAAATATTGAATGTTCTTAGATTTCAAAAATGACCACACAATAACAAAAATTGAATGCAATGATGAGTTCATTATTAATTTTAGATTATTATATACTTTTACTCAATTTAATAAAACAATATAAAAAGTTGTTAAATCTAGTAATTAATAATTGATTAAAAATAACTTTTATTTCATTATAAAAAATGGATTGAGATTTATTTTATATCTCATGATGTTTTAGTTATTATACATGTTGTGAATTAAAAATGATAGGTTCTTGATTCTTTTCAAATTATTGTAAAATTTAATGATATTTTTAAAAGAATATAAAAATTAATGAAAGGGAAATCAAAGGATTAATTATCAACAAATATGTAACTTTATTTTCTATGAAAGAGAACATATTGCTTAAATGAAACAGTAAAATCAAACTTTGCAAGAAGATTTATAATAAGATGGAAAAAATAATGATTTTGAAAAAATGAATACATTATAAGAAGAATGTGCTTAATATGCAAAAAAGATAGAAGTTGAAAGTAAAAAATAGGTAAATCTGAATTTAATAAAAGAGAGATCTAGAATAATTAATTTAGAATGCTGAATAACAGTTGCAAGATCATAGAAAAAAAATGAGTAATTCAGATGGAATATAATTACCTAGTTTAATAAAGAAATAAAAAACTTTAGAAAGGTAAATGATTATATCACATTTAGTTAATTAGAATAAATAAAACTAAAACATAATGAATCATTAGCAGAAATTAATCAATTAATGGAATAAATAAATACTGCTAGAAGAGAAAGAGTAATTTATAGTAATGTTTTTAAAAAACTTGAAAGTGATATTCGAGCAAAAGAAGAAGAATTTAAAAAATAATTATTGATAAGAAAATAAATTGAACATGAATTAAATTAATGTTAAGAATAATTTGATAAGATGAAAGAGTAATTCAATATTTAATTCATTTTAGATAAGCTACTTAAGTTGTAGAAACTAATAAATAAGAATATACATAAATATTAAAAACCAATAGATTAGATGAGACTGAAGAATAATCACCAAAAAATTAATAGTAGTAATAACAATAATAATAATAATAATTATAATAATAATAAACAAAGTAAGAGAGTAAATCATTATAAATAAAAGAATCTTAATAGCCTAAATAATAGATATAAATGTAGAAAGATGTTGAAGATGTAACAAATTATGAATTAATGTTTGAAAAATTAAAAAAGGAGACAGGATTAAATTCCATTGAAGAAATTATTCATACATTTAGAACAATTGAAGACACAAATAATGAATTATTTAAATAAGCAAATTTATTAAGTGATTAAATTGATTCTGAAGAAAAATAAATTGAAGAACTATAGAAATAAATTTCATAATATACTAAAAATTAATAAAAAGAAGATAATGAATTTGAAGATGAAAAATTTAAATTTGCTTAATAATTAGAAAGAAGTGAAAAATTGGATAAAGAAATATAATAAGCTGAAAATGAAATAAAAGAATATGAGAGAGAATTATTGGAAATAGCAAATAAATTATAAATAAAATATGATCCAAATTCAGAGGTCACTTTAATGTAATTAGTTGAATAAAGAGCATATGAACTTGTTGATTTATGTAGATACTATGATAATCATAATTATACTATTGATTCAAAAAAAAATGATCAAGAAAGTACTGTTTCTAATTAGGATGATTAAACTATGAAAGATTTACTGGATGGAGTTGAAAATGAAAAGGAGGCTGAAAAGATTATGAGTAAAGATGATTTTAAGAAGATTGGGTCATAAGAATTATAATAGTTTTAGAAGAAGATTATAAGTAAGAAAAAGAGAGAATGATTTATAATTAATAATCATAAATAATTATGAAATAAAAAGTAAAGGAAATTATCAAATATTTGAAAGAATTCTAAGTCCCTACTATTCCAAGTGAATTTGCTCTTAGTGAAGCTGAAAGAGCAAATCTTTATTTTTACTTAACATCTTAAGAAATGGAAAGTTAAAAATAATTAATAGAGGAGAAATAGCCAGAAGAAATCAAATTAAAAAAAGTGAAAATATATTAAGTTTATGATTCAATTGATGCTATCTAAAATTTCAATTCTTTTGATTTTAAATAAGAAGAAAGAAATATTAATGAAAATGAGATCTAAATTATATCAAATAGAGATCAGAATATGAAATTTAATTCTGTGAATGAAATAAAATAGTTTTTGAAATAATATTATGATCAAAAGTTAAACTAAATTTAAACTGATGAAATTTAATAAATAGATAGATAACTGATTATATAAAGTCTCAATATTTAATTTTAAGAACCAAATTGTGATATCGAATAAATAATAGATATCTTTTTGAGTATTCTTTATAAAGAAATTGAATAGAATTATCAAAAAAGATATGATTATTATTTAGAAACATTTTGTATGTTGATTAAATAAAAAATTTCGTTCTTGATGTCTAATTAAAGTACTTAAAATATAACTGAAAAATTAATAAACTCTGTTCCTTAATTTAGAGTTTCTTTAATAGAATTAGTAAAGGAATTTACTGAATAAGCACTTCTAAAGTAAAATGAGAGAATGTATTCAATATATTTTACTTAATTAAGAGATTTAGTATTTAAATTTTTAAATGAAGATCATCCATTATAATTTGAAAGTTTTAGATTATTATTAAGAATAAATCATTCAACAATTTTAGAATTTGTTAAATAAGCTAATTCTTTAATTTTTAACAAAAAGAAACCAGAAATTAAAGATTTTATATTTGAAGAAACTTAATAAAAAATAAATTAGTTATCTTCAATGAATGATTGTCAATAATAATTAACATTTATGTTTTATATTGGAATTTGTTAATAAAATCATAATCATCATTGTAAAATTCTAGCAAAATTATTACAAGATTGTCAATAAAATTATCCTCAACATCTCGATGCTATATATGCTAATTTACTAAAAATAAAAAACAATAGTAACATGAGTGTTAAATAGATAATAGAATTTATAGGTTTGAGTGTAAGTAATCCTGATGCATTACACTAAAAATTTTTAGATTTATTTGTAGAGTTTGCTTTAGAATATCCAAAATCAGAAGAATTTGCTTATGATATGTTTAGAGTTTACTTATATCGTTATTTTACATAATAAATAGAAGGAGATACAAATATAATAAATAAAATTTTATCATAAACATTTGATTAATTGAAAATAGATTTCATGATAAAAACAATTGAAAGGGTACCAACAGATAAACTAAGTTAAATGATATTAAAAAGATCAAATTTTGATTTGTATCATTATATAATAAAGGATGAAAGCAAAGCATTAGCTGTTTTTTTAATAAAATTATTTTTATAAAAGGATTAGCAATAATTAAAAATAAATAAATATGAATTATTGAAATTATTTCAAGAATAGGTATGTGATTATGAACATACTAAAGATATTTTAAACTTTTTATTCTAAGAATAAAATAAATCTTATAATGGATTGATAACTACCTTCATTATGAATTGTTTAAAGAGAAAGAAATCTAATAATATGTAAGAGGAAATAAAATTAATCTTATCAAAAAGTTTTTATTTTGAAGATGAAAGCATTATCAAAAGTATAGAATTTTATAGATAAATGTATCCTGAACAATATTTATAATTACTTGATGATTAAACGAGACTTAGATTAAGAGACAAAAGATTATTATGATCATAATTATAATTTATTATATATACACATATAATACATTCTCTGTTGTCTCATTTTCAAAATAATTCATATTGTTTCTTTGTTTTTATAAATTGATTAATAAATAACTTTATACTTATATTAAAATAAATAATTTTAATCATCATGACTACCCTTAATGTTTAGATTAACTTAAATTAATTCCAGCTCATATTATAGAAGGAAGAAGAAAAGAAATAATAACAATATTCATTATAAAGAAAAGAATATCCAAAAGGATCAATCAATATATATGAATCAAGATTTGAAAAAGTATCGTTATCAAACCAAAAGATAAATGAAGTTATAGGTTGGATGTTAATAATAGCTGTCATTTTGATGTTTATTGTATTAGCAACCTCAATAATCTAAAATTCCATTATAGGGTTCACAATACCACTAATGTCAGTTACGACATTCTTTATAGTATATTTAAATTGGATTTCGATGAAGTTTTTTATAAACTCTTGAGATGATATATATTTTTATTTTGTACAAATAACTATATGGAAATGAAATTCCTATATTCCTGTTTATTAAGAATATTCATTAATATAATTATAGCTATATATCTCTATTATTAAGTTGCCAGTCTCCATTTCTTCTTTTTTTATTTCTTTTATCAAATCTTTTTTGTCTTCTGATCCATCTCCTATTTATTATTTCAATTTCCTCTTCTTAATTGAAAGGGTATTAACATTTAATAACAGCATTTTTGATCTTCATTATACTCTTTGAATTTCCATATCATAGAACCCTCTAACTGTTTCTTCTGAATTAAATGATAAATCATAGCTAAAACTATACAAATGACATAAATAATATATGGAATAAATGCTTTGATAGAGGGAAGTAAGTTTTGTAATAGTCCATCTTATATTATAATACTTGTATTCAATCATAGACTTTCTGAGTTATATTTAAGATATGCTTACAAACCTAAATTGTTTCTTTTCAATTCATTTAGCAAAAAGAGTTGATAAGAAATGCTATTATTGAATATTCTATAAAAAAAAAAATGATTGAATTTTTTGGACGGATTTCTTAAATAACTTTAGAATTGATAAATTATGTATAATTGGTCAGGTATTTGTGTCAACTGCCATCATAGTTCCACCTAAAATTAAATTATAATAAAAATACCATTTTTCAGTAAAATCCTAAGGTATTTTAATTAAAACTTGTATTTTAAACATAAAGATAATCGTTTTTCAATTACTTAATAAGCAGATTAATGTATGATAAACAATTTTCTAAAATTTAGGATATTTATATGGATTGTGTAATTGATTTATTACAATAAATAGGTATAGTATTAATATTGATTAATAATAATAATATAAATTAAATACAAAACATAATAATTCAATAATATTTAGTAGATAATAATAGCTTTTATTTATTAGTGCCTATATCTGTGATCTATTACTCATCATTGTTTTCATAATATGTGAATCCTTAAAACATATTATTATGATCTCTTTCCTCTTTATATTCACTTATAGTCAAAACTTGATTTACAAATTTGGAATCAAAATTATCTTTACCAATAATTTTATAAGGAGCTTCAATTAATTTATCATAATATCTGCCCCAATCAACATTTTTTAACCATGGATGACCCATTACTTCATCTGGACCATCATTGCCTAATCTTTGAATGGCTTTTCTTTCTAGTAATCTATTTACAAAATCTGTAACTTCTTTAGATAAGCCTTGTTTATGTAATTTTACTTATTTGCTCATTATTAATTCTCTAATTTGTTTTCTATTCTTTCCTTAATAAGGTCTCTTTGCTTTTATATATAAGATCATACTTTTCCTGTTAAGCATTCATAAACCAAACAACCTAATGCAAAATAATCGCAAGCTACACCATGATCAGATTTCATCATAACTTCTGGAGCCATATATCCAGGAGTTCCACTTGTTTCATTCTTATTATTGGGTTTCCATATTCTTGCAATACCCAAATCAGTTAGATGAAGATAACCTTCATCATCAAATACTAAATTTTCTGGTTTGATATCTCTATGAAGTACAAGATTTTTATGTAAATATTGTAGTGCCATCAATACACAAATAACAAAAAATTCTTAGATATTAAATAGAATTGCTACTTGTTTGTTCTTCATTGAATTTCCCTTATTTACATAGATGATATCTTAAATCTCCTCCTTCCATATAGTCTAAAACAATATATAAATGTGTTGAAGTCTAAAATGCTCCTCTCATATTAACTAGAAATCTATTTAGACTAATATAATACGGATGATTTAATTTCTAAAGCAAAATTCTTTCATTTATCACACTCTAAATAGACTGTTTTTCAATTATTCTGATTTCTATATAGTTGAGAAATCTACTTAGATTTTATCATCTCTTTTAATGCAAAAAACTTTTTTTAACATTTTACTTTCCAAACTCTTCCAAAACCACCCTTCCCTATTACATAGAGTAATTTATATTGTGATAATTAAGGAGCTAAATGATATGCTGATCACTTACTATACAATTCTAATTCAGAAAGACTTAGTTCTTCACTTGAACAATTTCCCATATATTTAATATTATTATATTATACAACTAAATCAATAAATATTATTATTCATTTTATTTCTCATCTTAATACCTTACTTTTAGTTAAAAACAATTAAAAAAATTCAACTGCTAATTAGTATAATGATTCTAACTAATTAATATATGTAATTTTTAATCCATAATATATTTAAATCAAATGAGATGAAAATGAAAATTAAACATATTAAAATTTAAAGATCTTGCAATTAAGTAAGATAATATATTATAATAAATACATCTTGACAGATTGTTTAATTAAAATCATTAAAAATTTATTAATTAAAATAATTTAAGTTAAAAATCTAGATTTTTTATGTTAATATATAATAAATTAAGAATAATACACTTTAAAATATATTTTTTAGATTATTTTATAATTCTAATTCTAAATTTAAAGTAATATTTATAAATAATGTAGATTAAATATTATTAATATCATCATTTATTTAATTTTTTACTTTTAGATTATTTTCTATTCATTTCTGCTTCCCATGTTAAATGTGGATCAAAACCAAATTCATTATGTTAAACACTATTTGTTAATCTAAATGGTTCTTTATTATTTATTCTAACTTTTTCTAACATTTCATCTTCATGTACTTTTCCATATTTGCTTGGTCTTTAAACAAAATCTTCAAAATCCAATTTGAATTCATCTAATTGTTTCTTTATTCCTGGTGGTGTCTTTGGTTTTTAAAATTCTTAATATTGACTAGGTATTTTGAATCCTTTAAAGCCTAAAAATATAGAATGAAATAAACCTTATGGAGGCTTATAACTTCTTTCTGCTAAGTTTATGCGTAATATTTCCCATTCATTCAATATTTTACCTTTTAATGTTGGTATTTTAGTAAATTCATCATTTTTGAATCCAGGACCTTATAAAATGAATTAAAAGATTACTTTTCCATGCCATTCTAAATCTTTTTTTTAATTCTTAATATACTTCTTCTTTATCTTTAATTCTTGGTAAACCAACATCTATTTCTTTGTTTTCTAATTTTTCTTATTTTTCTGCATTAATTACATCTCTAGTTCTTCTTTAATGTTTATAATTAATTTTATTCATTTCCTTTTTTTATTTTTCTGAAGCCACAATCATTTCATCTAGAAGTTACTAAATCATTCTTTAATTGTTTCACTTTATAATTATTATAATTATTAAATAAATATAAAATAAATTAAATAGAATAGACTCTCTATTATATTTATAAGATAATTGTTTCAATAACTAAAATTTATGATGAATTTAAATATAAATAAATCTATGAATAATTTAATTGACAAGTTATTTAATTATGTATAGAAATGAAATATTTATTAATTCGAATGATTGTTATAAATATTTATAATATAATTTAATATAATATAATATTATTATGAATAAAGCAAATCGAACAACTAGTCTCAGATAGCATAAACTAACTTTTTTAAAAGACAATAATAATAGCATATAATTATAGACCAGATCATAAAGCTTTAAATAAAACATAAGCATTTCTCCTGATAAGAAATCATAAATATCTCCAACAAAATAAAATAGTGTATTTTTAAATGGATAATTACTTGTATATAAATATGTAAATATAAGACCCGTCCAAGATCCAAATATAATTAATAAAGCAATTTGTCTACTTCTAAATTACAAGATTCTTAAAAAATGTTTCTTATACAACAAGCACAATAATAATAGGCATAGTAATAAAGGGCTGAACAAAGTCCTGTGTTACATAGAAAATAATAGAGTGATAAAGTATTAAAATATGATTTACCTAAAATATCTCCAATCAAATCAAGATAACCAATTAAATAATTACAGCCTGATATGAATCAACTGGACTTATTTAAAAGAGAATAAATTAAATAAAATATTATAAAAAATGCTTTTACGAAATCTCAGGCTGGCAAAAATGAAGATAATTTAACTAAAACAAATCAAGATAGCTTTATTTCTCTTTAATAATTTAAAGACAACATGTCCTTATTTGGTGTATGTGATGGACATGGTTAAGATGGTCATAAATGTAGTCAATTCATTAGAGATAATTTACCTAAGAATATCAATTCTCTTTTATCTCAAAATCCATCATCTATTACTGAATCCATCTCAAAATCTTTTATTAGAACAAATAATTAATTATGCAATTTCGAAGAAATCATAACTACATTTAGTGGTTCAACTACTGTAATCAGTTTAATTGTTGATGACACTATTTATACAGCAAATGTAGGAGATTCTAGATCAATCATATGTAGATTATAAAGTAATGGAGTTAAAACTGCTATTACATTATCAAATGATCATAAACCAGATTTACCTTAAGAAAGAAGAAGAATTGAATAGAATGGTGGAAGAGTAGAACCATATATTGATTTTGATGGATCAAGTTTAGGTCCATCAAGAGTATGGTTAAAATCAGAAGATATTCCAGGACTAGCTATGAGTAGAAGTTTTGGTGATAAGGTAGCAGCAAGTTGTGGTGTTATTTGTGAACCAGGTAATTATGTGTTATTTTATGTTTAGAAATACTTACACATAAAATTTAAGAAGGGGACTTATTTATGGTTCTGGCATCAGATGGAGTATGGGAATTCCTAACCAATGAATAAGTATAAATAAATTATTAATTAAGGTGATAGATATGATATATCCATATTATATTCAAGATGAAGGAAATGCTGCCTGTGTTAGAATTGTAAAGGAATCTATTAAATTATGGAAATTAAATGACACAGTAATAGATGATATTACTATTGTAATTGTATTCTTTAACAAATAAAAATGATAATCATTCATCGATCAGTTCATCTATAAATTATTCTGCAACCTATTTAAACAATCTAATATTCTTAATAATAATCAAATCATATATTTTTGAATATTCTTTAATCTGATTAAATTATGATTTATAATTATTTAAATTAAGATCTAAAGTATTATATCTTAAAATAAAGGCTCATCTTGCATATTTTCTGAAATTGTTTTTTCTTAATTATAATTTTATCTTAATGAAATATATATTTGATTGTTTATTGTTTCATATAAATCAATTTATTTAACTTTCCTTTTGAATTTTATATTTATTATGTTATAACAAATATTTTCTGTTTAATAAATTAAAAACTTATTTTTGACATTCAAGTTATATTAAAATTAATATCATTTACAAAATGTTATGAATTTATCAATCAAAATATAAAGATTTTAAGAATGAAATAATCATATAATTAAAATTTTAATATATTAAACATAAGAATATTTTTAGTATAATAAATAAATCATATTATGATTGAATCAATAAAGTTTAAGAACCTTTTACAGTAAGGTTCCGGACTTCTACAAGACAAGTCCTATTTCTTTTTAAATCTCATGCTTCTTTTAAAACATTATTCACTTTTTTTTTATTGATTAAATCTTTACAAATAATCTATAATTGCAAATGAATAAATAGTATTTCTAGCTTCATTCACTACAAATCTGTAATTATTAGAATCATTTTATTATGTATTTTATTGACATATGCCTAAAAGTAATGAATAATCCATATATCCAATATCCCGAAGGAAATTACAATCTTCCTTAAGTTATTTCTTTATTTGATCAGAGATCTCTTTTGGTATATTAATAGGGTTGTAGGAAGATGATTTAAAATTATTATCTTTTTATACACTTTCATCAGATTTTGAGGTTCTATTAGCAGTTGAACCTTTTAAATCATAAACTATAAAATCATGATCTAATTGTTTCATTTATTCGAATGAATTTTCCATTAAAACTAGATATTATGTTTTGTAAGCCATCAACTTAATTTTATATATTCCATAAATTTTAGCAAGGAGTGATTTTTTATTACTATTTATATGATTAAAATAGGAAACAATTCGTCCATCTAAGAAATCTTTAATTTCAGATTTTTCAACTGTTTTAAGTATTAATTTATTATTTTAACTAAAAAAAAAAAATGCACCACTTCTTCCCATAGATTCTTTTGCTTTTTCAAATGCTTTTAAATTGTATTACAATTCTAAAGTATATTCTAATATGTTTATGCTAAAATTATTTGATTTCAATAAAGTAGTAAAACTGTTTGGATGATATGTATTTACTAAAATGATAGAATCTTTAATATCATCATTTTCATTAAATGAAATTCTGCTTTCATCTAATTCTGATAAATGAAATTTAAATGTATAAGTTCTTTTCATCTCAAATTCTTTCATATGATGATCAAATTATTTAACAAGAGTTGCAAACACAGCTTTAACTAAACCTTTAACAAGTTCATTAATTTAAGTTTTTAACAATTTCTCATAGGTAGGCATTAGCTTATTTTATATATCACTATTCAATCCATATTCAATATTTTCTATATCTTGAATATAGGATTATTCCTGACAAGATCGAAAGAATATATAAAATAGTTTCTAATATGAATAAGGTTAAATTAAATGAAAAATAGAAAAAAATAAACCTTCTAAACTTAAAGCTATTTTTAATAGATATGAATCATCATTTTCATATAAGTCTAGATTATAAAATGAGAAAGCACAATTAATTATTAACATAGTAGATAACCAATATCCTTGTTATTTTACAAAATCACACTTAAATTCATAAAGTCTTTTACTTTATAATGTCTTATTTTTATTCAAAATTATCCAAATAGCTATATAGAATAAAATACATATCAAAAAACTACCAAAATTAATTTACGAAGCAACAACGCTATATTATTTAATTTCACTAAATTAAAAAAATGATACAATTACTTCCAAAACAGTAGTGGTATGATTATTAATACTAAGGTTAATAACATCTGTAACAATAATAAAAATATAAAAACAGATGAAGAAGTTGCTTAAAAAGGGTTGTAAATGCATATTTTTACTTCATTAAGAAATAAAATAAACTAATTTGATATTATAATAATGATAACACCTAAAAGGAATTTTGTAAGTTTATGGATTTCTGCAAATTTGTCTGGATGATTGTTTTCAATAATAACTAAAGATTAATCAACAAATATAAATATGCCTAGGATTATAAATAAGCATGAGATCCATACAATAATTCTAATATTAATGAGTAAAATAAACTTTGAAGGATATTTTCTATAAATAGGGGAGACAATCCCTAAAATTAAAATTAAAAAGCAAGCCATCATTGATAAGGCTGTACAGCCAATATCAATGTAAGCGACTGTGACTAAGTTCATTAAGTTATTAAGCTTTAATTAATAATTATATATTTCAAATTCATAAATATGATATTTGATAATATTTATGGAATTTTATCAATAATATAAGTATATATATAAAGATTAGTATTAATCATAAACTATTATAATTTAATAAAAGAGATGAGAAGAGAAGAAGTTTAAACTAAAATAGAGAATCTAACACAATAATTTATTAAAAACTAATAAATATTATTATAAATATAGATAGAGTATAATTTAACAAATTAATTGATATATGAAGTACAATATTATATAAACCTTACGTTAATTTAAATTTCAATTATTTTTATGATAAGATTTCTATAATTATCATCTGATATTGATATTATAATTTTATTCTAACAACAGAAAACTTAAAAACTAAAATGGAAGTGATCAATATTTATGTTTACAAATTTTTGGATAATAAAAATTAAAATTCTAAAGCAATTCTTATACACAAGTGAAGTTTCATACATTAGAAATTAGCTATTGAATTATAAAAGAATACAAATACAGTATTTCAAATAAAAAACGAGAATAATTTTAAATTGAAATGAACTCAATATTACAGAGCAATCTTTTAGTATATTTTTTAAATAAAAAAAGTTGCAGAGACAAAAAGAAAGATAAATAAATTTTATTAAAAGCAATTTAATAAATTCTTTATATTATCTATGAGAATAAGCAATAAAATATTCTTTACAAGATAATTTGATCTTTAAAATGTATTAAAATTTCTTAATGAGAATAAAATAATTTATATAAATATTATTTAATTTTTAGGGTTTTTGATAAATCTATAAATCATCTTCTTCTAACACCTGCTCCTTCTAATTCAGTTACTATTTTAGGAAAGAGAGTTGTCTAAGTTATTAATTGATCAAGCAATTTATTATGTTCATTAGTTCTATTAATTTTTTTTATATATATACCTTTCTATCCATCTGTTATTTGTATTATCTAAATTTTCTGAAGCTGTTTTAAAATTTGATTAAGCATCTCTTAATAAATTTTATTTGGTCTAAATTTAAGCTATAATTATGATATTTTATATACCATCTCTTGTTTAGATTTCAGCTTGAATAGTTGGTATAACAATTGTTGATAAATTTGATATTCTTTAATTATATTAACTTAAATTATGATCATCAATAGCTCTGATTTACTAATAAGAATTTTCTAAATCATTTTTATTCTTAACAATTGTATCTCTTAAGTTTTAGATCAATCTTTAAACTTTTGTACTTGCTTCTTAATCATTAAAACTTGGAGCCATTATTTAAGTAAAAGCAGTTATTAATGGTGCATACATTATTCTTTGATGTTGTAATTGCTTTAAACCTTCTTCTAAAAATACAACATTTCTATTTTAAATAAAAGAGCCATCTCTTAATTAACCAATCAATTACAAAGCTTAATCAAGTGCTTAAACTGCATTTGTATATTGATTTTATTAATCTTTGAAAATTGTTTCTTCTTTATTGATTCTTTATTATAAACTATCAGTCAATGATTAGACTTCCTTTAATTCATCTACTTTTCCATTTAATCCAATTTATAACAAATTTCTACTTTCAGTGAAATCTGTTAGATCTATTTCTAAGGATGCTATCTATGATAAATTAATAAATGGAATACTTCGTTTTAATATTAAGTAATTTATCCTGAGAAAAACTCTTTATCTGTGAAATATTAAACTTCATTCTATTAATATTCTTTATCTTCATCAACAATTCTTTATTTAATTGAATTCTCTAAATCATCTAAAGCTGCATAAAGTTTAGAAAAATCGAATTGTTATGCTTTAGACTTTAACGTGAGTAATTTCAGAAATGCTTTTCCTAAATGAGTTCTCTCTAAATCATTGATTATTGGATTAGAGAGAGGCCCTTAAATCTGATTAGCCAAACTGAGAGATATCAACAAAATACAAACTAACTTCTTCATTACAATTCGTTTTTAAAATATAAAAATTAATCCTCATTACTTTAAAAAAATAATAAAAATATATTTTTAATCAATAAATAATCATCAAAATCAAATATGTAAAATCAGACATACTTAAATTTATAATATATAATTTCTAATAATCTTAAACTTATCTGATAAGGATTATTTAAATGATTATTATTGTTCTATTATTAAAACTATATTTGATGTTCTATTTATTTTTTAATCATAATTAAATTAAACCTTTAATCTTAAATGAATTAATGTAAAGTATATTAACCTAAAACTATATATACTAATAAATTATCAAAATATTAATAATAAAATTTAATAATGTATCTAATAAAATGAAAACTAATAAAAAATAGGTATTTAGGTATATTCTAAAATTTTGGAATAATAATAAAGAGAATCTTTTTAGATCAAATTTTGAATTTAAAGATTTGTTTAAATATGATGTTTAGGACATATATAAATGATACTTGATTATTATATAATTAAAAAATACATAAAATTATTCAAATTTTATCAATAAATTGCAAATAAATATTTATTATGGATTAATTGGAAGCATTGTTAGTCAAGAGTCCAACTAATCAATATATAATATATAATAAGATATTAGGAAGAGGAGCATATGGAGTTGTATTACTTACTAAATAGATTAAATAATAATAATTATATGCAATCAAAATAGTAATAATATCTGTTATCAAAGATTTCCAAAAAAGTCTTAGCTAAAATAAATGGAGCTTACAATATGAGATAAGAAATATTATTTTTATCAAAATTGTAACATCCAAATATTATAAAAATGTATGAAACTTTTGAAGATGAAAACTATTTTTATATAGTATTGGAATATTGTTCCAAGGGAAATTTATATTTATTACTTAAGGAATAAGGAGCGTTTTCTGAAGAAAAAGCTTTTAAATACTTTAATTAAATTTTGTAAGCAATATAATTTATGCATAAAAGATAAATTATCCATAGAGATTTAAAAGTTCTTATATATAAATATTTTTGTAATAGTTGGCAAATATTTTATTAACATAAGACGATTAAATAAAGATTTGTGATTTTAATTGGGCAACTGAATTAAATGATGGCCAAGCTGATCCAGTTCTTTGTGGAACTGTTGACTAGATGCCACCAGAAGTTTCTTCCTTTAGTTTTCATGATACAAAATTGGATATATGGAGTTTAGGAGTTTTGTTATATGTAAAACGAATCATTATAAATAGGAAATGTTACATAATAGTCTTCCAATTATATCTTTTGTGACTGAATTATCTTTTGGAAGACATGTGAGTGAAGAAGCAGCAAAATTGATAAAAGATTTAATGAGCCTAGAAAAATCTTAAAGACCAACAGTAAGTGAAATATATTCTTACAAATGGATGAAAAATAACATTACAAAATAAAAAGTTTAATCTACAACTTAAAGTTTATGTGTTACTCCAAGACATTCAAAATAAAATAGTTTGGATCTGAAAGATTTAAGTAAATATATCAAAACTGAAAATTGAATCAGATTGATAAAATATATTTCAAAAATTATTTATAATATATCATCCATCTAATATTAAATCAATCCATTATGGGTTATTCCAATTATATTTATGAATAATAAATTTAAGTAGAATTTTCTTTAATCATTTACAAGATTTCAAAACAATTTCATAAATCAACCAATAATTTCCAATTTAAGCCAAATTTTTTAGAAATTTAACAATAGATATCAAAATTTGAGAGCATTCTCTTCATTTAAAGGTTATTCAGAAATATTATAAAGAACTTTAATTTATCCTAATTGTTTTTTCAACTTTAGCTAATATGGTCTTGTGGAATACTAATTTTGATAATTATTTTTATCTCTTATAATATGTTTAAATAAATCCCCATAATAGAACATCTCTTAATTATTAAAACCTCAAATACTTACATTAAATAGGCAATTTATAAATATATTTTCTTACAATTTTCAATATCTATAATTGAAGAGTTTTTACAATTATATTTGATTCACCTCTTTTAGTAAGCATAAACTAATTAATCAAATTCTTAGCAATTAGTCATTCTACATACATTAGCATCGGATAAAATAATTTAAATCTAAAATACATTTTATTTCTAAATAATTCTATTTGAATCTAAGGCGATATTGCTTATACTGAATTTAACAAAGCCTCCATTTACTTACCCAATTAAGTATATTTTGCTAATTCCTTCTCTCACAATATTTCTAAATGTAAGTTTGTGTATTATAACTAAGTTTTTCTAAATTATTTAAATAAACTTCTGCAAGTTTCTTATTATAATTCTTAAAATACATTCTTCCTCAATTAATTTATAAAGGCCTATATAATTAAAATGGAAGATTATGTTAGATCATCCTTTTTAAGACAGTATCGACAGATATAAAAGAATTGAAGTTCCTTTAAATAATTAAATAACTCATTTACAGAAATCTAATAAATTATGAAAAATTACTTTTCGTTTATTCTTGATTATTAATAATTTACTGTTTATAACTTCAAAGAATACAATTACTTATTAATTTTTAATATAATATTTGAGTTTTCTTGATAAAATTCTTATTTAATATATCAATTTAAAATTAAATTTTATTTTTTTTCAATAGAATTCCTAAGCTAAATATTATTTAGTAGTAGATCGTAATCCATAAATAAAAATGATATTTGCTTTTTCTATGATCTATAAAGTTAATCTCACATTTTTCATTAAATAAAAACAAAATCAATTGTAGATTTATTATTTTCTTCTCTTTTAATATGAATAATTTGATTATTATGATTTATTTAATTTAAATAAGAGATATTATTTTTATATTTAGTAACAACTTTAAGAGTTTAATTTAAATTCAATTTTATGACAAATAGAATTATTATTTTCGTGTACAATTTTCAATGTTCAAATTTGGAAACCATAAATTTATATTTTTAATTTTATTTTTAAATTAAATGTTAATAGCATCATTTTAAATTCTCCTTTCAATTAACTTAATAGTTATTTCAGTGCTGTCCTACAACTATATAATAGTAAATATATTATTGAATTTTAGAGCTAAAAAGAATAAGTATATCAATCGTATTATAGTAAAGAAGAATTAGAAAACATTCATCACATTGAGGAAATAAATAATGTTTTATTTCCCATTCTTGAAGATATATCTGTAATAATTATTTAATAATTTAAGTATGACCCTGAATTTAGAATATATTAATATATTGACACAACTAAATGTCCAATATTAATGAATTAATAGGAATGTCAAGTTGAGACTTGCAATATACTAAATTTTGAAGGAGAAGATTCTATCATAAATGTGGATTTGAAATATATGGGAGAAAAGTATACAGGATAATAAGGATAAAACATTTGGCTTAACATATATGAAGATCTAGGAAAAAATACAACTTCAGAGATGCATACACATTTCTTAAATTTAATAAAGGGAATTCATTCATCAATATCTGTTTCAATTACTGAATAATTTGATTATGGAAATAAAACAGGAGCTAATGTAGATTTTTTCTTTTGGCGTGTTGGTAATTATCCAGATAGAATTTATAATCTTTATTTTTTGGAATCATTCTTAATACAAGCCTCAAAGTTTCTATAGATTAATAAAATTGAATTGCCATAGTAAACCTTATTGAAGGTATAAGGTTTATTATCTTCATACAATTTAATGCCTCTTTATAAATTTGATTACTTTTAGAATTTAACTCAATAGGATTTAGAATAATATAGAAGTGATATATAATTACTTAATTCTTATATGGATTGTGTGCATTGTAAAAGATGCAAGGTAAATGGAAAATTATAAATTCATGGTTTAGAAACATCTATTGCACTCTTATTTGATAATAAATTAAGAGAAGATTTAGAAAAAAATGACATGATTGCTTTTTTGAATACTTTTTAAAAGATATCAAGTTCAGTAAAATCATTAGAAGCTATGTTTGAAAGAAGAACATCAGTTACATATAAATATTTAAAATTATCTACAGTTGGTTTTATAGTATTGAGTTTGTTATCCTAAGTGATCCTAATGTTAAAGAGATGAATTTATATATTAAGTGTATTTTGAGAATAATATAAATATATCTATTTTATTATTTTGAGTTTGATAATTATCTTTTTAAATTTAATGATTTAGTTTTGGAAAATGTTTTTATTACATAAAATAAATAGAATTATCAAATAAATTAAACATGCTCGTAATCCTAACCATTTCCTTATATGAGAATTGAAGTAGTTTAATTTAATTTTGGTAATTATTATAATAATTGTGAAGCATTTCTTGATAAAGTTTATTAAGGTATCTATTCCTATATATCAGCAGAAGGTGTTTGTACTCTATCTAAGACATGCCAAGATTTTATTTTAGTTATAAAAAGCATTTTTTTTAAAACATAGAGAAGGCACATAAAAATAGGCACTAAAAATAAAAATACTATGACAGCAAATCCTAAATTAAGATATTTATTAATCAATACCAATCATAGTAATAGGACTATTCAAAAAACTAGATTATTGATTATTACTATCGTTGCCATCAAAAATATTGACACTAATATTATAAATATAGATTACATTTATACTACCAGAAAGGCTTATAGAGCAGTAAAGCCAAGAAAAATGAAGAGAAGACAAATTAGAGCAATCATATTTTCTAAATTTGATTTACATGCTTTTCTCTCTAAATACAATCAAATTGATACAGGAATACACACTTTACGTGAGGTAAATTCAATTTGATATTCGATCTTGCAAATTTCACACTAAGTAAACAATTATTTATTTTATGTAACTATCCAGGTTTTAAGACACTCAATTCAAATATATAGTCTTACCTCTTCATGTACTTATCCAAGAGAACCTTTACATTTACAAGGATGTATAATGGGTTTATCGTTATCTTATTCAGTTTCAAGACATATTCGACATGATTTAATCTCTAATTGGTCAATAAATATGTGTTGTTAAACTTTCAAAGCTGATCTTGTTTGTTGGGATTCAATAGTTAATTTATTCATTATTAATAATATATTTTTTCATGACCTAATATAAGTAATGTTTATAAATAATTAGTATATACAAATAAATACATTATCATAATAATATAAGAATAGAATTCAAAAGTAGAATACTAATGTATAGTAATATTTTAGATTTAGTATTGATTTAAATAATACTGATATATTTAAATCATTAATAAATAGAATCTTTAAAATAATTAATTATATAAGCATACATTAGAATCCATTCTAAAATTAACTAAATCAGAAATGAACTAATAACCTATTACACTATTATGGCAATTAAATAATGTATATATATCTTATGATATGCACACTAATCATTATAGAAGACTCAACAATTGCATCTTTAACTTTGATTTTAAGCTTCGTTTGTTTTGTTGGTAAGGTTTTATTTTAATGGATTTTTTAATTATGGATTGTATTCATCTTTTTCAATAAGACCTAATTTATAATAAGAAAATGATACCTTTCTCAATTTTTTAGCAGATCTAATCAATCAAAGTTTAAAAACATTTATCTATATTTTCTCCAGTCATGGCACTTGTTTCAATATATAAAGCATCTTTATTTTTCATTTCTCTTTCAGCATGATCTTTATCTATTACTCTCTAGTCTTTCATATCTATTTTATTCCCTACTACAATAACATCTAGATCACTCTTTCCATTCTCTCTTGCATCTCTAATCCAATCATCTAATGCATCATATGAATCTTAACTAAAACAAATCAATTTATAACATACTTTGTAACATCATAAACTATAATTGCTCCAATCGTATTCTTAAAATAAGTTCTAGCAATTGAACGAAATCTCTCTTGTCCAGCAGTGTCCCATATTTATAATTTGATTTTCTTGCCCTTATATTCCAATAATTTGCACGAGAATTCGACTCCCACTGTTTATTGAACTTTCGTTTTTGCTATTAGTGTTGATCAAAATTATGATAAATATCTTACAAGTCTAAGTGATGAAGTATTATAACATAGAGGTCTTCCCAGTACTTGAATTTCCTATTATGATGAACTTAAAAATATATTCTGGATTCCACTCTTAATCACTCTAATTCATACTTAAATAAATAATAAATTAAAAACTTATCTAAATATCATTTTCCCCAGCCACTTTATTAATCCAATAAACTCCAAGACTATAACTACTATTATCAAAATTGTATAAAATGATGGTTATATTATAAATCAAAACACACAAATATCAAATACACTATCATTTAATTTTAAAACTATAATTAATCANATATAAGCATACATTAGAATCCATTCTAAAATTAACTAAATCAGAAATGAACTAATAACCTATTACACTATTATGGCAATTAAATAATGTATATATATCTTATGATATGCACACTAATCATTATAGAAGACTCAACAATTGCATCTTTAACTTTGATTTTAAGCTTCGTTTGTTTTGTTGGTAAGGTTTTATTTTAATGGATTTTTTAATTATGGATTGTATTCATCTTTTTCAATAAGACCTAATTTATAATAAGAAAATGATACCTTTCTCAATTTTTTAGCAGATCTAATCAATCAAAGTTTAAAAACATTTATCTATATTTTCTCCAGTCATGGCACTTGTTTCAATATATAAAGCATCTTTATTTTTCATTTCTCTTTCAGCATGATCTTTATCTATTACTCTCTAGTCTTTCATATCTATTTTATTCCCTACTACAATAACATCTAGATCACTCTTTCCATTCTCTCTTGCATCTCTAATCCAATCATCTAATGCATCATATGAATCTTAACTAAAACAAATCAATTTATAACATACTTTGTAACATCATAAACTATAATTGCTCCAATCGTATTCTTAAAATAAGTTCTAGCAATTGAACGAAATCTCTCTTGTCCAGCAGTGTCCCATATTTATAATTTGATTTTCTTGCCCTTATATTCCAATAATTTGCACGAGAATTCGACTCCCACTGTTTATTGAACTTTCGTTTTTGCTATTAGTGTTGATCAAAATTATGATAAATATCTTACAAGTCTAAGTGATGAAGTATTATAACATAGAGGTCTTCCCAGTACTTGAATTTCCTATTATGATGAACTTAAAAATATATTCTGGATTCCACTCTTAATCACTCTAATTCATACTTAAATAAATAATAAATTAAAAACTTATCTAAATATCATTTTCCCCAGCCACTTTATTAATCCAATAAACTCCAAGACTATAACTACTATTATCAAAATTGTATAAAATGATGGTTATATTATAAATCAAAACACACAAATATCAAATACACTATCATTTAATTTTAAAACTATAATTAATCAAAGATTGTGTAGTAACATAATAATAAGTAAATTTAACTTTTGAACCCTTAAATTGTTCATAAGATCTTGTATTTTCTTGAAAATATAAATAATAACTCACTAAAAATTCATCTAATATAACTAAAAAGATGCTTTTTGATATCTTCCTTATCTATGAAAAATCAATTAACTAATATTCATTCTTATTAGAGATCTTCAAAATAATAACAAAATTAAACCAATAACTGTATTATTATAATGAAAAGTATTATTGAGAAAAAAAATATAAGAATAAGGATTAGAAGAATAATTTGAAATTTCATTACAAAATATAATTATTCATTCTTTCATTTATATGAAAATCTTAACTTCTAAATATCTTCAGTAATTACGACAACTATTATTATATTCCTTAAAAAAAATAATAAATTGAAGTTAAGTTAATTTAAAACATTATTATTAATACGATTTTAAAGGAAGTTTTATTTACATTTCTATCATTCATGAATATTCTATCTTAAATTTGAGATTTCAATATTTAAAATCTAATGTTAATAAGTATTTACATACAAATTTGAATTGATATTGATATTCCTACATTTTTATATTTATCTTATAGTAATTAAAATAATTTATAGTGCTAAAACTTGAGACTAGGAATAATTAAATGTTGAACAACTCTAAAAAGTAGAAAAGTAAGCCTAAAAAGTTGTCAAAGTCAAAGGATTTAGAAGTGAAATCAAGATGTGATAGCGCTAATTTCAAATATGAATAGGCGGCATGCTAATATGAGTATTATATATTTTCATTTGATAGGTAAACTACGATAAAAAAGATTAAGAATGAAAAAGACATATCCCCCAGTTTAGAGGAAGAAATTCCTTTTAGTTCTTAGATATTATTATAATCAGATTTGTAGGATTATGATAAATTAATATGTGAGGAAGTTGTAAAAGACTTTACTTCTTTCACATTTAATAATTCATTAGAACATTAAATTAGTTAGGAAGATGAGTAAGAAACATTGTTAGAATTTATGAGAGAATAAGTAAAATACGAAGAAATTTATAGTTATAAAAAAAATTATCTCAATAATTAGAATGAAATTTAAAGTCATATGGTGCCAATACTATTTGATTGGCTTATCGAAGTTGCTCATTCATTTCATTTCAAAAGAGAAACCTTTTATTTATCTATTAATTATGTTGAAAGGTTTTTAATAAGACAACCAAATGTTCTTATATCTAAATTTCAACTTTTAGGAGTGGCAGCTATATTTATAGCTCATAAATGTGAAGAAATATATCCCAAAACATTAAAAGATTTTCATAGACTCATATAAGATCAATATACAATTTAAGAGATTGAGTAAATGGAAGTTTAAATATTGAAATCACTTGATTTTAGAATGTATCCAAACACTCCCATATTTTGGTTAAATTATTATACTAAATTATGGGATGAATTCATTGCAGATAAAGATCCTTGTATTATGTTTAAAGAAAGAACAAATGAAGCATATTATAGATATAGAGAATTAGTATAGTTATTTGATGTTTGTTTGATAGATTATCAATATAAACATAATGAAAAGTTAACTATTTTGAGTTTAATATATTTGGTAATTGCAAAATAATTATAAATATTTGATAATTATGAAACTATGGCTATATCATAATCAGAAATTTATGATTTTTTTCATTCAAATGAATAGGAATATAACAAATTGTTTAGATAATTTATACTCGAATCTGAGATATATTTAGAATTTGATAGATAAATCTTTTATGAGGATTTAAATGAAGTGATTTGCCAATTGGTAAAGTATTTCATCCTTCGATTTGATAACTCATTACCAAGAGTGTTACTAAATAACCAATAATTTATAGATGAAGTAATATATCTATGTTATAATATAGATGTAGCATGAAGAATTACTATCATTTTAGACATACAATAAAAGTACAATAGAAACTATAACAATTATTTCAAAACAAAATTAATGATTTAAGATTTCTTTATTTCAATAGATTAAACATATCTGTTTATTAAATATAATAATTTAAATGTAATTTCAATTATTTGATATTCAATCAAATCCATGATATCATAGTTATTTTCTATTTATAAAATTAATAAAACATGTTAAAATTAAATGATGAAAATGAAATACCATTTAATGGTGAATTTGAAGATAGTGAAGAAGAATCTGAAGAGTTTTCTGAAGAAGATTCAGATGATGATGAGTTAATAAATAAAAGAAAGAAAAAAAGAAAATAATTAGTTAATAATAACAAAAGATTGATAATGAATGTATCAGACACTTAATATGCTGCTGTTAAATTTGTGGGCAAAATCTTAAATAAGTTTAAGTTACAATATACTCCCTATTTAGAAACCTAAGTATGGGATTTTTGTTGGACTGATAATGCAGTGCTACCTGAAACTCTTGCTAGAATGTAAGGTAAAATATATTTAATTAAAAAATAGGCCATTAAAGAATTAATCATTTTCCTGGTATGTATTGTATTGCCAGAAAGAACTATTTAGGCAAAAATTTAAATAAAATGGCTAAACAATTTCCAGAGGAATTTGATTTTTATCCTAAAACTTGGATGCTACCTTCTGATATTTCAGATCTTAGATAAAACATTGGAAAAATTAAATATTTTATTGTTAAACCAGAAGCATCATGTTAAGGAAGAGGTATGACTGTTACAAATTATCAAAGGTATATTTTTGACCAAATAAGTTGAATCTATAGCATCTGAACATTGTGTAGTATAAAGATATTTACATAAACCATTGTTAATAGATGGTTTAAAATTTGATTTTCGTATGTATGTTTTATTAGCAGGTTGTGATCCATTAAGGTAATATGTTGTTAAGTATACAATAGAATATATCTATTTAAAGAAGGATTAGCAAGGTTTGCTACTTAACCATACTAATAGCCTAATCAAATGAATGCTGAAGAAATGTGTATGCATTTAACTAATTATGCAATTAATAAAGATAATCCAAATTTTGTATTCAATACAGATGAAAAATAATTGGATATAGGACATAAAAGAAGTCTTTCTAGTGTTTTTAAATTGTTATCTTAATAAACTAATATTGATGAATTGATGGCAAAAATCAAAGAATTAATTATAAAAACTTTTTGTTCAGTTTAACCATTTCTTTAATCTAATTATACTTAACCTGATAATTATGCTAATAATATGTGTTTTGAGATATTAGGATTTGATATCTTAATTGATAATACATATAAACCATATTTATTAGAAGTAAATCATACACCAAGTTTTACTGCAGATACTCCATTAGATGCTTTAATTAAAAAGAATCTAATAAGAGATACTATTACATTAATGAATATAAATTTAAAAGTAAAAAATGAACTTTAGTAATTGTAAAAAGAATAAATGTAAAAACGAGTCTTTGGTAAAAAACCTAAACTTTCGAATGAAGAAAAAAAATCTCTCAAAATATAGGCATAAATAGAAAGAGAACAATATGAATCTTAACACTTGGGAAATTTCGAAAAGATTTACCCTTGTGATAAATCTTATGATGAATATTTATAACATGCATAAAAAATATATGAAGAATGGACAGGAGCAAGTATTATATATTTTATCTTTAGATATCCGTAGAAATGTTAAAAAAGAAACTGCTACTGAGAGAGATAAATTACCATAACAAAGATAGTTATAACATTCTATAACAATATAAGGCTCTATTGATTCTAATAATAAACCATAGATGGATCCAGCTAAACCATCCATTCGAAAGAGTTTATATAAACATGTACATAGCAAAGTATTTTCTAATATCAACCCTTAAAAATCAATGACAGAATTACCTTAATAATAATAATAGATTGAATATAAATTATAAGATGGAAATGATAATGAAATTGCATCTGAGGATTAATAAAATAATAGTAAATAATAAGAAAAGATTGAAAGATCTAAAAGACCTCCTTCTTTTTATGTTATGAAATCAGTTAAATAAAGCTCAGAATTATAATTAGTAGACTTATTTAATTATAAAAGAATTAGTATTCCTGAAACTTCTCCTTAATCATAACCAATTATTTTATAATAGTAATCATTATAGATTTCATAATAATAATAATAATAATCTCCAAATTTTAAATCAGCTACTTAATTGGCTAGACATTTTTCCATTCGCAAAACTAATAAAAGTAAATTAAAACCAAGCGAAAGTGATTAAGAAGCCAAAAAAGATCTGATTCAAGCAGTTAATCAATATTCTTAATAATAATAATAATAATAATAATAATCCTTTTTCTAATCTTAATAATAACATTTTTAAAATTAATAACAATAATAGAATGGTTCTTTTATTAAACCAAAAGTATTTAACTTAAAATTGTAACCACCGCATTTTAAAATACCTTCTCTTCCAATATTAATGCAATAATAAAATTACTATAAATTTAGATATGATTGATATTAATTTGTTTTATTATTATTATAATCAAGTTAATGTCTTATATTTCATATATTTTAATGTTACTTTAAACTTTGATTATACATTTTTATTTATTTTTATATTTATAAAAATTCAATTCTAATTAATAAATATTAATCTAATAGTATAATTTAATTAAATTATTAATCATCATTTATTTATATATTTTTTTTAATTAGTTTGATTGCTACTTTATTTTATCGTCTATCTTCTAATTTACCTTATAAATATGAAATGACTGTCAATCTTGATCAAGAAAATGATTATCATTTAAATCATATTTAATTATGTTTTGAATTGTTTATTCCATGATCTCAAATGGATATGCTTTAAATATTATTTTATATAAATTAATGTAGCAATCGAATCCTATACTCTTGACAATTTCAAATATTTTAGATGAAATTATAAAAGAAACAGATACACTTGAGATAGAGTATAACTCTATTTTTCATGCAAATAAAGCTCCTTCAATTACAATCTATAATTACTTACAAAGAATAGCTAAATATACACATTGTAGTGAATAATGCTTTGTTATTGCTCTTATATACTTAGATAGATTGTAAGAGAAACATACATATCTTGTATTAAATTCCCATTGCATACATAGGTATATATCCATTTTATAAAACTAATATAAAGGTTTCTTTTAATGTCAATTATGACAGCAATCAAGTTTTAGGATGATGATTATTATAAAAATGAGTATTATGCCAAAGTAGGAGGAGTAAATCTCAAAGAAATAAATGTTTTGGAGTAAGAATTCTTAGAATATATGGATTACTAATTATTTGTAGATGATTAGTAATATGCAATATATGAAAAAAAATTGTAAGAATTTGGTGAGATTGAGATGCCATGACAATTTTTGAAGTGTATATTAATATTTGATTTTTTTGTTCTTTTTTAGACATAAATTCTCTTATCAATTCAAAAATAATTTATTTTTTTCTTTTAAAGATTTCTTTAACTTTATTTATTAGTTATTTATAATCATAAAAAAAGAATAGAAATATATATAATTATATTAACTATTGTTCATTTTGATAAAATAAAACTTTAAATTTCAATATTGATTGATCATATTAGATTGGAAATTAAATCTAATATTTTGTATGATATCCAGTGATCATATTTATCAGAAAATTGTTAAATAATTAATTTTTATTATGTTTCCATCTTTACATCAGCTATTTGTTTTGTACTAGAAATATAATTTGAATTTTAAGAAAAAAATTCATTAAAATGTTATACAACCAAATCTTTAAAGTCTAAATCGAAATCAAATTTATAGTTACTAAAGTGATCATTTGAAATTCTATTCCATTCTTCTTAAAATGTAGTTTGGATTCCATTAAAATAATCCAATAATGTTTTAAAACTTACTGTTGCTTCTATAAAACATTTATTAATAATATGATCAAATTCAGGTTTAGCTTTATCTTAATTCATTAAATTTTAATCTTGTTATACTTTGTTTTAAGTTTTATTATCTTAATAAACCTAATTTTTTTCTTAATTATTTTTTTTGTTTTTCACATGATAAGGATTAAATGTGTATGAAGTAACATTTTCTACAAACTATAATAGAAAGAATTGTTTAAGTTTTTCAAAAAACTCTTACTATGAATTTTAAATTAGTTCCTACCATTTTTTTTCAAGTTATAATTTCTATTTTTATTCATTATTTTCTTCTTAATTTTAAGTATGAGTTTAGTTAAATTCATTTGTAGTTTAAAATTCTTTTTGATTTTATTAATTATTAAGACTATCAGAATTCTCCTTATTTTGATTATCATTAAATATATTAATTTATTCATTCATTTCATTCTCAACTTTTGGATATTCTTAATTAATTTTTTAAGATAAAGTTTTAATATATCCATCTCCCTTCCAAAAAATACTATATAATTTGTTCTTCCATCCATTATTTTCTTAATCAATATTTCTAAAAAATTATAAAATAATTTACATTAGTTTTATTTGATATAAAATATCCTTTATTTTATCTTTCTTATTAAATTATATGGGATAATGAGAATCAATTAAACCCAATAAATCAAAAATCTAGTTTATTATTTCGCGTTCATCATCTTCACTTTTTTTTACAAAGGTATAATTTGTGAAATATATTTTCTTTATTTCAAAGCCGTTTGAAGAATTATCAGAATTCTATTTTCGCTAGAATTCAACAATTATATTTTATGATTGGATATTACCATGATGAAATTATTATTTTTAAAGTTAAAGATAATGTTCTAATATTGCAATTAAAATGTTTTTTATTTATTTCTTTTAAACATCGAAATATTTGTAAGTCTTTAAATAATATTTATTATATCATACTATCCCATTAATTAATATATTTAAAGGTATGCAATTAAGAAAATTAAATTAAATCCAAGCACAATATTGAGTAACATTTATAATATTTTTTTCTTTGTATTTTTCAAAAGTTTTTACTTCATTAATAAATGAATTTTATTGATTATTATTTTAAAATGTTTGTAGTCTCATAAATTTTGCATCTAGTCCATCCATATGATTCTTCTTAAATTCTATTATAATTATTATATAGTAATAATTAAAATCAAAAGAGATTTATAATTAATTTATAAGAAACTCACATATTTATTTAATTCAAATTCATTCTTTCTATAGATTGATCTAATTATAGATTCTTTGTGAATTCATTTTGACTCATAAACATATTTCCTTTTTTGTAATATATAATATATATTCAATATCTCAAATCTCTCTATTTTATAAGCATACAATCTTTTCATTAATATCATTACTTTTTCTTTAATATTTTTAACTATATAAATGTATACAAGAAATTCATGAATTTATCATATGATAAATAAGGATTAATATCATTTTACATGAATCATCCAAAATATCTATTTCTTCATATTTTTGTTTCTATTATTAGTTTTATATTGTCATTACTATTATCTATCTTATTTAATTCAATATTCCTTAAATTTATTTGTGTAAAAATAATATTACAAATAATTTCTATTAGAATTAAGGTTCATATCAAATAATTCTAAAACATAATTTGAATAGATAATTGATTAAATAATATATATATTTTTCATTATTCTAATTCATTTTGCAATATTCTTTCTTGGTATACAATAATTTTATTTGAATTAATACATAATACTATTAGAACTCCAATTATAATAAAGAAGAAAATAGCTCCAACTCCAAATTACCACCAAAAGTTTCTTCTTCTATTTTCTGTTACCCAGAATGTATAATCTGGATAATAATTATTAATGAAAAAGGAATTTCTGGAAAAATCAGATGTAAAATTATTAATAGCTACTAATTCTATTTGAGTAATATTGATTGCATCATTTATAGTTGAATTATTTATACATTCTACCTAATTGACAGTTATTTTAATTTAATTAGTGACATATAGATATTAAAATTCTGTTTCATTTACTTAATATAATATAGTTTGATTATTAGTAATAATTGGATTACTTATATTATATTTGGTTAGATTTTATATTCCTATAAAACCAACTGGGGAACCAACATGTTAATAAACTTTATTAGGGTTAAAAGCAACTTTGAGAGTTAAATCTTAAGTGAAATCTTTTAAAGTAGGTATACCATAGAGACCAAAGACATATTCAGGATCTCCTAATTCATTAGATTCAGTATAAAAGAATCCAACTATGGCATCACCACCAGAATAAACTCCTAAAGTTTTATATTTAGCAAAGGAAATGAGTTTATAAATAAAATCTACTGTAGCTGAACCACTTCTTTCAATGATTGGTAATGTTACTTAAAATAAATAAGAAGATGTAGTAGTAGATATCAAAAATGGTGTAGATAAATAAGTATTAGTTATCCAACCAATAGAAATTGAAGTAACACCTAAAATTTATAATCCATCTAAATAATATATAATATTTAAATACTTGGCAATGAAGATTAATAAGCTCCAAATTTAGCAATTGTTTTGTATTAAAATTATAATACTGAATTTTCATATAAAACAATTACTCCTGCATCCATTTTAGCTAAGAATTTCAAGATAGTCTCTTTATTGAAGATAGTTTTATTTCTTTTAGAATTTTACATTTCCAAATCTTCAGTATCAACTATAAATAATGAGTAACTTTTTAATGGATAAACAAAATTGTATTAAGTAAGATTTAGTAATTATAAAGTTGCATTTGATGCACTCACATTAACAGTCAAAATAAATTTACTATATTGTAATGCCAATGTATTATATTGGAATTAAGCAGATATTAAATTAGGGTATCCTTGTTCTTATTTTAGAAGTGTGTATGCTGAAAAACCTAAGACTGTTCTGTTATCTGAATCAGTACCATTATAATAATAGAAATATGTGTCATCTTAGTTAGAACATACTGTAATTAAATATCCAGTATCAGAGGTAATGAATGAGAATATGCAAGTAGCATCAATATAAGCAGGAACAGTATATAAAAATAGTGCTTCCATATCATATAAGATATACATAGCTCTTCCTGATTAAATGAAGGTTTGAACTGTATCTTAACCTGATATTATACCTGATGTTACAGAAGTATAAACTAAAGAGAAATTAGCTTATTGTCTTGTTATAGGTTAAACAACACTATTATTAATCACTTAATGTTTTTTATCTCTTTAATAACAATCAATAAAACCTTCATTTAAGTCTTTTCTTATTCCTATTTTATTGATAGCTGTATAATTAGATATATAACCAAAAAAGTAATCAGCAGGATTAATATTTAAATAGAAAATTGCACCATAAGTAGAAATAGGAGAAAATGCTTAATTTTCCCTTTCTATAATTCCTATTTCTTATTTAGTTGATTTGATTTATCTTGTAATTTTGGTTGCTTAAGGTAAAGTTTGATTGAAATTATTATAAGCAATAACTTAAAGTTCAAATTAATCAACTCTATTTTATTATATATTTGGTGTATATAATATATTGGCCTCTTTAAATAATTAAATTTGTTAAATTGTGTTAGAAGTACTAGATGTCAAAAATAACAAATCATAATTGAATTCCAATTCTTTATCATGTAATTAATTGTGTCCTCTATTTATAGATATGATATTTAAATTAGTTGGTAATTATTCTAAATTGATAATTTAATAAATTTATGAATATTCAGTTATTGATGGATTTAATACAAATAATTAATATTAATTTCCTGTATTTGTCTTTACAGTTACATAATATTTATCATTATTAGATATTCCAGTTACAAATGGATATTAAATAGAGACTTAAAATTAAGATAATGATACTATTTAATATTATGCAGATTACTTATATACAGGACCATAATACAAAAATTAATAAGGATAAAAGTAAATGTTTTATGTAGTAATATTTCCAGTTTAGGAAATTTAAATTAAATAAATTCCTTCTCTTACTAAACCAAGATTGATTTATTATTATTAATAATTATTTGGATAATTAAATTTTACAAATATATTATATTGATATCTCTTTTAAGTTTCTTCCTTAATATCAAAATTGTTTTTACTATTCTAAATCATCAACAATTCAAATTAATTATCAACAAAATAAGTATCATTGAATATATAAGGATTCATAAATACTTATCTAGGACTAAATAAATTTCCAGAAATTGTATATTAATGAATTAATAGTTTATCAACACAAATTATAGAATTAGGAGTATTTGTTAATATTATCAATGCTTCCTAAACATAATTAACACTTTAAATATTTATGGTAGGTGGTATATCTTTAGCAATTTTAGTTATCATTCTATTAACTTATAAAATCTATTCCATCCTATTATAATCATATGAATAAGAAAAGATCTAATTTTATAATGCTATTGCAATATGAATTAATAAATCTGTTTTATATGCACTAATACCAACAACAGCAGCAGAGAAATCATCTTCAATAACATAGGATATTTGACATGCTAAGAACTTACATTTTTCAATTTGTATTTTTTTAAATGAAGTAGTTAATTAAGTGAAAACTAAAAATGTATCATCATCAACTTAAAATGTATAAGTAAATGCAATCACATGATTATTTCCTACAATATCAACTTAATTTATATAAAGTAATGTAGCATTTGGTTATAAAGTTTCAATTGTATCATTTTCTTATTATTTTTAAGTTATTGAAATCTTATATTATAAATTACTACCAAAAAATTAATCACTTATAGGCAATAATTTAGATTAAGAATTAAATAATAAAATTGGTTCAGCTTTTTATTCTGTTTTTGTTAAAGCTACAAAATTATAAGTATCATTAACATTTAATAATTCATACATAAAAGTGCAAACACATTAAGTTCCATCATAACTTTATGCATTTATTGAGATCTAAGTTGGTACATTATAATTTGCAGAAAAAGTCTTTAAGGAATACAAATAGGCCATCTATATTTAATATGTATATGTTATTAATGGTTAAAATACAAAAAATTGTGATTAAAAACCATTAAAAATTGATAATAATGCTGGAGTTTATGAGTAATATAAAAATCCATATTAAATCTTTTCTTCTTTTAAAACATATCTATTCTCATAAATCACAAAACCATTATCATTACTGATAATTGAATATAATAAACTAACTTTTACTGATAATCTTTTATTAGTATCAAAACCTTTAGGTAAACTAGGCTTTTAGTTTGATTACAAATTAGAAGTTGAATAGAAATCAAGTCCCTTTTTGGTTACTATTGTCATGAATAAATTATATTCTCCATTTGTATATGATTCTCTATATACTCCCATTCCTTAAGCTTAGTCTAATACCATCATAACATTCCTATGAATTTTCTTAGAAAAATCATGAATTACCAAAGAATCAAAAAACAATAAGTAAACTAATATTACTAAATTAAATTATTACTTTTATCAGGATCAGCCAAATAGGCTCCATAGGCAGCTTTGTTATGATGACCTGAAAAATACACAGTCATTTTTATTGGTTCATGGAGTGATCTCTAAAATTCAACTTTGTATATATGAACAATAGTTTCAGGGTTAAAGTAATTTGCATGAACAACAGCAGCATAGAATTCCTCTAAATATGTATGAAATTTAAATAGATACTTTCTTAGTTATTCAGTATTTGTAAATATGAAAATTCTAATTAATTAGCTAATACATATTCATAGGGAGACTGAATAAGAACTGGTAAATATTTGGTTACAGCAATTTTGAATATTGTGATTACTACTCTTTAAAAAAAGAAAAATATTTAAAATCCTTCTTTTCTTGTAACACATGATACAATTATATCATTATCAAAAACATAGGCAACATTTGTGCAAATTGCAGTTTAAGTGCCTAAAATGAATTAATGAATACTTGAAAATGAAGGAGTTAATTTAGACCAAGTAGGTGTTTTTGTATTTGATTATACTTCGTAAACAAAATATTCATTATTTGTTGATACTAGAGCCACAAATTGATCTTACTAATAATTAGGATTAGACCAGTTGAAATACGCTGCGTCATCTATAAAGATGGTGTTCTCTATAATTATTCAATGAAAATATATACCATCAAACTATGCTGACTTTAAAGTTTATTTACTCATCTTTGTAGTTTATGAAACACCAAATTGATATGTGCCATTAATAGAGTAATTTAAACCCTACCCATGAAAATATTTATCAATTGGTTATAAAAAGGAATTAGAATTTGATGGATAAATAATTTCAGGATGATCAGGGTTCACCTATACTATATATATATTTCTTTACTTCACAACTAGTAAATCCCATAAAGACGTCTTGAATCTATAACAGAAACAACAATAATATCATTTATTAAAATATTGATTATTTTATTGCATTTCTTTTAAAGTAGTAAATGTTGAAATCAATAATTTTTATACAAAAGCATTAACTGTTTGATATCGAATAGATGCAAAGTGCATAATCAAAAAGGATTCTAACCAAATAGAGTCCATAATCAATTAAGTCCAATAAACTTAAATTATCATTTCATCAAAAGAATGTCAAACTCATAAACATAAATGTCAAAACTAAACTACGATCTCGTTCTTTTCCAACCTTATTTAACCCTTTTAAATATATAGAAGTTAAAGGTATCACTAAAAAATAGTCTATTCTCCACACTCAACACTCCTTGAGTTCATAAAAATACATTCGTAAATCTAGACCTTTGATAATGAGTGAAAAAGACCTTGAAAAACAACACTAACAGTAAACAAAAGAATTATTTAAACAAAGAAGAAGAAGTTGTGAATGTGAATTTTGTGGACCTTTAAGCAGATTCCAGAAATAATGTATGAATCATGAATTCAGAGTATAACATTTAGAAAAAGAAAGAGAATCACCTATGCATAAATTTCAAAGATCTATTAGAAAACATTAAATTTATGTTATGGCACCTTATCTTTTTGCTGTTGAGATACCTACTGAACCATTTGAATCATCCATCATTAGATAAAATACTATCAAAATTGAAAAAAAAAATACTCAATTACTTGATGTAATTAAATAAGAAGATCCTCTTTAAATTAATTCTTCAAAAATCTTAGATCGAACTCCAACTAAAAAACCAAGTTTTTTTGAATCCTTTTTAGTCAAATAAAAAGAAATTATCAATAGTGAAAAAAGTAAACTAATCAATAAATAATTTTCATCATTATCTTATCATCTTTTATCTAGAAATGCTTATAAATCTATTAAACCATTTAAATCATAACTTCCTTAAATTCAAACATTATTGAATAAATAAGAGCCTACCCTATCTACTGAAAGAAGTGCATATAAAAAATCTGAAAAAACTATTAAGGAACTTTACATCAAACCATTCATTCATAAATATTCATCAAGAATCAGATTAGCCACACTCCCAGACTTAATTCCAAATCATATTTAATGATTATCTTTATGTTTATTAATTAGTTATACATTTTATATCAATTAATGTATTTTATTTATGAATCATAATCAGAAATTAAATTAATACTGAATAACTTTATTATTACATAATTAAACAATAAGAATTTTCAAAAGGAAAATATATGTACTCTCCTTATTTTAATATGTGATATAATTTCATTTTCTGTATATTTTCTCAATTATTTGATCTTAAACTTTTATAAGCACTTTGCATGAGAATAAGTAATTATAAAAAATTCATTTGGATTACCTTAATAAACTGTTTGATCACTTGAATCTATATCTTATATTGTGTCTATAAACCATATAACCTTAATAATTAGGGTATAAATCAATAGAGAATTATATCTTTATAGTTAAATTTGATTATTTAAATAAACCTAATTTAAATAAAATAAAACTATCTTATACATTGTTATATAATTCATTGCAAAAATAAATGTGATTTGAACATATTTGAAGAAGTATAAACAATCATCATATAAGATTAATATTCTTATTTTACTAAATTACTATGTTTATCTATCTTTAAATATATGACTCATTAATTATTTAATCATATTTTATTATGCTATAATATAGTTTATTTATATTTTTATAATTATTTTTTATCGAAAAGGAAAATTAAAAATGATATAAATCACTCTTATATCCATGGACTAAAACCAGTTGTTTAAAGGGCAACTGAATTATTTTTGGGTACTTATACTTTTGGCAATATCTTTTTATAGTTTTTTTCTCTTCTTTCATTAAAGTAATATTATTATTTTTTATTTTATGTTTCTTCAACATTTCTTCTAAGTACTCTTAATTACAATTAACCATATTGCAATGCCCCAATTAATGATGGTTTTTCTTGTTGTTTTATATTTGGTAATTTAATCTATTCTTAACTTAGATTTGCATTAAGGAATGATGAACAATCAGTTGAACAGGATGAATGTCTATACAATCTTAAATTTCTATGCATATATTAAAATTATACAATTTATAATAATAAATATTATAAGTGTTATATTTAATTCATTTTTATTTATGCAGCAAGGTGATTCTATGAACATTTTTTAATAAACATTTTTATCTAATTTTTCTTTTTAATTCACTATCAATTTATAGATCAGGCATATTTAATAATGGTTAAGATAAAGTTGGAGATTCAAAAGGTTTCCTTCTACCAAATTTATTGTTCTAACAATAGATTTCATTACTAGTACTCTCATTTCCAATCATAATTCTACTTACTTAAAGAGATGGCAATTTTAGTTTAAAGTTTTTCTTACTTTTAAAATAAAATGGAACAACTTGATCTTAATCATTTGATTCAGTATTTATAAATTTTAAAGCATTATTTTAAAATAATTCTAACTTCCTTGAGCTCACATTATTAATGTTTAATTTATTCATATTATTAATAATATTAATTGACTCTTATCGATAATCATAAATGAATTAACTAAATGGTTAGTAAATATTTAAATATAAAACCATATATAATATCATTATATGACAAAATCAAGATATATAGCACGAACAACTATCACTAACATCTTATTCTTAAATAACATTATAATCTTTCCAATTATCTACTATGTTAACATCAATCAAACCAATATTTGGTATAACATCATCTCTAAAACTAATTTAATGATTCTTATCATTTTTAAGTATTTAATGATGAAACATGTCAATTCTAGTTTTTTATTAATTTTGTTTTGAATTATTCTCTGATGTCATTTTTTCAAACATCTCATTAAGATCTTCCAAATCAGTCCAACTATCTCCATTACATTATGAGACTTGAATCATTTTTTAGTTATAATTTTGTATTATTAAATATTAAACAATATTTCTCATTAAATATCAATTCTAAATGTTGTAAATAATATCAAATATCAAAAAGTTATAAAATTTACTTTCTTTAATCTTCTCTCTCATATTAACTTTATTTTTTCTCCAGAAATCTCTCTAATAATTTAATAGATTCCAAATCATTCTAATTAATTTTATCAAAAATAAATTATGATTGTTTTGTTGAATAAACTTATTAATTTGTTTAAGGATCCAATAGAATTTATGTTGTTTTTGCTTTATTTATCACTAATTCTTCAAATTCTGACTATTCTAAAATTAAAAAATTTTAATTGCCTTAATTAATTTACAAATTTTGATTTTCTTCCTTTTAGTTAATTTATTCTTAAAATGATGCATCATCCAATTGAATCTTCTCTGGTTAAATTGAATTATCAAAACCAAATTATTATAAAGTCATATTCTATACTTCAGATATCTCTGATAATGATTTTTAAAAAACTGAATCTGTAATCACTTGTTATTAAACTGAATCCTCTTAAAATGATATTTAGTTTTATTAAATTTAATTTTGTTCTTATTTAAATTATTAACCAAGATAATTTTAATATTATTATTAAGATTTTAATTGCTCTTATTAATATTATTATTAGCTCTATTGATATTAAAATTATTGAATTTTTTATTATTATTATTATTATTATTATTATTATTATTATTATTATTATTATTATTATTATTATTATTATTATTATTATTATTATTATTATTATTATTATTATTATTATTATTATTATTATTATTATTATTATTATTATTATTATTATTATTATTATTATTATTATTATTATTATTATTATTATTATTATTATTATTATTATTATTATTATTATTATTATTATTATTATTATTATTATTATTATTATTATTATTATTATTATTATTATTATTATTATTATTATTATTATTATTATTATTATTATTATTATTATTATTATTATTATTATTATTATTATTATTATTATTATTATTATTATTATTATTATTATTATTATTATTATTATTATTATTATTATTATTATTATTATTATTATTATTATTATTATTATTATTATTATTATTATTATTATTATTATTATTATTATTATTATTATTATTATTATTATTATTATTATTATTATTATTATTATTATTATTATTATTATTATTATTATTATTATTATTATTATTATTATTATTATTATTATTATTATTATTATTATTATTATTATTATTATTATTATTATTATTATTATTATTATTACTATTAGTATATTTATTAATTTTATGGCAGAATCTAAAACTATTAATGTATTGAATATTATTCTTATGGTTATTATTAAAATGTTTAAGTCTTATTACCATAATAACTTTGAGGCATAGGTGGATAATTATAATTTGAGCTATTTTCAGAAATAATTGGTTATTATATTGCTGATAGTCCATAGATTTATTGATTTTAAACTTATGGAGCATATATCAATGAATTTTATTATTAATATGAAAAATTATTAATTTAAGGATTAATTTGTAGTTAGGATACTTGGGATATTAGAGATGAACAATTATTTTATTAATTTATTGTTGATGAAATTTAAGATTATTAATAAGAATCAGTATATCCTAAAATTTTAGGTTGAGGTGTTACAGAATATGAATTTGATTATGATGTAGATAATATGGATTAATTAGGTATATTAGAAAATGAAGGTTTTTTTTATTATTTCTTAAAATCAAATTTGATTTTCCCTAAATTCTTATATCTTTACATATTTCTTTATATATTATAATATTTATTTAAATCTATTCCTTTCTACTTTTAAAATTGATCCATATAATAACATAATAATTCTTGGAATTTCATTAATTTATAAGCTCTCCTTGCAACAGTTTTAGTACAATCAATTTAATTATAATGTTATAAACAAATATTAAGTTCTTACATAAACTAAAAAAAACTGGGAATATTTGTAATAAATGATGACAAGTACTTAATAGTTGAGATGTAACATTTTAAATCATCAGGTTAACTTTCAAATGATTATTATAAAGAAATATAATCTAATTTGATTAAAAATTATGTTATTGCTCTTTATAGTATAAAATAATTACTCCTTTAAGTACTTCTAAATAAGTAAAGATTAATATTCTATTGCTAGCTTTTCAATTTGTTATTTAATGTAAGAAATTTCAGATTATTAAATAACATTACTAATTAAGTAAATTTCTTATTGATTTAGTCTTTGCTCTAAAATTTATATATATTAGGCTTGCTCTAAAAGTACTTATGAGGCTAGGATTTTCAAATTTTAATTAAGCATCATAAATTATAGAATTTAATAATAATAAGATCTTTATTATAAATTAATATTTAACTATTTATGGAGTGACAGATCAAATAACCTAAATTCTTTACTAAAAATATATGAGATTTAAGAGTTCTGCTCTTTGATATATAATAAAATAAAAACTCTAATTAACATTAGAGTTTTTATTTTATTTTAGAAAATTTATTTTATTTAAAATTAGAGAGGAGGAATAATAATAAATAGATTATTAATTTATAAGTTAATATTGAATATTTAATAATTATCTAAAATACATTTTAATGATTATATCAATGTTATTCTTCTGGTTCTATAAGTATTTTATTTTATAATTTACCTATTGGTTAAATTAAGGTTGGTTTTAACTAATTATAATGATTAATAATTTACTGAATTGAATTTTATATGATTATCTTAATCATGAAATTCTTTCTTTACAATTTCTTCAAATAACATTTTTAAAGAAATTAATCCAATAACTTTTTTTAATAATTTATCTTCAATAATTTAAAAATTAGGACTTCTTGAAGTATTAGTTTAATCAATTTTATTAGTCTCAACTACAAATGCAATTTTAGTTTTTTTTTATTTAAATATCATTAACATTTCAAATAAAGAAGTCTCACTTGAAATAAATAGAACTGGTTTTACAAGATTATCTAATTCATATATAGTTTTTTTAGTTAATTCCATATCAATTAATTATTTTGATCTAATAGTGCCAATAATATTTTCCTTCTAATTCTCATAGATAGTAACATAAGAATAACCAGATGATGCTATTCTTGCTAAAGTTTCTTTATTAAGTTCATTATTTTTGTTAACAGAAAATACATCTTTAATAGGAACCATAACTTATCCAATAGTTTTATCCCTCAAATCAATAGTAGATGTAATCATATTAATTTCTGCTTATGTGAATCCTTAATCTTCATTTGCATGACCACCTCCAGTTGCATGTTTTTGTATTCCATGCAATTCAATTAATGCTTTTAATTCATTTTTTTAGAATCTAGTAGATCCATGCTCACCAAAATATGAATCTAACATTTTAGCCAAAGGATAGCTGATTGGCCAAAATAAAATCATTAATACTTTAACTATTGGTGTTAATTTTTCAGCAATAATTAATTATTTTGGTCCAGTACATAATGCTTAAGGAATGATTTCCCCAGCAAAGATAATAAAAATGACTGATATTAGTACTGCAAATGCTGGAGGAACAACTTTATCAAAAAATATAGGAAGTGATTCCATACAGAATGCATTTCCTATTAATAATGTACAAAGTAGCATATGATGCTATTTGATGATTGGCAATATAACATTTGCTTATCTTTGTTATTCATGTGTTCCTTATTCTTTATATATTTCTAATTGTAATTCATCAACTGATAAATAACCAACAGTCATTCCAGAACAAACAGCTGCCAAACAGATTAAAACTATTATTTTGAGATGTATATAAACTTGCAGCAATTAATAAACAAATCCAAAAATCAATTTCCCCAGGAGAAAATGTTCTTCTTACTTTTCTATGTTAATCTTAATTTTATTATTCAATTTGATCCTTAGATATTTCATCTTGTGATAAAAATCTTCTATATTGAATAATATTTTCAACATTATGAAATACTACAAATATTAACAATGTTATTGATATTGAACTAATAAAGAATTTTTATTTATCAAACATTAATTAATGAAAAGTTAAATAGGTGAAATAAGAATGAGTCCTAGATATATTAAAAATATGATGATGTTCAAATCTTTCATGACTAGTTATAATTTATTATAATATTCTTAGAAACCTAACCTACTATTAATCCAGTAATGTTAAGAATTTATGGTAAATTGAATGCTGAAAGAGAGATTATTAATAATTAAGAAGTTAAACATAGACCTAATACTCAAAAAAGAAAAACTAAAAGACCAAAAATGAATTCAGATGATAAAGTGTTATTCTTAATTTAGAAGGATTTTGAAAGAGAGACAAAATAAATAAAAAAATTAGGGAATCATACTGCTAGAACTGAAGAGCTATAGAAATCTATCCATAACTAATTAATAAACAAAAATTCTAATTCAATTTCAAGTTTAATGAATCAAGAATTTGATGTTAAATTAGCACCATCATATTATGAATTATTGAATACAATTTAACCAGAAATGAATTTCAAAAGTAAATTATCATTAAGAGAACCTTTGAGTAAAGCTAAGGCATTATTATCTTAAACAGAAGAGAAAAAAAGAATTTATGAATCTTAAATTAGACATTAAAGAGATTTCTTTAGATAACCTACTTTAACTGATTTTCCTTCTTTAGTAAAGAAAAGAACAACAATTAAAAGTATATTTGAAGATCCAAGAAATAAATTTTAAGCTAATCAATTTATTAACAGTATTAGCTAACATTGTAAATCAGAAAGTACTGAATGTTGTAAAATACTTCATTAATGTTCCAAAGCCCAAGGAAGATTTAATAGTCATTATGAAGAACTTCTAGATAATTACTTCACTTAAATGTGAAATATCATGAGTCTAATTCTGTTTTTCTCTTTGTTATTATTTTAAATTAATTCTTTATACTATTTCAAAATTAAATATATTCATTTTATTTTGTATTCTATCAGTATACTTTAATTTAAATATTAAGAGAAAGACATATTAATAAATCTATATAATAAGTATTTATAATAATCAATAATATTAAACTAATTCATCATAACGTTATGATTGATTCCATGGTTATAAAACAGATTATTAAATAAATGGTGTTAATATTGATTATTAGATTGGTTACTGAGTTTATTATTAAATGAAACCATACTATGGGAATTATTATTATTAATATTGAATTCTGGAAGGAGCATTAGAAATAGCTTGATTTTTAAGCACAGTTTCATATTTTTACAATTATTTAATAAATCCAACATTCGGATTAACTTATCTTCTTTTAGATTTTACATTCCAAAGTGCTTTTTCGAATGATAAATTATATTTTTTCATTAAATAAGCTGTAACCATTGATGCAGATCTACTTATACCTGCAAAACAATGTACAAAAACATTTGTGTATTTTCTATGTCTATCAATAAATTCATAAGCTTATTCAAAGTGTTAAATGATATCATAATCTGCTTTATCATGAGCCATAATAATTTCATGAAAATGAACAACATGTTCTTAGTATTTTACTGCTGTCTCTTGACTTGCTGTCAATACTGCTCTAATTTTCAATTTTCTTAATAAATCAACATTATTTGCTGCTTACAAATTACCTAAATATAAACCTCCCTCTTCTTCACCTAAAATTGTCAATTGATTTATTTACTAGGTTCAATAATACAAGTAATCGGTTCAGGATCAACTATTTTAGGAACTGATGGAACATATTTAACACTATTATTTTCAAACATTATTTAACTGATAATTTAATTTAATATAATAATCATAATCCTTCTAATTTTATTTATTTTTTGATATAGACTGTATTATGTTTACATAATCCTTAAATAGTATTATACATATTTCATCAAATTATTAATCCTTTGTTTATACTTAAATACAATCTGGGATTTCTAGATTTGTTTAGCAATCCTTATATTTATTTAACAATTTATTCAATCAAACTCTATCTACTTAAAATTAAGATGAGATATAGATAGACTTAATTCTTAGTTGCATACTTTATTGTTACTATTAAAAAAGTAACTATAGATTTTACAATATCTCTTTTCTCAATAATTTGATCAGAATATAATAAATTAAGTAGATTAAGAGAATATGGATTAGAATGTATTTAGAAATAAGAAAAGAACCAAATTGAAATTGTTTGATAGAAAAATTTTAATAATAAAATATTTAATGATATGTTTACTTGAAAACCAAAACTATTCAATCATTTAAGTGAAATCTTAAAATTATTGATATTATAAAAAAGATTTTATATATATTTAATTTTTAATTATTTGTTTTAATGCAAGACACATAAATATCTGAAGCAATCACATAACTTGATTGTATTAAAAAGAAAATTCACAAAATTAAGACTCATAATGAAAAATTTCAAAATAACATGAAATTGTGTCCATTCCCTCCAGGATTCCATAATACATCTCAAAATTTGAGTCCTATAAAGCTTCAGATACCCGTAGCATCATTAAATAACAAAGACACCATTTTGGAGGAACTTATTTTATGGGATTTTGAAGATGATTATTCTGATGAATAATTATTCAGAAATCTCTTTTCTATAGTAACAGATCTTTTAGAAGAAAAATATCCTAACAAAATAGGAAAACTAACAGCTTCATAAGCACAAAGTAAATATTTTATTAATTGTTTTAGAAATTATTGAAGACTGTTTATCTTAGATTAAATAAGCTATTGAAGATCATAAAAATTTGAAACATTTATCAGATATATTAATATTTGAATCATATATTGATAAAAATGATTCAATGATCAATTTATAGATATCAACATCTAAATTCAATGAAACTATTTAATGGGATTTAGACAATGCTTTTTAATAGTACTTATTTAACACTACAATATAGTATTGATGAATTTGTATATACCTATTGTTATGAAAATAAATTAGGTTTGGAAAATATTGTCTAAATTGGAAATTAAATTAGAGAATAAATATAAAAATCATTCGAAAAAAGGTATAACATAATATCAAAATTCATTTTAGAGGATAGATAAGGTAAAAATAATTATTAAATATTTAGAATTTAAATAGAAATTGCTTTCTCTCTTAGATTATCCCTCTTTTGAACCATATCAACCTATAAAAGAAACACCTTCCAATAATGAATTAAATACATTCTTTAAGAAAAACCTTGATGTATTGCCTCCTGAATTATAAATTCTATATGGGCAAAAGCCAATATAAAAATAATTGTATAATTTTCTATATTATCTCTATAGGAATGATATGTATGTTGATTAAGATGATACTAAAAAGTTTGAAAAAGAACTTAATTAGAAATCGAAATACTTTGACAAAGTTATTGTTTAGGATTTGCTCAATAGATCTAAATAAATTTGATGTAGATATTAGTAATTTTATGTTTATTAATTAAACTAATTTAAGTAAACTAAAATAATACATTAAAGAATACAAATATTGAAATTGTCATTAACATTAAATAAGAAATATATATACAAAAACAAAAACCTAAGAATATATAAATAAATGCAAAGTATTGGAATCGATTTTTCAAAACTAAATTAATATTGATTTCACTTATATTCTTAACATGCATCAATCTGACTATATTTTTCAGTTTCCTTATTTGCTAATTAACATGCCCACTATACTATATTTCTTTCAATCATCTCATGAGCTTTAGATTCAAATTTATCATCTACAGTCACCCATGGAACATAAGTTAACTTTGGGTCTAAATTTAAAGTCTCTATTCCATTTTCCCATAATAATTCTATTCCTTAAGTACCATTAGCACATTCTAAGACTCCCTCCCATAAATCAGGAAGACATTATTTAATTTCAGATTCGAAATCTTCTTTTTATCTCTTTCTTGTTTTTTAAATACATGTTAAAAATCTAAGTTATTCAGTTTAAGAAGAGAGGACATTAAATCCACAAGCTTATAATTTATTACCAAAACATTCTAAATCTCCATGTTAACATTTGAAAACGATACCACCATTACTTTATTCATTTTATGAAGCCTTTCCATATGGAATGAATCTTAGCTCAACTAATTCATCAAATAATGGTGTTTTTAATGCTTTCAATAAAGATGATTAAATAAACCTTGTCGTATCAGGACATAATGATTCAACTAAAAATAATATTTAACTATTAATACTATACAATGAAATCTTAATCTTTTCAGAATATGAGATTTAAAGTGTTGAAATTAATAACAATAGAAAAATTCTCATCCTTTATTATAAAAATAATTGATTATATTATTTGTGAAATATTATCAATTAAAATCAACATATCAATATATAGATTATTATTTATACAATATAAAGAAGATATTTATTGTTTAAAGAATGAGAATTTAATTCAAAATTTTTGTTTCATGTTTTAATTTAATTGTAGTTTTAATTATTAAGAAATGATATACAAATATTATATTATTTACTTTGAATAATTTAAATAATGAACACCTATAAGGCTGTGTATTTATCATTTTATTAATTCAATATTACTTATTTATTTACTATTTCATAATTTTTAAAATCAATATTATAAATAAGTCACCTAAAATTTTGAAGCCATTACCTTAAATCAACTTGGAATATTATAAAAAGAAGTTATATTTGTTAATCTAATTCGTTTATTTTATCCTTTTAATCATTGCTTCAATAGATAAGTTTAAATCCATTTAAATATTAAGTTTATTGACTCCTGTCAGAATTCTTTACAAATAATCAAATTTGGGACTAGCAATCTCCGAAAAGAATTCAATAATCTCATTAAATAATAGTGTTTAATTTTTCTTTCTTTTTACATCAATAACATGTCTCATAAATAAAAAAATTATAAAAGAAAATTTTTGTTATTCTATTAGTTTAAATTAATAAAGAAATAGACTAATTAAGGCGGATAAAAAGAAATTTTAATAAATTAATAAAAATAAAAATGAAATAAAATAAAAGGGCGGCATAATATAAAAAAAAGCCTTCACAAGAATAGAAATAGCTAATTATACTCCAACTTATTCTAAAGATCAAGACAATTACAGAATTAGTTATGGAGTATGAATTATCTAAATCTACCATTTATTCTTATTTGAATGCTAAAGGCCCCATGTATCAACCATTAGAAACAGCTATCTAAGAAAATATGCGAAAATGGTTGAACATGAGCTTTTAACGTTTAAATAGTTATAAATGTGATCGTCTTGTTAGAAAGGATATTATATTTTACCTCTAAATGGAAGAATTTTTTTAGAATTCGGATAGTAATCCTTTCTAAAGTTTAATTCCCATTTCTAAAATGAATTCCAAGAGGTTTAGACTATTTTAGAAACTTCTTCAGTTTAGCTTAGCATATTTTGAAAGCTTAAAAACTAATTAAGCTTCTTTAATATAATAACCAATAGATTAATCTATTGTGATAGAAAATAACAATCTTTAAGTTAATTAAGAATTAATTACTTAAAATAATTAAATGTAAGAGACTGAGACTTATATTGAATATGAATCGTTAGAGGAATTAATGGATAAGTTTAGAGATCATGACTCTTACTCATTTTGTTGATTTATTATATTATATATACATATATATCATAACTAATTACTAAATTCCATATTTTTATAAATATATAAAAATTTATTTAAAATTATATATTTTTGGTTATAAAAATATAATGAGTGAAGAAGAGTAATAATTATAATCTGGAAGTGGAATAAAATAAGAAGCAGCAATAAAACATAGAAGAAAGAAAGAGGAGATAGAGAAGGATTTCATTTGTGGTGATCCAAATTGCGGTAGAAAGTATGGGACTAATGCTGCCTTGTATACTCATATAAAAAATAAACATAATGGTGTACCACCTGTAATACATTTAGATTTTATTTAGATAGACTGGAACTGTTAAACCTTCAACATCAAAAAAGACTAAAGAATAAACTTCTATGATTGATTAAGTGGATGATGAATTAAGCAAATCAGTGGCTACTATGAATGATCCTGATTTTATGAAGTTCACTATAATGATTAGTAATTTGGGTCATTTCAATGATAAAAACATAATAGTTAGAGATTCTCAAGAGCCTTGTTTTTAATTGGAGGAAGAAAAGTTGTTAGATTTATATGAAAAAGTAAAATAAAAATATAAATTTTAGATTTTGAAAGGAAGTAAATTAATTTCAGAAACTTAAGGGAATTCTGTATTTACTAAAAAAGCAGAGATGTATTTGAAATTTTCTTCTCCCATTTGGAAAAAACATATAATAAATGAATTATATACTGTGTTGATATACGCTTACATTTTTAGAGGAGAAAATTTTGATAGTAAAAATGATGGTTAAGCTTAGCTATTGAAAAGGATATAACAAATAACTTGGCTAGTTATAAATTGTTTTCAGAATTGATTAAATAAGATAAAGTGGATTAATTTAGAGAAGTATACACTACAATCTGGAATTTCATCACATGAATAAAATTGTATAAATATAAATATTATAACAAAAATATCATTTATATATCCAAATATATTGGAATCAAAATATAAGCCAAGTGTAAAATTGTATCCTGTATTAAATATAATAGGTATCATAAAATAACTGTTCTAAGAAATGTAAGGAAAGCTAATAGAACATTATATAAAGTATTAAAGGATAATTATGAAAGAGATTTTAAAATTATAATTACCCTTATTAAATAAGGTTTCATTGATATTAATTGATTTATTTGATATATTATATATTTATCAATTCAAAAATGTATATATGCTTTAATCGAATAGAAATTATTAAAATAAAGGAGTGGCAAATTCAAAAATTTTAAATAAATATAAAATAATTTCAAGCAAAATATTTCTATCATTTAAAAATTCCAATTAATTGGTTTACCTGCAAGAATACATTCACTATCAAGTTCTGAATAAATATAATACGATTAACCTAAATTTTAAGAAGAATTTTTCATTGTTCTCAAAGTCAATCAACAAAACCTTATAATCCTTACCAAATCCTATCTTAAAATGATCTAGATATAAGGAATACTTAATAAATTTTCTTTAGAGTAAAATTTTATAGGCTAAAATTAATTAATATTAATACTGGTATTTGACATATATTATTTAATGAGAAAATTTAGCCAAATTTAAAATTATTATAGCCGTTTGTTGATTAATCTACATTATTATAAAACCAAATTTGCATTGAATTTTTGTATAGATAAATCCTAGAACCTTATATTGTTTAAGAATTTAAAATTTCTATCCTAATTTATAAATTAATGTAGCAGCATCTAATGATGGCAAAAATCAAATAAAAAGATTGGATGGATGGATTATTTTATCTTAAGAATCACTCTTATTTTTTATTAATCTACAAACATGCAATTTAATAAGCTTTTTAGTTACCCTTTTTCCAAAATTTTTTATCTCTTCTGTTAAGATTTTAATATTCCCAAAATCCATTATTTTATCATTCTCATATTATTCTAGTTATGCAAATGGTAATTATTTCAATCTATTATAATCATTATTTTTCTTTATAAAGTTAATTCTTGATCCACTAAATCCAATTTTTTTTATCATCAAAAATTTTTAGCTTAATAATTGATTGATGAAAAAGTATAGAGAGCTATTATATAAATAATTTTTATCTAATTTTAATATCCATAGAGATATCTTATGTATTAAAACATATGAATGTGCTAAGATTTATTTATAATATAGTTTTTCAATTTACTATTCTTAATTATTTGATAGTAGATATAAGGAATTTTATATATTGTTAAATGATTGAAATTATTTTTTATATACTTTATAGTATGTAATTAATTTAAGTTTTATATATTGTAATTTGATATTTAAATGCAAAAGTGTAGGGAAATGTTTGCTTTTCTCTTGAATAAGAATGGCATTTTAATTTAATTATAATATAGATAGCAATCTTTATATTTAAAATAAATAAAACTTAAGTTTAGTATTGATAAAAAAAGATATGAGGATGATTGAAGTTTAATAACAAGTTTTTTTGATATAATTTGATTAGATGAAATTTTGAATTAATTTTAATTATGAATTTTTATTCAATATAAATAAGTATAAAAAGATTTTGATCAATCAGAAAATTTCCTTAATTTTTAGATTTAAGTTTCACGATAAGTTGCTATTTGATCAATATTCATATAATTTTCTTATTATTGTGATATATCATTTAAATTAATTACATCTTTAATGATTTATCTATTTGTTATTCCTCTTTCAGATGGTGATATATTCTAAGTCATTGCAGTTTATAAATTAGAAACATTTTATTAATTGAATTGAATTTTTTATTAATTTGAATGAAAAGATTAAAGATGTAGATTCAAAATATTAAAATTTAAGTATTTTGAATATAAATGATTATGTTTTTATTAATCTTAAATCTTAAATTCAATTTATTTTTAATCTTTTAATCTTTCTAAATCTTATTCAGGAGATCTATGATATTATTTTTTTATTTTATTCATCTCTACATATCCAATATTATTCTTTATTGTACCTTTATTATCAATTGGAGATTAACTGCTAATTAACTTTTTTTTTTTTGGAATTTTATCATTTTTTGGACTTTATATTTATTTTTTATTGATATTTTAATCCTTTTTTTTTTATGTAAATCTTGGAGATTTAAAATTTTATAAATTATCTTCTTTGAAATTCTTTTGTTTTTATTTGAATTCCTTATTATCTCGTAATAGCCTATCAAATTATTACCTCATTGATTCTTTTTATTATCCTTAAGATTATGGAATTTATGCTTAAGGAGAAGCTGAATGATGGAAATTAGATTTTTTAACTTATTTTTATTATTTAATCTATTATGATACAATAAATAAATTATTTTAAACATTATTATTATTCGATTATTATTAAATTGGTGTTATAGTATGAATTTAATGATTAACTGAATTTAATTTCTTATTGGAGTGTAATTATGTATATCCAAAGTTTTGATGAGATTCAAGTGGCAATTATTATTAAACAATTTGATAATTTTGAGATTATGGTTACTTAAATAATTTATTTTAAGAAAACACAGTAGGAGAAGTAATTAGATGTTACATTAAAGGTTGTTAATTTTAATTTATAGTTTTAATAGTACCAAAAGATTATTAATTTGATATACGTTGATTTTGATTTTATTAATTAAATTAGGCTTAAGATAAGTGTTGTTGCTTCATATTATATCCTGGTTCATCTAAATATTTTTCTGATTAATTATTATTTTGAGAATTAATATTTTGATTATTAATTTGAAAATCAATGAATGTTGATGAATAATCAGATGACCAAAATCTGTTATTTTGTAAGTATGATTTTTCATCAATTTCAGCTTGATTTTATTTAAATTCATCAAAATTTTAACTAATTGAAAAAGAGTTGTTTTATGCAATTTCTTCATCTGAAAAGTTTTCAGTCTTCTCATTTTTAATTTATTATCCATTTGATATTTTGTACTAATTGTTAATTTGCCTTTATAATAAAAAAGAGTCTTCTTTTAATTATTAAAGCTTTGTATTATTTTAGTCATATTTATATTATGTTAAATTTTTTGTTGAATTTGATCCTTATTTATAGTCAATATCAAAATCATCAATTATAAGCCTTTCTTAGTTCCATTATTACTTAAATGTACTTTATCTTATAATTTTAGTTTAGAGAGGAATAGGTTATGATAAATTTGGATGATCCATATTACTTATAAATTCTTATTTATTTAGAATCTAGATTGGTTTAGATTATAGATATTCTTTTTAAAACAATTCTAAAGTGAAATATTCATAAGATAAAGGATTAATTGTAATATTTGATACTTTGAAACTTATACTGTTCAACTAAAATGATAACTAATCAAGTATTGATGTCAGACTTAAACATTAATTGATTTCAGTTCCATTATTGAATATTCTCCTATTTGAACTTTTTGAAGTGAAATGTAGAGCATCTTATTTAATAATTACATTTGTCTGAGTTTATCCCATTCTGATGATTAAAAAATTATATTATTTTATAATTACAATTCATTCATCTTCTTATTTTACTCTTCCTCTAGTTAATCTTTGTACAAAAACATCATTAGTTTCATCTATTTAAAATTTAGATGATGCTGCTCTTTCTCTAGTAAATTCTAATCCATCATCACTTGAAAGATATAAGTTATATTTACTTATATGTTGTTTCTTTTAGTCTATAATTAAATGCATATGGAACAATAAAACAAGGAATTAATTAGGTTGCAGTGAATATAAAGATCATGATATTATTTTTTACATCTAATATATCATCTTTCTCAAAATCACATAAAAGATCTCTGTCACTCCAAAAAAGTATTATAATTATGATTACATACAGTATTGTATTAAATGTTATTGAAATTACTACTAATTAAATTTAATGAATCTTTTCTTTGGGTAGATCAGCTTCAAAAAAAGGATGAATTAATTATTAAGACATATCATTTTTATTTGATGAGAATCGATTTCTTACATGAACTAAGACTCTTTTTAATTTTCTACCATAATAGATAATTATAGACATGGTTATCAAGACATCTATTATAGTTAACACAATCACAATATAGAAATAGCTATTTATGAATTATATTTTTACATATTGCAAATGCTTGTTTTTGTTAAACAAATACACATTAACTATAAAACAAATATTACTAAGTATATTATTTCCTTCAATTAGAGTCTTCTCCTTTAAAAAAGTGTAAATCTAACTATCAAATTAATTTTAGATCATACTATCATCCGTAGATATTTTCTTAAACACTAAAGAAAATGTGTATCCAACAAGTGAAAATATGACAATTTAAGTTAAATTTCCTAATAATATTAAATGATTTTCGTTTAGTATTGAAAACTAAATTACATGAATTAATCCTTATAAAATACATAGCAACATAGGTATTAATTCATAAACAAATTTATTTGCATTCCTGTATGTTTTAAAGCAGTAATATGATGAGATTAGAATTATTAAAATAGAACTAATAAATGAGATAATGTATCTCGAACAAGTAAATTTATTACTTCCATTCTCTAATTATGAGCAATAATTATAAATAGGGTACTTATTCATTAGATATTAAATTTATATTAATTTTTTGTTTAAAATAGTTATAGTAAAGTAATGTAAGTGATATATAATAATATACTACTAATTTTGTTTTATTAGAATCAAATGAAGAATATTCTAATTTTGTTAAATTAAAAACATTGTATTTAATTATTTTTTTATGGGCTGCTTATTTTTCAAAAGTGCTGTTGACAACTTACAACCTCCAAAAAAATCATTTTTTGAGTTTTAAATGAAAGACATTGATGGAGTAGACACCTCTTTATCAAAATTTAAAGGTAAAAAAGCTATTATTTGTGTTAATGTTGCATGCTCATGTGGTTTAACTTCAAGTAATTATAGCGAATTAGTTGAGTTATTCAAAAAATATAAGTATATTCTTTATATATATATATATAAGTGCATAAGGATTGGAAATTCTAGGTTTCCCTTGTAATTAATTTATGAATTAAGAATCTAAACCTGAACCAGAAATTAAAGAATATGTTATCCAAAAATATGGAGTATCATTTCCATTATTTTAGTAATAATATTAATTTAATATCTAGAAAAATTGAAGTAAATGGACCAAATACTCATGAATTATATTAATATTTGAGATTAAATTCGAATAACTTAAGAGTGAGTGAAACTTCAGCTCGTTAGGTTCCATGGAATTTTGGAAAGTTTCTTTTAGATGGCCAGGGAAATGTCGTCGCTTTTTTCTAGCCAACTCAAAAGCCAAACGAGATGATAGCATAAATAGAAAAATTGTTAAGTTAATGATTTATTATAAATAGTCATTAATAATAAATATTTAAGAGTTATTTAAAATAATTAATAAAAAAGTTATCATTTCATTACTTGTTTTAAAATACAACATAAATTGCTAATAAATACAAATTCAAATCAAATTTATATAATTAACAAAAATGAATTAATTATGAATTCAAAATTAAGAGATTACTTTCAGAAGTGATTATAATTGAGTTTATGCTAAATAGAAATATAAATAAGTGTATTATTTATATTTCTATTTAGCATAAAATAATAAAATTATAAATTAATATTAAATAATGTAGAATAGAAAATCTATTAAATAAATATTATTCATATAAATTTGGTATTTCTAGCATCATAATAGTTAAAATTTATAGTTTATTAGGCTTATAATTTTTATGGTTCTATAAAACTAGTTGTCTTTTTATGTGATTAGTAATTTTAAACTTAACAACATTTTTATAAAAGTTTTTAGACTTAAGCAATATTGTTTGTGAGATTATCTTAATAATAAATATATTTATATACTTTAAGGAATAAATTTTGGTTTTGAAGCCTCTGTTTTTTATCTTTGATAAGGACTTGTTGGATTCAAATTAAGAGGTGATTTTTCAAAAGATTTACTTCTTTAAGCTTAATTAATCAATATTGGCTCTTTATTTTTGAACTAATCTTTTTATTAAGAAAAACTTTAAGTAGTAGCATAATTAGATGATTATTAAACTTAGACAGGTTTTGTATAATTAACAGATGAATTTGATTTATTTTCACTTTTATTTTAATTAATAAAACTTGAATTGTTACCTTTTTTATCATAAGGTTCACCATAAAAAGAATATGATTTTGTAACATTAGTAATACTACTTTCTGTTTTCTTTTTTATTTCTGGACTTTTACTCAATTCACAATTAGGCTTATTATGAGTTGAAGTTTTTTTGATACTAGAATTGTTAATTTGATATTGATTTTAATTTGATGAAAACTTTTATTAAAGTTAACCATAAGTAATATTTTAAGGATTAGATGGCATAGTTTATTTAGGTTAAGGAGAATGATCTGATCTTTTTTAATATTATTAAATGTTATTTTTATCATTTACTCCTTCTTATTTAAAAGATTATTCTATTTTTTTAGGTTTTTCAACAGGTTAAGAGAATTAATGAGTTGACACATTTTATTTGTTTTTATAATCATATTGTGACATATAAGTTGAAAAACTTTAAGGAGTTGAAATGTATTATTTTGTTTGATTTTTATCAAATATATTTTATTAAATCTCTTAAAGAATTTATTCACAATTTAAGGTAATTTTATCTCTATAATCTTTAATAGTTAACTTTTTATTTTCATTAAAAGGTATTTTAATATTTTATTTCAAAGTTTTCTCTTCCTCAGTATTTACAAATTCCATCATTATTTAGTGTTTTAATGCTTCTTCTATTTTCATTCTTTTTAATGGATTCCAATCTAAACATTGTCTTATAAAATCTATAAAATCAGGAGTTGCATTAGGAAAGAATCCAGCAAAACTCTTTCTTTTTTACATTGATATACCATCTAAAACTTGTTAAGCTAAAGGTGCATTCATTTATTCTAAATCCTCTTATTTTGGTCTTCCTATTAATTCAATTATCTTTTCAATTTAATTTAAAGTAGATGCTCCTGAAAATATTGCTTTTCCTAATATCATTTCTCCTAAAATACATCCAACACTCCACATATCAACAGATTTTGAATAAGAATGAGATCCTAATAATATTTCAGGTGCTCTATACCATCTTGTTGCTACATACTCAGTCATTATTGGTTATTCTTATTAAAATTATATAATTATAATTTACCATTCAAATTTTCTGATTTTGCCACACTTCTAGCTAATCCAAAATCTGCAACTTTTACTTTGCAATCTGAATCTATCAATAAATTTGATGGTTTTAAATCTCTATGTATTAATTCTCCTGAATGTATGAATTTTAAGCATTTTAACAACTAATAAATTATATATTGCATATGTAAAGGTTTTAACAATCCTGCTCTAATCACTTTATGTAGATCAGTCTCCATATATTCAAAAACCATATATAAATCTTTCTAGTTTTCAGCTGGTATAACTTTTAATAATTTAACTATATTTTCATGTTCCGTTAATTATTATAAAAAACACACTTCTCTAAATGTTCTTTAGGCATCAGTCGAATTTTAAAATGCATCAAACACCTAAAATCATATTTTATAGTTACAACCTTTTTTAATGCCACTTATTGTTTTGTTTATTTATCAGTAGCTTTCCAAACAATCCCATATGCACCTTTACCTTTAAAATCATGAATCTCATATAATTTAAGAATATGTTCTTCTACATTTGAATGTTGATCATTTTAGTTAGACATTAAAATATATTTATTAACTTTAATTATTTTATGTTACTTTTTCTTTAAATTGTTGAAAATATCACTTATTATCAATATTTATATAATCTCATTTACAATAAAGAATAATATTGGATATGTAGAGATGAATAAAATAAAAAAATAATATCATAGATCTCCTGAATAAGATTTAGAAAGATTAAAAGATTAAAAATAAATTGAATTTAAGATTTAAGATTAATAAAAACATAATCATTTATATTCAAAATACTTAAATTTTAATATTTTGAATCTACATCTTTAATCTTTTCATTCAAATTAATAAAAAATTCAATTCAATTAATAAAATGTTTCTAATTTATAAACTGCAATCATAATAGCTTCATCTTTAATCTTAAACTTATAGTAACATAATGATACTTTTTAGATCATAGTATCACTTTTATCAATAAATAAATTATCCATTAAATATTATTAAGATTAACTTAGATATAATAATTGCTCTTGTTAATTATTTCTTCAAATAATTAAGAAATTAATGCAGTCATTTTTAGAATTCCTGAATTTTTAAAGTTTTTCTTATCTTTGAATAGTATTAAGTAAATAAGAATAATAAATTTCTATAAATAATCTATTAATTTTAATGTACTGCATTTATGATGAAAAATCTCATACATGTATCAGTATTAATTCTTAGCTTAATATTAAATTTCTTGATTATACTTTAAATAATTCAGATTATGAATTATTTAATTATTTTAAATTATTAATAAATAAAAATCCAATTTTGCTTAATAATTGGAATCATAAAATAATTTTAAATGCAGATCCATCATAATTTCAGTATTTTAATGGTTATTATATTTTTATTATTTGATTATTCAATTTTCAAAAATATTCGGGATACTATTTTTCCATACATCTATCTATATCTAGTATTTTCCAGGTAGGATTATTTCCAAAATAAATCTCTTTTTCATTAAAAATTAATAAAGATTTTAAAGTTTAATACAGACTTTTTAGCTCTTTCGAATCTTTAAGTACCAAAAATCTAACGTGATGGAAATTTTCAGGTTCGTTCTTATCAAATTTTTAATATTTATACCTCACAGCCCGATATCTTTATGCTCAATTTAGATTTTATAAAGGCTCCTATTGAATAACAGTTCAAAAGCTCCTTTCCTTCTGAAATTAAGGCAGTTAATTTTGGATTTTCACCTTTTGTGTTTGGTGACAACTAACCTTAAAATATAATTTACATGATCATATAAAGAAATATTTCTATCTACGTAGATAAAAACATTAGAATCTGTGTAGTATATTTATTCTTAAACATTATCATTAATCACTTTTTCAAATGTTAATTATTTCTTCTAAATTTTAGAAAGTCCTTCAATAAATTAATTTGCTAATTTTTTATCACAAACTTCATGAGCATATTGATTAAAATCATTATCTTAAATGGAATTTAGAAAATTATTGTATGCAAAGATAAATTAATTATCAGAGACATCAAATGTTTATAATTTCCTTTTTATTGATTCATGGTATTTAATATATTGTGAAATATCCGTATATCCTTTTGGATTGTAAGGTAGGAATGAACTTGAAAAGTAGTTTTTCAGATTTTGACAAAATTTAAACATAAAATTAAATGTAATTTTATGCATCTATGTACAATCATAATAATCTGATATAAAATTATGTTTAAGTTTAATTAATGAATTAATTTAAAATATATAGAATATATAGTTAATTCATTCATCTATTTCATTTATTGTTGCATTCCAATTAATATCAGTTTTATTTTTTGTTTTATTAATAAATTCAGGATCATATTAATTTAAAGGATATTGGACAACGTTCTTTTTGACCATTGATTTCTTTGAATTAATTTTATTTTTGATAGACTCAACTAAATTTTTAAATTTTTAAATTAGGTCTGCAATTTAATTTGCAGCTTCAATGTGTTTAATTTCATTTAAAATTTCATATGAAATATTCTTTTTAGTAAGATTATTTGACATATATCTTGAAGTATTTACTAATTTATTTAATGGTCTACTAATTCTAACAGCAATTAAATAAGTAAAAATAAATACTATAGATATTGTTAAAATAGTTGAGGATATATTAATGAATATTATAACTGTTTCTTCTCTTTACATAACATCATTAATTAAAGTAAATGTTGTAAGTAATTGATCATTCAAAACATACAAATAAACATAAAAATCTATATTCTAATTTGTATTATTAATAAATGAACTTAACTAATATGAATCATACTTTCCAGAAAAAGGTAATTAAATTAAACTATATGTTTAATTTTATAATTCTATTTAATTTGTTTAATTTGTAGGTATTCTAGTTATATTAAAACCAGAGATATTATAATGATCATAAATTTTTTGAATAGACGTTTAATAACTAATATTCCATTCAATTGGACAATAGATCAAAGTGCCACTAAAATCAGTAATAGCCAAAATTGTTGATTAATAATAATTAATATCAAAGAATAAAACTTCAATTGATTATAATGAAAATTCTATGGTGAAATCTTAAATATAATTAAATAAAATATAATTACATATTGAATAGTTTTTAAATGTAATCTATTATTGAAGATTCATCATAATTTAACTATTATTAGTTGGATTAATATATGGTCCACTTAATTAGATTTCTTTATGTTTTTTCTTATTAATATAATATTTTTAAATCTTATTGGCAGGATAAATCATATAGATTTCAACTTATTCAATAGGATTATAAATTAAAATAGAAAACCTCTAATTTAAGATTATTTATTACTTCTATTTTTTATCTAACTGATTCCACAAATAGAAAGGGTAAATAACTCTTATAATTAGTTAAATATCCTAATATGTATTATGTTTATTAATTCAAATTGTAAAGTTATTTTGTATTTTCTTGAGCATAAAAACATACTTCTAAATAATTTTATTGAGTTAATATTTCACAAGTTTAATAGGAATTAGAAGGTTTAAATTACATTAAAGGATTGAATAATTATGGAAAGATTTAAACAGTATTTTACAATTATTATGATAGGTAATATAAATGAGATTAAAAGCCAATACCTATCTAATTTGCAACTTAAAAAAATTAATTGTTTGAATGAGTTTCCACTTAGCTAAAAATTTATGAATTTGTTTAGTTAATCATATATTCAATATTTCCAAAAATGACACTAATTAATATAAATTGAAGTAATATTGTTGTGCATAAGAAAGAAAACATTAATTGTCTTCTTATTGGCCATTCACGATAATTGCATCTTTTATTTATTTTTATTTTATTTTTCATTTTGTATTAAAAAATTATTGTAATTGTTTAAGTATTCAAAATAAATGATCTGTTTAATTGATTCAATATTAGTTATATAATAAAATTTATAATAAGGTAAAGGGAATCATAAATTGAATAAATTATTATTATTATATTAATAAAAATTAATAATAAAGTAATATGAATAATTGTTTAGAGGAAACAAACTAATAATCATCCATTTATTTATAAACAGTTAACTCTTTAAAGAATTCCATTAAATATTAGAATTTTATTAGCAAAACTAAATTAACAGTTAATGAAATTAAAAATATCATAAAATGGTATGATTTGAAAAGAAATTAAAGAATAATACGATAAGTAACATAACCTGATTAGAATAATGATTTTTAAAAATAAATCATTTAATAAGGAATAGTTATAAATTAAATGTAATAGCAAATAAATAAATAATCTATTGAAATGGAAAATTTAAAAAAAGCAATATTTTAAAAAGGAAATGAAAAATAAAATGGAATTCATTAAAAATCTAAATCCTCTAATGATGATTTTTTAGATAAATAAATCAATTTTATGAATAAATAATAAAACATAAATTTTCAACATTTTGATAAGGATTTAGAAAATTAGATTAAAACATTAATATAATAAGAATTCGAAAAAATATATAAATTATTATCTCAATAACTTAAAAGTGATATAAATGATATTGTATATTAAAGTATATAGGAATAGATATTTGTAAGCAATAATAATTCTCCAAAACCAGATACTTTAAGAAAATATTCATAAACAAAACAATAATCAGAAGATTCATAATAAAATATTAATGTAATTGTTGAATGTTTAAATGAATAAATTGATGAATATTCTAATAATAATTATAATTTTAATCAATTTAAAGCTAAACTCAAATGTTTAAAATTAAAATAAATCAATTTACTATATGAAGATTTAAAAAATTCATAAAAATAGAATTCACTTAAAGATTATTTTATAGGACCTTTAGAAAAATTGCAATAATTTTCATTTAATTTCAAATAATCTAAACTTTTAGAATATGTTAATGGATAAAGAAGAGCTAGAGAAGATAGCAATAATTTTTATGCAGTTTTTGGATATTAATATTTGGATATTATATTAACTCATGCTGATGATTAAAATTTTGAAACATTTATGGAAAACATTAAAGGAATTCCATTTGATTTATTTAATAATTAATCTGCATTTACAAAAGAAGAGTAATAAGAATTAAAAGAAATATTTTGTTATAGATGTATAGAATTGAGATAAATTGAAATATCATAAAGATCAAATGAACTTTGGCATTAAATCAGTGATAATAATAATAGTTTCTATGGGTTGACTATGATATTCATTCGAAATTTAATATACTAAATAGTACAATAATCAGAATTAAATGAACATATCAATATATAGGATCCAGAATAATTCCTTATTAAAATATTGGAATGGAATACTCCATGTCCTGAATCAGAATTTATAATGGAAGTCCTTTCACATGAATTAGAATTGTATTATATTTAATTTATGAGTTTAGATGTATAATATTATTTTATTTAAAAGAAGAATAATAAGAATTTTCATTAAGAATATTTGGAGATGAATAAAATTATTAGCTTTATATATTATAGAATACTAATGAATGTTATTCAATTGGAATTAAAGAGTAAACTTGAAAACCCATAATTTTTATTGCTATATTGTTACTAATATTAAATTACTTAATAATAAAAGTATAAATAATATATATCAATATATCAACTGATGATAAAAAAGTATAAAGTTATTTGAATTTTACATGTAACCAATATACTGCCTTCCTGCTGAAATTCTTTATATTATTAAAATTATTTTTAAATAATGACTAAGACTAAACCCTTGAGTTTTTTACTATATATTAATATTTCATTAGTGATAATAAAGAGTCTTAATATGGAATATAATAACAATGACTATGTAAATAAATTAAAAAAAGTTAATACAAAAATTGTAATAAGAGAAATAGCATTTAGATTAGAGTATAGTTTAAATATGAAAAGGATTATAAATAGATGAAGGATTTATATATGTTTTAGTTGAAATTTGAAGGGATTACTGTTGCTTTTTCTCTAATTTAAGTCTAAGTGATTAACAATCTGAATTGTATAAAATATAGCAGCATTAGTATATCATTCAGCTATTGACAATTATAAATAATAGATAAATAAAGAGATCAATGCGAAAGTTATTAATAGGGAGATAATATTTTCAAACAATAATTTATAGGATAAGCTTAGAATATTAAATTTGGTTAAATTTTAAAATCTTCTAATACTATTTCATATATTTATCTTATAAATATTGCAAATACATTCCTAAATATCAGAATATGCTTATTCTTCATTAAAATTGTTTTATTTGTATAATAATAATAGTGTATATTTACTTTTAGAAACTAGTTTAATAGTAGTTATAATCTACCATAATTGACAGATCAGAATAAGTTGTGTTTCTATTTAAATAAACAATAATTATAGTTTATGTCTAAAAAATAACTGAATAGTTAATAGTTTGCAATTATTTTAGATCATAACAGTAAAACTATAATAATACATTTGAAAAATTAGCTATAAAAGGAATAAGGATATATGTTTTTATTCAATAAGTAGTGGAGTTTTAATTTTCTTATTTTTATTAGTAAAATTAAAGAGAGTAAATATAGGATTAAGAATATGATTGTTAAACTTAAATAAAGGAAGACAATAATGATTTAAATTTTAAAGAAGATGAAATGAGTCTAATTATAAAACAAAAAAATTTATAAGATTTAAATTTCAAAATAATCTAAAAACATAATAAAATAATACTATTTCTTTTTCTATTAAGAAAAACCTTTAATTACTCAATATCATAAAATCAAGAGAATTAGATTATTTATATTCTAATTGAATTAGGATAACAAAGAATTGATAAATATATTGTATAGTAAAAAAGGATTTAGATATATAGAGATTTAAATATATTTTTATAAGACTTTTTCAGATTAGATGAATGGATTTAAATAAGAAAATCATAAAATAGAAATCATTTATTAAACTTGATCAAATAGAAATGATAGAACCTAATAATTTAGATTGATGAATTTAACTAAAAGTTAAAGGAATTCTAATAAAATAATATATGAAGTTCTTTATTTATGTTTATATAATGTATTCTATTCATAAGTTCTTTTTAAAAAACTCTTTAAATTCTTACAAAGACATTTAGTCATGAAGTACTCCACAAAATTTTAATACATCTAGTATAAATAATATAAGTATATGTACTTTAAATTTCTTCTTCACTGGTGTTATCTTTAAACTTAGAAAAGACCTTTCTTATTTTCTTTGAATCAATTGTACCATTTTTATCAAAATCAAATACAGAGAAAGCACTCTCTAGTAATTCATCATGTTAATCCTTATTGGACATACATTCATTATATAACTCTTAGAAATCAGAAAAGTGCATAGTAGTTTTATTATTTGGGAAATATCTACATTTATATCATAATATACTTTAATTCTGTTACAGAAACATAGGTTGGTGATTTAGGAGATGAATCCTTTTACATGTCTTCAAAATTATCTGTAGAACTAATTTTTTTGACTAATTTTCTTCCATGTTAATATGGTACACTAATCTATTATTAATCTTAATTTATAGTTTCTAATTCCTTAATTAATTAGTTCATCTATTAAATATTGATTTCATCTGAGTTTTCTTATGAGAAAAGTTAAAATATTTATTTTAATTCTTATTAATTGGCTGATTATTGCTGCATGTTATGATCTGCAATTAATATTATTATTAAAAATATTAATAAATTGTTTGTTAATTATGTCGTTATTCTCAAATACTAACATGAGTCATGTCTTTACTTACAATTCAAACAAGCTTTTTATTGGAAACATAAGAAGTCCTACAATCAATATGAGGGCAGTTCTTTCAGTTATTGAAACACCAATATCCTCAAATACTAATCATTTTCATAAATAGATACCAGCAACTGATGAAGTTGAATTTAAATTGAATCGTTACTTTGATGAAGGAGCTGATTTCATACACAATCATTTGAAATATGGTAATGTTTTAGTTCATTGTTATGCTGGCATATCTAGATCTGCATCCTTAGTCATAGCTTATTTAATTAAATATCACAATTATACTACAATAACTGCAATTAAATTTTTGCAGAAATCCAGACCAATTATAGAACCAAATGATGGTAATTATTTCTTTTATAAAATTAGGTTTTATTGCTTAACTGAAAGAATATGAAAATAGAGGAAAAACAGTAAAGTCATATTTAACAAAGGAATCCAAATAAGAAACAAAGAATGAGATCAAACCATTTCATAGACCAGTCAAATCATTTTTATCATCAAGAATGAAAACTTTATTTTGAATGATTATTTTACTTTATATATATATATTTATATAAAATAATGTATATAAATGATAAAAATAAAAAAAAGTATGAATAATATTTCATTTAAAGTTTAGTTTTAAAATTATATTAATTTAATATAAAATAGATATATAAGGATATAGAATTGAATAATTAAACTATCTTTATTAATTTATGTATTCTATATATGAATAAATTTTCATTTTATGATTTAATTCAATAAGATTTATTAAATAGAGATAAATCAAAATTTTATATAAAAAGAACAAGTGTTAATGTAGTATTAAGTAAATAAATAAGTGAAAAAAAGAAGAATTCAGAATTCATATTTATTATATTTCATAAATATTATGTTTCTAGTCCGAACAACCGAATATTATATTAAGTATAATATTCAGTGAAAAGAACAGAATCTGATATTATTCTTTTGTTATAGCATATTATTATTTATAATAATAAACTGGTAAATAAGAATAATAATTCAATAATATTTTTATATATAATTTTGCTCCTACTTTGAAATATTATTATGGGAACTATTCTAGTTTATTTTTTAAATAATTATAAAATTAATTAATTATAATATTGATGATTTCTATTTCTGACATTGAAACCATAAATAAGTTTATTCTTGAAGCTAATGGAACCCTTGAAAACATATAGAAGGCTTTTGTGAGAAAATTTTCACAAGAATATGGTCCTTATCTATATTTTTATCAAGGGCTTTGCGATAATGTATATTAATTAAATGATTTTCTTATTTAGATATTCACAAAAGGATAAAGACTTTTAATTATTTACTTGTTATATAATTCTGAATTAAAACAATGTTTAACAGATATATCAAGTTATAGTTAAAATTAATTTGAAAAGAAATTCGTATAAGATCCATAACTTGTAATGCATTCTATTAAGACTTATAAGATAGTATGCTGGCCTAACAATAAAGACCCTTTTAGAAGAATTAGATAAGTAGAGTATGAATGATAAACAATTAAATAAAGAATAGATAACTTAAAATTAATCAAATAAATTGAGAAATTGTATATCCATAAATAGTAATCCACCTCAGTAATATAATTAAAATTATTATTTAGAAAGTTACTCTAACATTAACTTTTGGAAAGATTATCACAATAATAAAATGGATTTGATATTGACTTTTTAAGATTAACTCCAAATATTGTTTAGACTAAATTTGATTGGATTGAGTTCTATTAAACTTGTGATGTTCAATGGGATTATTCATTGTAGATTAATTCTGATAAGTTGAGTCAGATTAAGGAAATTATGCAGAAGGCTCATTTAGAATAATTGTCTGAGTAAGAATTAAAGGTATATTGATATTTGATTGATATAAATTAGTAATTTCAAGAGTATTTGAAGAAAGATAATAATAATTTATTAAAAAATAGTGGATTATTAAATTTCAATTTAAGTGACTTAATTGAGAAGAACTTAAATTTAGCCTTTTTTCTAATTTCTAAACATTTTCCAAATGTAGAATTTTTTGAGTAATATCTATTATAATAATAATAGTTTAATGGATGCATTAATGACAATTGATATTACACCAAATGTTTTAGAAATTATGTGCATGTTAATATAATAATTTCATATACCTCAAGAATACCTTAATTATTATGTTAATTATTGTATTTAATACTGCTCAAATATAAAAGTATTTCTAAAGTTTAAATTATAGGAAAAAGGACAATAAGTAAAAATGATCAAATATTTGACAATTTTCCTAAAACATCTGATAAATAAAAAGATGTTAAAGACTTATGAATTGTAAACAGAGGTATGTTCATATAATCATGAATTTAGTTGCAAGCCTTTTCCATTGAATTTTCCAATATAGGAGAAACATCAAGTTTATTCAAAATGATAAAGAATGATTAATAATAATGATATGTATAATAATAATGTATTAATGTTTTTTGATGATCCTTATTTGAAGTTATTGAATTATATATTATTAAATACAATATTAATAATGGATCAACCAATGGTAAGTCCAAGAAATATCAATGAAGGACATGATGTGTCCAATTTGATTACGTTTCGATATTCAACAGATTAATATTGTACAATATTTGTGATTAAATTTCAGTATTGCCTATGTAAAGAAATGAGGGGATTAATAGAATGAAATAATTAATTTTAGATTCAGAAAATAGAGCTATACTGGATGCAGGGTAAAATAATGAGGAAGAGGAACCATCAATAAGTTCATCAGAATCAGAGCAAAGTGTTAGCAAAAAAGGATCTGAGACAATGAAATTAGGATCATAAAGTAAGGTTGAACATGCTGAAAGATAGTATAAAACTGAAGATTTGTCACCTGTTGATGGAGGATGGACGAATATAATTTGGAAGAGGGGTTCGTTGAGAATTATGACATATGTAGTCAGATTTGTGATTTCAATTCTAATAAATTCAGAAAAATCTAAGTTTTCATTCATGAATAGGAAGTAATTCAATGCTATAAATGACATAACAGGGGTTTATCAATTTTATGAAGAGAATAAACTCATAAGATAAAGGATTAAAAAGAAATTTAAAGTAATGTTATGACTTAAAATAATAGTAAATTGTTAAATCCTATATTTAAAACAATATGTGTTATAAAATTATAAGAAATGGATTGGAAACTTTAGTTAATAAATGTCTTTTTGTTATTGATCCATCAAGTACAATAAAAATATTATGGGATTTTTTTATGTTGTTTGTTTTATCATGGTAAATGGTCTTTGTTCCTTTAAAGATTTGTTTTTTTATTCAAATAGAGGATCCTATTTTGAATTTCATCTTAAATTACTTGCCAGTTTATGTATATTTGATGGAGATTGTTTTAACATTTTTAACAGGTTATTATGAACATGGAGTTTTAATTATAGATTAAAAATAGGTAGCTAAACATTATTTTAAGAAATCATTTTTTTATGATTTATTAAATGTATTACCATTATTAGTAAGTGCATATTATGTATAATCAAATTGGTTAGAATTTTCAGTCTTAGTTAAAATAAAGACATTAAAATTTTTATCAGATTAATTAGAAGAAGTATTTGGATTGAGAACTAATTATTAAACTTTGATAGATGTATTAAGATTGATGATCCAATTTATATTTTTATCTCATCTTTTTGGGTGTTTTTGGCATTATTTGGGAATCCTATAAGGAGATTATGGGTAAGATTTACTTGAATAAATTATAGAATAACAAATACTTGGATAAATGCTTTAGAGTTGGAAAATGACAGTTGGCAAATTAGATACATAAATTCAATATATTGGAGTTCAATAACAACTTTGACTATTGGATATGGTGATATTACACCTTAAAGTAGTGTTGAGAAGATATTTACAGTAGGAGTAGCTGTATTTAGTAGTGTTGTATTTGCATATACAATTTCAAGTATAGGTTAAATATTCAGTCAATTAAATGAAAATAAAAAGAATTAAAGATATAAAATGAATTTAATTTAATAATTTATAGGTTAAAGAGGAGTTAATAAATAATTACAAAATAAAGTCAAAAAATTCTATGAATATTTTATTCAAATAGATCATTCTTAAGATAGTGAATGTGAATTATTACTTAATTAATTGGAACCTTCTTTAAAAAATGAATTGAAAATAGACATTTATAAAAAATACATTATGAAATCTAAACTATTTAAATCAACTTTCTCACCAGAGTATATATTATTTATTATATATATTTAGATTTTTAGATTCACTTTGTTAATTGGTTTAAGAAAGATAATATACACCAGATGAATAGATTTGTGCAGCTGATACAGAAGTTGAAGAATTATGTTTTGTTTTGAAAGGTGAAATATCTTTGTAAATTTAATTGAATAATTGTAATTAAACAATAACATAATTATGTAGAATCTGGTAAATCACATTAAGTTAGTCTCTTAAAAAAAAATCATATCTTAGGAGAACGATTCTTTATCACTGGTGATAGATTTCCATACTCAGGAAAGGCTATTTCAGCTGTAAGAGTAGCCTTTATTAAAAAAAATTAATTTTTAAATTTATTGAAATAGTATCCTCAAGAGTTTGAGAGATTTTTGGAAGCCAAAAGTAAAGTTATACTTAAAGAGAGAGTAAAAGTTTAGGGTTGTGAATTATGTTATTAAAACCATTAAGTTTTATAATGTCCCTTTGTGTTTTATTACCCAAATGTTAGAGTTATTGTTAAAAGGTAAGAAAACATTACATAAAAAAGATAATTTAAATAAAGATCATACATAAAGAGTCATGTAAATATATATATAATATTTTAGAAATCATTATAAGATAGAGGAGGCATTTAATATTAATTGATCTCTTATGCATTAGATACAAATTTAATGCGTGAAGAATCTCTTGATGAATCATTAATTAAAAATATGGGTTTATAATTTATAGAGCCAACAAAAAAATAGTTAAATAAATTACATACTGACACTTCAGCTGATCCATAAATTTAAGATTAACCCCATCCCATTCAAAATTAAACACCTTTACGTCCTAGTTGTGAATAATTTAGTGAATTTAGTGAAGGTGGAACTAGCAAGACAAATAAAACTTCAAATAATGGATTATAAAAGTTAATTACTATCAGATAAATATCATAATAAAATCAAAATCAATAGATCTAACCAAAAAAATTAGATAAATTTAAATAGATGAGTTTTAAAGTTAAAAAGAATGAATTTCGACCTCCAGAAATTGTGGAATTATAAAAGATTGAAGAAATCCAGTCTTTCGAATCACCATAATGCTCAGCTTAAAAAATGAATTAATAACCTATTTTCTTTCATCTAAATGATAATTCTATTACTACTGAATTAGAAATTAAAAGAATTCTATGGGAAGAATATATTTAATCTTAAATAATTGAAGATAAAGAAAGATTTGATTAATAAAAAGATTATTAATTTTTTTATCCTAATTTTAATTTAGAGAAAGTGTTAGATTTAATTAATATTAAAGTAAATGAAAGAAAAAAGAAAACATAAAAATCAAGATTAACAACATTAGGTAAGAATCGATTGGGTTAATTATAAAATATATCTGTTAGACCTAGAAAAAGTATGATAACAATCGAATAAGCCTTTTCATAAGAAGACGAAAGATAAAAAAGTCTTAAATTATGATAACTAAAAATTTATGTAAACTACCATCAAACTCAAGTATCTAAACTATCTGCATCATAATTATAGGATCCAAATTGTTAATTCCATTTTAAATAATCTTTTAAATCATTTTAATTAACAGTTGGTTTTACAATTTGAAGTGCTCTCTTAAAATCATCAATTGTAGTTGCTCTTATCTAATCTAATTTCAAATTCTTTATTGTATACATTTTAGCAGCATCTCTAATAGCATACATACAAGCCTATTAATTAATATCTAATATTTACCTCTCTACTTAAATTTCTAATATCAGCTCCTGAATATCCCTTTGTTAAATCTACTAAAGATTTTAATTCTTAATTATTCATTTCAATTCTCTTTCCTTCTTTTGCTTCTTTAATGATTAAATTCTCAAAATATGATTATCTTCCCTCTTTATTAGGTAATGGAATATATATCTTTTTTTAAAATCTTCTTTTTATTGCATCATCTAATTCTTAAGGTCTATTTGTAGCTCCTATAAAAACTATTCTTTCACATCCTCCTCTAGTTGCTCCTTCTAATTAAACCATAAATTCTGTTTTTATTTATCTACTTGTTTCATTATCTTTTTCAGATCTAGCACATAATAGAGAATCAATTTCATCAAAAAAGATTACACTAGGTTATCTTTAAGCAGCTAATGCAAATAAAGCCCTGACTGTTTTTTCACCTTCTCCAACATATTTAGATGTTAAAGTGGAAGCTTTAATAGAAAAGAAAGTAGCTTTTCCTTCACTTGCTATAGCTTTACCTATCATTGTTTTTCCTGTTCCTGGTGGACCAAATAAGAGTAATCCACTTCCTGGAGCTATTATACCTTCAAATAATTTTGGATTTTCCAAAGGCCATAAAGCAATTTCAACAACTTAATCTCTTACATGATCTAAACCAACTATATCTGTCCATTAAGTTGGTCTATCCATAATTTCTATAATATCAGATTCAATTTTATTAATTATATTATCTTCAAAATTAGTTTAATTTGATTATTTATCATTTTTTTATGTTAATTATTCTTATTTACTCTTTTCACCTATTTTAGTTGGAGGTTAGAATCTTTTTTTTGGCATTAATTAATTAGCTTAAACAAAACCAAATTATTATTAATTAGATATTTGAGGTTATTATATTTAATTTTATCCTTGTTAGGGTTATGGAGGTTATTCTACTTTAATTTCTTACTTCCTTATATTGGCAGGAATGTTTAATTTAATAAATTCAGATCTATTTGTTATGAATAATTTCATTTAAGTATAATTAATACATTTTAGATCTAAATGAACCTTCAAAAGTGATTGTTTATTTTTTTAATTTTTCAAAAATACTTCAGTCTATTCTTAGATAATAGTAATTACTTTAGTTACTTAAATTTAGAAAATTCTAATTTCTTGCTTCTTATTTAGTAATCATTTTAAAAATAAATATTAATTAATATTATATATTATCAATTAAATAATTACTATTACTAACATGTGAATTAGTAAAATGAATTATTATTTTATTATTATTAAGTATTAAATTTCCATTCATTAAGAATTGGTTTCTCCTCTTTTCTACTCTCCAAAATTATGATAGGAATTTAGCAGATAACTGGAATAGCCAAAGAAGTTAGCAATCCATCCTATATAATATATTATTTTATTACAGCAAATGCTTATACTAATAAGATGTAATGATTTTTAATAAACTACATTTTGACAGTTGCAGTCAAATTATTAGGAAGTGTAATTAAACTTTTTAAGCCATCACTTCTCTTTCCTGGAGAAATACCAGGCAAAACATTAGTATATAATGTATTATTTTCTATTACTCTCTCATTTTCATCATCATCAGTTAAACTTAAAAAATGATTTAATTTCACTTCCACTTTAGTTATTGATCTTTAAGATCTAGTAGTATTTAAAATATATTCCAATTCCAAAACATCTCCTGGCTTATAAAGATTTCTAGCAGTTCTGATACTTAACTCTATCATACCCCTATGAAGACAGAAAAATTAAACAATATTTCCTTCACTCTCTCTTTTTTATTCAATTAATTTATATCTACTATTAAGATAAATGGGAATGCTCTTTTATATTATGACTTAATTTGATTATGAATCACTGATTTTCAAATAGATCTTATATTAGATTTTAGCCTATTAAAATCCTAAATTTATTATACTTATCATACCATCTAAATTTCTATATTAAAAACTGGAATTCATACCAAATTTAGTTGGTACTTAAAACGGCAGCTAATAATCTCCACTTTTTATATATCCTCTATAAAGATCTTAGATATGAATATAATCTTCATTAACACCATATTGTCTTGTAATTTATAACATAGTTCCATTATGCAATTCATATTTTTTTTTAGGATTTATTTAAGTCTGTTTAAAATTTCTAGGAGAATCTAATGTAAGTTGAATTTGCTTATTTTTTTCCAATAATTTTTCTGGAATCATTTAAGGATTGTTTACGTCATAGGGAATCAAATATAATTTTATATATTACTTATCGTTTATGTAAAATTTTAGAATACTCTATTGCAACAAATATTAGTTATATATTGGCTTGCTAAATATCATCTATCAATCTTATATAACAAATTCCATCAATATTTTCACCTGCAATAGACACTGGCTTTTTGATCCAAAATAATACTTCATTTTAAATCATTCTATACCAAAATGTATTAATGATATTATTAATATATTAATTAAGCTGAAAATAATTCATTCTCTGTTTTTATATGTCTTAATCAACTATTTTGAATTAATTAAATTAACAGTTAATTAAATGAGCTACTCTTAAGAGTTCTCTCCTTTATCTATGAAAGAAGAGATATTTTTTTAAAATGAAACAGAATCTACATCTTTAGAATAATAATTGCAAATTGCTAATGAAAAAGTCATATAACTTATGCAATATTAATAATAATTAAGGTATTTTTACCTAAGTATTTGAGTGAAGAACTAGAACATTTGCATTATAAATATAGAGAGACATAATAAGAGAATGAGATCCTTTAAAATTAATTACAATAAGGTCCAGATGAAACTAAATTTCTTAATTGTGTTCTTGATATGGTTCGTGTATGTCATCCTCAAGATAAACCAATCACTTTGAAATATGCATGGAAATGGTTGAAATATGTTGTTGATGATTATATTGAATTAAGAAAAAGAAATAAAACTTCCAATACACAAAGTGAAGTATTCAAAAATCCAAAAAAAAATTCAATTGTAGTTGGTGATTTATTAAGAAAAAATTGTTAAGTAGCTGAAAGCTAATATATAAAAAATTCAAAATGTCATAATTGATAGTTATTATGTATTTTTTTGTTGCTTAAAAAATAACTATTTGATTAAAATATATAAATTATATTAATGGGCAATTGGTTTAGTAAGAATGATAAGCAAAACAAAAAATAATAATAATAATAATAATAAAAGTAGTAATCCTCTTATCCAACAAAATCATAATTCCCATCTCAAAAAAAAGAATTAAGTGAAGGAGAAAAAATGAGAATGAAATTACAACATCATAGAGATGAATTAAGAAACAAAAGAAAGTAGATTGATTTATAATTAGATACTTATGAAAAAGAAATAAGGGTATAATCAATTTTATATTAATAGATGTTAATCTAAAGTAATAAAAGAGATTAGGCTAAGTTTGTATTATAAAGAAAGTTGTTGTATGACAAGTTTCTTGATAATATTATGGAAAAAGAATAAATTATAGAAAAGTCTATCATCTCTGTTGATTAAATGCAATCTGTAAAATTGATTATAATCATTAGGATAAAGAAATGGCAGATATTATTAATTAGACAAATTAAGTTATGAAAGATATATAATCTTCAATTGATTAAGATAAATTAAGAGATGCTTTTGCAGATATGTAAGAATAACAATAGAGAAATGAGGAAATGAATTAAATGTATTAATAATATAAGGTTGGTGATGAAGATGAGATTAATGAATTATATGGAAAGTATGAATAATAAGTATGTAATAATACTTAACCAAAATAATAATAAAAATAATAATTTGTTCCATTACCATAATAATAGTAATAATAATAATAATAATAATAATAATAATAATAATAAGAATAAAATGAATATTCAGATAAATTAGCAATGTTAGAATGATAATATTAATATAGAAAAGAATAATTTTATTTTAATTATTAATTAACTTTATATACAATAAATTAAAAATATCCTTTTGTCTTAAAATTATTGTTTTTTTATTCAAAAAGTATTCTTATAAAAATATTTCATCAGATCTAAAGTTGAAAAAAGATATTCAATTAAATTAGTAAATAAATATAATAGTTTTTGTTAATGATTTTTTAGATTTGTTCATTAATTAATAATGAATAAATATAAAGAATAGAGAAATTAAGAAAATGATATAATAATTGTAAATATTTAGAATTCATAGTTTATATTTAAGATTAAGTTAAACATAGGTTTATATATGGAATAAATAAAAATTAATATCAATAAATAATGCTTTGATTATATTAATTTATATAAAAAATGAAAATAGAAGTTCATATCAAAGATAAACAATTTGCAATAAATTGTGGTGATGGATTACAAAAGGTCAAATGGTTGGGAGATGTAGCTATTTTTAGACATAGTCATTTCTATTCATAAATAAACTCAACAACGAAAGGAATTAAATTAGAAAATGGAGAAATGGTTGATTTGAATGCTATAATAAGTAGTACTTTAGCAGAGAACACTCATGTTTGGGTTGTTTTAAAAGGTATTATTCAATATAGAAATTGTTTTAGAGGATTTAGAAGCAATGGGTATGGATAACAAATAGCAGCAAAATTAACATAAGAGACCAATAACTGCTATCAGTAGAAAAAAATGAAGAATTTAATTATAATTTACTAATAAATTAAATTCCATATATTTATATGTACCTTATTTTGTTCTCTTTTGCTTATATTGTGTATTCATTAACTTATGTACTCAACAAAGATGAGATAAAAGTATGCATCACATATAAATAAATAGGTTTTGGAGAATTATGCTAATGGGATCGAAAAATATGATAAATAGAAAGAAAAGCTATCAATATAGAGTGTTGGTTTACTTGCTAATGATGAGTAGGTGATTGAAATTACAAGTTTATTTGTTCCTTTTGACAATTAATAGAGAGTAGATATATTAACCAAAAAAGTAGAGAATATTTACACAGTATATACTTTATATTATTTTAAATCAGTAAAATACATAATTAATTTTAGTATAGTACAGAGCTTAAATTTGAAAAGGTGTAATTGGAAGGTGTAGAAAGATGTGCATCATTAACTTATTTAAATAATTAATTTGTTGTTGATTGCTCAATTACATCAATTCTTTTTGTTTTGTAGAATGGAACTTAGATCTCATATAAAAATAATAATAATATTCAATTCACTCAAATTTTAGAATTTTATGATGGATTATTAGGATTATCTCCAGGATATTTAAACTTTTTTGATGAATAATTATAATTGGAAAGATAGACATAAGCCAATTATATTTAAGTATTAAAGGATGAAAAAAATATATATTTATTAAATGAACTATAAGTGATCTAATATTCATAAGATGGAAGTGTAATTGAATATAATCATAAATGCTAAAATAAGCCAGAATTTATGACAGTATTAGATGATATATTTTACATTCAATGTGGAACTTTAAGGAAAGTTCGTAAAAATGAGATTGAAGTACTTTAATTAAAAGTATAGCAAATTTTTGCAACTAATAGATATATCATTTTAAATAACAACAGCATTTATAATAAAGATTTAGATTCCCGTTTTTATTTATCAAATGGAAATTTATTTAGAATTAATTATGATGATGATATAATTTAGATAGTTAATAATTAAATACAGATTGGTTCCATTAAAGGATATTATTTAATTTAATCAGATGAGATATCCTAATTCACATTATCTTAAAATTTATTTTATGTTGTTGATAAGGGATTATAAGCTTTGAATTTTGGAGAATCTGAGTTTTATGGAAATAAATTCTAAGTAGTAAATTATGTTTCTGGACCTAATGTATAGATAAAAGAGCAAGGAATTCTAGAATAGCCACTCTAATTAGACATAGAGAAAGAGATTACAAATAAATAATTGTTAGGATTAATTAATTATTTGGATGAATCAATATTCTTGATCTATTTATAAGATTCTAAGTTATTCACTTAAAAATGTTTAATTGATTATTTGAAATTTAAGTGTCAAAAGGAAGTACTCTTATAATCAAATGTTCCATCAGATATAAAAAATATATAAGGTTCTGTAATAGGAATTCAAATGATAATTGCTTATCAATCTTAAGAAACTTTATATATTTATTTAGATAACAAATTACTAGATACAAAAAATAAAGTCAATACTTTTTAATTGTAGTAAAATATTATCATTATTCTTAATGAAAATGAAGTAACTATAAATTATATAATTGATAAATAAATTCATTAAGAAAGTTAAATTAATTTTACTTGTATTATGGTTGCTCTGTATTCTAATGAAATTGCATTGGTTGATGAAAAAAATAATCTTTTAATAATTAGTAATTCTAATAATGGATGGTATTATTCATTTTCATAATCATTTCAAGATATAATATTAAAAATAAATTATGTTAATTCTCAATTGATTGTATCAACTGAGAAATAAGCATTTATTTATGAAAATAGAATATTAAGAGGAAAATTAGATTTAGATATAATTAAAGCTGTAAATTATTAATAATCTTAAACTCATTTATACATTTATAATAAAACTAAAATATATTAATATTAAATCTTCTCAGAACTTTCCTTATCAAGTTGGCAATAATAAATAATAGATTATTAAATTTAATAAAGATTTTTAGTATTGACATTTTAAGAGCATGAATTATTACTTGTAGATAATAAATTATATGTTTATAAATCAATTTTAGAATTTATACCTAATACTATTGTAGAAAGAGATGTTTATTCTAGATTCACTTATGCTGATGTCATTTTTAGTAATTATTAAAATAAACCTATTACTGTGAAAGTCAAAATAATTGGTGATATTTTGAAATTATAGTCTTTATAATACAATGAATCAGATTATTAAATCAATAATGGTTTATTATAAATTGACTAAGGTTTATTATTTGATGGACCAATCTCAAGTATTGGCACAGATTTAGATAATTAAATTGAAATCATTCAGAGAGTAAGTATGTATGAATAATAACCTAATTGGATCAATAAAGAGTTGAATGATCTAATTTATATTGGAAATAACTTAAGAGTTATTTATTAGAATTCCTCTTTATTTTTATGTTCAGAGAGTAAATGTTAATCAATTTTAAATAATACTTAAGATTGTATTACATTAGAGTAAGATCAATTATAATTTTATTTGGTTTGTAAAAAGTTTATTTATTCTGGTTTGAAATAAAAACCAGAATCAATAAATAATATAGACTTTACACCATTATCTAATGAATTAATTAATATAAAATTTGATTAAGGTACGAAAATAGGAATAATAAATAGATAAGGAATTGAAACATAATTTTCCCTATATATTAATTATCAATTAAAAGAAAAAATAGTTATTAATGAATTATAGGATTTCTAATTTAATGATTCAAATATAATATTATTAACATCAACTAAGGTGATTTTGGTTGATAGTTAATTAAAAGAAATACATTCATATGAATTATTAGATGATTTGATCAAGACAGAATAGAACTTTGCATTAAAATTAGTAAAATTTACAAAAATATGTTAATATAAAGAAAATTAATATATAATTTCAAGTTAATATGGTCCAATATATTTAATATATTTAAATAAAGAATATTCAGAGTTAGTCTTACAATTTACAAATATTCATAATTCAATTCCTATTGATACTTATTTAATTGAAAAAGATGTTTTAATATGCGTTTATAAAAATGAGAATGATTAATATTATGTTGTTTTTTATGATTTTGAGGATAAATCAAAATCATCTTTAATAATTCCATATTTTAATGTGATTGAATTGGGATCTTCATTTTCAAAATTCCATTACACTAGATAGTATAATAATAATTCAATTATTTTGATTGATAGAAATGATACAAAGTCAATCTTTGTTATTAATGATTATGTAAAATAATATAAAATTTGTTTAGCTCTAAATAAAAAGTGTTTCATCAAATAAATATCTCCAATAATTAATTGCATATGATTTAAATTTCTAATAAACAAAAATTAATTTAAAAATAGATTTTACAGAAACTGATTAAACTACTGAAAATTGGATAATAGCTATTTATATTTTATGTGGTATATTAGGAATTTTAGTTTTGTTAATTTCATTTCGATATATAAGAAGATATTGTTTGACAAGACATCTTCAATTTGAAGAAGAGAAACCATCAGAATTTTAAAGTTAATATATTTGATATATATATATATTATTTTAAAGACCCCTAAAAATCAAGAAAATCTAAAAATTAGTATAAATGTAATATCATCTCTACCTAAACTTATTAATTTCCATTATTTTTATGCTTCTAGCATTAACATATCAGCAGCTTTTTCTATTTAAAGTGGATAATATCTACTTATTAATTTACATATCTAATAATTTTTATTTATTTTACATCTTCTTCATTTAAATGTTCAAATAATCCATCACTACCTATTAAGATAAAATGATCATCTTTTGTTAATTATATTTCAAAAATTTCAGGAACTGCAATTATTCCAGCCTTAATACCCATTTTATCTCCAAAAGACCTTGTCATTGCCAATCCTGGCATTTCCTCATTTTACATCCATACTCTCAAAGGACTTCTTGGTCTTCCATATATATCTATTTATTTATTAGTATTTTCTTACCTTTATTACATTCTACTCTTCCACCAAATTTAATTATTCTATCTCTCTCTAATCCTATGGGTTTATGTAACCTATTTAATCTAATTGATTAGTATTTATTCATCAATTATCTTCTCCCTAAAATGGCTTTTGAATCTCCTACATTACAACAAAATAAATGTTATTCATTAATATGGACACTAATGCCAGTCGATCCTCATTCTTATACAATATTACCTGATAATTATGTATCAATATTTGATTCTAATAATTTATCATTCAATAATTCATAGGCTACTTTTATTTCATCTATATTTCCTGTATTACTTTTAATGAATTCTATATAAGTTATGAATATTTTGATACTTTCTAAGTTAAATTTGATGAATGAAGAAACTAAATGACCAAATTTACCATGACCATCATAAATACCAAATAACTTGTATTGTAAATCTTTTAAAATTAAATAAGAATCTTAATTGACTTTTTGTTAATTATTAATGTTTAATCCACTTAATGTTCTTGTTTAATAAGATATATTCCCTATTAGATCTTTAGTTCTATCAGATTTTAAATCAACTGTGTTTGTTGAGATATCTAATTTTTTCAATCCATATTTTAGATTCTTTCCTTTTAATTAATGAATAGATTTTCTTTCTGGAGATTACTAAAACAAAAATATATTTGGCAAAAGAAGAGCTTTTTCTTGATTTTAATTTACTCTCATAGGGGTATAATTTGCTTTTCTAAAGTAATTCATATATTTATTAATATAATTATTTACTATCAATAAAATAATAATAAATGATATATATGATTCATCTTAATCCTTAAATACCAAAATTAATTATCTTTAACAATTATTAATTCTCAATTGCAGCCAATACTCTTTCTTTATCTTAAAATAATTTATTTAATTCAATTTCTTTAATGTGTTTATTTTCCTTTATTTCTACATAAATTTTATAATTTTTGGGTAAGCTTCTCATTAATTTAATTTTTAAAGTAAGTCCAATTGTTTAAGCCATAGAACAATGAGGAATAGTAGGAGTAAAATACACAATTACCCTATTGCCTTATATCTAAATATCACTTGGATTAACTATATTCAATTATTCTAGAGTAAATGAATGTTCAGGATCCTTAATTGACTTAATTAAATCAAATATCTCATATTCATCAATAGGATCCTCTACATCAGGGTCTTATTCTTATTACTTTCTACTTATATACTATTGAGTGAATTCAAAATTACCAGTTTGAAAAATTTTTGGTTAAGGATTTTCCAATTACATTTTATTAATTAATATTCAAGTATAAAGTCTAATTATTTTATAAACATTTCAGAATTACTTTTAAAAAGAAATTTTTATTTGTAACTCATTTATATAAAGAGTAATAATTTTAAGATTAATATTAAAAGTAATTTTTAACAATTCCAGATTATTTTTATATATGAATAAATCCATAAATGAAAATTTTTGCTTAGATAAATATATTTATTATTATCAAATCAGATAAAAGTAAGATGAACTAATGTTTAGAATAGAAGTAATTATTTATTCTTATTTATTATTTTTAATTTTCTTTGTGCTTTCTATATATTAATGAATTCATGTTAATTCAAAAATAGAAGTCTCCATATTAATAAATTCCTTTCACTTACACCCTCTTATAGAAATTAATATTCAAATAGGCAAAATGAATAGGTTTTAAGTTTCAGCAATGATGATTAAATTACAGAACGTAAATATATGCCATTCATCTACACTAAATATAAACCATATTCATATTAAAGACGAATACATAAAAATTTAACTTAGTCTGGTGATTACTTCAATAGTACTATAGAACAAACTTCATTATTGAATTAATTGAAACTTAAAAGTCCTTGTTCTATATCTCCTTTAAGGAAAAAAACATTAAATACCTTTTTATTTACAGACTCTATATAACAATAAAGTCCTATTCATTGCAAAACTGAAGTCAAATAATTTTCATTTGAATTACCTCAAATGCTCATGTAACAAATTCCAAGAAAAAGAGAATACACAATTTTAAAAAAGAAGAAAAAAGTATAAGCTTTAAAAATATAAATTAAGTGATATTTTTTCCTTTATAATATATATTAAATGAATATTGATCCATTTAATCTATTTTATGAGGAATTCAAATATAAATTAAAAAAACACAATATCCAATGTCATCATCTTGAAACACAGTAGCTAGCTAAAAAAGAATGGGAATAAATGAATGAATAAGAAAAATATCGATTTGTATACATGTCAAATAGATAACAAGAGGCATATTTAAATTTCCAAAACAAAATTGCAATCAATTAAGAAAATCCTAAATAACCAAACAAAATGACTAAACAAGATTAGAAAAATATTAAATATCAATTTTAAATCAATTATTGTAAAAATGAGGATTGTGAAACTTAAGCAAATATTCTTGAAAAAGAACTCTTAAATATAAATAAAAATATAACTATAAATCGTTATGCATTAATGGGAAATTTTGGGGCTGTTAGTTTATTTGGAATATAAGAAAAAAGACAGTCTGTATTAATTTGGCATACATTAATTAATGGTCCTATTTTAAAGAAATCTTAATTAAAAAAGTTGAATATAAAAGTATAGATGTTTCTCACTCCTTGAATTTAAAAAAATTGAATAATTACTTTAATTTATCATATTAATAATTTTGATAATGTATTTAAATTTTTAATTTATTATATATAAAACATTCATATATATATATTCATATTTACTCTTGTAGTTTTGAAAATAATAAATTTATAACTAGTCTAATTATATATTGATTTTTAAATATAAAAATATTTAGAATAGGTATGTTTAAATTTATCATTTTCAAATATTTTAGTTTATTGATATAAATATATCTTAAATAATAATAAAATTTTATTAGAATTTATTGATACAATATCAATGATTAGGGATAGCCACATTATAATGTCCTGGTCTAAAAAGTAAATTTACTTGGAGTAAAATTTATTCATTTTCATTTTTATATTCTTAAACTTTTAATACACGAGCATCTTCATCTACATAATATAAGATAATATCACTAAATTAATATAAAAAAATAAATTACATTAATAATTTTCTAGATAATAAATTAATAATCGATTGATTATTTTCACAATCAAATTCCCAAGTCAAAATTTATTATTACAAATTCATTTCAATAACCTCAAAAACCATTTTAGTTTCTTCATCTTCCAAACACAACTTATATATTATATTTCTTAAAAATATTATACATAAACCATAGAATTACCCTTCAGGGTTTGAAAATAGTTTTATAAACTCTTATTCTCTACTTTCTAAATCAATAGCTCTAATATATTAACAATAATCAATAAATATTTAATTCATTTCCTCATTTTATTCATACATTTAATCAGAATGTATTACTGAAAAAGGAAGTTATTAGACCATTTTTATGAAATCTTCAAATTGTTAATCTGATGATTTAATAAATATATATCTTAGATATTGAAATCCAAAAGATGTATAGAAACAATTACCATCTCCTCTTGCTCTTCTCATACCTTTCAAGTGATTTGTTAATTATTCTTGTATTTTTTCATTATTCATTCCATATTCATCAAGTAAAAAATCTAATTATTTTTCATCACTTATAAATGATTTGAACTCTTCAGGTACATCTCTGGCTCTTAATGTTTGATCATAAATTTAATCTAACAATTAGCTTTTTTTTATGTCTTGTAATTAAACCTAAGGTTTTATTATTTTTTATATTTTATTTTCATTTACAGTCTCATTATGTTAATCATTATTTTAATCATTATGTTAATCATTATTTTATTCATTTTTTTAATCATTATTTTTTAATATTTCAGAATTCTTTTTCTTCTAATTTTTATCATTTAGAAATTTAGCAAAGCCTATAGCAAATACTATTCCGAAGAGAATATAGCTTTTATTTATTGGCTTATTAAATCTATAATTTCTAATTATAAAGGCCTTAATGATATTCATTAATAAATTAATATTCTTAATATTAATATAAAATAATCGAAATTTAAATTATTTTGCAGAATTCTATTAAGTATAAATATTAAAAATGAATTTCAATAATAGGATCAAGGCTTTAAATATATCTCAATAGATTAAGAATTTGTTTTGTAAATTTTGCAATTTAATTAATATCTATAATATTTATATATTTTAATTAATAATTTTATATAATGAATTTTATTGATATTCATTTTAAGGCATCCTAATATATAGTAAAAATCTGGTTAATTAATGTTTTGTAATAAACTATGAAACATTTAGTTTCAGAAACAAGGTCATTCAATTTTTATTATCAATACAAATAGTTGAATCTTCATAAATTTATAAGGACTCATAGAATTATCTATTAGTTATATTTCATTACATATTCCTAAATAATAAATCTTAGTTTAATCTCGTTAATTATCTTTAATCATATTTTAAATGAATTTACTTATTTGAACCAAAAATGAATAACCTATTGAGTAATAATAAGATTAAGTTATCAATATAAATTATGTTTATTAATCGAATTAAAATATTAATGTTAAATTATATTATTTAAATCTTTTTAGAAGTAACGTTAACAATGGTTTAATAAATTTTTCTAGTATTAGTAAATTTTCTATAATATAAAGAATTAAGAGTTTAAGAAAATTAAGAGATTGAGAAAGAAATCATAAGACTTAGTATAATAAGGCAAATATTGGATTATTGTTGTAATTTTTATTAAATAAAGATATAAAAAAGTTATATGGAAAAAATAATCAAAGCAAGAAGATTTCTTTTAAGGCAATATAGACTTAATAAGATTTTAATGAATTCACTTAGTAAAATAAATATAATATTTGACATATATTCATTAATATTTATTAAATTAAACAAAGATATTAACATTTCATTTTATCAATAATAAATATTAATAAATTAAATAACCATATATAGATTAAGTATGAGAATACAATACAAATGAAATCTAAAATAAATAATAGTGTTTATAAGTTATATTGAATATTCAAAAATCACATTTAGATAGTTATTATAAATGATATTAAAAAAGATGGTATAAAGATACAATGATTTTAATTTACTTAGAGTATTTTTAATAATAAATTGGTTGTGATATACTATTCTACCTATTTCTAAAAAGATTATTAAGTATAGTCTATAATTGTCTTGATTTGAAAACATTTGGTGAAAATATTTTTAAATGTTTTCACTGAAATACCATATATTTAATATTCAGATGATATTCAATAATAAAATTTAAGAACTATATGCACAGAAATAAAAAATGTAAATGTATTTGTAGTAGTGTATGAAATTTATATTTTGACAATCATTTAAATCTGATTTAATATTGAATAGCATAAAATAAAACTAATTTATAAAATATAATTTATATTAAGTATTTAAAACCTTTATCTATGAATATCCTTATCTAAGAAGAATTAGAGAATAGTTAATAGTTGAGTAGTTAATCATTGATTAAATCTAATTCTTATGTATATAATTAGATGCTAAAAATAAATAATGGATTGAAAACCTATACATTACCATCAATACTAATTAATTAAAATAATGACCCAGAAAATTTGATGATATCAGAATTAACATTTCGATCACTATCCAATGATGTTGACTCAAGATTAATTTAAGAATTTTAAAGTAAAAGACACATCATAGAACCTCATTAAATATAGATAAGACAACCATCTCCTTTTTAACTAAATAAATAAACATGTTAGATTTGTTTAAACGAACTTAATAATATTATAATAATTGAATAGTGCAATCATCAATTTTGTTAAAAATGTATAACCTTATATTTATACAATAAAATAATTTCTGGTGTTGTATAAAAGATTACATGTCCATAATTTGGTTGTTGTACTGTTTTAAGTGAACTTTAAATTAAATAAAATATTAATCAAGAGGTTTATCTAAAATATTAAAGGTACAAATATAATCAAATATTGAAGGTTCTTATTAATAAAGTAATATGAACATGTTGTCAATGGAAAATGGTGTCCAAGACCTGATTGTTTTAATTTTGTTTTTTAGTAAGGTTAAGAAAAAATACTATAATGTGTATGTGGATAATAATTTTGTTTTGATTGTGGGAATCCAAATCATCCAAATAAAACATGTTAAGAAAGTGTAGATTAAGTATTTGCTTAAGCATTGTAAGATTATAGAATTTAAAAATGTCCTAATTGCAAAGCTAACATACTTAAAAATGGTGGTTGTAATCATATGACCTGTACAAAATGTCATTATGATTTTTGTTGGCTATGTGGATGTAAGTATTCATCAATTCATTATGATTGGATGAATCCATGTAATTGTCCTGGAGATTAATATTAAGAAAGAGATCCATATTAATATCCTAAAATTTTAATTTGCATAAGAGCAATACTGAAACTCTTAATATATCTGCTTTTATCACCAATATTGGCTATAGCAGGAATAGGATTGCTTGTATATGCACTTGGTTACTTATTATCAAAAACTTGTCATCTCTGTAGATGCCTCAAAAGATGTTGCTAAACTTTATGTAATTGAAATTGACTTAATATTAATTCTTAATAATGCAAATATAATTAAATATGGCCGTCTGGCTCAATTGGTAGAGCACCAGATTTCGGGTCTGGGGGTTTAGGGTTCAAGTCCCTAGGTGGTCGAAGTTATTTTTGTTTTTTTAATATTTTTAAAAATAAGAACTTTTATGACATATATTATAATTCATATATTAAATTTATTCAATTCTCTGGCTATGGGTATTTCCTTATATAAATAGATACATATATAGATTTAAAATACCCTAATTTTTATCAATTTTATGTTTATATTATTAATGAAACTAAATACAATTAAATTTAAATATAAAAATATTAAATAAAATGAATTTAAGAGGGAAATCATATTTGCTAGAAATTATAAATTAAAAAGAAATAATTTACTTTTATAAAGTAGTTAAAAAATCAATTGATTATTCCAACTGATATTCTTTTCTTTAAAAAAAAATGTGTAAATATTATTAAAAAAAATTATTAAATACTTTAACTTTTATTATAAACATGGTTATAGTTTAGTTAGTATTTTTTAATTTAATTATGTATTGAATGTTTCCTTTAAATAAAATCTTAAAGAATAGAAATATGAAATGAATTTACTAGATTTATGTATAGAGCAATTTGATAAGTAATTAATTACAAATTATAATAATTGATAATATAAAATATTTTTATGAATAAAACTAATAACAGTATTAAAGATTTACAGCTAAGACTTCTTATTTCTGAATCTGAAAAGTAAGTTGCTCTATAAAAATTAAATGATATTAAACGTAGTGATAGAGCTAAACCCAGTTTATCCTTTTTTACACCATCCAAAGATGAAGCTAAAAGAAAGGATAAAGTGGGCAAATTGCTAATAGAATTAATGAATTTAATTGCTACTAATAATTCTCTACAATGCATGCTTGAAATTAATTCATTAGAGAATATGATGAAAATGTTTGATTAAGGAAAATGCTATAAACTTCTAAAGAAGATTATAAAGCCCTTTACTTTACTAATCACATATTTATTAAATACAAATATAACAGAATCTTTGAGTGTGAGAAGTGAAAATTAAACTATACAACATCTTAATAATTATAATTCAGTTCAAGCAGGAATTCAAACTCCAATGTCTTAAGTAATAACAATTAATTCAAATAATTTGCATAATCATAAAACTTCATTTCCTAGCTCCATAGCTTTTAAGCCTCCTAGCGAAGCTACCACACCTGAGAAAAGTGTGAAGTAGGCTCCAATTTCATAACCATAATAAAAACAAACAATATAATAACCAAAAGGGATAGGGAAATCATAAAAACCTATATCAAGGAGGACAGTTACCAGTAAATTGAATACTTGTGGAGATTGAGTAAAACAAGAATGATGATTTCAATATAATTTATTTTCAATATACATAATTTAAACTGACAATTTTTAATTAAGAAACAATCTACATATGATGAGTATAAGTGTAATTATTTTATCAAATAAGGATGATAATAAGTTATAATAAATTAAGTGTGTTATTTTTTACATTTAAAATATTAAAAGAATAGTTAGAAAATATAAAATTTCTATTAAAATTTATAAATATGATTTAGATTGTGTGTGTTTGTTTGTTTATTTATTTTATACAATAGATCAATATTTGTAATCGTCATGTTTGAATGGACCATTTTAGCTGACACCAATGTATTAAGCTTGTTCATTAGACAAGATAGTAAGTTCAGCACCTAATTTCTTAAGATGGAGGACTGCAACTTTCTCGTCAAGTTCTCTTGGTAATTTGTATACTAATGAAATTAATAATAAAAATACCTTAATTTCCATATTTTCCATTGTCTCTATTAATCCATAATTCAATTTAAGCTAAGGTTTAATTGGTGAATGAGTTTGACATAACAAATGATGGATGTCCTGTGGCACAACCTAAATTAAGTAATCTGCCTTCAGCTAACATAATAATTCCATGTCCATCAGGGAAAATCCATTAATCACATTATGGTTTAATTTGAATTCTCTTAATTCCTTCCCATTATTTTAATCCCTTGATATCAATTTCATTATCAAAATGTCCGATGTTACCAACAATAGCATTATGTTTCATTTAAGACATATGTTAGGCTGTGATAATATCCTTATTTCCTGTAGCAGTAATAAAGATGTCCATGTCTTTGACGACTTTTTCAAGTCTAACAACTTCATATCCTTCCATACATGCTTGGAGAGCACAAATTGGATCAACTTCAGTGATATAAACTCTGCAACCTTATCCTTTCAAAGCTTAAGCACATCCTTTTCCAACATCTCCATATCCACAAACTATTGCTTTCTTTCCTGATAACATAACATCAGTTGCTCTGAAGATACCATCAATAACTGAATGTCTGCATCCATAAATGTTATCAAATTTAGATTTAGTAACTGAATCATTAACATTAATGGCTGGGAATAATAATTCTCCTTTAGCAGCAATTTATTTTAATCTATGTACTCCAGTAGTTGTTTCTTCTGATACTCCTTTAACTTGAGCAACATAATTTCTGAATTTGTTTGGTGTTTATTAGATTTCTCTTTTTAAAACAGTCAAAAATGCTTATTCATCTTCTGATTCAGCTCTTTCTGGTTCTGGTAGTTCACCATTTGCTTCATATTTCTTTTCCCATTTAACTCCTTCCAATAACATCATAGTCATATCACCACCATCATCTACAATCAATGTGGGTCCTTAACCATTTCCCCAATCCAAAGCTCTTACTGTACATTCCCAATATTCTAATAATGTTTCACCTTTCCATGCAAACACAGCTGCAGATTTGGCTTAAGCAATAGCAGCAGCAGCATGATCTTAAGTTGAAAAGATGTTGCATGAACACCATCTGACTTAAGCTCCCAATGCTTAGAGTGTTTCAATTAATACAGCAGTTTAGATGGTCATATGTAATGATCCAGAAATACGAGCTCCCTTCAAAATTTATTATGGTCCATATTCTTCTCTAGCAGACATCAAACCTGGCATTTCTACTTCAGCTAAATTAATTTCTTTTCTTCCAAAATCGGCTTATGTAATGTCTTTTACTTTATAATCCTCAGCGTCCATTAAAACTTTTGATTTAAATAAAAAGATTTGAATCCACCTCACTTAAATTACATTAGATAATCCCTATCAAAATCATACGTAAGATGAATTTATGATGTCATTTCTAAATTAGTGTAAGATGCGTATTGTCCCCCATAAATTACATATTCTCAATTCTGATTTGTAATTTTATATATATTATTAAGTAACACAACATCCTATCTTTGAATGTTACTCTTTTCAACATATTGTTGAATAAAAGAAGAAAGCCTTAAAACAATCACAAAATAATTTTATGTCATAAAATCACATCTAATATAAATCGACCTTTCTCATTATTTTCACTAAACTATTTTGCTCATTCCTTGGATTAACACATTAATTCTCTTCTTTATTGTCTATAATATAACTTCTTTGATCAATCATATCATCCAAAATTATTGTCATTCATATTTCATTATACTCTTTATTTAGTATTCATCTTTGATACCTCCATAATTGTCTAATCTTGATTTTGTATTCCTCTATTTATATATCAATCCCTTAAGAATATTTTTTATACAGGATGTTAGATTATTATTAAATATATATATTTATATTTAAATATTTAAACAAAAAATAATAATACTTAACTTGCATTCAAGATAAAAATTGTATATGTTCTACATAAACATATATTAAAATCTATTATTAATTGTAATAATTTATGTTTTATATTTTTTGATGTTTAAATTTACTTATTTAATTGCATCTCTTTAGGAACAACCCTCAGTACACTCATTCAAACATGTAATAAACTAATTAATAATTGAACATCATTCCATATAGAAAATCAATTATTACTAAAATAACTAACGTAGTAGAAACATTTAAATAAAAATATGTACAATATATATATATATAGTTCAAATAGAAGCGATTCACTATGTAAAATAGTGATCGATTCTACTTTAAATTAAATTGTTTTAATACTTTCTCTTACTCTCTTACAAAGTCTTCATTCTCTTAAAAACTTAAGTATCACAAAATATCTCACATTCTTCATTTCCTACAATCTCATAACTATTAACAAAGTTTCTTTCGATCCTTATTTAGTTAATATTATCTTTATCTTTGAATATTCTGAAGTTCTTGCAGAAAATCATATCCAAGTATTTGACATCAATACAATCAAAAATTCTCAAATAGATTTTTCTGCCATCGAAATTTATGTTTTAAGTAACCTCTTAAAACATAATTTCCTTATATATATTTTCTCTCTAATCAATTTAAATGTCACCTGTTTTGATGACAATGCCACAAAAATGCTTATTAAACATTTATAATTATAAATAAAAAACAATTAAAGTTTTTTTCATTCAAAATCGAGTATTTATGATGCTGATGATAGAATTAATTAATAAATTCTGATAAATTTTGTTTATTTTTAATAATCATTATATTTACATATTTTTATATATAATTTTAATATAAAATATTTATTTATCACAGTTATTTAATTAATTAAATAATTTATAAGTATTTTTTATTTTTTGTAATTTCTGAGTATGATAGTATTTCAAAGTTGAAAAGTAGTATAAATAAATCATAAATATTGAATAATTAACCATTTAATTATTATATATATATATATATATTTATGTTAAAATATTTTTTATTTCAATATTCTTCAGTTTACATTCTAGATTTATAAATTTGATTGCATAAGTATAATTGAATAAGTCTTTTGATTATTTTAATTTTTATAATAGGATTATTATAAAAATATAATTAATTATTATTATGTAACCAGATTAGATTGAAGAGCAGAAGAAGAAAATTTAAGAAAGTGAACATAACGCTAGGAAAAAGGAAATTGAATTGCAATTTAAGAATGTTTTTGATGAAGCAAAAAAAATATTAAAGAGAGAATATTATGAAAATGAAATGAGTGAGAAATTAAGAAATTTATTGGAATGGATAGAAGTAAAGAATTTATATAATTCTTATTTAGAGTGATATAAATAAATTATCAGAAAAGAATGATAGAGACTTTGTTAAAAAATATAAATCATTTGTAGAAACTTATAGAAGTGGACTTATAGAATTTAAAGAAATTCTTTTGAATCTAAAAAAGGTTTTATAATAAATTTACAAATTAGATTGAGGAAAACCGCTAAGAAATAAAAAAAGTGAAAATTAATAGTATCAAACAAAATCCTTAATCTTTAAATACTGAAATAAAATTCTCAGAGAAAAGATTATAAAGAATGAGAGCAGGAGTTCATCTCATTTAAGTATTGGAAGAATCTTTAGCTAGAAAATATTAAGAAACTATGAAAAAATCTCTTTAAGATTAACCAATTTAATAGGAAACTTTGTAGTAATAAATGGATTTAAGTGAAACTGATATACAAATATTTTAAGAATTAGAAAATGGATTCAAAAAAGAAAGAATATCATAAACTAATGTAGACATAGATAAAGGCATTTAGAAATAAAAAGATATTTAGATTTTTGATTAAGTTGAAAGAGTTTTAGAAGAATAGAAAGAGAAATATTAAATAATTTTTAAGGAATTTGATAAAGGATTCTAAAAATAAAAGGTAAAATGTGAATCAATTGTGAAATCATCATATAAACCTGTAAAAGGAGATTTAGATTTTACTCATAAATATTAGGATTCTTATTTTAAAAATTATTTTAGAGAAAAATTTAAATTAGCTAATTATTTCTTAGGTGATTAATTAATTAAATTATTCTTACATGAAAATTAGAAATATGTAAATAAAGTATTGAATAAAAATTCAAATTCATCTTAATAAAATTCTTTTAATGAAAAAAAAATTTATAATAAAGAATTAGACCCTAAAAATTTTATATAATAAGATGATTTAGAAAGTAATGGTAAAGCATTATAAAAAATACTCAAAATAAATGAAGAAATATAAAAAGAACTTTTATAAGATGAACATTAAAGAAATATAGAAGAAATGAATAAAATTGAAATACAAAAAAAATAAGAACATTGGGAAAAAGTATTGTAATAAGATGATCATAGAAAATCAACCCCAAACTTAATTAAAAAAGCATCATAAGTTTAATTAAAGAAATCATAGACAGTTGAAAAAAAAACTATCAATATTAAACCAGTCATTTCCTCATTAAAAAAGAGAACTATTTATTATTAAGCACATCCTAATTTTCCATTAATAAGTGAAGTTTATAAATCTCATTAAAATGTTCCTGAAGAAAGATTAAAAAAAGCAGCTATAGGATATGATATTATTTAATAACCTTCAAGAACTTTATTTACTCCACCAACTAATATTAATTCATAATTTGAAAATAAAAATAAAGTATTAAAATTAGAAGATGACATTTATCCATAACAACCAAATTTAAGAGTACCTCGAACAGCAATGTAAAATTTTAGAGGGACATTTTTTCCAAATTCTCAGCATGGTTTATCTCGCTAAAATAATTAAGATTATAAATCACTTACAACATTATGGGGAGAATAATGGAACAATTATTGAAAATTTTATTCATATTTATTATTACAAATTTTCATCTTTTTTACTTCATATTAATGTATTTTTTATCATAATAATAAATCAATAAATTATCATTTTTATTTCTATAAATAACTTTTCAATTTTATAATCTCTCTCTATAATTCTAATCGTTTCCAACTAATATTTCTTCCTTATTCTTCAATCTAATTAAAAACTTCTAAAACTTTTTCATTTTTTAATCTTTTTACAAGTTCCCATTATAACATTTTTCTATTTTCATATATTAATTTAGCTTGTTTTATAAGTATATCACCCCAACATTCTTTAAATTAATGATTCTTTATTAAAACATCATAAGGTACATTTCCTAATTAATTTGCTCTTTATCGTATTGATAGACCACTAATATCAATTGAATATTCTTCAAACATGAAATTAATAAAATGAGGGTCTTAAACAAATTATTCTATAGTTGTTATTCTTACATCTACTCTAACAAAATTTTGACCACATTTAAGGATTTCAAAAAAATATGGATATGGAACATTTTTTTTGATTAGATATTCACCAAAAAACCTAATGAAATGGGAAAATTTTAATCTCTCATATTTCAAAAGATCAGACAAACAATTATAACTCTCTGCAGGTTCTACTACTTTTTTAGGTGCCTCTAAAATTTTTCTTGCATATTTAGGCAATTTTGATTTATAATGACCCTCTTCATTACAAATATTACGAAGAGAAATAAGATATTTGGCAATTTTAGATAATTTTTCAAATAATTAATTAGGAATTTAAGATATAATAGAATCTTCTTTTAGAATATTTTCTATTTGAATTATTTATGCCTTAGCAGATGTTTTTTTAATATTCTTTCTAATTTATCTTTCATATTTATCAAAATTCTAATTTAATATTTCTAACTAAGCAATTATAATATCTTCTTCACTTAAGGATTCATAAATCTCATAATTGGGTAAAATAGTATTATAATAAAGTGACTTTAATTTTAACCAATCTAAATTTTCATCCATTTACTTAATGCAATATTAAAGTTGTTAGTCCTTAATTTCATCCTTTTGAGATATTTATTTAATTAAATAGTAGGGATATCTTAATTCAACGCTTCCCTTTTAACAAAATATTGAATCTTAACTTGAGAGTATAATATTTCTTACGATTTCAGGGAAACCAACTTTTTATTCATTTATTTACGATATTGAGATGATTATCAATTTCTTTATGATGAATGTTTTAAGTAATTCTATATTATTTGATTTATTAAATATTTCATTTGATAAAAAATAATAACTTTGTGTCTTTATCTTTTGTGCAATACTTATATAAATCGATTTAATTTATATATTTATTTGATCAGTATCTGAAACAGTTGCTATGATTTTTTATGTTTCATAAATTTAATTAAAGTCTTAATAGTTTAAATATTTAGGATTCATAAATTAATCAACATGTGGTGAAAGTAATTACAAAGATAACAATAATAGATATTTATCATTAATTGGTTATGATTCATCAATTTCAATATTTTGTTAATTTTTTAATTTATAATCATCATTCAAAGTAGCTGAAGTAATTAATTCTGATAGATACTACAAATTATCTTTCAATTTAAAATTGCCATTTTCTAATTCAATACAACCCAAAATTTATGGTATTACCCTCTTTTCTTCTAATAATTATAAAAGACCATAAATGACATTCTTTTTTAATTGATCTTAATTTTATTTGTATTATTATTAATTAATTTATATATTGGACAATAAATAGAGCATATTATTAATGGGATTAATTTTAAAATATGATAGTGTACATTTGTATAATTTTAAAGACTTATTTTATTTAAAGAATTTGATTAAATCATCCATGTCTACAATTAAATTTTAATTGATATCTTAAAGTTTATGCTTAGATATAGATTTTTGTAAGAGTTTCAGTTTTTTTAAGGTTTCTTTAGATTTATTATTTAACATGTACATTTTTTTATTTACAAAAATAATCTTAAATCATTATTAATTATTATTAAGAAATGATCTTAATTTAAATCATGGAAATAAATAAATATTATTAGATTACAGGAAATAAAGCAATGATTTATTTTACTAGTTATTTTAATTATTATTAATTAAGTATATAATATATATATATATCTTTAAATATTTATATATACTAAATGAAACATTTTAGATATAAAATATTAATCATATATTTGAAATGAATTGAATTAATTTATTTTATTTAACAGTAAATTTTGATATCAAATCATGAGCTATTCTGAAAAACACAAAAGAAATACATCTCCTGTTTTACGTACAACAAGTGAAGACAGAACAAAAATAAACTAAAATAAGGACAATTACATATAATATTTAGAATAATAACTATAAAAAGTAAATTGAATTTTTAATTTAGACATCAAAAGTAATTTATTAGAAGTATGAAGAGAGAATGAAATTTGTTGAAGAAACATTATAAGAACATGATGAAAAATTTGAGAATTTTATAAAATTAATCAAATTATTGTAACATTTTGCAACAACACAAGAATAAGAGAATATAAATATAAGAAATCATGTTAATATATCAATGGAAGAAATATATAGTAATGAATTAAATAAATTAAAAATACAAAATGGAAAAATTGAATAAGAATTATTTGAAATTCAATAAACATATTAAAAAGAACAACCTATAATATAAGAATTTGAATTAATACTCAATAAAAAGATTGATGTTATTATGGATGAATTAAAATAAAGTGCTTTAAAGAGTGATTATTAAAAGCTAGAATAAAGATTATCTAAATTTGAATTAAATGTAAAATAAGAACAATAACAAAAAATAAATGAATCAGAAAGACAATTAAATAGTAGTCTTACTCATTAATAATAATTAAATGATCTTAAAATAGTATTAGATAGTGTTATCTAAGATTAAGAACATACAAAAAATACAGTATAATAATTGTAAAATGAAATCTACTTTAATAAACGCAAATCTTAAAATTAATAAATTAGAAAATCTATAACCAAAGAATCTTTATACACAGAGAATGACACTTTAGCAATCAGACCTGCAAAAGAGATGAAGGAAAATATAAAGAAATTAGATAATAAAAGAAATAAGAGTAAGTCAAGTATGAGTAGAAGTGGATCAAGAAATGCAAGATTAGAAACTATTAAAAAGCAGAAACAGGAAAATGTTAAAGAATTAATTAAAAAACATAAATAATCATCTTAAAAATACATTTGAAATATTAACTATTCTAATTAGAATTAATTCTGAAATTTATATATATATATATAATCTATATTATGTTTAATAATTTAGATTAGTTAGATAACAACAAAAATATTATAAATTCTTTTTTTTAATATCAAGAGAACCCTATATTAAAAAAAAATAATTATTAATTAAAAAAGATTAACAGAATGTTTTAAATTAATTGGAAAAAAGATATTCATGATATCTCTATAATCTATTCTAGTTACCTTTATTAATTGCCATATTTTTAAAGATAAATCAATTCTTATTAAAAGGAATACTTTATAATATTTTGAACTTATCTTCTAAATTTTCATAATGTGTCCTTTAAGAATTACAATATATAATTTTGGTTCAAGTGAGGCTTTATCTGATTAACTTGAGAAATATACAAACAATTTTAAAGTAATTGAAATTATTGCAAGTTAATGCAAATTTTCAACCAGTTATTAATAAACTCCTCAATTATATTATTTTTTAAACTCCAATATATGTTTGAAAATTAACTTATAGTGATTTAAAAATTAATCCACAGATGCTATTGCTCTTATAAGATCTAGAATATTAAGAAGCTCTAAAATAACTATAATATGTAAAATTAATCAATTATGTAACTTACAGTATTTTTAAGATAACACTTTAATCTGCATAAATAAAATAAGACAAAAATTAGAATTTTAGACAATTGTCTACAAATATAGTGTTTAAGCAAAAAGAATATCAAATTAAAAGATATATTTGAATTTTGAATTTATAAAAATGATCAATATTAGAATTATTTACATGATCCAAATAATTAAAATCAAGTAAATTAAAATCAAATCTATAAAGTAGAAGACATTAAAACTCTAATTTTTGTTAATGTATTCTAAATCAAATTAATATTAAAAGTAATAATAAGAATTTAAATATTTATTGAGAACTAAAAAGGATTTCTGTAAATATAAAAATATATTCATTTATAATTAATCAATAATTAGATCTATTAATTAAGTAATTGTATAAAAATTTGGCTTAATTTTGTGTCTCTTTTATTTCTCTAGTATAATGGATACAATAACTTTTAGAATATATTTGAAAGGAGAGATAAATATAAAAAAGAGTTTTATTTAGAATTGGTTTTAGATTCTATTTAACAATTTAAGTATAAAAAATAGGAATGTAATTTTACTAAAAAAATAAAACCAACATTTTTTTAAGTTGAAAACTTAAATATATATATATTTAATATAATTGTTTTAGATGAATTAAAAACAATGAATTAAAAAAAATCAATGTTGCTTTTAAGTAGTTGAATTCGTTAAAATAAAAGCAATTAATTGATGTTAAATAGTTGATGATATTTAAAAAAAAATTAAATCTATACAAATAAACCTTAAAAGAAAAGAGAATAGGATTCTTTGATTTGACCATTCTAATTAATTAAGAATGATTATTTTTCTATTATCTTTGAATGAAATAATGGAAAAGTTGTTTATAAACTTTGATGACTATACAAACAGAATATTATGTCTTTTAAATATTCTGATTATGTGTTATTTTTTTATTAGAGTTTAATATTTATGTATATAATATGCTAAACTTTAGTTGGTTTATCTTGTTTTCAAATTGGAGAAGAAAAAAAATTGAGAATTTCTAATGTTCTATTTTTACCTGAAATTCATAATGACAATTAATTGTATAAAAGCAAAATAAGTATCAACACTTTTTTCAATTATTTAAATTGATTTTCCCATAGAATATGGATTTAATGTTAGACTAATAGATTGCATAAGTAGAGGAAGTAGAAGAATAGGTTTCTAGCTCTTCTAGTTGTTCTCATGATTCTGATTCTTCTTTTGATTTAGAAAATAAAGTCAACAACAAACCACATCTAAAAAAACTTACAAATGACTTAAACGTAGATGTTTAAAAAAGAAATGGTAAATCGTTTTAATTATCCCTTAGGTAAGTTTGGTTTAAAATACGCAAAAATCTCTAATAGGTAGAGACAAGCATTGATTGAAAGAGTTACCTCTACTGGCTGTACAATTAAGAGTGCTGCCAAAGACTTGAGTATCAATTTTTCAACAGCCAAAGCCATTATGTAGATTTTTAGAAGGGAAGGAAGAATAACAAAAAAAATAGTCAGGGAAATCAAATAGAAAACCAATAAGAGTTTAGGATAAAATAATGAAGGTATTAATACATATGTTAATATTAGAGGTCATTTTGTAGAAATCTTAATTGGAAGAGTAAAATTTAAAGTTTGTAAAAGTTGAGGCAATTTAGGACAATAACGAGACAAATTTATATTAATAGGCAGAAGAAGCTAATAGACATTAAGCTTTAATCATTCAATAACTAAATGCTTAAGTACTTTATTCATTTTATTATTAGAACCTATATCTACAAAGCAGAGTTAATCAATTATAACAAGATAAATTTTAAATAAACTCAAAGTATGAATTATTGTTAATGTAATATCATTAATTATAATAAATGGTAAATTATTTGTAATACAATAGGCTCAATAATTCCTTTAGCCACCAATGTTTTAATTTCCTACATTTGCCCAGTGAATCTTTAAACTTATATATTTATATATATATATTATAATAAATTAAATTAATCTGTAATTAAAACAAAGTTAAATCAAATTTCAAATTATAATATATATATATATGATGAATTAAATATGAAAGGACATAAAAATAATAATTTACAATCTTTGAATTTTATTGTTAAGCTTCTTAACTATTATCAGTAGTCTTAATAGATCTAAATATAAAATTTAATTAATAGAGAAATTTTGTGCATTATTAAACAAATTAAACATGTCTATCAATTAAGAATTTAATATTATTTTATGGGTAATTGTAATATCTATGGTAAAGAAGTAGAAGATGATGATTAAAGTATTGTTTAGTAACATAATTTAGATCAATCATCCTAAAATTTTGAATTTATCGAACTTTTGGGTTAAGGAACCTTCGGAAAAGTTTGGAAAGTGTAAAGAAAGAAAAGCAAAGAATACTTTGCAATGAAAGTCATGGATAAAGAATTGTAAATATTGTCAATAAACTTTAGAATTATAAGAAGATAATATGCTACTGTTGTTATGTAGGAACAAAACATACTCACTTCTATTAGACATCCATTTTTAGTTAATCTCATTGCATCTTTCTAAGACAAAAAAAGATTATATTTAGCACTTGATTTATTGACAGGAGGAGACTTAAGATAACATTTAAACCATAATAAATTGTTTTCAGAAGAACAAACAAGTAATATTTAAATACTATAAAAGAATTCTTTATTGCTTGTATTATAGTAGCCTTAGAATATCTACATGAACAAGGCATCATTCATAGAGACCTTAAACCTGAAAATTTGGTTATGGATTAAAGAGGATATTTGAGATTAACAGATTTTGGATTGGCCTCAATTTGGAAACCTAATAATTCTTAAGACATTAATGGAACACTAGGTTATGTAGCACCAGAAATTATGTGCAAATAAAACCATGGAATAGCAGTTGATTACTTTGCTTTAGGAGTCATAGCTTATGAATGTATGTTTGGTAAAAGACCATATACAGGATCAAATGCTAATCAAATTAGAGATCAAATGCTTTCAAAATAAGTTCAAATTAAATAATCTCAATTGCCAATAGGTTGGACTTTAGAGGCTGGAGACTTTATTAATTAAGTATCATAAAAAATTTAAATTTAGCTAATATAAAGAAAGCCAGAAAATAGATTAGGTGTAAATTCACCAGAAGATGTTAAGAATCATAGATGGTTTAAAAATTTTGATTGGAAGAAATTACAATCTAAAATTATGCTTCCACCTTATAAACCTAAAACTAAATTTAATTGTATTGAAAATAGTTAATAATGCTATGCAAATAAAAAATAAATAACTAAAATTATATTAAATGATTAGCAATAATGTATTAGTAAATTTAAACCTTTAGCTTAATTCGAAGGATATTGTTTTGAGGCAGAATTAATAAAGAACAAAGTTTGAGATGTTTAAATTTTCTATTGAATTTTCTTAATTACTTGTATATAAATAATTAAAATACCATATAAATAATATTTTCTTACATTTTTACAAATTATATATTGTAGCATTATTAAAATCATCAATATTTCTGTCAAAGATCACAATTTTATAAAATAATATCCAAAGATAGTTTAACTGCATTGATTTAATTTATTATTAATTATATGATAACAATTATATCAAAAGATAATGTGAGGATTAATATTTCCAAATAAATTATTGAACTAGCAAAAGGATTAGAGCCTTATTCAATTGATAAAGATATAGTTTTTGAAGATATTGTGACTGGAAATTTTTTATAAACATTTAAATTATTTTATGAGGAATTCTAATTTGATATTGAAAAAATGAAATTCCCTAAGCCTATTTAATCAAAAGAAAATCAAAAAATATTTGGTAAAGTCTTATTGGAACATATTAAACCCTATATGGATATTGCAAATAGAGATAAAAATATTGATATATTTATTCCATTTATTCAAGGCGCTTACTTATTTTAAGCTAAACATTTTATTGAATTTATTAATTGTTGTTTAGCTATGATGATATAATTCAAAGGATAATCTGAATATGATATTAAATAATTTTAAAAAGATTGGAATCTGTCTGATTTATAATAAGAATCCTAGTTTAATTAGTAAAATTTTATATTATCTAGATTATTTTTTTAGAAATTATAGAATAAATACATTTAAGTATTATCTACAAAAGAAGGTGAATAATAAGTACAATAAATACCTATGGAAGAAGATTTATTTAGTGATGAATGGTGACCATGACTTTGAAAACTAAATTTATAAGTAAATTTAATATAAATTCTATTCAATTTTTTATTTTTATAGATATTATATATAAATCATAAATCTCATTATCTAAAAATGAATATTTCTATGAATTTATACAATACAAAATAATTAATTATTTTACACTATATAATTATATAATTAATTAATATATAATTAAATGGCAATGTCTAATGGTTCATCAATATTGGTTGGAACAATAATCTACGTAGTCTTAGGTGTAGTTGCATGTTTTGGATTCAATTTTTATGTCACCAAAAAAACTAAAAATCCTCATGATGTTCCTGAAAATAGAACGTAATAATCAATTTCAATATAGAATAACTCTTGTAAGCGTGACTATTGCTACATTTTGTGTTTGGTTAATGTGGGTAGTTGCATATATGGCATAAATGAATCCAATTATCACACCAGAATGGGAAAGCCATTAACCAAATGAAGAAACTTGAGTATTGTATTCATATTTCATTAAAAATAATTTACATTTATTTATTTTATTCATTTACATCTCCTCAGATTTCTATTATAATAAAATAACCTACAAGTTTATCCTTAGTAGGTCATAGACTTACTTTTTTGATATATACAGATATTAATTGTTCTGAATTTTTAGAAAAGTATGTAAAAATAGAATCATATGTCTCAGATAGTTTTCATTATCATCAAAAAAATATAGTAAAAATAATTACTATAATATAATGATGCTTTAAATATTTATGAATGTTTTAATTAATTTACATGTGATGATTCTTTCATAAAAGTATTTGAATTTCAAACCTAAGAGTTGTTTTTTCAATTAATACTAAGATCTTCAATTCCATTCAATTTAGTCCTATAATTCTATCCTTTGAGAAATGTTTAACTAAATTATTTAATCATATTAATTTGATACAAATGAAGTATCTTCAAATAGGTTTTACTTAGATTAATTCTTATATTTAGTTTAAATATATTTATAAAAATAATAATATTTACTTTAATAATTTATAAAATTGAAAAGCACTAAATTTATCTATAAATTATTTGAAAAAATCTCTTTTAGTTTTGATTTCAAGTAAAATTTCTTGATATAAAGCAACTTCATTTATTTAAAGTAATTTATGTGCTTTCAATTTAACTTATTTAGGAAAGAGTTTAAATACTCATAAATAGTAAATCACTTAAAAAAATCTTAAATAAATTAAATGTACTTTTTATATTAAAAAAAATTTTAATAAGACTAAGCTTTTGATATTATTGTTGGTAATTTTTTATCAATAATTACATTAACTTATGATTAAGATTAAAATTACATTATTATTGTTATTTACTTTTGATTAATTATAATTTTTCTTTATATATTATGTCATTCTAAATAAATTAATCAGTATTATTAGATATCCATTTTTAAGTAATTGTAATAATTTCTTATTTTTTTATTGATTATACTTCTTTAACTCATAATTATAATTATCTATTAAAAATTAATGATGTTTATATATATAATCATTAAGAAAATCAATTCTCTATATTTTGAAGGCTTTTACTCTAAAATTAGAAATTTTTTAATTTTATTTAACTTTTATATATGAGCTTATAGAAGTATTCTTTTTTCGAGAAAATACTAAAAAAATCATTTCAATGTGATAAAAGTAGAAGGAATAGAATTTACAAATGATTGTTTAAATATTCTATAACAACAGTATAATTTTATTAAAAATAGCAATTAAAGAGTCAGTGATTTTAGAGTAAATGTGTATACTAAATACATAAATCAAATATGTTCAATCACCCTGAAATTCATCTTCAGAATGTACTTTATTTTAGGAAAAATATTTTCTCATAATTTATTTGCTTCTCAATATAGGTTTTTCTATTTTAGGCAATTTTTTTATTTTATGATTTCTTCTAAGGCGTGGATTAAAAGGATTGAATTTCTAATGGTGAGATCTTCATTAAAACTATAATTACCTGCATTAACTTGGAGTTCTAGTACCTATAATCTAACTCATTCTTTTAAATAATGGTTATCCCTTTCTTTAAGAATCTCCTGAACCTTTGGCTCTCAGTAAAAATTAAACATATTATTAATGTTCTTCTTCACTCCAATGACCTGATTTTATATGGGTACTATTGCTTAAATCTTATTATTTCGAATTATTTAAGTTTAACTCAAGATATTCTGAGTGTAATGATCCTGAATTTTCAGATTTCATTAATTTTTTTGATTTTGAATCTTAAAATAAATAATACTCAGAACCTAAAAATAAATAAGGATTTTAAATATTATTATTAATACTTTTGTTTCATATAGCATAAATTCTTAATTTACTGAACCTAATCCATAATAAATAGTAAAGTAATATCTAAAAAAATTAGAATACAGAAAATCCAATTTAATTAACTTAAATTTCATTTTAAAAGGCAAGTAAGAATCTATGAATCATTTCAAATCAAATTTTTATTCTAAGATTAGTTATTCACATATAATGAATACATATCTTGAACTTTAAAATAAATTGGTTGATATTTAATTATTTTGAATTATTATATATTTCCATGAAGTTGCAAAGTTATGATATAGTTTTATTGAAAATTAAATAAATTAAATTAATTAGTATTTTATCACAAAGAGCAATTCCAAAAGCTACTTAAATCCATTTACATTTGATATTTCTACTAATTCATGAAAAATATAAATAAAAGTTGGAAATTCTAATATATCTATTAGATTTTATGATCTATTATAATAATTTAGTAATTTAGATGATGAAATATTTTAAGAATATTTAAAAAAATGAAATATCATTTTCTTATAATCTTAATGATCACGCAATCAATAATTATAAATGTTTAATATATTATTAAATGATTAAAATTTTAATATATACTATAATCTGTAAAGATGTATTTTATAATCTGATTGGAAATCAATGGTAGCAATGATTTATATTTTATTTAATCCAAATTAAATATCTAGAAGATAGTAAAGATTGAAGATTGCATTAATTTATAAAGAAGAAATGATTTTGACAATATTACTATAGCTTTAGTAAATAACTTAAGATAATTCCTTATAATTTAATATAAGACAAAGTAGCTTTATTTTATTATTTAAAATACTATTAAATTACTCTTAATCTACGTTAATTTATAGAGATTGAATTAATTATCAAGGTTTTAATACTTGTATAATTGGAAAATCCTCATAAATATAGAAATTTTATTTTTATAGATCGTTTTTGATGATTTTAAAGAAATATATGTTCCATCTAATTTTTAATAATCTTTATGTTAAATCTTAGTTTTTATTTTATTCACTTATTATTATATAGTAAGTTCAATTAGTTATTTGATTAATGATAACATAATTGAAGCTTATTAAAAAAGTATATGATGTCATAGAATAAGTATATGTCTTTAATTCTCAAAATAATAATTCTTAGGAATATATCTGAAAGAGAGAGTACATTTTTTAATTATAATGATAGAAGTATAATATAAAGAGAATTAAATAAATAAAAGTTTAATGTATGTTCATAAATGAATAAATATAAAAATGGGTATTTAATTCGAAAAGAAATTTAAAAAAATTTAAAGATTTTTTATATATATTAAATGTCTCACAGAAAGTTTGAAGCACCTAGACATGGAAATCTTGGATTTACACCAAGAAAGAGAACAAAGCATCACAGAGGAAGAATTCGAGCATTCCCAAAAGACAATGCCAAGAATTCAGTTCATTTGACAGCCTTTGCCGGATTCAAGGCTGGTATGACTCACATTTTGAGAACCGTTGAAAGACCAGGATCAAAATTGAATGGTAAGGAAGTAGTAGAAGCTGTCACTATCGTTGAAACTCCACCTTTGGCTATTGTTGGTATTGTAGGATATATCGAAACACCAAGAGGATTAAGAGCTTTGACAACTGTTTGGAGTACTAAGATTGCCAAAGATACTTTGAGAAGATTCTATAAGAATTGGATGAACTCAAAAAAGAAGGCTTTCACTAATTACAACAAGGCTAATGCTGAGCCAAAGAATTTGGAAACCCAATTAAAGAGAATCATCAAGTAATAATATTTTTAATATATTTTAGATATTGCTAAGTTGTCAGAGTTATTGCTCACACCTAAATGAGTAAATTAAACTTAAGATAAAAGAAGAATCACGTTTTTGAAGTTTAAGTCAATGGAGGCACAGTTTTAGAAAAAGTTAATTATGCCAAGGGATTATTAGAAAAGGAAGTTAAAGTAGATTAAGTCTTCAAATAAAACGAATAAATTGATGTTATTGGTGTCACAAAAGGTAAGGGAGTTGCTGGTGTCATCAAGAGATTTGGTGTTAAACATTTACAAAAGAAAACCCATAGAGGTTGGAGAAGAGTTGGTTGTATCGGAGGATGGCATCCAGCCAATGTCAGATACAGTGTTGCAAGAACTGGTCAATTGGGTTACCATCACAGAACAGAAATGAATAAAAAGATCTATAGAATTGGTGCTGCTGGAGACAAGAACACTGCATCAACTGAAGCTGATTTGACATCTAAGGCAATCACTCCATTGGGTGGTTTCCCACATTATGGTGAAATCAGAAACGATTTCCTCATGCTCAAAGGAGGTATTGTTGGACCCAAGAAGAGAGTTGTCTTGTTGAGAAAGTCTCTTGTTCCATAAACTAATAGAAAGGCTTTGGAAGAAATCACTCTCAAATTCGTTGATACTTCATCCAAAATTGGACATGGTATAATCTTTAATCTATTTTATTAGGACGTTTCTAAACTTAAGAAGAAAAGGCCAAGTTCTATTTCACTAGAACCTAGAGAAAATTAAAGTAACAATAGTAAAAATAATAACAATGATGATGTATAATTATGTAAAGAACCAATATTTCATAATCTTTTATATTATTTTAAATATTTACTATACTTTTTTAATATATCAGAATCTCAACTTAGAAAACAGGAATCTTGATTAAGCTTTTTTGTCTGCCAAACTTCCAGCTGGTAAAGTTCTGTACTTTTCAGCCAAATACTTTCTCAAATTCTTTCTCAATTCCTTTCTTTTTTCAACATTCTTCAATTCAGATTCTTTGACTCTCTCAATTCTATCTCTGACTTCTTTTAATGTTGATTCTTCTAATCTATATCTATAAATAGATAATTATATTTAATAACCTTGTTGGCATTATATGGTTTAAATTTAATTGTTTAATGAAAACTTTTAATGTGGTTCGCTTTCTAATTTATTTTTATCCCATTCTCTTTGTTACTTTTCTTGGATATCTTTGTATTCCTACAACCAAACCATTTGGGAATTTGCAATCCTATACTATTGTTTTTATATATACTTTTGTAGTTTCTTCATTAGCCTTAATTAAAATTGCTTTTTTTCCAGCATATCTACCTGCAAGCATAACAATCAAACGTCCTGGTTTTAAACTTATATAAGAGTAATTCTTACAATTTTCCCATTTGAAAACACTAAATAAATCTTTTTAATTATTTAATGCAAATTCTTTAAATATCGTAAACACAAAATATTCCATTTATAAATTTATACATTTACACATTAATTCAAACTCAAATCAATAACATCAGTAAACTAACAATCAAGAAGGTTACAGCATCAAATATATACTTAAATTGGACATCAATCAATCCTCCTGCATTTTCATAACTGTGAATTTGAGTAAATTAAATTTAGATATAAAAATTAAATAAGAACATCAATTTGAACAAATTATTTGAATTTTTAACTATACACCTATCAATTTAATATAATTACCTTATCTTTCATTCAATTCTCCATATTTACATAATTTTGGTCCAATATATTTAATAAATACTAAACCAGCCAAATATGGTCCCAATAAAAACAGTGTTAAAATTAATGGGTTTAACCATAAATGAAATTCCTTGACACCTACAAAGGCTCTATCTACTTTAATTGATGATATTGTGCATCTATTTCCAAAAATGAACCAAGTAATCTGACAAATTAATGATATCATAGCCAAAAATGATATCATTGAAAATTTCATCAAATTCCTCCAATGATAGTATAAACAAATAAAGATTAATATTTCATATGTGTATATGGCTAATCCATACTTGTCTGATACAATTATGCAAGAAAGTAACAAAAAAATTGGATCCTTTGAGAAATAATAGTATATAGAAATTGCATAGATAATTTTTGGAATATGTAAGATTACAAATTCTTAATATGGTTAATCTTATATTGTGGTATCTGGATAAATGTAAAAAATATCAATTAGAATTAAACCTGATTATGCTATTATTTTATCTAAAATATTGCTCTTTTTTTAATACATAAATAAACATGTATGTAAAAATATAACAGGCATGTATAGCATATAATGAGATTCATTTAAAAATTGATAGTTTTAGAATTTTAAATAATATTATTCAAAATTTAAAGCATAATAAATAGTTATAGCACTTATAAATGAAATAAAACTATCTTTTATTTTTATTATACTTGAAATTTCCTCTTAAGTATCAATTAATCTTGATATAAAATTGAATATACAAATGACTGAACTTAAAATTAATAGTTCAATAATTTCATTATACAAATACCTTTCCTCAAATTTTTTTTGTTGAATTGACAATAATAATTCACCTTGTAGGATTATTTTATAAATAAAAAATAAAAAAAGTGAGATTTAAATTAATTTAGAGAATCGATTATTTAATTTAATTGAATTTTGTTTTTCTATTAAATCCCATTAATATTAATTGAGGTTTTAAATGTGGTTTTTTTTAATTTTGATAAATATAGCAAAATTAATATAAATCATTAACAAAATAAGTATTATTGTTATTAAAATTTCTACTTCATAGAATATATATAATAAGGCTGATAAGATGGCAAAAATTATGGTTACTTATTTATTATTATAAAAGATATGCTTAATAGCTGCTGTAATTTATTATATTGTTATTGGGTCATCATTTTCTTAAGCCTAAAAGAGTATAACCATAACAAAAATATAGAAAATGATAACTAAGAAATGAAACACAAAACTCAAATTAAGTAATGGAATATCATATTCATTCCATATTTTTCTAGCTACCATCTAAATATCATTCATAAGAATTAAAGCATCTTTACAAGTCTTAACTTCTGAATATTAATTTTACCATTAAATTTTTTAATAATAACTAAATTTCCCTTGTCGACTATGTACAGTTTCAACAAAATTCCATACTTATTTCAAATTATTAAGACAATGTTCTTCACTATTAAAAAATTCATTCATTAAATATCCTAGATTACTAAAAGGTATTGGAATTCCTAAAAGAGTGGCTAAAGTAGGAACAATATCAATTTAACTAATTTTTCTAATATATTCAGATTAATTTATTAAAGTTGATTGATAATTATCTTTTAATTCAGGAATTTTTTCCATATAATTTGGATAAAACTTACCTTATTTTCTAGTAGCAAAAAATAAGGTGTTAGTTTCCTCAGTGCTATTTCCACCATGATTTCCATCATTTGCCATTCCATGATCACCTGCAACTATTAAAATAGTATCATTTGACATTCTTTCATAAATAAATTCAACAATTTAATCTAATTGATTTAATTTTTAGTTTAAATCAGAATTATTTAAAACTCGATTATTTTTATGACCAGCATGATCTAATCCTAAAAAATGAGATACAATTAAATCATATCCTTAATCTAAATTCTATATTATTTTATCACAATTAAATTCATCTACAGAATGCATATCTCCAATATTAAATGATTTTTAAGGAAATTATACTGTAAATTAATCAGGATATAGTCCAATCCATGTATCATCTCCTGAAAAGAGAGTCTTCTTATTAAATTTTTTCATTTGAAACATAATATTGTCTTCTTTAATCTAGAATAGATTAATAAATACTTCTGAAGCATGAAAATTATCCAATAATTTAGATAAAGGTGGAAAATTTCCACTTGTCATTGCTTATAATCTTGGACCTGTAACTGTAGGAACTTCAGCAAAAGATAAAAAAAATAAAGATTAATCTGGCTTGTTTTTGGTCATATTTTTGATAAAAGTGAAATGTTAATTCACAGCTAAATCAATACGGAATGAATCAATGACCAAAAGTATTACAGGTTAAGTTGGTTTCATAGTTCCTTCAGTTGTATCTAATAAGTATCTACGATCTATGAAATATCCTCTAAAAAATATAAGTAAACCAAGCAATTTGAAAACAATAAGAGTAATTATTAAACATTTTGTTTATTTCATTTTTATTTTTAATATTAAAATTAACAATAATAATATTTCTATAAGAATAAAATTTGATTTAAATCAACAAACATTTATAACATATTTATAATATTGTACTTAAATCTCAAAAGACTAAATCATGAGGTCTTGTTGTTTTTCCAATACTGAAACGAGCACCCAAATATTATTTCAATAATGATGTCTTTTTAATTGTAGCAACCAATGAATCATCAATTGATTTTTGAGTCTTTCTTTTCTCATCTAATCTCTTTTTCTCAGCTACTTATTATTCTTCACTTAACTTAATAATCAATATCAATTATACTTCTCCTCTTTTAGCCCAAAATCCTTTTTCATTCTTTCTTCTTTATGCTTCAGTTCTCTTGAAGTATTCATCTTCAATTTTACTAGCATCGACTCCTTTAATATCAACTTTTGTAGATGTTGGGATAACATATGCTTAATTCACTCTCTTAAGTGGTACACCATTAATTTTGAATGGTCCTGTAACAAGTAAGAGTCCTGATCTAAGTTGCTTCAAAAAGACAACTCTCTTTCCTTAGAATCTACCAGCCAATAAGATTAACACCTATCCTGGACTAATTTTTCTCAATTAAGATGTTCTTGGTGCCTTTATTTATTTGATAATCTATATTACTTTTCTTCTTCTAACGAAATGAACTTTTTCATCATCTGATTTGTACCAATTTCCGATTCTAGTGGTTCTCTTTTTTGCTGGCATTGAATAATATATATATTTTAATTTATTTTAAATCTAATTTCAAATTTAATTATCCTTAATCACATGAAACACTTAATTCATTATAAAAACATATGTTTCTTTATCTACAAACCATAATTGTTTTCCTTACCCTTTTCCTATTAGTTTTTCAAAAGGATTTTAAAACTGCTTTCATTAATATCAAATAATAAATGTATGTATCTACTATTCAAATAATTATATATATATATATAAACTATAAGGTTTAACTTAGATTTAACATAAATCTAGAATTAGGTTCTTTTAATGTATATTCCTTATCTGATTAAAAAATATCCTAAATTTGATTCTTATTTCCACAAAAATTAATATTATTCAATCCAGTATTTCTGTTATTATCAGAGTATGACTATTCATTCAGCTACTTAATTTTATACAAAAAATAGTAAAAATGAGAAATAAATCTAAGGCTTTTGATAAACTCAGAAAAATATTTATTCGAATGACTACATTCTTGATGTTTTATATAATGTTTTCATATAGTAATGATAGTGATGAATTTTATAATAATATATAATATATAATTATATCACCCAATTTTGAAGAATCAAAGATTGGCTTCATTTATAGCGGCTTTCTCTTCTTTATAAATATTTATCGTAAGATTTCGATTATAATGATAACTTTATTTTACAAAATTACCTTTTTTACACATTCAAAATAAGTAAAATCTTCCCTTTTTTGTTCTTCCCTTTAAAGTGTTTTATACTTTAATATCTGTAATCATCTCTTATTTATTTCAACATTATTCTTTTGTAAAGGTGATTATTACATCTGTATGTTTATAATAATTACAAATTATCATCATACGAAATTTACTCTTTTGGATAATAAAAAGCTATTTACTAATATAATACATTTAAATATTCTAATTATTCATAACTCATACTAATTATATTATATTCCCACTCATTAATTTATAATTTAGTGGTTCTAAACAGGTTAATGAAGAAATTTTTATCGAAATTTTTTTGTTTAAGAGTCTTTTTTAGATTGAGGAATGAATACATATAATTCCAAATAATATAACATAAGTATAAACTCATAGATAAGTTATGGAACCTCTTCAGCTATTACTAGGATTTGTTTAAGTAGTACTTCTTCTTCTCATAATGGTACTATTAACTAACTTATACTTTCAAGGACATACCTATTGATTATAAATTAATTTCCCCCCATTAGTAGATTAACATTTTTCTTGGTCCTTAAGTTTTCAATTGATATATATATTCTATGTTTTTGATATCTGGAACTAGGATTATTTCCTTTTGTTATTTCCTAATATGACAACCCATATGAGTAAAGTTTTCTAATGATAATATTAAATAAGATTTATTGATTAACTATATAAATTTCCATTATGTAATGTAAATAATGAATATGTTATAGTTCTAAATTTTTCAAAATATAAAAAGTATCTTGTTGCACATTACTTATAATAATTGAAAGGTATATAGTAAAAATAAAACATTAGAGTTGCGTAAAATTTAAATTGAAAAATTTCTTTATATTTCCAAAACTAATTACAATATTGTGCATAGATAGTCTCAATGTTTATATTAAACCATTAAAGGATGTTTTTAATTTAGTAACAATAAATCAATCGATAACACTGTATAAAAAACAATAAAAAAAACAAATTAAATATTATTGAGATTATATAAAAAATAAAATAATCAATTAATCATTTTATATATCTTCAAAATATTCATGTATTTTGATAAGTTTATAGAGAAACTCTGTCTCTGATTTATGATTAATAACTTTAGAAAAAAGCAAATCAATAAAAATTTCCTAACAGAAATTTAGAATGTATTTAAATAATAACGATTGAATATATTATAAATAACTAATTTAAATTTTATTTATTATAAAGATTTATAAAATAATTTTATAACAATTTATATACAATTGTAAATCAATACTTTTAACTTCTATAAATATTTTAAATCAATATTTTCAACTTCTATAAAATTACTATTAGTATCTAGGCTTTTTGAAAAAAATAAGACTATTCTATTTAATTAAAACAAATTTAACAAAATTTACAGTTTGCTTAGTCATGAGTTACTTTATATTCAAGTTCAGGTACTAAATTGCTTATTATTATAAAAATTTAGAATTTTAGCGTTTCTTTTGAGTTTATAAAGATTTTAAGTTTGAACCATAATTATCTAAACAACATTATTAATTTGAAATAGTTAGAATTTATGAGATTGATGTTTCAATTGATCTATTATTATATAATTATATATTTTCATTAGTCTAATGTTCCTAATCCAGCACAGATTCCACAGCATCCTAAACAATAAAATATAGATGCTAATATAAAATATAAGATTGTGAACTTTCTTAAGTTTCCACAAGGTTCATTTAGGTAAAGTGCATACTAAAATAAATTTAATTTAAGTACAGCAATTAAAAGGGCAAAAATTATTCCAATAATTCCAGAAATCAGTTCAATTTGATCAACTCCTGTCATACAATTTGGATCTTTAAGGGCTATTGAAGCTAATAAGAACAATCTATAATGATATATGTAAAATAACATTAAAAAAGCTGTTATTGTAATACAAAATATTCCAAAATAATGGGTATAAGTTCTTAATAAAACGCAATCACTACTTTCTAAATCAAATGATCTAATTTTTGTTACCAAAATGTTTTTCTGTTGAACTCAAATATAAAAAGGATCCACCAATCACAGAAGTAATGATTATGGTTAACACTGTTATATTTTGCCTTGTTTTGGAATTCATTAAATAAATTTTAATAATAGAAATTTTAAACAACTCAAATCCTAAGAAGGAAAACGAAAATTGAAACCTTTATTCCTTTCTATATTAATAAGATCTAATCAATTAAAATTTATTTATATTTCATGGATTCAGATGAAAGGTTCATCATTCTTTATGGTAATTTTAATAAAAATACAAAAACTATAATATCAATTTAAATTTATTCGTTTTAAACATTAAGTGCCTAATTAGTAATACAAAACTCATTTAAAAAATTAAAAGGTGAATTGAAAAGTATTTTAACTTTAAAACTATTATAGTTCAAATCTGAAATAAGAAATGTATTTTGAAAATAGGAATATGAAGATTTTGTAATGATATATTGCTAATTAATTTATTTTCTAATTAGAATATTAATTAATCAATGATTGATTATGAAATAGAATAGTATTAGATTAAATAAAGTTAGGCTTCATTTAATAGTATTATAATATTTAAATCACTCATATAAATGCTACAGCATCAATTAATTAATTTATATTAGTGTTTAATAAAAATTATTTAATTTAACTTAAATAGTTTACTTAAAGCAGTTAAAAAACAATGGGTTTTTTCTTCATTTGATTTAAGTTGTTTGGATTTGAGATTACATATTTTATATAAGAAACAAATAATATATAATAATAATAAAATAATTATAAGAATAGAAAGTAGTTGTATGTTCAAATTTAGTATTAATTATTAGGGACTTAAGACAGTTCTTATGATTCTTTATTTAAGTCGAAATTGTTAGTAATAGATGATTAATGACCAACCTTCTTTTCATTCAATAGAAATGATAACATGCTCCCTGGTGGTTATAAATCTTATCCTTTATTGTTATCTTGTGATTCATGCTTCTTAAGCAGAAATTAATTTGTATTATGAGGAGAACCAAGAGACTCCTCATTAATGAAAATGATGTAAATTTTTTTTTTGATTTTTTTCTTTATACCTAAGACTTTCTTTGCCTTCATATGAACTTTCAAATGTTTGTGAATTTGGAAATACGTAGGTATTTAGGTTTATTTCTCTCTATTTTATTTGTTAATGAAAAAATGAGTTGTCTGTGTTTTAAATTAGAGAAAACAGGGGGGTAGCTTGATTATAAAAGTATATAATATTTATAATAACAAATTTTACAAATACAAGCAATCTAAGCACAATTTTGTAAAGGCATTAGTAAATAAATGTAACAATATATGACAAGTAATGAAATAGGAAAATATAATATGTAATACATTGTATATTTTATTTATGAAAATATTAATGAATATATTTGTGAGTACTTGAATATTATTCTGGTATTTTTAAGATTTTTAGATGATTCTTGAATGTTATAGTGGAATTTAGTAAATAAATTAAAAATTTAGATTATGGATTCTATCATGTAAATAGTATTAAAAGTATAAAAGTTGTGATTAAAAACAATATGTAATAATAATAAAAGAAACAAAGTTGGATTCAATAATTGTTTTGTGGGTGTATTCGAGAAGAACCTCTTCATTAAGATAAGAAAATACAAGGTTTGTCAAGTAAAATGGAAATTTAGAAGCAGAAGCCTGTAAATCTAATATTCATGTAACAACAGTCTGAAGGATGGTTGAATAAGACTACATCTCAGGAAGTTGATTACTCAGCAGATATAGAAAAAGATGTGGATTTAGATGAGGATTAATAAAAAGTTTATAATAGACAACTATCCTATTTAGAGTAAAATTCTTAGCTTCAAAAGACTAGTTTTTCTGATGTAAATATATTATGGAATAAAATAGGAATTCAATTCAAATAACATTGAAATGAAATTATTTCATAGAATAGGTGGATTACTATCAAGATAAAGCAATATATAAGTAGAGATGTAATCAAATTTGTGGATAATGAAAATATTCAAAGATGTGTAATTAATTGTTCAAGATAAGGAGTTCGAATAAAAATTTAAATCTTAATTGATTAATCCTGCTATTGTTGATATAATGAACTAAAGAATTAAATCAAATATCATTTTATTGGCTCATGATCCAACAGGATCTATCTTACTTAAATTAGCAAGTCCTAGTAGAAAAATCTAATATATATAATAAGAATAGACATTCTCAAATATAATAGATAGAGGCATTTGTAAATTGAAAGTCAAAGTGGATAAAGTTTTTAAAATGGATCTAGATTAAAAGGTAGATATTGTAATTGTGAATCTATATTATGTTGATAGCAAAGATAATTTAAAGAATATTATGTATGAATATTTGCAATATGCTCATGACATTATTATTCTTTTATAACCAAACATAGAAAATTCCATAATCTATGATTCTGCTGAGTAAGCTATTTCATTATCTGAACAATCCAATTAAAGTTGTAGTGTCGAACTTTAATGTCTTATGGATAATAATAACAATATTATAGCTAAATTACTCTATTATGGAGATATCACTGAAGTAATTATATAAGTAATTATTTTAGATTACTTTAAATGATGAATTAAACTTTGTTTATTCTTGTATTGATTCCTCAATCAAGAAATAATATAATTATAAACTTATGTTTAGAGATTTAAGAAATTAAATGGGTATGAACAAACTCATTAGAATTCTTAACCAATTTTAAATCATTTCAGGAATTGGATCTTTTTCTGATTTTATTCTTAGTATAAATGGTAGTAAGAATAAATATTTATTAATGAATATCCAAACTAAAGATTTTGAAAATGAAAATCAAGATGGAAAACATAAATTAAGTGAATTGTAGTCTTCTTCTTCATCAACTGAATCAGAACCAGAAGACAATTTGGATAAAATTGATTCAATAAGTGAATCATATAATCAATCTTAGATATTAGAACCTCTTAAGTCCAAAGATATCAATTCATAACCCTTTAATAATTGATTAATTACATTGTTTATAATATATTCTAAAATTAAAATGTCAAATAACTCTGGGTTTCAAAATAGGTAATAACTTTAACAATATGAACAATTGTTATAATTGCTTCTTATCACCTTAAATAAGAGATTGGTCAAGTTTTATTAAAATGAAGAATGTGATGAATTAGCATTTCGTAATATTTTTCATAGAATCATATCTGGAATGAAATCCTTAGAAAAATAGTATACATTAATAACATAATCTAATAGAAAATTTATGCCTCCTAGATTCAGTGAGACCGTTAGAAATTTATTTGAGATTTTGAAATTAGAAGAACAGCATGAAGTATCAAAATATCTATTTAGAGTGATAGGTTATACATGAATCCATAATTTGATTTAATCTCACGATAAGCCAATATAATAATGAACTAAGATAAGAAACCTACTTAAAATCTACAACACTTATAATAAGATGATCATTAAGAAATGCCACCTCATCCATTAATGCATATTGATCAAAGATAAGATTCGACTAAATTAGATATGATTTTTGAGAAGGTTGATAAATAGGATAAATTGATTAAACTAGAATAAATAGATAAAAGTAAGAAATATGAAAGTGGTATAACTGAAACAACAACTCCTAGAAAATTTAGAGAATCATTACATCAATAACAATTTTGTTAATAACAATAATTCAATTTAATACCAAAAGAATTCATTAATTAAATAGAAGAATGTGTTACTAGAAATGTATTAGATAAATTGAGTCTTCCAAAAAAATCAAAGAAAAAAAAATAAAGATCTTCATCTAATTAATTTTAATTTAGACAAATTCTTTTAACAACAAGTGAAAAATAGAATTAATCTTTTTAATCAACAAAGAGAAAATTTAATAATTTAATATGAATTCAATATTATATATTTTTGTCTTCAATTATGTGAATGATATAACTCATATTCAAATTGGCAATAACCAATAATACCATTCAGGGCCTAAAATTTCTTTCAAATTATCCCAAATATTTATGTAAAAAGGATTAGTCTTTTATTTCTTCTCATAAAATTCAATAGTCGTTTGATTATTGCTAGCCAATCTAAGAATAATAATCAAAATTTACCTTACATGATGTAAGAATAAAGGAGAAAATAAAATGAATAGTATTAATATACCATGATAATATGTGAACTTGATTAATAATTGAAAATCATTCTCCTCAATAGCTTAGATGTAAGTATTGAAATATGTAATCAAAACTAATATAAGACATACATCTAAATTCATGATATGAATTTTACTTATATAGAATATCAACATCATAAAGTATTTGTAGTTCTTTATACCTATGCAAATGTTTAGCCACATACAATGATGATCCATTCTAAATACACATTATTTGCATTAACTACAGTGATGCGCTCTTAATGGTTTGTATGATTAGCAAGTCTTACATATTTTAATCCCCTTGTTCTCTAAGACCTTAATGTTTAGCATATGTATCAATTATTCTTCTGTTAATGGTTAAATGCATTAATTCTAATCTAAAAAGTCAAGCATCTTATCTTCACTCATCATCAATAACTTTAGCTCTTCTTGTAATTCATTAAATAACTAAGTTTCTAACTCTTCTTTTATGCTCTCGACTTCAATTTATATATACTTAATCAACATATCCAGGACCAAAACGAATTACTTAGATTGCACTCAATACTATAAAAAGGACAACACATCCAACTATAAACTATATGTACACTTCTTGCATTGACAAGTATGTCTATAAGATAATATACATACAATATAATAGAATGAGCACATCCCAACAAAAAATATTGAGAATAACACAGGTGGCAAATATTTTAAAAACATTAATTATTATTTTAAGTAAATTCTCAACTTAATATAATTCAACCTTCAAATAATTGATAACCATCTTATACTAACAAATATATTAATTTTTGCCAAAAGTTATAATAAATCATGAAAAAAACATTTTATTTGTTATAATCACACTAAAAGCCCGTTTAAGGTAAATAAATTTTGTTTATGCACTCCAACTGGAAATTCAAATTGCCAAAACTTAAATACTATCTATTTATTCTGTTCAGATTCCTTGTAATAATGGAACAAAATATAACATAAAGCAGTCTAATAATATATAATATAACTAGAACCTTCAAAATTATGTTAAAAACACAAAAAACTAGTGTCATTCTAACAATTGGATCACCTGCCTCTCCCCAAGTAGGTAGAGTTTTATCAGTACCACTCCACCAATTCTAAAATTTAATCAAATTATACTTTGTATATACTAATCCATACAATATCATAAATAACACTTAATATAGTTAAAACACCTACAATTTTTATATAGTTAGGTTCGAAACAGTCTCTACATACAATTATTATATATAACATTGCTAGGATTAACTTATTATATTGATATTCTTACATCTAAATAATCTGGACGAGCAAAACACTAAAATAAAGCCAAAAGCAACATTAACATATATAAAATAAATCCATAATATAATTCATCTGATAATTCTTCTTCTACAGTATTAGGATCAGGTTTATGAATTTAGATATTTTATTATTGTTGAGGTTACATTTAATATGGCTTCTATTATTGAATAAAATTCGATTGTTATTAATAGAGAAAAGCTTGATTTTATTATGGCAAAGAATTGTTTTAAGGTTACTTTAATGATTATTATAAATTATTTCTAAGATTATTCTCCAAAAATGGTTATTGAACTATTAATAAATCTCTTTAATAATCATCAATATCAATTTAACTTTATTAAATAGTTTGTTCATATTTAAGAATCATCTCTTAATGATATTTTAACTAATGATAATCATAATATTCTATATACTTTATTATGAATCCATTATGATTCAATTTATAAATATGTTTGTAATTGTTGTTATCTCTCATTAACCAATTATAATTGTTAAGAATGAACTTATTGATCATGCATTTCACCCAAATCTAAATGACTTTAACCAATTAATATTCTTCTTTGATTTCTATCTTATACAAATAATTTTATTAAAATCTCTTCAGAACCAGTTTAAATTTGACTTAATATTAAATTAAATTATACAAATTTAGTTGTTAATTAAAATTCGGATTATATTTATCTCCTGTTGACATTTGGGTCTATACTTCAACACCATCCAAAGATATAATAACAAAACTATATTGATAATCAGAATATTAAATATTATGAGCCTATTTAATCACTATTATTAATTGAGAGTCTCTATCTACTCCCTATGGATTAAGTTTTTAATTATCTAATATATTAATATCTAATACATTGTAACTCTTATGCTAATTGTTGACATTCTTTTAATTCTTCTCTATACTATAACATTTGCTATTCTGTTTGATGTATTTTTTTCTAAAGCACTTTGTCTGCTTCTATAATAACTTATGCAAAATCTTCTAACTAGACTTAGCCTCTCTGATTTGGTGAGCATTGTTCAAACAATTGTTAAGCAACATCCCGATCATATAATGATCCAGTCTATACTATAATCTCTAAACTTACAAGCTTGTCAAGTGCTGAAAACAATTATTCTTTTTAATAAGCTTATCCTTAATATAATCCTGTTCTTTAGAAGCCATTCAATATCTAATTAATTGTTGGGCTATATTGCAACGACATATTATATTTAAATTTTTATAAATAAATAATTATATTTTATATTTTTGTGCTTTTATTTAATTTATCACAAAACTTAGAATTAAATATTGTTCTGAATATAAAAGACTAATGGGAAAATTAAGAAAGTAATTGTAAAATTACTAAATTCATGTCAATATAAAATATATATTTAATATTACAAATAATATTTTATGTTTATTAAATAGAGAAGAATATTTATTATGATAAATAATAACAATCTAGTCTTCAGAATTTAATACTATCAATTATATTTTATTATATATATATCAAATTAATGCTACAGCTCTATTTAATAACTGATCATTAACATCATGAACTACTTCATTAATTCGCAATATTGTGATCTTTTATCTATGTCCCTATGATTTCTAATATCTCTTTCTTCTCTTTTTTTTATAAATTAGTTCTTTTTCACTTAATGTTTATTATTCTACTGTTGCTAAAACTTTTGCATTTTCAACAAATGGTCTTCCCAAAACAGTATAATCTTTAGCTCCAACCATCAATACTTAATCTAATTCAATTGTTGTGTTGATATCTAATCCTTCCATATATTCTGTGATGATTTAATCATCCTTGACAACTTTATATTAGCTACCTCCAATCTTGCAAACTGCAAATTTTAAAGATTTTGGCAATTCAATTCCTTTCAATTAATCATGTACAATGAATTTGCATTCTTATGCCACAGGAAGTGTCTATAAGTCAAATCAAAAATAGTGAAATACCCTTTGTCTTTCCAATTCTTGATGTCTTGCTCTACGTTTTGCTTTCTTTTCTAAATCATTTCTCCATTTTTGAGTATACATGATGTATCTCTTATCAGTGAATTTATTATTGTAATATTCAAATATTTCAGCCTTATCTCTCTCTTTAAAGTACTCGCTAAAAGAAAAGAGTGGAGGTTGAACAATTAAAGATCTTCTAAATAATTATTTGATCATTAATTAAAATAATTAAGCATGTTAAGAATATAAAGGTGTTTATTATTTTTGTTAATAAAGTATAAAATTGAGAATAAATAAATGAATTTTTATGAATATACATTTAGTAAATTATAAGTTGCATAATCTTTATTGGATAATATGAATGAAAAATAATATTGCACAAATATAAATTAAAATCTTTTTTTAATTAATTAATAATTTGAGAAAGAATGTCTGGTATTTCATCAAAGTTTATAGGAAGAGGAATCACAATATTCTGAACATACAGGAGGTTGGATTGAATGGTTTTGCGCTCACGAAGATCATTAATTTTTATGCGAAGTAGATGATGATTTTATTCGTGATTCATTTAATTAAAATGGAATCAAGGGAAAGTTTACTTTCTATAAGTAACAATCATTAAGATATCTTAGTGAAGCCATCAATATGATTTTGCAATCCACTTCACCTGAAGATTAAGACTTAGAAGATGAAAGGTTTTCTTATTTTACATCACAAAAGATTTTTAGAAGTTTATTAAGAAGCATCTGACATATATGGTCTGCTTCATGCCAGATTCATATTTACTTCGAAAGGATCTGCAATAATGAGAGAAAGATTTTTGTAGGGAAAATTTGGTCATTGTCCTCGTATATATTGTGAGAAGTAGAATGTCATTCCTATTGGGTTGTGTGAAGATTTAAAAACAGCAAGAGTTAAGGTTTGAAATTAAATAAAAATACAGGTCTTTTGTCCACGTTGTGAAGAAGTTTACATGCCAAAAAAAAAGTGTGCTGATGTTGATGGTGCTTATTTTGGAAAGTCATTCCCTTAATTTTTATTAATGGTTAATATATATTAATATCCTTAGACATATCCTGATTTAAATCCAAAATATTAATTATTACCTGACACTTAAATAAAGGCTAATTTTGAACCTACTCTATTTGGGTTCAAAATTGCTGGCAAATAAGGCAGTAAAATCAAAAGGTTTGAATAATAATTGTAATTCAACTAAATTATTACTCAACCTATTGCTTAATCAACTGAACAAAATGTTCTTTTATAGGAACATAAATAAATTAGAATATAATAGTAATAGTAATAATCATAGTAATAATAATAATAATAATCATAATAATAATAACAATAATAATAATAATAATAATAATATTAATAATAATAATAATAGTCATCATAAGAATAGAATTCAGAACGTAATCATAAAAAAAAAAATAAGAAAAAGCATAAAAATTGACATCTAATATATTTGGTATTATATATATAAATGTTAATATATTTATGTATGTATAAAAATTATACGAAATGCTAATCAAACAAATTTACGCTGCACTCCAATTATCCTTTTTATATAAAATACTTGCCAAATACTTACAATCACTATAATTAAAGTTTCAATAATAGTGTAAATGAAATACATCTTATTATTATCCCTCAAAAATTGATAACCTCCCTCTCTTTTTTATTATGAAAATTTAGTGTCAAACATTAGATCATTTAGTCCAGTATATAAATTAGATAACTTTTTCTAAATTGGATCTAAATCTGCTTCTTTTATATGCTCATAAGTTGCATTTCGAACATCTATTGCAAAAGTCACTATATGATTGCTTTTCCCCTCTGAATTAAATGATTATTTACATTTGTATTGCTGAAAACAAATTTATAGTTTCCAGGATTAGTGATATTTACAGAAAAAACGGCTTCTTTCTTTTAATTCTTATTGTCAATAATCTTTCCTCTTGGATCTTTGATCTAATTTGAATTAATGACTATCATACACTAAAATCAATTTTATCCTTATTCATAATTGATAAAAAGAATGCCCCTCTGATATTAGTGGGATGTTTTATGTATTATTCTAAAATTTCCACTTCTCCTTTTTTTAATTCAAAAGATAACATGTCATCTGGAATGAAGTCAGCCATTTATCCTTCCCAATCATCCATTAATTATTTCCTCTCCTCATGATCTGTACTGTTGTCATTTGTCTCATTAGAGGCTAATTTACAGTATGCAGATATAAAGAATAATAAGAATAATTTCATTTATTATAATAATTATTTTTTAGTAATAATAATAAATAATTATGCAGATTAAAAGGAATAGACCAAAAATGGGTGTTCCTAAGTCAACCATTCTAAATACTCCATAATCTACAAATCAGTCATTACGTAATTCATTCATAAGATAATATCATTCTAGCAAGTAATAAATTGATTGGTTAAAAAACAATTCATGAACCCTTCATAGATTAGAGCCAGAGTATAAATTTACATAAATAACAAAAAGAAATGAGGCAAACTCTTAAATTATCTCCTGTTTAATAATTGTTAAATTATATATTTTACAACTTTTAGATCCCCTTTCAATTTGGATTCCACTTTCCGATAAAAGACCCATATTTAGAAGACTGAAGGTAGTGCATCTGAACCACTTCTAAAAATCAATATGAAAAATCTTGACATTCCTAAAGATAGACTCCTATTTGCAACAGAAACGAAACATATTTCTAAATCATTAGTCGACTTAGATGATGTACTTAATTGTTTATATTTTTTAGTAATTTGATTACATCAAAACTTTTAGAGCAATGCCCATGTAAACTATAAAAGAAATCTATGATACTGATCGCAAAGAGATAGAAAGATTATGTTCAGCAGAAAAGCATATTCCCATAGATTCAAGATTAGCTCCTATTAGACCATAGTTATAATACCCAAACATCCCAGAATTTCGTAAATATTTTAAAGAAAATGAAAGATATTAAGAAATGCAGCAATTTTATTAAATTGATCCAAATATTTATTAAAAAATGACAGAAAAAGTATTTATTAATTTCTATTATTAGATAAAATAAGAGAAATTAATGCCAAGAGAGATGAAATTATTCACAAATAATAATAATGATAAATTGATAGCAAATAATTTATTAGGATCAGATATGTATGTAGATTTATTTTCTGAGGGATTATCATCATCTCATTTTAGCAATTTAAAATCCCTTTAAATGAAAAACAATAAATTAAATAATAATAGAATAACTATGATAGCTAAAAACCTACCTAGTAGTATTATTGATTTAGATTTCAGTAATAATGCCATTGGAAATGGTGGCATTGCTAGCATTTGTGATTTTTTAAATTCTAGAAATTGCTATTTATAAATATTGAATTTAGAAGATAACAAATTACGAGATGGATCTATAATGACTATTCTTAAAACTCTTTAATAGAGTAAAACAATTAAAGTCATTAAATTTTCAAAAAATTACATTACTGATATAAGTATGGATTAATTTGGAAATCTATTGAAAACAGTAACTAAATTTATAAAAATAGAGTAATTCACTACAAGAAGTGTATTTGCATTATAATTAAATACGAAATCAAGGAGGAACTGTATTCTTTAGGGCTCTTCTAAAGAATTAATATATGAAAGTGCTTGATTTTTCTTTTAATAAGTTAGGATAGCAGAAAGAATGTGTTTAGATGATATCTGAGTAAATATTTTTATCCATAAAGGGTTTTAGGTAAACCACATTCAGAATTATCTCATCTCGACTTATCATACAATAATTTCAATAATGATGATTCCAAAATATTCCATCAAGCTATAATGTTTAATTAAATAATATATGGATTTCATTTTGAGGGCAATGGAGATTATAGTACCAATGCAAGAGGATTTTTAGTTAATTAGAAGGAGTTAGATTAAGAATATAGTGCTTTAGTTTCAAAATAATCAATAAGACTATCAACACAATAATTTGTAGATTAAAGTATAAATAGAATAGATTTGAAAAATAAAATTAATAAATTAGATTAACATTTTCAATTAGCAGATCCATCATTATTCAAAAGAATATAAAGCACAGATTATACTAATAATAAATCTAAAGATAATTGTTGGTTATGTGAAGGTTGGACAGAAATAAGATTTCAATATGTAGTTGGTAAATCTGGAACTATTAGTGATTATCCAATCTATTTACATCTAGATTTTGAAAATTATAGGCCAATGATTATGGAATAGGATTAATAAATCTTTTTTTTATTAAGAATGTGTCCACCAAATAGAAAAATTAGATACTTTTTTAGTAATCCTTTTTTGGATATATAATTTACAGCTAAAGATCAACGTATAACAGCATTAGATGATTTTGAGCCAATAAAAGTTTAAGGAATTCCAATGATCTATGCTGATACATCTGTTGTTTATAGTTAAAAAATTTCAATTGTAAATTATTTGTCAGCTACTATCAATAAAAAAGTACTTGACTCATAAAAACATTATGTTCCTACTGTGTTATCTAGACCTAGAGAATAAGAGAAAATAGTTTATATAGATCCTAATAAAGCAAAAGAAAAATCATGGTCAATTGAGAATTCAATCTTTCGAGATTTTTAAGCAGATACAGAAGGGCATCTTCTTGATTGCTTTGATTTTGATTTTGAATGTGGAAGACTATAAAAACATATTCCTGATCCTGAAGATTTAGAAGTATTAAAAACAAAGGTGAAAGTTTTCTACAAAAATATTTTGGCTTGTTATAAGTATTATTGTGCTGAAACTCTAAATTATGATACACCTTGTATAAATCAATAAAGCTTTATTGATTTTATATCTTAAACAAACATACTTTCAAAATCAATTTTAAACAATATAGATTTATAATTAACATATTTATCAAGTTATGTAGTATAAAAATCAGCAGAATTTATTCATGTTTTAGATAAATGTTTAGTTAGATATTAATTTCTTGAAATTATTATTCGTTTGGCTAAAGAACAATATTTGAGAACAAATTAATGTAATAATATAACTGATGCTTTGGATATGTTGTTTAAGTAGGACAAAGTATTAGATCTAATCCAGGAATTTGGAGTTCCTTAAGATTGGAGAGATACTAGATATTGGACTTAGTTGATGGATTCAACTATAAAAATGAAAATCTAATTCTTATAGTTAATGTATGATTATGTATCAAAAATAACATTCAAACATAATAAATATGTTACGTTGACAGATTTCAAGCTTTTTATTGAATAACTGGATTTAGGAAAGTATGTTTCTGAAAAAGAACTCTACTTAATATATTTACAAAGTATGTAAACATAAAGAGATGAATTGAGAGAATCTAATCATATTTAAATGCAATTTTTAGAATTTGTTGAGGCAATAGCAAGATTAGCAGAGAAGATATCCCCAATCTCACCTATGTATGCTGTCCGTAATCCAGCAGTTAATAAAATAACTAGGAAATCATTACCCTTATTTGTTAAATTTGAGGGACTACTTTATATTATATTTTAAAAGATAAAATAAGGAATAACTACAAAAACAAATGAATAATAAATTTAAGATTTAGAAAAAAATGTTTTATCAAAAACAATATTGAAAACTGTTCAAGCAAAGAAACTGGGTGTGTTTGGTATGTCTATATAAATTATTATTTTATAGAGGAAGATAGAAGTTCAGATGAGGAAAGAGAGAAAGAGTCAAGAAATGTTCCATTATTACCAGATGAGAAAGATTAACAAGAAATTAAAGAAAAAAAAGTTGCTGGAAGTGGATGGAGCAAATTAAGGAATTGGGCTAATAAGAAAAAATTGTAAAAATAGGGAAATCCAGAATAAATTAATATGTTAAAATAATTATAAACATATTAAGATGAAGAAGAAAGATATGTTTAAGTGGAATATGAATAAGCATCAATTTATGAGAAAATGGAAATTAAACAAAGATAAAGAATGAAGCAAGAGTTTCAAAGAACTAAATTAAATTAAGATCCCACATTCAAATTTGAAGAAGAAGATGAAATTAAAAGATTCTGATTTACAGAAACAAAAAAAAACTTATATTTATTCTTATATCAATCATTCCCATCCATTAATAAACGATAAATCAGATGATTAATGTTCATCTACAATTATTTGTAATTATTCATTAACATTTGGATTTTATTTTTTAATTATATTAGATTTTGTTTTAGTATGAAATGAAATTCTGCTAGCAATTCTAATATCATCTTATTATATTTATTAACGATTTTAAAATTATTTTAATTAATCTTTGATCAGTCTATTTTTTTTGTTTAAGAATGGAATTTTCATTGTGTCAGGGATTTAAACACGATAAAGTAATCTTGATTACTTATAATTTTCTTTCATATTTTAACTTGTTAGATTACGATTATTTTCTATAGGGTAAACAATGTATGATGTATTCACTCTCCTTCTGATATACTCTTTTTATGTTTACTAATGCTTTTGTTCTTTAGAATTTTGTATATTTAATAATCCTTTTCTCATGATTTACTAAGTGTAGTTTCCGAAAACTAAGTTAGAATTAGAGAATACTAGATTTTCATTTATTTCTTTAATTTGAGGATACTTGAATTAAAATGAATTCAAAGTCTAATTGAGATTTTGAGCATTATAAAAAGTTTTGCAATTATTAGAATTATCAGTTTTATTATGTGAAGATTTTTTTTGAGTATTAATTTTCATTTTCAGAAATATTATTAATCAAATGTATAACAATAATCTAAGTAGCTCCTCTCACAAATAATTGAAGACACTGTTAAACCAAATTAAGTCTATTCCTGTTTTAAAATCTATAGAATAACTGAAAACAGAAGGAATTTAATATTATTTTCATTAAGGATATGAAAAAAAGGTTCTACATAAAATGTTTACTCTTTATAAAAAAAAAAGACATATCTAAAGATATATCAATCATTAAGTTTATACTGCAGACTTAAATGGAATTTCTCTAAAAACCAGCTAAATTGATAGATTTAATTTGTATTAAAAAGGCTTAACGTAGTAATTTATTATTAATGATCATTTAGTGAATTAAATATGAATTCTAATAGCAATTTAAATAGGTTGAAAAAAGCAGACTTTTAAACTTAATCTACTGAATAACTTTATGGATACAAAAAACTTAGAGCATAGAGATATACACATAATATTAGGTCAGAGGATCTAATCCATATAATAAGAGAATAATAATATCAATTAGAATAAGATTTATATGTCCAAGCATTTAATTAGACCAAAAAGAGAAGAATTGTTAATATAAGCTATGAGAAAAGATAATTATTTTCAATTTTTTTTAAAACCAACATTTTTTCCAATCAAAATTATTTACTAATTAAATTATTTATGAATTTTAAGTTCAAAACTATCAGAAGAACCAGAAATGCTTTAAACGCTTAATAAATCTATTGGGAAATAATTAAATTAAAGAAATATTTTAGAGTGAAAACTATTTTTGGAAAAGAAAGAAAGGCTGAAATAATTATTCATCGAACTCAATTGCCAAACAACTATAAAACTCATGATATGAGCTTATTTATTGAACAGCATCAAGAAACATAGAATATGTTCTATTACATCGCAACAGGATTATTTAGTTTTTCTATAATGCATATCTATGCAAAAATGTTATATGATGATGATACTAGATATTGGGTCAGCATTCGATTTCCAAATCATATGAAATAATTTGATATTTTTAATAGTCATATATAGAATCAATATGATTATATTTTAGAGAAAGTATAAATAGGAATAACATTATTTAGTTACAATTAAAAAATAAAGACTTAAGTGGAGCAGTTGGATATCATAATTTAAAATAAGGAATTAAAGATCTATTCAAAAGAGAGACACAAATCATTGATTTTGAAACTACAGATAAATCCATAGAAGGATTAGATAGTTTTTTATAAGAATAAGATTAAAAAGTACTTAAATCAATTAAATGAATTTTATATTTGATCAACTTAATCATTAAATCGATGATATCATAAATCATTACAATCTTTCGAGAATGCCAGCATTATAACTCATTTCAGTAGTCATTAATTATTTGGTTGGAGATACCAGATAAAGTTGTGGTGTTGAAAAAAAGGAAGACATTTATAAAACTATATTAATTATCAAAAATCACCTAAAAAATGATCCAACCTTGAAAATGAATTTATATAATTCTGATCAAGTAGTTAAAAATAATGATTTAACTTTGAAAGATATAGATATACATCATAAATGCAAATTTGAATTGAATGAAATTAAAGAAAAAATCAAAAATAGAGATTAAAAGTTAGCAGATACAACTTGTTCTTATCTTAGAGATTTGTAAGGTCTAAGAGAGTAATTGTATAGACAAGCTAATAATTAAAATCACGATTTTTCAGATCAAAGACATTTTGATTCTTTTGAAATAACTGATCCAAAGTATCGAGAATTGTTGAATAGTAAGGTTAGTAATGTTAAGGCTGTATATGAATAAAAAATTAAATATCTTACTTAAATTGTAGAATCTTAGAAAAAAGAAATAGGAACATTAAAAACCTAATTATAGGATTATTAATTTAGAGCAGAACATTATGAAAATCCAGAATTTTTAATAAGGAAATTATTTCATATAGAGAGAGACCCTCATGAATTGTGGAGACTTATTTAAGATAATTAAGGAAATCCTTTCTTTTTTTAAGTTTTTTCTAATTAGAAAAAAGGTTATGGAATTGATTATATTGAAATCGATTAATTATTGATGGCTGTCAAAGTTCAGGATAGAATATTTGAAAGATAGAAATAAACATTAGATTAACAATTAGCCTAATTTATGGAAAGAATTTTGGAGGATGTTTATGATTTAAGATAGAAGGTATTGGATAAGGAATCTGAATTAGATAATTATTAAAAAAAATATATTAGAAATCTAACTATTTTAAACAAAATTATTTTGAAAGCCTTTAATAAAAGTAACTTATTAATTATTATTAAGTTATAAGTTCATATAACTAATTGTTGATCAAGACTTCATTTAAATTATGGAAAGATAAAGAAATTTAAATGGCTCCTCTCCTTAAAAATTTATCTTAATTCTAAATTAAAACTCTTGAGCATGATTTATTTGATTTTTTTATTGAATAATTACATGAAATGTATGATAAAGTGACATTTTTAGAATTGAAACTTAACGGTTAGAAATTTTTAACTAAAACCTTAGAGTCTAAAAATTAAATAATTTAAAATACATTAACAATATTAAAATGCCATTTCAATATTAAAAATTATGATTTGGATTTAGAGTAAAAACTATTAAAATTAGATAATTTCTAAATTAGATTTTGTTAAGAATTATTAAATTAATTAATGCGTTAAAAAATGACTTATTAAAAGTACTTATAATCAATTCAAAAACAGGACAAATATATACAAACAGATTGTACAGAAATTATTGACTAATCACTTTAAACTAAAGAAATTATGGTTGATAATGTATGTTTGATAACCTACATAAAAGAAAGGTATCAGGAAAAAAAGGAAAAATTAATATTATAGAATGGACTTCGTAATTCAAACAGATCACATTCAATTTAAGAAAATCATAAATTAAATGTTGATTAATTACCTTAATTATAATAAAATAATAGAAAAGTAATTTAGATTGATTCAAATACTTTAAAACAATCAAGTTATCTTTAAATCAATGATTTATCATAAGATTAATCAAATAAAATTACAAGGAAAACTTCTTTAAGAGATTCTGAGATAATGGATAAAAGATAAATTAAACATAAAACCGATTTATTAAGTCATTCACCTAATAATATTTATACTCAAAGATTTAATCCGACAAGTCTATCAATTGACAATGAGGCTATATAAATGAAGCCAATAATCTAAAATTATGAAGATATATAATAAGATCAATTTGATAGTAATCTATTATTTCCTAATTAAAAAAATTTATTACCTTAACTACAAGTACAGAGAGAAATAAAATAGAATATCATCAAATAAATAAAATAAATTTAAAATAATTCATATATTTAATGTGAGAGTGAACCTGAAAAGTAAAAGAAATGTAAAGAAGGAAAGAATAAATCCAAAAATCTTAAGTATAAAAATAATATTATTATATAATATGAAGATTATCCAAAACATGAATAAAAAGAATAATTATACCTATTTCTTAATCAATCAAATTGTCCATCAAAAAAGAATAAAACTAGATTAACCTAATTTATCTATAAAGTGTGAACAATTTTTGATGATTTTTAATTTCTTATCATATATTAAATAGAATATTTATCTAATAATAAAAATTTTATTTTAATATTAAGTTAATATAATTTTACAATAAAATCATAATTTCATAAATTTAAATCATAGTCTTATTTAAGAAAAAGAACCAGACTAAGAATAATAAGAAAAAATAGTAACTTTGAATAATTTAAAAAGATAATTTAGAATAGCTTTTTTATTAATTAAAATTAAATAACCTGAAAATAATAGGAGAACTTAAAAGTTAAAAATATTTTTAAAACAAATAGTTTAAAAGTTATAAATGCTTTTAAACCAAGTAGATTATTATAGATTAATAAAATAAAGCATTGAATAGTTATTTATAATTTTAAATATCCTAATAAGTAGTTTAAACATATAAATATGTATATACATTTATTAATTGATATATAAATAATGAAAAAATTGATTAAAAACAAATTAAAACATCAAAAAATTTGTTTGATTAAATCGAATGATTATTATCAGAAGATATTACAAGGACAACATTCATCAAGATCTTATTGAGGTTCTTTAATATAGTATCTTATTTCTTTTAAAGATTATCCTGGAATTTGATCTCTAAATGTTACTTTATGTTATTTTTTTCCCTTTTATCTATAATTTTATAAAATTTCCCTCGTAAAGCCTGTTTCCTTCCTTATCCTTTCGGTTTCAGGATTGATTTCAATACAATCACCTTCAGCTTGAATTAAATTTTCTAAATTAGGTTGAAAAGATGACACTAAAATGTTAATTTTAGGCATTGAAATTTCACGCAAAGCAGATTTTTAAGTTATAGATTAATTTCCATTTCGGTCAGTAAATTCAAAGTTCCTATTACTAAAACTGTATGCATCAATCATTATTGTTATTTTAATTTTTCAGAGGAAATAATTGATATATTTCACCAACTAAATACAGAAAATAATAATATAATTTAAGGAGATGATTAATAAATAAATAAAAAACAGTGATCTATCACTAGTCTTGTTTTCAATTTTCAATAAATATGAAAAAAATAGAACTCATTAATTTTTGTATAAAATTCTCTAAAATCAAAATAGGAAATTATCCTTAATTGGTAACAATTTCAACTTTCTGATTCACCTTTTTGTATTCAGATTCATTAACCTAAATAGATAGTTAATATACTATAAATATGGATTATTCATTAATTGATTTATATTGTTTAGAATTATAATATGAAGATCTTATTCCTTATTTGATTCAAGTATGATTAAGATTATTGACATAAAATTTAACTAATTATGATTCAATTTTAGTTTTAATTAATAGATGAATTTTAATTAGATTGTATCCTTAATGTATCAAATTAACATTGTTAATCAAATCAATTCTAATAATAAATAATTGTCTAAAATAAATTAATTATAAGTTCAGAACCAATTAGAAAGTTTTGCAATAATTTCATTAGGTTTGATTGTTAGAATCTCAATTTAGTAATTCTATAAATTTATTAATCATTTAAAATTTTCTCTAGGAATTTAATTTCTGAATTATAATTATGATTATATTGTAGAATTTCGATGCACTGAGCAGTTCTATTCTTAGATTCTGAAACCAATATCAAGTATAACTTCTTTTTTTAATTTTATTAGAAATCTAAATTAAATTTTATGCTTTAATTTGATGTTCTAATTCAGTTAAATTGAATTATATTAGAGATACTTTTAGATTATAGATTCAATTTATTGTTTCATCTTTATTTGTTAATAAAGGTTCTTAATTTTATTAATTATGTTCTAGTCTTTATTAATTTGATTCTAAAATAAATAGAATAGTAGAGAGCAAAAATTGATTTTCATAAACTGATTTCTTTAATTAAATATATTCTGTACTCATTTTCAAACTTTATTTCCATTTTACTAGAAGAGTATACTTTTGATTAAGAATCTACTATATACTTATCAATTATTTCTGATGCAGCAAAATTATTCGACACACACTGATTGAACTTAAAATTTATTTATATTTATTAATATATATCACAAATCCTATTTCTAGGTATTTAACTTTGGTAAACTTGAGAATGACTATCCTTATTCAGTTTTCTTTATAACTCCTCTTACGAATTCAGTTAAATTATCAACTGTAAGTTATTTTTTAAACCTAAAGTATTTTTTAGTATTTATATCAACTGCAACAACCTAAGGATATCTATAAAATTCATATAATATATATAAGAATACCCTTCTCCAATAACACTCAACTCTGCTTCAAAATCATCAAATTATTCACCAATAAACCAACCTAAATTGGCCCTACCTGATACTGATAATTATGTCTATAAAATTCTAATAGAATATTACTTTCTATAAAATCTAAATAGCATCTTCTTATTCTTTCTTATCCTTTGGTAAGAATCCCAAAACACAAAGAGCTTAAAATAAGTTAATAAATCTTACTATTGCAAATTTAATTTAATTTTTCATCAGAAGTTATTTAAATAATATCTATAATGACCAATTAATCATCATCTGGTTTCTATTCTTTTATATATTTCAAAAAAGCATCCAAGTTTCTTTCTCCCTCATATTTCTTATGTGTGTCTTTCTTGTTTCCAGCAGGGAAGAAGTAAATTGTTGGATATGACTCAACATTGAACCTTTTTGCCAATGCAGTTTAAGCTGTAGCATCAACTTTAGCTATTGGAATATCAGTTTAATGAGATAATTTATTCCATTCTGGTTAAAGTTATTTACAATGTCCACACCAAGGAGCATAGAATTCAACAAACCAAGCTTCCTAACTATTGATAACCTAGTCATCAAAATTAGCATCAGTAAGAACAACGACCTTTGAATCATCATTAGCTGGTTGCGGTTTGATTTCCACTCCCAATCTATTCAGAGCAATCTCTCTAGCTCTATCCAAAAGATAATCTACTATTGCATTCTTTTTTCTTTCTCCTTCATAGGCAATAGGATCTGCTTTATTTACACCAAAAAATTTAATAGTAGGATAATTATTAACCCCATAAGGCTATCCAGCTTCTCCATCAGTAGTCATATCTAATGCACNAATTATGTTCTAGTCTTTATTAATTTGATTCTAAAATAAATAGAATAGTAGAGAGCAAAAATTGATTTTCATAAACTGATTTCTTTAATTAAATATATTCTGTACTCATTTTCAAACTTTATTTCCATTTTACTAGAAGAGTATACTTTTGATTAAGAATCTACTATATACTTATCAATTATTTCTGATGCAGCAAAATTATTCGACACACACTGATTGAACTTAAAATTTATTTATATTTATTAATATATATCACAAATCCTATTTCTAGGTATTTAACTTTGGTAAACTTGAGAATGACTATCCTTATTCAGTTTTCTTTATAACTCCTCTTACGAATTCAGTTAAATTATCAACTGTAAGTTATTTTTTAAACCTAAAGTATTTTTTAGTATTTATATCAACTGCAACAACCTAAGGATATCTATAAAATTCATATAATATATATAAGAATACCCTTCTCCAATAACACTCAACTCTGCTTCAAAATCATCAAATTATTCACCAATAAACCAACCTAAATTGGCCCTACCTGATACTGATAATTATGTCTATAAAATTCTAATAGAATATTACTTTCTATAAAATCTAAATAGCATCTTCTTATTCTTTCTTATCCTTTGGTAAGAATCCCAAAACACAAAGAGCTTAAAATAAGTTAATAAATCTTACTATTGCAAATTTAATTTAATTTTTCATCAGAAGTTATTTAAATAATATCTATAATGACCAATTAATCATCATCTGGTTTCTATTCTTTTATATATTTCAAAAAAGCATCCAAGTTTCTTTCTCCCTCATATTTCTTATGTGTGTCTTTCTTGTTTCCAGCAGGGAAGAAGTAAATTGTTGGATATGACTCAACATTGAACCTTTTTGCCAATGCAGTTTAAGCTGTAGCATCAACTTTAGCTATTGGAATATCAGTTTAATGAGATAATTTATTCCATTCTGGTTAAAGTTATTTACAATGTCCACACCAAGGAGCATAGAATTCAACAAACCAAGCTTCCTAACTATTGATAACCTAGTCATCAAAATTAGCATCAGTAAGAACAACGACCTTTGAATCATCATTAGCTGGTTGCGGTTTGATTTCCACTCCCAATCTATTCAGAGCAATCTCTCTAGCTCTATCCAAAAGATAATCTACTATTGCATTCTTTTTTCTTTCTCCTTCATAGGCAATAGGATCTGCTTTATTTATTAACCCCATAAGGCTATCCAGCTTCTCCATCAGTAGTCATATCTAATGCACCTATTTTCATAATTCCATCTAAAGCTTTAGCTGCCTTATTATACTCTGGAGCTAAAGCCCTACAATGACCACACCAAGGTGCAAAGAACTCAACTAGCCAAGGTTCTCCTGAATCAAGGACCAATTATTTAAAATTATCTTTAGTAAGTTTGATGACTTTTGAGTCTGCATCATATAAAGCTAAGGATTATGTAATCAATAAAGATAGAAGTAGTAAAGAGCAACAACTTTTCATTTAGATGTTATTTTTAATATCGTGTAGTCTGAAATATTCTAAAATTTATATATCTACACGTTATATTTATACTATTTAATTGTTTCCTTAATTTTTTATTATTATTGATTAGATTTTTTAAAACTAATTTGTTTTTATATTGTACAAATATCAATTCAGAAAAGAATAGATAGTAAAATATGTAAAATATATATTATTTTATTATTTATTATTTAATATACTAATATATCTCATGCACCAATTGCTAATCTGGATTTAGCTGCTTGTTTTCTGGATTAACGAGCAACAACTTTATTATTTGCTTCCTTTTTAACATTCTCATCTCTTTCGGATGCCCAGATTTCAACATGTGCATTTGATGATAGGAATGCTAATTGAATAATAAGTATAATAATTTTACGATTGATTCTTCCATGAGCTCTGTATGTTCTACGTCTTCCCTTTTAAGCTCTATTAACTTGAACATGATTGATGATTAATTTTTCATTACTCAAATTTTTAACTTAAGCATTAGCTGCTAAATTTTATAAGAGAGACAATACAATTCTAACACTTTTCTCTGGCCATCTACCTAAAAAATTGATTTTAATACTCAAATACCTTAGGATCTGCCAAATTCTTTAGCTTATGCAGTTCTACCAACACCTCCATTAAATCTGGTGAATGGAACGCATCTCTTATGTTAAAGGACATCTTGTAAATATTTAAGAGCCTAAGCAAGAGTTTATCCCTTGAGTGCTCTTGCTACTTCATATGTATTCTTAAAATGAGTTCTTAAATCACTAGCTTTAGCCTTTGCTGATTTTTTTGCAACAGCAGGTTCTCTGGCATATTATTTTCCCATTAAATTATATCCTTTTTAATTTATTTAATTTTTTTTCAAATTTTATTAAGAATTCAATAACAATAATGTTTTATATATTGATATTTAGATGCAGCCATTTTCAATTATTTACTATAGCATATCTGACTCTATATCCACCTCCAAACTATTCAATATTTCCATTATTAAATAATTCTTTTGGTTGACTTTTGAATAAGAATCCTAAATTTCTTTTCTATTATGGTATCACATACTCATTTGATGTATAAAAGTTCTTGTCTTAAATATAATATTTAAAATGATACCTGTTAATATTGCATAACAGTTATTTGAGGCAGAGAACTTTAGTATCTTTTCATCTTTAGGTAAATCAATGGGTCTTGGAACATAACTCTCATCATAGCCTGATAAATAGATTCTATTTTAATCTGTCAAAAACAAGGAAAGATTATATCCAAGATCAAAATCAATCACTTTTTCATTAGGTTAGAAGTATTTCAAATTAACTGGAGTTGGTGCATAATTTTCCTATTGTATATATTGATAATATTACTAAATCTGTTACTACATATTCTTATTATCTGACTCCTAATGAACCATAATAACTTCTACCCCATCCAACAACTATTCCTTCATCTGAAAACATAATATTATAGATTATACTTAATAATGCTAATGTTCCAGCAAAACAAGATTTAATCTTCTAGATTGTGTAACCAGATTTACTCAATTATTCAAATATAGGATTAAGTTCTGGATATTTGAAATTGAGACTGCATCCATTACCTAATTCTCCTCTCTTTCCTGCACCCCATACATAGACTTAATTGTTTTCATTTACAACAATTGAATGATTGATACCAGCACTAACAAATTTACCTTTTGGAGTTCCAGCTAATTTTTAAACTGCTTAAGGAGTTACAACATTATTCTAATAGTTATCTCCTAATCCACTAACTTTACCTTATAATTAATCTAAAAATGAGGTATTTGCATTTCCCCAAGTATAAACATTTCCATCAGCTTAAATATTAAAAATTATTGATATTACAAGCTAAAGCAATTGCATGATTTGATCCCAAAGCCACATCAGTAACTTTTAAACCTTTATCTCTAAAGAATTTAACCAATTAAGGTGTTTAATGTTCTTCTGTGTTGCCTAAGCCTAATTATCCATATTAATTGTGACCAAATGTATATAAATCACCATTATCTTATTATTTAATATTAAATGTATACCTGTAATGACTGCAGTAAAGTATTCACTTGGATATACTTTAGCCACATTACCATTAAATGCATCTATTCTTCTTGGTCTCAATTAATCTCTTTATGAATCCTAATTGATTCCACAACCTAAACTATGAACTCCCCAAGTGTATAAATTGCCTGCTCTATAAATTGGACGAGTCCATAATGACTTGAAAAGAACACTATGTGTTAAGCAATTCATAAAATATTTATTTCAATATCTAATTAATTATTTATACNGTTATTTGAGGCAGAGAACTTGAGTATCTTTTCATCTTTAGGTAAATCAATGGGTCTTGGAACATAACTCTCATCATAGCCTGATAAATAGATTCTATTTTAATCTGTCAAAAACAAGGAAAGATTATATCCTAGATCAAAATCAATCACTTTTTCATTAGGTTAGAAGTATTTCAAATTAACTGGAGTTGGAGCATAATTTTCCTATTGTATATATTGATAATATTACTAAATCTGTTACTACATATTCTTATTATCTGACTCCTAATGAACCATAATAACTTCTACCCCATCCAACAACTATTCCTTCATCTGAAAACATAATATTATAGATTATACTTAATAATGCTAATGTTCCAGCAAAGCAAGATTTAATCTTCTAGATTGTGTAACCAGATTTACTCAATTATTCAAATATAGGATTAAGTTCTGGATATTTGAAATTGAGACTGCATCCATTACCTAATTCTCCTCTCTTTCCTGCACCCCATACATAGACTTAATTGTTTTCATTTACAACAATTGAATGATTGATACCAGCACTAACAAATTTACCTTTTGGAGTTCCAGCTAATTTTTAAACTGCTTAAGGAGTTACAACATTATTCTAATAGTTATCTCCTAATCCACTAACTTTACCTTATAATTAATCTAAAAATGAGGTATTTGCATTTCCCCAAGTATAAACATTTCCATCAGCTTAAATATTAAAAATTATTGATATTACAAGCTAAAGCAATTGCATGATTTGATCCCAAAGCCACATCAGTAACTTTTAAACCTTTATCTCTAAAGAATTTAACCAATTAAGGTGTTTAATGTTCTTCTGTGTTGCCTAAGCCTAATTGTCCATATTAATTGTGACCAAATGTATATAAATCACCATTATCTTTTTATTTAATATTAAATGAATACCTGTAATGACTGCGGTAAAGTATTCACTTGGATATACTTTAGCCACATTACCATTAAATGCATCTATTCTTCTTGGTCTCAATTAATCTCTTTATGAATCCTAATTGATTCCACAACCTAAACTATGAACTCCCCAAGTGTATAAATTGCCTGCTCTATAAATTGGACGAGTCCATAATGACTTGAAAAGAACACTATGTGTTAAGCAATTCATAAAATATTTATTTCAATATCTAATTAATTATTTATATACAAAGATTCAAAACTCTCTCATATATTTTTATCCATTTACCAATATCATTTACTTTTGAGCAACCAATCATAAGTTTATTGGAACAATGTGATAAAACTTATTAGAAATTATTTCTTTTTAAGATTTAAGAATCATATTATACTATAAACAAGGAAACTTAAGATTCTATTTATTAATGATTTATTAATTATAATTACATGAGTGATTTAATCTCTAAAGCTGAATATTATATGCCCAATATAAATTCTCATCTTCTTGAATAAAGAGAACTAAACAAAAATGTTTTATTAGATGGAACAATAAAATCTAAATCATAGCATAAAAGATAATAAATAAATTCAACATCATCAAATTAATCTCTCCCATTAACAGGCAATTAATTATAATATTATTTAGGATAAGGTTATCAATCAAAAGATAATTTATCAATCTAACGATCTAGTTAAATAAATAAAAATATTGAATAAAAAGAATTTTAGAATGATATGATTAACATTAATTAGTTAATATAATAAAAAAAGAAAGAAATGAAAATTGAAAATTAATATTTTCTCAAAGAAATCAGTAGAATTAGATGTAATTAACTTTTTCTTTTCTAGAAAACTTCGAAATGAAAACAAAGATTAGGAATAGAATTCAAAATGACAGAAAATCTACTACTTCATCGTAAGATAAATATGAAAAGTGTTGGGATTAAACTTTAAAAGAAATGAATGAAGATTTTAAAGATTTTGATTTATTTGTTGATTCATCATAAATAAATGATGAGGAGTAAATTAAAAGAATTAAGAGACCAAAAAATCTAAGGAGTCAAGTAATATTATCTTTTTTACTGTCTAGATATTTTCTAAAATTAGAGAACAAGAAGATTAGTATTTTAAAGAATGTTCTAAATCTATTATCAAATTAATGAAATAAAGATCAATAAAAGTTGTAGATGAAGTTACTACTCAAATAGAATAAGTATAATTATTAAAAAAAGAATAATAATATTAAAGATCAAAAGAAAGAGAAGAAGGTAAATAAGAAATAATCAAATCTTTGAGATCAAAAGAATAAGGAAGATTACTTAAATTATTCTAAATTAAATAGTCAAATCTTCATTAACAATAATCTAAATAAATCATTGAAAAATCTGATGTAGAAGTCAATTCATTTTAAAAAAATACTAAATAAAGATCTAAAAGTCTTAATTCTACTCTCCCTATTATTGATTTTAAATAAGATAAAGGATTAATTTAAACTCAAATTTAAGTATAAAATTAAAACATTTCTAAATTTAATGGGAAATCTTAGCTTAATAGATTAAATCTGATTGAAAATTAGAATTTGTAGAAATAACTTTAATGTTCATGATATCTTATTATTTTCTCATAATTTAATTATTAATATTATATTATTTCAATGAGTTAATGCAACAAATTATTTAATTCTCCTTTAAATAGTTAGTAACTATTATTTCCTACTATTTCATATAAAACTTCAGAGTCTCCTTCAAAAGTTGCGATTCCTCTTACTAATTATTTGTTATTTGAATAAAAACAAGATTAATAAAATGTTGATAAGATAAAAAGTGTTAAATAAATAAAATATGAAAGAGCAGAAGCTATCTATTAATATCTTCATTCATAAGTACTTAAAAAGAAAGATTTTAATCAAGAAAAATCTAAAATATAAGTCACAACTCTTATAACTGATTCTTAGGATAAAATTAAAAAATCTAAAGAATATCCTTTTGATTTACAATAATTAAAGCAAATTCAAGAGAAACGAAGCAAATAAAGTATATTCATATATTTTATTATTATTAGAAATCTCAGGGATTAGTAAATCATATATAGATTTACCTTCTTTAAATTTATGTAATTAAATATAAGACTAATGCATAGTTGAATTAGACTAAGAATAAGATGAATATGAACAAAATTTATGTAGTATAAATTAGAATTAATTAAATAAATCACCAAATTTATATAATAATTTAAAAGGCAATAAAAATTGCAAATTACTAAATTAATCAAAAGTATTTAATTTAGATAATATAGGTTGTCTTGGACTTTAATTAATAAAATAAAGATTATTAAGATAAGAGCTTTTAACTTATTCATTTAATTAGAAAAGTTTAATAAAGTCTATTAAAAAAATCAGATAATGATAGATAATAATTGGAAAAAGACTATAAATTGAAAAAAAGTATAAGATAAAAAGAAAGATAAGAAGGATTGTAGAATGCATAATAAGGTTTAAAAAACCGACAATTAAAATCTCTTTTGAATGCCTTAAAAGGATCAAAGGACAAATAGATTTAAAATAATATTGTCTAAAATATTGCAAGAAAACATAATATACAACGTAGTCAGTCTACAATTATAAGTAGAAAGAGTTCTTTTTAATTATCAAAAAGTAATTATCTTCCTGATGAATAATTTGATGAGAAGTTAATTAGAAAATTTTCTTAGGTTTCTGATATTTGTAGTTCTGAAAACTCAGTAGATTAGATATGTAATCTTTTTTTTAATTAATTGTAGAATAACCTATTAAACTATAAAAAGCTAACTGATAATTGAATATAATATCTATAGATGATATCAAATTCTTTAATTTAATATATTTTTGGTATAATTGAAAAAAAAAATAATATAAAAAATGTCTGGAGAGTTACCTAAAATAGCTTCTAAGAGTTTATTTTCCACCTATGTTGAAAAGAAGAATGCAGAAGAAGAAGCCATAAAAATAAGGAATAGAATTGATTAAATAAGACAAGAACGAGAAAAAATATTAAAGAGAATATAAGCTGAAGACTTAAAAGCAGAACATATTTATAAACATAGATTGGAATTACAATTAAAAGTAAATTCTACACTAAAATGATAGAAAGAAGAGAAGATTAGACAGAAGGTAGAAGCACCCCCTCCATTTTCTTTAAGTGTTTCAAGAGCTTAAAAAGAGACATTAAAAAAAATTAAAGAAGAAATGCTAAATAGAAAGAAAACTGAAATAAAGGAATTTAGAAGTTGGCATCGATAAGATCTGACAGAAACAAAAATATAAAAAAGTTTAGATCATGAAACTTATCGTTCTAAAGTCCTTTAAGGAAAGGAAGAAGAGAGATAGGCTAATTTAAATACATTGGCTAAGTTGAAAGAAAGAAGAGATAGGATTAGATATGAAGTGGAGGTTGAAAAAGATAGAGTATTAAGAGAGATAAATGAATATGATTAGAAAATTTAAGAATTAGAATAATTAGAATCATTAGAATTAGCAAATTTATAGAACACTCTCTAAAGATAAAATTAAGCAAAAGAAAAAGTTAATTTGGCTTAAAGTCTTTCACCTAAAGAATTTGAAGTTAAATTTGGTTATAATTCTACAAAAAGCAATTAAAATTAAACAAGTTAATGACATATTTATAAAATATACAATATCCATTTATAAGTTAAGTGTATTAAATATTTTATTTATATATTAAAATACAGATCTATTAAAATTTATTATTTATTTAATTAATAATTTTATTAGTCATTTTAGATATTTTAAGAATTATTATTGAATAACTAATTTAGTATGATTTGTAAAAATATTATTATTTGAGAAGATTCTTAATTATCTATTATTTATATTTTTACTAATTTAATTCTTAAATACTATAATATTAATCAATATATCAAAAGATCCCTGATTATACTAATTATTATTATAAAATTCAATCAACTAACATATAAGTATTTATTCCCTATCCTGATGAGATATTCCCGTCATCTAATAATAACTTAATTGATTATCTTTATAATAAAGATTTTAATACTTAATTTCTTACAAATTAAAAGTTTCTGAAAATGCATTAAAGATACTTTATTAAGTGATACTAATAGATCCTAACTAATGTGTTTAAGCTTTAATAAAGTTTAATATCTAATTTAAATTAAAAATTACTTTCCTTGATAAATTTTATTCTGATTACTTCTATTATACTTCTTCATCAATTAATGTATTTGTTTATTCCAAATTTGGTTCTCTTTTTTGATTGGTTTTAATTTATTATTAAATGATATTTAGCATATGTGATATTTAATAACCAACTTGATTTAGTTTTTTTATATTCATAACATCAAAACAAATTGCATCTTTGTTGATTCTTGCTCTTAGTAAAAATTAAAAATATATTATTTTTGGTTCATCTTACTAAACAATATTATACATTTCTCTGATTTACACACCTTCACAAAATAAAAGAATAAGTTTTAGTTACCCACTGTCATCATTAATGTTTATATAACCTTTGCCATCGCTTTCATTTGAACTATCACTTCTAGCTACCAATTAAATTAATGTTATAGGTTTATCATAATAAAGGATTTCATTTTTATCAAAAGTTGATATTTTTAGTTATTTCATCATCTTGATGGTCATATTTGCAATTTATTCATTGTAATTAATTCCTAACTTGAATCCTGATTGGTTTTTTTATTCACTAAATTAAGATTATTAAAACATAATTAAATTAATAATAATAAGCGCCATTTTATTAAATTAAATGATTTATATATATATTTTAGTAGACATTCAATCAAAAATAATTACATTAAAAATATATATTTAATCTTTATTTTTATCATCCCAAATTATCAATTTTATTGAATTAAGTATCATTAAACTAATTACCAAATATAATTTATTCCTCCTTTTACAAATCTTTCTATTTATTATATCCAATATTTTCTGATTTAGATAATCCAAATATTTTTACATCTTATTTTTCTTCCCTCGATTAACAAGAAAGTTAATTAATCTATTCACCATTGCTTTCTGATTCCACTTTAAAAAATCTGAAATCAAATTCTTACTAAACTAAAGAGGTCTCTTTTTATCTTTAAGTTTACATATATCTATTCTATTAAACACTACATAATTCACTTTAATATGTTTTTGTCTTTTCATCTAATTATTTTTTATCTATTGTATCATTATATATAAATTATATCTTTTATTGGACTCTTTATTATTCAACATATGAAGGTACTTCAAAATACACCTATATTTTCTATATAAAAAATACTTTAGATGTAAATGATATGAATTAAGATCGTTTTGGTTTTATTAATTTTTACCAAACACTTTAATACAATCTAGTCAATCTTCTCTATAATAAAATTGCTTATCCTTAATAAAATAATAAGTTATGATAATTAATGACAAATCTATTTATTATTAAATATTCATAAGTAGTTTTATTAGTAAAAATAAAATAAGTATGCAAAATCAATAAATAAGTTGAAAATAAAAGAAATCCAAATGTTTTTAGAGTGTAAATTATGAATTCAATTATAAAGTAATTATTCATATGAGTCATATGTTATATTTGTACTATAAAAAATAAGGTAAGCATAATAGTTAATAACAATATAAATAAATAAAAGTATCTATAATTTCTTTATCCTATGCATTATCCTAGCCATACACAATGATGATCAAATCCTTAAACACAATTATCACATCTTCTACAATGTGCAGTTGTGCTTGTTTTATAAATTTTACATGTATCACAAAATTTGAATTCACTTACTTTTATTTAACTCACTAATATTAATTCAGTTGTAGATTTTTATTTAAATGGTATAAGATAACATTCAGTATACCTTAATCAATTAATATATTACTTTTTAAAATTAAGAATTTATTCTAGGTATTAAACCTGGGTCACTAAACACAGTTAAAATCATGAAAATATCTGTTAGAAAGATTAATATTATTTCTACAAAAAATACTTCCCATTTTGGATCTATTCTGAATAGTTAAATTATAGAAAGAATATTCAAATATATAAAAGATAAAGCAAACGTTATTCTTGAATGCCCCATAACTAACCTTCCTTTTAAACAATATTTTGACTTTCCATTATAAACTTGATAATAAGGAATTGTATAATCTGAACTGTGTATTCTCATTTTCTTAATTAAATATATATTTATTAATTATTTGAATGTCTTCTTAATTTGGATACAGTATTCATAAGTTTTAAATATGAATATATATCTATTGTTTTAAATATTCAGAGTGACTTCTTAAATTTACATTTCTAGATATTTTAATAGATAATTATATGAATGATCTATAATAATAGTATGTTAAATAATAAATGTCAAATTATATAATTATAAAAAATAGTTAGAATTTTTAGACTTTTAAATCATTTATTAATATAAAAGATAGATGTTTTATTATTATAGAGTTATCAAATATTTTTGTAATTTAAAATTTATTATTTAAGGGATTTATAGAGATATGAGAATTTTTAAAAGGATAAAATAATTTAAATTATATTTTTTTTGTATAACTTAATCTTTTCATAAAATTTTAATGTAAATCAGTATTTATTAATGTATATATAAAGGTTTACTTGAATTTACTTATTGTAATCAAAGTAAGATATCAAGAAAACAAAGTAAAAAAAATTGGATTAATTGTATTAATAAATTAAGAGATACTTATTTAAAATAAATATATGGCAGATGATTATAAGGTTTATTATAATATTATAAGAAATCTAAAAAGGATTATTTAGTTTTTATATTAATAGTAAAGAACTAAATGATGTAGAGTATTATAAATAGATGTTACGAATTATAATGATGAAATAATTAAATTGTGATTTATTTAAATATTTGGATACGTTAATCTAATTTTTCAAAAATTTATGAATTAATATAAGTCAACAATTGATTAAGTATAAATTAAGTAGTACATTATTTTCTATGGAGAATCCTTAGTAAAATTTAGGTTAATGTAATATATTTTTATAATTTGAATAATATTATTATTCATACTAATTCTTAGACGCACTCGCATTCTGGATGTCTTTCAAAGAAGCCAAAGGCACATTAAAAGCTTGATAATGAATTTTAATCAAGACACTCTTCTCTTAAGATGGCAGCACAAGTAGCTACATCACATTCAGATGAGAATTTGAATGATGGGTAACAATTGGCTTGACCACATTTACTCCTAAAGTTGTTTAAATTGTAAATTAATACAATGCAATAAGTAATTTATTTCCTGATTTATTAGCACATTCAACTAAACAATCATAATCAGCTGAACATTTATTTGAACAATTTGTTGCAGCAATAGCACAGAAGGCATTCTTTTCACAAGCAGCAACTTCATCTGGGCATTTTTCTCTAACACATAATTCAACTGGATCATCTTATGCAACAGCAAAAGCCAAAAGAACAACTAATAATAATGCTTTCATTAATTTTAATAATACTTATTAAAAATAAGATTGGTTTTATAATAGCCTGATGACGTTATTAAGAAAATTTGAACAAAACACTATTAGTTGTTATTACAAATTAATAGATACATTCATAAAAATCATATTCTATGCTTATATCCTTTGAATTTCTATTTCATCAGAACTCAGTTACACATGAACATTCTGGATGTCTCTCAAAGAATGTTGAAGCACATTAAAATGATTTTAATCCTAAAGTTTAGGTACATTCATTCTTAAAAGAAGCAACACAACCTTCAACATCGCAAAATGATACAGCAACATCTTGACATTTTTCATGTCCACATTAAGCCCTTTACTTAATTTATTAATTTACAATGCAATTAATTTGGCATTCTTTGAAGCTAAAGCACAATTCAACATGCATTCAGCATCATCACCTCCACATTAATTTTTACATTTCATTGCTGCAGATGCACATCCAAATACTTCTTTTTAACAGGCAGCATATTCATTTGGACATCTCTCTTTCAAACATTATTCTGGATCAGCTGAATATGTAATAGCTAAGAGAACAATAATAAGGATTGCTTTCATTTAATTATTATATTAATGATATTAAACAATTATTATTTACTTCCTTATATAATCATCTTAATGACGTAGATAAAATAAATTACTAATTAATATATATTAGTTTATATCACAAATGAATTTTATTTAATTAGGTAAACTAAAAAATCAGTTGGCTAATTCTAAATCAAATGTTTTAATAACTTAACAAAGAAGATAATCCAGAGTTAATTCCATAGAATAATTAATTTCTTATCAAAATAAACAAAATTATTTCAAATAAAATTAGGAGTTCATTGAAAAATCTCCATTAAAAAAGTACTTCACATTATTTTAATAGATTTTACCAGGATTAATCTACTCAAATTGAAAAACCTGAATAAAAAGTGAGATCTCATTCTCTTAATCATGTTCAATAACAACACTAAATTAATTCTCATAGACTTATAAATTAATAAAGAATTGCAAAAACAAACAATAATATAGAAATCAATTATTCTAAATAAGGAATGTAACTCATATAAATTCAAAAAAAAAGAGAAAATTTTAATGAAGCATTCCATTCTATACTATAATAAAGAATAAACAATTTAAATGCTCATAATTATGGATCTAATTCAAATATCAATTCACTAAATTCTTAATAAAGAAAACTATTTGAAAAATCTAAAATAGATCAATATAGAAAATTTAAGTAATATGATTTTGAATCTTAAATTCCAGAAGGACCTTAACTAAGTTTTAGATAATTTGCCAAAATGTAAGGGTTTAAATTACCCTAATTTTTAGAATGATAATAATCCTCTTATTTATAGATTTTATATTAAAAAATGTTAAATATATATATATACCTGAAAAAATGTGAAATTTATAAACCTAAGTTAAAAATAATTCCATTAAACAAATATTTTAATTATACAGCTATCTTAAATAAATTCAATTAGATGCTGGTTTTCCTTCATAGAATAATAAGAATAGATATATATTTTTAATAAAATAATAAATCTGAAATCAGTAGACTAATTAGGATGAAGACTGACCTGATATACTTTTTTATTAAAATTACTAGATTCTAGCTCTAAATTTTTGAGGAGTTGATTAATTTTATGAATTTCTAGATACATAATTTAATAATTAATACTTTCTATTATTAGTTATTTGAGACATTGAAGTATGACTTTCATTTAAAATTGATTATCTAATGCTTCTCTAAGAATCAAGAGTAGATTTTTATAATTCTACTTCTTAAGTTTTTAATTTTTTATCTTTTATAAACTAATTGTTAGGAATAGTTTTCATTAAACATTTCCATGAATCTAGTGGTTATAATGAACTTAAAATAACATTTAGTTCTCTTTTAATTAAATTATTATGTATCAATCTTATCAACTTAATAATATAATAGAATAAACTTTCATTATAGCTATGGCTTTTAAAGCCATTTGAATAAAAGGTTGTATAGGCATTATATAGGGAACTAATTAATCCAATATTAAATAATATATTTTAAAGTAGGTAAGCAGGAGCTTTTTCAAAGATTAAATTAATGAATTCAACAAACTAATATTGATATAGAGTATTTTATTTGCTTTTAAAAAAATAAATAATGTATAAATGGATGACTGTTTCATTCAAGAATTTGTATATATTTTTATTTAATTTTGTCACATCATAAGGTTCATATATATCAAATCCATTTTTAATTGTTTGAAACATTATAAATTGTTCAATAATATTTACATCAGAATTTAATTTATTTATGTTAATGATTATTTTATTCATGTATTCTATTACTTAAAAAAAGATATCCTTTAAAATTAATTATTATTCAATATTTCCATGCCTTTTAGCAAGATAGTATATCTAATTAATAATTCTACCACATTAGAAACTTGACTCTTTTTTCTAATTGATTTCATATAAATAAAATTTAAATAAGGAAAATACTAATTCTTAATTAAAAAACAATTTGCAAAAGTTTTAATTTTCTTAATTATTTGGTTTTCTCATTTCATAAATTAGAATGATATTTAATATCTTTTCTAATAAGTTTATAAGATATTCAAATGTGGTTGTATTATACTAAAATTTTGATTGATCTAATTCAAATTAACTTGGATTGGCTTTATGATTACTTGAAGGATAAAGCATTACTAATTTACTACTTGAGAATCCTGTATCTGATGATAATGAAAATCTAGAATTTTATAATAGACTTAATATAAATTATGAAGTTTTAGAATTCACAGTTTTGTCAATATTTTCATATTTATCAACACTTCCTCTTTTTTATTTTGAGTCATTAAAAACAGTTGATATTGATTTTATTGTATTAATTGAAGGAAGAGAAGGTATATTTAAAGTAATATTACGATTATGAGAAATAAGTGTAGATTGATAACTTATCAATTATGATTCAGTTTTTCTACTTTATTTTCTACTCTAATTTCTAGAATTTTTTAATCTTCTATCATCTAAAAATGGTTTAATTGCATCTATATCCTACTCTAATAATTATGCATAAGATAAATTTTCAGGTAATTATATATGCTCATCTGCATTTTACTAATTATATGAACCTCCTAAATGTCCAATATATTCATCTAATATACTTATTCTAACAATTTCTATAGGTTTCTATACATCTTTAAATTTTGATAGAAGATTTATGATTTTTGATTTCTATTAATTTTGTTAAATTATTGGAAATGTTAATTTACTTAGATTTTATTAAAAGATATTATTATTTATAAAGTCTATCCATTTTGTTTCTATAATGTATGTCCAAATTTATTCTTAAATCTAATAACCAAATTTGTATTTATCAATAGTTATATCTAAAATATCAGTTATCAATGATTCAATATATGTATTATTTGAATATTACAAGAAGAGGAATAAGAAATCCAATTCTATAATCTTTAATATACTAACTTTTGGACAAATGATTAATAATTAATCTATTAACATAGCTAAATGATTTAAATTCAATTAAATTGACTCGTTATTAAGGCTTTCTAAGATTTATTCAACTATAAGTTATATATTGTATAATACATATTTTAGGCATCATTTCTTATATTGTTAAATAATATCTAGAATGATTTACCTTTTAAGTCAAAAATTATAGACTTTTGTAGGATCTAATTGTATTCAGATAATCCATATGTATTGTAGTAGACTTAAATATATTTTTATAATCTTCATTTTCTATATCCTTCCTTTAAAAAAGTAGACCCTATTATAATATTATAAATAATACCCAATCATCTATAAGTTCTGTTTTTAAAGGATTTATTATAAATTTGATTAGTATTTCAATATTGTCATTATTATGTAGTTGAAGTAGATCATGTTAATTAACCATTTCAATAGGTTTACAGATCATCTTTTGCATAATTTCAACATAATCAGCAACAGATTCTACTTTACTGGCTGGTGTTAGATATTCATCATCTTATTCTGTTTTAATTTACTTTTCTGTTCCAATATAATTAAATGAAGACATTGACTATTTTCTATCTAATATCCATTAAGGTGCAATCTCAATAGTCCATTTATTGCAAACTAAATATTATTAACTTATTTTTACAATCATCTAATTCTTAATCTTATTTATTCTTCCATGAAAAATTATAAAATATACTCTATTTGCAATCAAAGAATTAATCAATCAATTATTACTAAAATTTATGGCATCGAGTATTTATTATGAATTGTTTAAAAATTATTGACATCTCTTCCAAATCTATATTAAGTTCAATTGCCAATTAAAAGAATCTCTTCAAATAAGAACAAGCGAATCTTTTAGCTATTATCAATTTCTCTATAACTTATTTAGAAAATGGAATGGATCCTTATTTTTATTATTCTCCAATAATCTTATTAACATTTCCACTATGATTTTATTATATATTTTGTTACTTAATTGTCATCTTCAAATTTCTGGAGTTTCTATTACCTAAAAATTCTCTGTATTCTTATAATTCACTTACTTCTTACAGTGCCTTATAAAAAGCCTAAAGGAATAACCTATGTTTAAAATAATCAAAGAAAGCAGACATCAACAATCCTATACTTGCTTTTTAGAAAGGATAGGAACAAATCACTTAATATAAGTTATAAATAGAAACTTGATTTTAAGATGTTATGATCTGTGATAATTTACATGTTTCTTAAGTTGAAAGAAACTTCTTTAATTCCTAAACTTATTTTTAGAAGTCTAACATATTCATCATCTTCTCCTAGCTAGAACTATTATTAATATTGTTACAGCTTCGGCAAAAATCATTAGAGTATGTGTTAATTTTTAATAAATGATTGTAAAATTAAAACAGGTGTCTTTATAAATCAAATTATTATCAGATATGTCATACTAAAGTAGGTAAATCATTTTTAGACATAGAAATTTCCAATGGTATATAATTGGAAATTAAATATTTAAAGAGAACTTTTTAAGTTACACTTGAGAGATAATGCTTTGTATTTATTTTTGGAAAGTACTGTGAGTAAATTTATAATAAAAAGTAATTATAAATACTGTGGTATTTTCAATACTTTTAGGTATTTTATTTTATTAAAATTAAATAAAGATTATAATAGTATATATTGATGTGTATTATTTTCATTCATTTATGGACTTTATCAAATATTATTTTAATCTAAATATGCATCCTAAAATTAGATAATAAGATATAACATATTATTAATGAATAAAAAAAATTAATAAACAAAAGTTCTAAGTTTATGGAAATAGCTTAATTTATTTAAAATATCGAGCTTTATATATTAAGATTCAGAATGAAAATTACTATTTCTATATTTACTTTGGAATACTCAAATTTCTATAATAATTATTCATAATACACTAATGGGAATAATAGAATTAAGAGAATTAATCAAAGCTCTAAGCTGCTTTGAATATATTCTTTAATTTAATAAAATTATTATTAATAGGATTAAATCAGAAACTTTAAAAATTTATGACATAATTACTTATAAATCAGCAAAGAGTGACATGATATTTAAAATAACCATTCTTTTGATGTTTTCTAATTTCAAAGTTCTTAATCTGCAAGTTATGTAATTCAAATTAAATGTAGGCAAGGTTCTGTAAATAATTAACGCCATTATTTGAATTATTCAATTTTAATATAAATTGATATCCTTAATAGTAAAGAATTTCAAACAATCATTATTCCTCATATTAAATACAATTAGGATGTTAATAGAAATAAGTATTTTGGCTCTAATTATGTTTAAGTTAATTGAAAATGTTACAAGTGGCACATAGATTATATATTTTTCAACACTACTTATAAAAGATATTTATAATTCTATTTTGTCCTCAAACAAAAGGTAAGTATTCATGTATCCATAAAGCTATTTCAATCTTTTGATTCAAATCTATTATAATTAATAAAATATATGTATTTATAGAAATCTTATTATTGTTTACAAAATAAACATATATGTTATTGTTATAGCCTTTTTAATATTTATTGATAAGAAGATTAAAGAATAATAAGTTTTTGTATATAAATATATTAATAAATCTGAGTAATAAATTAATCATTCAAATAAGATGTCTTTGCAATCGGATAATAGAGCTCTAAACATCAAATATACAATTTTTGAACACTTTATACTTCCATTCAAATTAAATCCATAGATTTTGAATCAAATTAATAGCCCAAACATATCCTTTGAATAATTTAAAGATATTGCTCAAAAATACTAAGTTTCAAATATAGAGGCTGATATAATTTATACTTTCTTTTAGATGGCATTAGATAATTAGCCAGCAGTGGAACGTAAAATGGTAGATGTTAGATAATTAAGTTTATTCTTGTCTTTACAAAATTTTAATCATGCGGGAAGACATTCAATTTTTGAAAACATCAATATAAATGATGTAAAATATTAAGAAAGATAAAGATAACCAATGAATTCTTATTCTCCATTAAATTCTCCTAGAGCAAAAACAATGAGAGTACAAACTCAATAGAATGAAATGTAGTAGGTAATCTAATTTGTAAAATCAAATATAAAAGATTGGATTAGAGTGTTAACAAATAATTTAGATACAATAACAAATTAAGAATACAATTTATTATCTTTGATTTTATTTAATGAATAGAAATCTATAAGTTAATTAATATTTGATCGAACAAATAAATTAGGCAAAGAAATTGTATCAGAATGGACAATTAAAAATATATAATGTTAAGAATATGGTATATAAATATAATATATATAGCATCAACTATTAGTGGATTCACAAAATCAGTTACAATTAAAAATAATGTGGGAGAAGATTTAAAAATTACTTAATGTGATGATTCTATGATTTACATAGATTGTTGTGTAAATACATTATCTATATCCCAATGTACTAATTGTTAAATCTTTGTTGGATCTGTAAGAATGATTACTAGTATAACTTCATGTGAGAAGATAATAGTTTGTGTAGCATCTAATTATATTAAAATTAGTAATTCAATAGATTCAACTATCCATTATTATGGTTCATATTCACCAATTTTATATGGTGATTGTAGATCTATTATACTTGCTCCTAATAATTCAAATACAGAGAAAACATTATAAAGATTAAGAGAAGCATAAATACCTATTAATAAATAATGTAGAGATAAATATTAGAAACCTTTAATTATAGGATAGAGTAAAATTGATTGGTCACTATTACCTATTGATGATTTCAGTAAATTCATATTACCAGAATCACATTTTGGATGCATAGATTCACCATTAATTTTAGAATGTAATTTTGATATTGATAAAATGAATAAAGAAATTACAGAAAAGAAAATTTTAACATAATAAATGAATTATGAAAAGTAACAAATTCTATTTTAAATAAGAGAATCGTTTTACCACTTTTGGCTCCCCCTGAATACATTAAGGCTGTTTATGATAGATATTAACTATTTGCTAGTATTTAAGCATAGATCAAACAATCAAATCTAAAAGAAGAAAATTAGAAATTACTTTAAAATGCTATTTAAGGTAATTTCAGAGAATGGTTAGTATCTACAGGATCTATTAAAGGAATTAGTGATCTAGTTAAATTAATTGATTAAGAATAATGAAATATATAAAATATTATTTATTAAATGGGTGGTATTTATAAAAGAAAAGGAAATTCGGCAAAGAATAAGTTTCATCATCGTATTTTGAAAACTAAATCCTATAAAAGAGCTAATGATTAGATTCATGATGATATTAAACCTGAAAATGTATAAAAATGGTAAAATCAACCAATCGATGAAACTTTACCTGGATTAGGTTAATATTATTGTGTCTCTTGTGCAAGATACTTTGTTAATGAAGAATCTATTAAAAAACATTAAATTAGCAAATAAGTATGATTACTTAAAAGTATTATAGCATAAAAAATAAGATAAAAGAGTCAAAGAAAAACCATATACTCATATGGAAGCAGAATTAGCTGGAAAATGATTATAAATTATTATTATCATTCATTTTGATTAGCTTTACTTTAAAATAGTAATTTTGTATTTGTTTTTCTGGGATTAAGTACAGAATTATTAAGACTTTAACATAAATCCTATTATATTTTGGAACCTAACAAATACAATTTCCTCTTTTCAGTTGTTGATCTAGTCTAACTTTGACTGTAAATACTCTTACGTAAACCACTTTGAGAAGATGTTTTAATACGAATAGATTTTCTATCATCCAATACCAATTATGGTTTTAATTTCTTGATAGGAGAATCAAATATATTACTAAAGTCATTATCATTTCTCAATTAATAAACTAAATCATTGAGTATTTCTTTGCATTATTCTTGGGAATAAGTTTATCCATTATATTATATTTCTTCTTAGTTTTATTAAATCATAAGTATTTAACATTATAATAATTTTTAAATACTTTATTATTATTATTATTGTACTTCGTTTAATTCATTAGTTAATAGAGGTATATTATTAAATTGATTTATTAAGTCAGTCATCTATTATGTAATTTAATTAACAGATTCATAATTTTGAATCTTTATTAATTCAAAAGATTTAATCATCTAATCATGTAAAACATTGAATTATTTATCTAAATATTCTGCTGTATTTTATAAAAAGTTTACATCCTTTTCTAATGCCAATTTAAATTCATTAAATTTATTCTATAAATAATATTCCATTTAATTTCTATCTATTCTTAAATTACTTCCATCTTTTACTCCTACTCTTTCACTACTATCATCAGATTTAGGTGTTATTGGAACTTCAGAAATCTTTGAAGAAGTTTCTTCTTAAATTGGAGTATTAACTTAATTAGTACTAACCTTTTTATCTCTTAAAAAAGACATATTTTTTTTAAGTTATTTTTCTATAAAAGAAGTATATTCATTAATTTTTCTATCTAAATTAGGAATTCCATCATCATTTACAATAATTCTATGTAATTCTGTAAATTTAATTTCTTCATATTGAGCTAATTTAAACCTATCATTTTCTTAAAGACAATTATGAAGAGTATCAGATATAGTTCCTTATAAGAAGAGTGGAAAATATTTTTCTATGTAGTTTTCAAAATATTATAATTTATTATTCATCAAACCTAAATCATTTTTAACTGATCGATCATAAGATAATAGTTCATCTAATTTAGGAAACTTTTTATTTATTAATTCCAAACTTTGTTGATTTTATTAACTTTATGCTATTTGTAATAAAAGTTTATCTTAATATGATTACAATATATTGTAATTATTATCAATTTTAACTTTTAGATCCTTTTAAACACAATCTTATTTGTCTAAATAGATATTCATTGATTATAATTTATCATAAACAGTTATAATTGCAATTTAATTATCTTTTTTAACTTATTCTAAATTATCTAACAAAACTTATTTAAAGTCTTAATTTTATTATCTATATTTTTCAATCTATTCTGTCCATTACATTTAATTATTTTCAATCATTTTTAATTGATGATATTGTTGATCTCTTAAAAATTAGATCTAATCTAATTTTCTGTTATTTTCATTAATAGTAAATAAAGATGTTTATTATATATTTTCAAACTTCTCTTATAAATCTAACATTTATTATCTCAGTTATTAAATAATTGGAGTTCCTTTTCCATTTTAAAAATAAAGAGCTTTGAATTCCTCATAATTTTATATGTATTTGTCAAGTTTGATTGATATACTTTTTTGCAATAATAAATTAAATATACGTTTAATAATCTGATCTTTGATCTATAAATTCTTTTAAATGTGGTTCCATTAATTCATGAACCAAAATTCTTATTTTATTATCTAATTCAAACCATTAAAATTCATGAAGTGGTTAATTATTTATTGCCAATGAATGATTTTACTATATCAACATTTTATTTAATACCTAATCTATAGATTTTAGTAATTCTTAAACCAAAGACTTTCTTTCTTATTATGATTGCATTAATTTTAATATATATATATGTAAAAATAATAACCATTATAAGAAACCTAGAATCCAAAACCTCAAATAAAAAAAGCTAATAGTTTTGATGAGGATGATAAATTAGAAGTACATAAGACTATAAAAATTAGATAATAAAATAAGGATATGGAATAAATGAAGCTTTAAAATTAGATATCTTGGAATTCTATAAATCAAGCAGAGAATAATAAGAATTTAAAAATCCTGCTGATTTCATTAAGCATCGTTTAGATAGTAAATATGGGCCTTATTGGTTTGTATTTATGTGGAATCTTAAAGATAAGTTAAATGCTTAATTCAGTTATTATAATAATGATGATAAAGTCTTTGAATTTGAAGTATCCATCTATTGCTAATTTTTCTAAGCTTTATGGATGGCACAATTTAATTTATTCATTTAATCAAGGACCTTAACCTGTAAAATACTAGCCTTAATCAAATGGATAAACATTGCCTTAATTTAATTTGTATTTAGACTATTAAATTTAGGCAATATAATATGTAATCTTATGATTCTAATTATCTACAATAAGATTTACAATTTAATGGACAATTAAAATATTAATATTGATTTTATATAACATATAAAGAATAATCTTAATTTTAAATGAAAAATATAAAATAAAAGAGGTGTAAAATAATAAAATGAGAAAACCTCCATTTGAACATTGTTTAGATTGTCCAATAATTATTAAATTGATGGATGCATGTCCTCTCTCTCCCTTTTGGCATATATTCTAACAAGAAGGATTAATAGGTTTGACAGATATATCTTTACTTTATGAATTATTTATGGTCATTATTTCATTGGCACCTTGGATTATTGCATTGATATTGGGAATATTATTATTGAAGAGAAGAGACATGAGATCATTAATCCGTGTTGGAACTCATTTATGTGCTCATATGTAAATAACACAATATTTATAATAGAACATGTGATGTAGTAAAAGTTGTTTATTTTAAAGAAGATCGACCAGATGGTTCGTGTTCTTTAAAGTATGGATTACCATCTTGTCATTCTATATTTGCAGGATTATATACAAGTTGGGTGTTGATTGAAATATTGATTATTGGAATGAAATTAAAAACAAGACATATTATTGCAATAATATCTATGCTTATAGTACCATATTCAAGAATTTACTTAATATATCATACACTAAAATAATGTTTATATGGTTGGGGAATTGGATTACTATTTGCTATATTGGGTTTGACATTGAATAATTAATGTAAGAAAAGAATAAAGAATAAATAAATAAAAGTAAAATAATGATTTTAAATGTTTATATGTATATGTATTTATTTCATTTCTTCTTTTATTTAAACTAATTCATCTTATATTATATATTTAAAATTTCTTATTTCCAATATTCTCTATATAAAATAGATTACATTATTATAAAGTTATAAAATTTCAACAATTATGAGTTCTAAATTAATTATATTAGATGAGTCTTAATATAAAATTATATATATTTAATAAAAGTAGATCATATTAATTAAATATTATAATCATTTTATAATTTGAATATTAAGTATAAGAAATGTATTAAAATTATTTGTACATTAAAAAAAGTATAATAAAAAATGGAGACAACTTATAAATGTTCATTTTGTTAAACAAATGTCAAAATAAGTTAATAATCTTTTCATAAATATTTATGCTTAGATCATTAAATTACTCATTTTGTTTCTAAGATTATTAGATTAGAGAAACATAATAAACTATCTTAAGATAAATGGGAATATATTAATAAATATATAGAATTACTTTACAATCATTATAAAGAAGAGGTAATTGTAAATAGTGTGTTTATTTCAGAGATATAAAAAGAAGAATGAATTATTAAATTATTTATGTTATCATATTATAGTACAGGACAGTTTCCTAAATCTTTAGATCCACCATCTCGTTTCAAGTAAAGATAAGCAAGCAAAGTATATCATCTATCATTTAATCAAGGGAGATGGCGAATCTATGTATAAAAGAAACTTTGAAGATCCTTAGAAACATGATTTCAAACAAAGTGCTCATGCTTTGAATTAAGAGTTCCATCATAAACAATATCATAAAATTAATGCTGATTATAAGTATTTCTCTTAATCTAAATAAAAAAGGGATCGTTTCTTTGATACTATGCATAATACTACAAAGCAATAAAAATAAGAAGATAAGTTATTTTATTAAAGTGCAGCAAGACAATAGAATCTAGAATAACCAAATCATTTACATAATTGGAAAATAGTAAAAGAGAGATAATATGCAGAGTATGTAACTGCAAATATTTAATAGACGAGTATAATAACAATCAAAATGTGATTAAGGGAAACTAGTAAGCAAGAATGAATATTAAGTTACATAATCATCTAATCCAGAATCCAAAACAAATACATTAGCTAGATCAAATATGTTTGAAATATCAAAACCTTTATTAAGAATTAATAATGATCTCAAAAGTTAATAATTGATTAAAAATGTTTAAATTGTATCAGATGATATACCTGATTGGTGTTCTTCTACAAATAAATATTATACTCCTGAACATATAGAATAAATTAAGAAATAAAGACAATAACAATTAGCTAAAGCTGATATTTTGGGTAATTTTATTAAGGAACCTAAAAAGGATCCTGAAAATAAAGTTTATTAAGATAATCCATTTGTTGGTTAAAGATATGTAATTATTTAATTTAAATTAAAGGAACCAAAACGTATGTGTGTATTTTATGAAAAACCAGATCATGTTAGAGGATAATAATGTGCTACTTAAGATTTAAGTAAATCTAAAGTGAATTTAACATGGAAAGAAAATGTTTAATCATAAAGATTTGAACCAAAATTACCAGAAAATATTGGAAGATCAGATTAACCTGTGATTAAATCACTTAATTAAAAAAGAGATCCTAATTTTCCAAAAGTAGAAAAAATTGGATAATCAGATGTGTATATATATATAATAATTTTTATTTAGTTATAAAAAAATAGAAAAGGATAAACCAATTTAATTAAAAATTGGTCATGGTTCTCCTTCTACGTTGAATCCAGTCAAATATTGATATATTTGTTACATAATTTAATTTTTTTTAATATAATACTAATATTATATGTAAAAATAAAGATTTTATTATATATATATATATAATATTTTTAATCAACAAAATTGCAATAATACAATTAGATTAGTTGTTTCTTAAGCCACTCTATCATTTTCATGCATACTAAGGTTATTTAATAAATCATATAATTAATTTGGTATCAATTTAAGAACTTCAGTTTAATAATTCATATCTTCTATTTGTAATACATTTGACAGAGCCTCTATGAAATATAATATTTATTCCACTTTAATATTAACTTAATCTAAAGCTTATTCAATTACACCAAAGAATTTCTAATAAATATCAAATATTATAATACTATATAAGGTTCTAGATTAAATTATTATTAGTCTTGAAGTCTAAATTAAATATGCTTTTAACAATTTATTAGTTTATCTAATACTTTTATTTTATATAAATATGCAAAATTGGATTAGGCATAAAAATCTACAAATTTTTCAAGATATTCCATAAGACATTTTTATACATACTTATTTAGGATTTGATCTTCAATTACACAATGTAAATTTGTATAAGTTTTATAATAACAAGATACTAATTTTAATAAGTCTTTTCCTGCTTATTTTTCTAATTTATAAGTCAAATTATAAAGTATTTCCATTAAATTGTTCTTTCCAATTAAAGGAAATAACAATTCAGACATTTTTTTAATACAAATTCTAAGTGTCTTTTTAATATATTAGACTAATTTACCTTAAATATGACAATGTATTCAAAATGAGAAAGATCTTATTCTAGATAATCAACAATAATATCAGATATAGCATATATTTACTAAAAAAATGTAAATTCTTATTCACTTAAACAATTGGCTAAAAGAATTGAACCATAAATAATTTATAGGTCTTTAGATTAAATTGCTCTATTTAATATATCCAAAGTAATATTATATTAATCTTAAATTTTCAATTCTCTTTTTGCTTACAAATATAAAGATAAAAATTCAGTTAATGCTAATAAGTAATCATCAGTAGCTAAATCAAATGCCTAATATACAATTTATTCTAATAATAATTTTTCTTATTGTAATATATCTAATAATTAACTCTCTTGTTCTATTAATAAATTCAAAGTATTTAAAGCATCAACATGTAATGATTTCCATTCTGCAGATTATAATATTTTCATCAATTAGAATAATAGGGCAAGATCTAATTTATCTTTTTCATCTGATAGGATTGTTTTAACAATTTTTGGATTTACTATAATACAATTTTTCAAAAGTTATAACATTTTATTGAAATGTGATTGATGATTCAATGGTTAAATGAGATAATATTTAATATCAATAATGAATTAAGACACTTCATAGTATGCTTCAAATAAATCTTTTGAATCTATTAGATTACAAAATTGATTCAAAGTTTCAATGGTATCAGTTTTTAAAAAATCTTATAAACAATCAAGGATATTTTAATTAGAAGGGACTTTAGAATCCCCTAATTTATGAATTCCTCTATTTTATCTAAAGAGACTTTCTAATTTATGTTTTCTAATGTCCATTCTAAATTTCTCTCTTTTCATTTGATTTATGCTTACACAATCATTAGTTATGATATTAATCTGAGGAGTATCGGACATAAAAATATAATTTAAAAATATTGCGGCAAATATATTTAAATTTCATAATGAAAATAATTTCTTCACTCTTTCAAATGTTTTTAAGACAATTGATTCTCCATAAACTAAAGTCTTAATTTCTTCAAATAGATTTTCACAAACTAATGCATATGTAATATTTTCATTAACAACATTATTCTACTTTAATAAATATTGAACATATCTTATTGCTCTATCAATCAATTTATTATTTGTTGGTCGAACATATATCATAATATTACTTTAATATCTTCCAATTCTACCCATTAATAAAGTTGAATGAATATTAATAAGACATTTAAGAATTATGTTTTAACCTAAAACATCATTAATTCCTTAGATCTTTTCAAAATGTATTCTCTCTTAATTAGGAGATAGAAATTCCCATGACATTTCTAAATTATCTTAATCATAAACTATTCTAAATTAATAATGATTTCCTCCAGCATATTTAATTCTTCTCTCTATTTAATCTTAACTTATATCATGAGATAGTACTTTTAAAATATCATTATAAATATATACATTTTTCTAATCCAACCTTATGTTAATATTTATGCCAATAATTTGATGACAAAGCCCTTGGTTATCTTCCATAAAGTAATGATTCCCAAGCATGTAATGAGTCATTGTATTTTGTTTCACTATCATCCATAACAAAATATGACCAACTTGGATTAATTGGATTATCTAATATACTTTCAAAGGGATGTAAACTAAATGTTGGACATCTTTATAAATTATAGATTTATACCTTTCAGTGGTATCAGTTAAAATATTAATAGCAATATTTGGTTTAGATCTATAGAATACATATTCTTTCCTCAAATAACAATCAGCTTCTAATTCTATGAATTTTGCAATAAATTGATAAGCATCAATAGATTCATAATATTGTCTAACATTTTTGATTGAATTAGTTGCATAATCAATAAAGTTTTCCTTACATAAAATTGCTAATCCTATGGCATAAGTTAAAACAGTAGAACATTACATTCTAGTACTTCCAGTAATAGCTTAATGGCCAACAGAAAGATTTATTTTATTAATGTTTTGATTGTTAAATACATCTTAACTTCTTTAGACTGTCAATACTTCATCTGGATTACAATATAAGAAAAATGGTTTGCCTATTTTACTTGCTTCCTAAACAGCTCCAATTACCCAAGGTGTTTCTCCTCCTTCTGTTGATGATATTAATAAATCTCCTTCTTTAAAACCTAATTCATTTAATTACTAAGCTCCAAATTCAGGATGATCTTCAAAATCTTCTACTGATGCTATAATAGCAACATCTCCACCTGCCATAAAAGATATTACATTAGTTTATTTTGTAATTTATCTATATAGAGTTTCCAAAGTTAATGCTAATCTTCCAGTAGATCCACATCCACAAATAAATACTCTATTACCTTTAGACCATGTATCCAATACCATCTTATTCATATGTTCCAATTAATCCAATTTATTCATCAATACATCAAAAACATGCATATCTAAGTCTTTCATTCTTTATATTCCAGTTTTTAAATCATTTTTAGCAAATTCTGATAAACCTATTGTATGTGGATGTGATTATTCTGTTATTAAACCTCCTAAACTAAATTATGCACTAATTTCTAAGAAATCTTTATAATTCATAAATATTTTTTAATATAAAATCACAATGAATATTTTTTGAAATTATCATAACTAACTCCTTTAGGATCACCTTATGACATTCTATTATATATAGCTAACATATCTGCTTCAGTTAAATGACTATCTTTATAATTCTTCATTAAAAATATAAATTCTAACATATACTTTTAAATCATAATACCTTATTGATTCAAAAAGCCATCTTTATCAGAATCATGTCTTTTAAATATCTTTTATAGAAATCTATCTGTAGTTTCTTCATTAATATATTTTTCAACTGAATTCATAGCATTACAAAATGATTCTTCATTTATCTCATCCTTATAACAATGACTTTTAAATGATTAGGTAATCAAATTTTTGAAATTCTGTTTAGCTTCTCCATTTTAATCATTTGGATAGAATAAAGAACTCACCATTTCTGCAATTAAATCAATTTTAATTCCTAATGAATCCTATTATTAAAACTCAAATGCTAAAATTCTATATATTTCCTTATTTGACATAGTCTTAGTTTTATGAGGCTTCTATTTATTTTACTTACTATCCATAAATTTATATTAAATATATTATAAACAGTTATAAATATTAATGTATACTTTTTAACACATCATTCAAATTAATGTCTAATAGAATCAAAATATTGATGCTTTAAAGCATCCTTTGGAGTTATTCTTTTTTTCTAATGTAAATTTAAATTAATTATTACTGCATCATATTACATCATTTTCTATAATAGATCCAAAGCATCAGATTAACAATACTATTAATTATCAGCATTAACAAATTTATTTAAATTGACAGGTTCATAATTTGGAAAATCACTAAAATCCTAATTTATATTCATTTTCTAAGCAACTTCCTTCAGACCTTCTGTACCAAACACTCTTGCTATACGATGCATATATTAGACTTTTTCCTTCCCCAATTTTTTAGTACCTTTAAATGGATTATTCTCTTTAAATATCTTTTAATATATTCATAATAAGTTATTATACCATTTAAGCAAACATAAATCCTACTGCATATACATCTATTTAATAATCATAATACTGGTATCTCAATAATATTTCTGGAGATTGATAAGATCTGTATCATTAATAATTATACTTAGTTCCAACTGAAGGGTTCTTTGGTCTACCTGGTACATAATACATACTCAATCCCCAATCTATTAATTTAAATAGTTTAGTTTTTGGATTAGCTATAATGTTGGCTGGTTTAATATCTCCATGAATTACACCTTTGGAATGAACATAATCTAATGCCTAAATTATATAAATCAATATACTTTAAGGGTTTGATATAGGAATAACTTATTACCATTATCTGTCATTGTCTTTATCAATTAAGATGTTGGAAAGACTATATATCTATTATATACTAATGATACAGAATTATTGTTTCTTATAATATCTACTAATGGTGAAATTAAGTCATGTCCTTAAACTGTTTGCATAAACACAATTTCTCTTTTAATACTGTTCCATTTCAGACTCTTAAAAGTCTTAATTACAACCTTATTTTTAGTTGATTTTTATATTCCTAAATAAGCATGACCTGATGCCCCTTTCCCTATATAAGTCTAGAATTCATAATCGCTATAATTTCCAAAATTGATTCTCAATTATTTATAATCAAGATCTTTTTCAGATTTTCCTTGATTTGCAGTAGCGTAATATTTAGGTAAGATATGTACAACACTAGCTCCAGTTTCACTAATGTTAATAAGGTTACTGTCATGTTTATTTGTATTGAGGACAGAAACATATGAAAAAGCAATTATCACTAATCCATAAATCTGAATATACTATTCAAATTTTTTCATTAAATAAAAAATGCTTTAAAATTAAATTAATATAAAAATTATTGATATACACAAACACAAACTCCAAATATTATAAATATATTATCATTATTTTGAAAGTATTTTATAACTATAATTAATAAAACTTCTATCAATTTTCTATTTTGTATTTTATTAAAGATATATATCTAATTGGATTATATATATTTAAATAAAGTTTATTTGAAAATTACTATCACAATTTTGTAAATGGTATTAAAATTAATTATTATTATTCCTCTAAACAATCTCTATAGATAGCTTTTCATTTGTGATATCTTGGACAAGATCTTAAATTATATCTTAATAATATTTAGAATTACAAATAGAGTTACTAAATAATATTAGTGAATTAGATCAAGTTTTAGAAAGTTAAGATTAATAATTAATTATTAAATTAAATTATGTAACAGGAAAGCATATACAACTTAATTCCAAAAGAGTATGTTCCTCCACCAAAAGAGCCCATGTATAGATCTGCATATCCTTCAAATCTTGTTCCTACTGCCAGCACTTTTAATAATTACACCACAAGCAGACCAAAAGTATTTTTGTCGGTTATCTTTTAAGATTAACAATATCAATGGAGAATTTGAATTAGTAAAAGGTCCTCATTCTCATAAAGGATAATCGAATTCTTTAGGTAGACCAAAAGGTAAATTGAATATGATGATGAGATAGGCTCATATAAACCAGATACTACAATGTTCAGATTAAAGAACACTGGAACTATGGGATCAAATTAATTACCTGAGAGTATCATAGCATTATTAAAATTTAGTTTAATCTTATAAATATCCACCTTCTGTTAAACCACAAGTCCCAAAAAAGGATGAGAAACCAATACATGGTTTGAAATCTAATAAGAATTTTATTATAACCAATGCTGTTGAAAATATCTTATCAGCACCCAAATAAATTGTTGAAGATGTTGCTTGGACATAGAAAAAAGATTATGGAAAAGTTCCTGATTATTTAACCAAAATTAAATCAAGCATTTCAAGTGAATATGAAATTATAAGAAACATGCATATAAGTGAGGCAGAAGAAATGGACAAATAAAAATATTTAATGTCTTAGGAAGAAATATAATAATTAAAGGAAGGACTTAAAAAGAAATGGGAATCAGTCAATAAAGAATATTAATCAATTACACATATTAGAATGATTGACACTGTTGGTTTGAAAAGAAAGTAAGTCTAATTATAACTATTACAAGGAAAGAGTAATGTGAAAAAGAATTAGCCTAATTAGAAAAAGATATTGAAAAATTAAACAAGAATTATGTATTTGTTGATACATAAAAATGATTCCATTTTATAATATCAATAACAATTTTAGTATATTTTCCCATTTTTTATTTCTTTTTACTATCGATCTTAAATCTAAAATTCTTGGTATTTAAAGTAAAAAAATAATTTTAATGGATAAACAATCTTAAAAAGTTAGAAAATCTATTTCTAATTATACATATGATTTGAATGACTTAATTGGCTAAGGATATTCATCAAAAGTATACAAAGGACTTAATACTCTCACAAATCAGGTTGTTGCAATTAAAGTCATAAGTATTTAATAACTAATCACACCAATCTCTAAAAGCTTACTGAAAAATGAAATCAATGTATTGAAATTAATTAATCACCCAAATCTAATGAAAGTTTTTGAAACCTTTGAAACTTAAAACAATACATATTTGATATGTGAGTATTGTAATGAAGGTGATTTAGCTGATATTTTGGAAACTTCTTCATTCACAGAATCTAATGCTTTAAGAGTTCTCCAATAAATTCTCTAAGGAGTCAAAGCATTACATGATAAAAGTAACACCTTTTAAGTAAAATTTCTTAGAAATAATACATAGAGATATTAAACCAGCCAACATTTTGAAATCTGATGGACTGTTCAAATTAGCAGATTTTGGATTTGCAGTTATTGAGAACCAATATGAAAGCATCATCAAAAAGTTTAGTGTAGGAACTCCAATGTATATGGCTCCAGAAACAATTTAGAATAATGAATATTCAGAAAAATCAGATATATGGGCTTTAGGAATAGTCTTGTATCAAATGTTATACAAACAACTACCTTAGAATTCAAAATCAGAAAATGATATCGAAAAGAAACATGCAACATTAATTAATAAAATTTTAACTGACAATCAAACATCTTAAAAAACAAAAGAACTTATTTTAAAAATGCTTAATATTGATCCAGAAAAAAGAATTTCTGTTAATGAGATTATTTAGCTTCTTAATCCTACTCCAAAGAAATTATCCACTATCTCACATCAGAATATTTCTTGTAAATCCATAAAATCAATACCTACATCTTTAGATCTACAATCCTCAAGAGCTTTATTTGATGATAATTTACTATCTAAATAAATCACAAAAAGTTAACCAGATGAAGTTGGAGAGAACAACTAAATAAATTGTAAATCTTAAAATTGTAAAGATTATTCAAACCCTAGAATTATAAAAGTTAATTAATTTAGTTCATTCAGAGATCTCAAAATTAATAAAAGTCCTATCAAAACTATATAGACTTCTAAAGAAGAATAAAACATATGTATAACATAATAACCTTAATAAACATCAAAACCTTCTTACAATCTAAATTTATAACCTGTAGGTAAATTCTTATAAGAATCTCCTCTTAAAACAAGAGAAGATCAATAAACAAAAAGACTTAAAACTTAAATTTCAAATGAATTTGTTGAACCTAATTAAAAAGTATCCAATTGCTTATCAGATAAGCCATATTTTGTTAAAGTACCATAAAACAATATTAATCCTATTCAAACTCCATTAAAAACTGTATAAAATAATAAAGCTTGTAACAAAAATGCAAGTACTTTTGATGAAAGTGAATGTATATAAAGTAGTCATCAAAATAGTACTAATGATACAATTAAACACAATTAACTTTCTAATTGTTTATAAATTTTTCAGGAAAGATAGAATTTACAAGAAAATCATTAAAACAAATTTAAAAAAGTCAAATCACCAATCAGAATAATTCAATCATAAAAGACTATAATAACTCCACCTTTTAAATCTTCAGGAATTAGTGAATCAAAGAAATAATAAGATTTTAAACCTGACTATTATATCTAAACAAAAGGAACTTCACCAATATTTTAATAAGAATCATTATCAAAATTAATATCAAATTTATCTATTGAAAAAATCACATCTGAATTTACTTGTAAAAAACAAGATGAAAAAGAAGGACTAACACCTGCAAAAATAAGACCTACATTTAAATTTCTTAATTATCTGAATTAAATAATTAAAAATTTTGACAATATTAATACAGAAGACAAATAAAAATGTTATTTTCTATTAAGAAAACTATTAGGAATCAAAGCAACATATGTATAATAATGCTATCCATAATATAAATAAGAATAAATACAAGTATACATTGATAATTTCTTATCTTATTATGCTAAAGTTGAAACTGTATTTTATACATCACCTGATAAATCATTTGAATAATTTTTCAATAAAGATTTAAGTTAATTTAGTATTGGTTTTTCATAACTATTGTTATTTTATCTTTAAAAGATTTCATTAACTAAATTGAATTAAGATATATAAATTATTTTAGAAATTATATCTGAAAATATAAGATAATCAAATGATCCAGTGTTATTTGCTAGAAGATGGGAAAATGATTAACCTTGATTCTTATAGTTTTTATTATAAATTAGAAAAACAAACGTTTTTATTAAGATTATAAATTTAGAAATATCAATATTTAATATTTATCAAGTTATTATGGGCATTTGTTAAAGGAAAAGTTAAAAAGATAATTCTTAAAAGCATACTGGATATGAATCAGAATAAGTTGTAATTTTAACATGCATTAAGAGCCACATTCAATATTTCGATTAAATAGATTTAGAACTTCTTAAATATCCGGATATTTCACTGTTACTGAGAAAACATATTAAAAACTATAAATTCATAGAGGAGGGAAAGACTTGGGTTGTAGTAAAAGAAATCTAAAGTTTCTTAAATAATAAAATGACAATATTGATTAGAAATTTCAATCCCGAGACTGATGCTGCACTATAATTAATATAGATTTTTAAGAAATTAGTGTCATCAACCTAAAAATTATTGGAATCTTCTGTTAGATTTAACGAAGCGAAGGTTGAATTATTTTAATCATTCCAAAATTAGTTAGTTTAAGTAAAGAAAATGATAATTTTAGACTTCAATAGAATGCCTTATTATAGTAAATACATTAATTTCAAAGAAATTATAATGGTGGAATGATGAATATTTTTAATGGAGGCAGAATCATTTAATTTCAACGTTTCTCATTAAAAAAATCGATAAAAGTAATAAAGAGATAATAGGATCCATATATGACTTTATTTAATTGTTAATAGAGTGTATTAAACATTTAGGAGATCTTGATGGATCTCAAAATGCTTAAGAAACTGATTTTAGAGCAGAATAGGATTTTTTAGATTAATTTTACAACTAAATGAGAATAGGTTTGATTTAGAATTCATTTTTTTCAGGAAGTATTTCAAATGAAATAATTCCAGAATAAATTTAGGTTGTTTAGAATGTGAAAGCATATGCCTTAGTAATTAATAAAAAATGATATACTAATTTATCGTTTATATATAAATTATAATAATTCCAGCAAATGTGAAGAAATAATGGAATTTTTTGTTGGAATAGATAGTTTCTAGTAAATAATTCTTAAGAGTTTAGGTTTTGTCAAATCTCTGATCCAAAATAGTTTATTAAACGAAAGAACATTCATATGAAAAACTGATTTGCAAAAATTCATTTATTTAATTACTTATTTATAAATTATCTGATAATTTGAGAAATAAGATAATTTATTAGAAACAGTTAATTGCCATTATATAAAAATTATCTAGCATGTTCTACAGCAGAAAGTTTAAATAGGAATTTAGTTATTTATCGATAATTTATTTGAATATTTTTAAATATAATCTTAAAAATAAGAAATTCTTAAAATATAGAAGTTATTGGGTCGTTGTATCTAAATTATAGATTTTTACTAAAATATTTTTAATTGACACTATTAACAAGTATATAGTTAAATAGGTATACAAGTACATTTTCTTAATAATCTTTAGAGAGTTATTATTGTAGACCTAGGTATTTTTTATGAAGAGTTACTTTTTTTTAATTAATAAGAAATCCTTAATTTCTTTATTCTTGCATGCAAATTTAGGTATGAATTGTATTAACCTTGAATAAATTTCACTAATTATGCAATAAAATTTGGATATCCTTACGGAAGTTATCCATTAGATATCATAACTAAATTTTAATTTTAAATTTTAATTAAAAGCTTTATTTCGTATCATAATTTAGAATGAATCTTACAAATAAAAAAATTGCTTATCATTATCAATATCTTTTATTTGAATAATATATTAATTACTAATTAAATATAAATAAATAATGATTTTAATTCCTGATCATTGTTATTCTAATAATTATATTATAAATAAAAATGATAAAATATGGGATATTATTTGCAAAGACATCTTAAAATATAAATTCTTAGTATTATTTTATGTAATATTAATAAATAAATATATTATTTAATAAATTTTATAAATGATAACTCCTTAAGAATAACTTGATATTAGTAAGATAACTATTAAATTTAGTCATAAAAAAGATTAAGTCATATTTAAATTCAAAATCTCAAACTACAATTAGAACTTTAGGAAAAACATTTAGAGGTTTCGAATCTTTCGATGAAAAATGTAGAATTGACAAAGATGAATTTCTGATTGGATTAAAATAAAATGGTGTTGTACTTACTAAATTTTAAACAGATGTAAATATTAATTTATCTTTAGTTTCTATTGAATTATCTCGATAGAAATAGAGATGGATCTATTGATGTAGCTGAATTTCTTTATTTAATTAGAGTAATCATAATTATATAATTCTATAGGGATCACCTAATGAAAATAGATTAGAAGTTATTGTTTAAGCATTTAAAAAGTTTGATAAAGATAATTTAGGATTTATAGTTGCAGATGATTTCAAGGGAATATTTAATGCTAAAAATCATCCTAAGGTTACAAGAGGAGAACTGACAGAAGATCAAGCTTATATAGAATTTTTACAATATTTTAAAGAAGGCAATAAGTCAGGCCGCATAACATTGAATGTATTAATTATAATAAATTTTTAGGAATGGAAAGAATATTATGCTGCAGTTAGTGCTGATATTGAATCTGATGAGAACTTTATTATTTTAATAAAAGAAACTTGGAGACTAAAATGAATGAAATTTAATAAATAAGTATCATAATTACATCATGATTCTCAAGATTCAGATTCATTATTTTAATAAATTTCCTCTTTTTCTTTTTCTTTTTCCTTTTAATCCTATTATTCATTATCATTCTGATTACTATTATTGTTATTATGATTAATATTTTCATTTTATTCTTCTATTTAATTTTCTTTTTCTCCTTTTTCTTCTTAATTACCATTTTACTTTTCTTATGATATTTTCATCTCTCTTTATTCTATTTCCTATTCTGATTCTGAACTTGATTTATTTTCTAACTTTTCCAATCTTCTTAATCTTTCATGAGATCTCGACCTCGAACGAGATGATCTAATTAATAAATCATTATTATACTTCTTAAATGTTTTTTTAGATTTCACAACAATTTACAATATTAATGGTTTTATTAATGCAGGATTGATATCATCTGAACCTAATTTATTATTATTTTTAATTGGATACACTATCATATGTACCCAACCATTTTAATAATGAGATGTAACTTCATTTATTTATAGTTTTTCAATTTCTATTATTCCATCCTCTAACCAAAGATTATCTTCAGGTAATCTTAACATTATTTGATTTTAAGAATTAGTTTGTAAAATCATAGGTTTATCATCTGATGAATATAATTATATTTCTAATTCTATTTTATTTTTGTTTTTAACATCTTATCCTTTCATATCCTTTAGAGCAATCTCAAGGTTAAAGTTCTTGTCTTTAAACAAAATAGTGTCTAAATCATTAATCAATACCAATTAGTATTAAAATTCATTTAAATTATAAGATAAAGACTTTAATAAGATATTGTTATGAGTCATCTCTTAATGAGGTATTGATACTAAAAAATAAGATTTTAAATCATTACATCTACTAACAAAATCTTCAGTTTATCCATTATCAAATTTCGATTCAACAATTCTTTGTAGATTTGTTATTTCATCTAATATCTAAGTGATGACACTCTCCAAGCTGGCATTTTTATTCTTAAAGTCTAAGAGCATTTAATTTTGTTAAACAAACATATTCAATATTTTTAATTAAAATTCATTTACAACTTATGAAAAACCTAAAATATTCTAAATACATAATGATACCTTATTCTAAATTGTTTTATTAAGTTATACAATTATTATTTGTATTCGTATTTGAATTTGCTTATGATTATGTTTAAGGTGCCTATTATTATTATGGTTAAGCTTGCTATTGTAATTATTATTACTAAGGTTGTTGTTATGGGTGTGGTTATTACTATTGCTATTATTGTGGTATCATTTGATTTGGTCCTAATTACTATTATAATTGTGGTTATTGTTTAAATGGAAAATCAAAATTCGGCATTTATCCCATGGGTCCTTAATTCATAGGTCCCATCCCAGGTAATTACATAGGTCCTGGACCCATAGGCCCCATGGGACCCATAGGACCCATAGGACCCATGGGACCCATTGTACCCAAAGGACCTGGACCCATAGCTCCAGGTGGTAATTGACCTGGTCCCATAGGAGGCATTCCAAATCCTATAGGCATTGGAGGCATATTTGGTAAACCTTAAGGCATACCATTTAAATTCATCCCACCTTAATTAGGTTGAAGAGAATTCATTTGAAGAGCTTGGTCATGCATAAATTAATCTGGGAATGGGTATTTCTAATTTGGAGGTGGTGGCATCATAGGTTATGGAAAAGGAGGAGTCCAACAAGAGTAATAGGAAGGATTTGGCACTGGTAACATTCGTCCATATGGATCTGGATTACCCATTTGTTAGAACATTTAGTATAGTCTCTACTAATCATCATTTGGATTCATTGATATGTTAAATAAATTATTATGAAATAATAACACATTTAGCTCCCTAATTTATCAAAGTTACAAAATCTACCATCAAGTGATAGAAGTCCTAGAACAGCAAATACGCCTACAAGAAAGGCAAGTGAAGTGTTAGTGAAATTTAATTTCCATCTAAATCCTTCTTTGCATAAAAAAAAATAAATAAAAAATACTCCTAATAATGAATTTTAAACAAAAAAGATAAGCAAGGTTACAAGAAACATCATGGAACTTGTAAGATTTTAATCATATATATATTTAAGAGAAGAAGGAAAAAAATGAAATGTGATTCTTTGTAAATCAAACCTAGAATTTAAGCATGCAAGACTAATAAAGGAGGAACAATATCAGTACTAAAAAATAATGAATAATGCAGATCCTACCTACATAAAAAATATAAAGATTAAATTTATACAGGTGCTTCAGAATTTAGTGATAAGAGTAAAGATAAATTGAGATTGTAAATGGTTAAATGGTTGATAGATAATAAAAAAGAAGTTGTTTGTGCTTTGAATGAAAATAAATAAAATATTTTAGAATGGGTTCAATGTGTTGAAAAAGTAGACAGAGATGAATTTGATATAATACTCCATGGAATCTAGTTGTACAAAGATCCCAACCTAATAAATCGTTTATTCTGGTATAATTTAACACTAATTTAGGGTATTTGATTTGAATGATGATGGATATATTGAGTTTAATGAAATTTAATATTCAATAAATTTATTTAGGGAATATGATTAATAAGATAAAATTTAGATATTTTTTGAACTTTGTGATGAAAATGATGATGGTTATATAAATGAAGAAGATATCAAAAAATTTTTTTCTAAGAATCTTACCAATTAAGAAGAAATTAGATAAATGAAATTTTTAATGAAGGATTTCTATTAAGAATTAAATCCTCATTATTTAAAAGGATTAAATGCTGATGATTTATATTAGGCTACATTAAGTGATCAAAATATAAGAATAATCGTTGAAAAAAATACTTTGATTTTAAAATCAAATAATAAAAAAGAAGATGATATTGGTTCAAGTCTTAATAATCTCATTTATTCTGGATAATAGTAATGTTTATAATTATATTTTTAGTGAAGGAAAATAAGGAATATTCTTCCCTTAGATTGAGGGTTTGATTGATGCTTTAATTGAGAAAGATAGAATTATGATGTAATACAAATAGATTAAATTGGATTTTGATTAGATTGAAGATAATTCTGATTGATTTTATATATATTTATATAAATAAATTTCAAATTTGAAAATAAATGGCAGGTAAAATATAAAATGAGTCTTTAGATCAATTAGAAGAGAGAGCTTAAAGAATTTTTGGAAAATTATAATCTATATAGAATAATGTAGAAGGAGAGAAATAATAAAAATTCAAATTGATATTGGGATATTTACAGAGTGTTGAATCTGCAATTGAGGATGTTTAATAATAGAAAAATTAAAAGTTTTTAGATATTGCGGAAAAAGTATTAATTTATTTGAAATCAAGCTATAAAGATTAAAATCTATGTTAGATACTGAAAAGGAGGCAAGAGATCAAATCAATGAAAAAATGAAAAAAGAAATATTATCAGTAGAAAAAAATTGTAAAACACTTTTGAATAGTTTCAGCAAAGAAAGATTGGAAACTGAGAAGAGAGTGTTTTAAAATCTATCATAATAAGTTGATTAATTATCAACAGAAATTTAAAAAGAATTTCATTAAAAGTCAGAAACTCAAAATAAATTATTAGAAATCTAAAATGGTATATTAATTAAATTAATATATAGAATAAATTCCTTAATTCTACTAAGAAATTGAATAAGAGATTAGAATTAGAGAAGAAATAGAAGAGAAAATAGCATAATAATTCAATGAATAATTGGATGAATTAAAAAGAATATTTGATAGTCAATAAAAATAAAGAGAATAAAGAGAAGAAGAAATAATTGGAATATTAAAGAAGATATACTAGAATGCATATGAAGCTTGTAAAAGAAATAGAGCAGATAGAGAAAGAAATGAAGAATTATTAGTTAAATTAGTTGAATAAGTAGTTGAAAAAATTAAAAGAGAAATAGTTGATTCTGATTTTTGAAATAACATTATTAAATATAAATAATATTATTTTTAATCTAAAAATTAATATTCTAAATGTTATTTAAAGTTTTTATATAAATTAATTCCATAATACAAATATTCAAATTTAAACATGCACAAGTATTAGAGTTATATCATCTCTTCCATAATCTTTTCTATCCCATTTTGAGTAAGCTTCTCCTAAAATTTTTTAGGCTATTAATTCCATATCAACTTAAGTTAAAGGAGGATCAAAATTATCTAAAATATTTTAGATGCTTTCAAAATCCATTTTATCCCAAAGTCCATCACTTGCTAATAATATAAATCCACTATTTTATATTTTATATCTTAATATTTCAGGCTCAGCAATTACTCCAACGGATTTTGCTGCTACATCACCAAATGACCTTGACATTGCTAAGCCTGGAACATCTTCATTAGTTAACCAAACTCTAAATGGACCTTATCTTTTTCCATCAATTAAGCTTTATTCAACTCTTCCTCCCAATTTTATAATTCTTTTTAATTCAAAAGTCTTATTAGGTTTATGATCATAAGATAATGGTCTATTGTACCATAGATCTTAAAATTTATAAAAATAAACAGCCCTTGAGTCTCCAACATTTGCACAATATATTCTAGATTCAATCAATAAAATAAGTACTGCAGTAGAACCACTAAAATTACAAGCAATATTTGTTTTATCTACCTAAATTAAATTAAAAGATTACTAAATCATGTTCCACTTATTAAAATGCTAATGATAATGATTAAGATAATAAATTAGGATTATTGATATAATTTTGCATAAGTAAATTTTCTATAGTTTTTGGTAATTATCTTGATATAAATTATGAAACTAGATGTCCATTTTGACCATGCCCATCAAAAATACCAAATAAATGACAATCATTTTAATTGCAAAGATTTTGTTTTATAGCAAGACTATCTTAATTAATTTTCAATTTCTTTTTATTATTCTAACCAGGAAGTGTTCTATAGTTTTTTAAAAATATAATACTTAGCTGCTACTTTAATTAATTATTCTTCACATTAAACTTCAGTTTAAATTCTCTTCATATGTTGTTTCTAAATTGAAGGCAATTTATCAACAATATTTAACATAGATTAATTATTTAGTTTCTTTAAAGTTTGTTTCTAATTAGTGTTACTAATAGAACGAGGTATTTTAAATTATCTTATATTGTCTAATTTTTAATTCATATATTTTAATAATATCATTAAAATGGTCCAACTCTTTATCCTTATAATTACATCTATGTACTTCTTACATTAAAAACTCCTTCAATTATTGTTTATTGAGTTTCACCTATTACTTATTTTTCACCTAAATCAATATTGAAATTCTTAACAAATAATGGATTTGGATTTGATAAAACATCATCATTACAAGATAATCCATCCAAATATTATTTGAGTAAAGATTATAATTAATTACTTTCATTTTATAATGCCTCTTTTTATTTTTAGATTGCTAAAATATCTAATAAAACCTAATATATAATATAATTTTAAATACTTTATTGTATCTTTTATAGAAATTATTTAGATATGCAAATTCTTCATATTATTCTTTTTCAATAGCTTCAAAGTCATTTTTCAAATTCTCTGGAATCTAACCTAAATCAACTGTATCCTCATAAAAAGGTAATACCTTTTCTCTTTCTGTTTCCAATCTTCTACATAATTCAGCTGTTTTAAGTATCTTTTCTCCTAATTCCTTATATTCAGTTAATTTTAAAACAGAATTTCTACTATTGTTAACTAATTCTTTTAATAATCTCTATTATTCCTCTCTAAATTTATTCATTTTTTATTTCAAATCTTAATAATTTTTAGCAATATTTTCTTTTTCTTTTTTTAAAGCTTAGTTTCTAGCATTACATTCTTTTGTATGTTATAATATTTTATATTTTGTTAAATCTATTTTTGCTTTCTTGCTAGCAATAGATCTCACTAACCTTTCAATTTTCTTAGACATATCCTTATTTGCATCATAATATTTAGTATGATCTTCAGTTTTTTTTGCAGTATCTGATTAATATTTTTGATGCATTTATTCTAAATCATTATAAAATTTAGTTTATTTATCTTCTAATTATTATTTCATTTGACTAGTATCCTCAACATCTTTATTTTTAGTTTCTTCTCTATTGGTTTAATGCTAATTTTTGGCTTATTCAGCTTTTCTTTTTTCTTCTTCTTCCACTGTTTTAATCATATCTTCCAATTCTTTAACTTACTATTTATGAGTTTTAGTCATATCATCAAATTCAATTTAGAATTCTTCTTAAAGTATTCTGATATCTCTTTCAAATTCTTCTAAAAGTGCTCTATTTCTACTTTCCTATAAAAGATGAAAATTTTCTAAATGAATAAGATGATTTCTTAAAGCAATTTAATATTAATCTTCTGCTTCATCTAAATTCTTGTCTAACATCTGAATAAATGCTTCTTTAGAATCTAATTCTCTTTTATTATTTTGTGAATATAATTCTATGTCAAGTTTCAATTATTCAGTTTTAACTGCTCTCATAGTTCTTCTCCAATAAGCCATAAGTTTTTTTGTATTAAAGTTGACTATCTTTTATTCTTCTCTAATTTTGCTTCTCAATTACTCTTTTTTAAACTATTTCTAATGCTTAAATTACTTATGCCTATTTTTGGCTTTCTTCAAATTCTTATTATGATTTTGTAATTTATCTGATTTTGATGTTTCTCTTTTATTCTGTCCCTCCAGCTTTAGTTGTTCTTCCTTTAAGTGTTTTACCTAATAAAGCCATTTAATTAATAAATAAAGAAAATTAGATAACAAAAATTAACAAATTCATTTTTTAGGAACAGAAGTTCCTTTATAAAATGTTTTAAAATAAGTCTATTCTTTGTCAGCTGAAGATTATCTATCTTAATTTCTTGATTTTCTAGGAAATCTGCCATAATATTCTTATAATATATAATTTCTGCTGAAAGGAGTCTTTAATTTTAAAACTTTGATATCATTTTATGGTTATAATTGATTTACTTCTACCGCAGTAGTTTTTTATAAATCTAAATTTATCCTCCTACGAATTTCAACTGAATGATTCAAATTAATAGGAGATTACTATAAGATGGAATTTTAAGTATTAACTGAGTTGTTCAATCTTGGTTTTGTATCTATTGGAGAATCATCTGTTTACAAAGTATTATTATGTCGACCTATTGATTAATATATATATATATACTTTTTATTTATATGAATGGCAATGGATTAGAAGGTTTACTTTATTTTCTTTCCGTTTAAGTCGATTATCTAATGGAAATGCGTTAGGCTTCAAATAATTCAGAACTTATATCTAAAGTTTTAATAGAAATTAGAACCTGCAATTGATTTATTGCCAGCCATTAAATACCTTTTGAGTAGAAGATAATAAGCAGTTGTAACATTATTGTGTCTATTAGTTTCTATACATTTCTCAGCATATTCTATTGAGATTCCATAATGAACTAATTATTTTATAATTTCTGGATCAATTGGAATCTTATGATAACCAATAATTAATCCAGTTGGTATCTTTTAGTTGTCTTTAGAAAACTTGATAAAATAAAGATTATACAAAAATTAAACCAACTATGTTTTCTAATTTCAAGAATTGTATATCTTTTTTATGGATCAGTATTTAAAATATTTTTAATCAGATCTTTTGCCTCATTAGTTATGTATTTAGGAAACTTAAAATCCCCAGATACTATTTTCTTATACAATTGAGTTGTATTTGAATCTTCAAAAGGAAGATACCCTGCCAACATTGCAAAAAGTATAATTCCAGAACTCCATATATCTACTTAAAGTCCTTAATATCTTTTTCCAGCAATCATTTCTGGAGCAGCATAACAAGGTGATCCACAAGCTGTTTTTAATAAGTCATCTTATTTATAGAAATTAGATAATCCAAAATCAATAATCTTAATTTTACCTCTGCCATCAAGAATCAAATTTTCTGGCTTTAAATCTCTATGTACAATATGCAATTTGTGCAAATACTCTATTCCAGATATTAACTAACTATAAAATCGAACAGCCTCAACATCTTTTATTCTTTAATTTTTTACGATATAATCAAAAAGTTCTCCTCCATTAACATATTCCATAACTAAAAATAATTATTTAGGTGTTTCTATTATCTGATAAGAACCCAAAAATACTTCATATAATTGTACTAAATTAGGATGACGAACTTATTTCAAAATTTGAATCTCTCTGGTTACTCTTTCTATATCAGAAGCATCAGCAATCTTTGACTTCTCCAAGATTTTTATAGCTACTTTTTCTCCTGTCAATATGTGAGTTGCTAATTTAACTTTGCCAAATGTACCCTCACCCAATGTTTTTCCTTGTTTATTTATTTATTACTTACCAAATAGATATTATCCAATAGACTTATTCTTTGTTATATCATTCGTCATTTTTATAATACTTATTTATAATTATAACTCAAATTTTCACCTATTTCTCAATATAAAAATTATGAACTTCAAATTCCCAGGAACTTATGCAGAACTCAAGGATACTAATTTCTCTGAATTTTATAGAGTCAAATCTAAAAATTCAATCCCTAATATGGATGATCGTCTTATATTCATGAAAATAAATTAATTCTAAGAAGAATTCAATCAAATGCCAACTCTTATTGAAGATGCATATAATTTTGATTTTCTTTACTATTTGGTTGAGTAAAATATAAATCTATATCAAGATATTTAGATAAACATTCCAACTAGAAAGCTTAATTTCTATTGATTGACATCTTTTCATTTTAAATACTAAAACTACACAATAACCATTCTAAAGCATTTCAAATGACACTCTTCTTATATTTAAATCTGTTATAATAGAAACAAATTTAAGGACCTTAGGTAAAAAGGGCATTAAAATAATTGAAGCAACTATTTAGTCTAAATTCTTTAGTTGATCTTGATAGAGAAGGTATTAGATATGTATTTGATCTTATTAAAATGGCTATAGAGATAAAAGAAACTCAAATAAGAGAAGTTTGGATTGAAGTTCTTATATAAGCTTTGATAATTTGGTCTAAACATGAAACAGTTCTTAAAAATACTATAGTTCATTTAATGTATGAATAAGAGAGTGTAGTGCCAAATCTTAGTAAATTCTTAGTGGCTTGTAGTAGACATGATAAATTAAAATCATATACAATTGATTAATTAGGTTTGCTTATTAATTTTATTACTGATAAGTCTACCAATTAAACAGAAAGTTTAGCTGTTAAAAATCTTAGAGAACTTTTAACTATATCATCAAAAGAAATGCCAAAAATATATTATCAATAGTTATCATCAATGATTGGATTGTATGATAATGAAAATTATCATATAAGAAGTGGTCTCTCAGATGTAATAACAAATGTAATAGAATATTTAGTCAAAGAATCAAAGGAATAAAATGATGATGAAGTTCTACTATAAAATGCAAATAATTTAATTAAATCTTTAATATCTAGACATATGGATAAGACTGCCTTATGTAGATCAAATGTATTATAAAGTTTATCGCAATTATTAAATTTGAATTGCATATAAAAAATACATCTACCAACTATTTTCTCTATAAGCCAGTCTAGACTGAGGGATATCTCTGGTTATGCTAGAAAATCAGCATTATAATTATTGAAATCAGTTTCAAGATGTTATAGATATATTTATGTTTAAAGTTAAGGAAGGCAAAAATTTTGGTCATCAAATGAAATAGAAGAATAAAAGAAAAATAATTAGTTAGAATTAGATAATATCCATAATGATTTTTAGAAATTAGACTAGTAATTTTAAGAAGGTTGTATCAATGAAGATTAGATTAATGATACTATAAAAAATATTAAGAAAAGGACTCAGGAAATTTAAAAAGGCTAAGAATATTTAGATGAATATAGCAAATTTTTGGATGGAATGAAAATTACAATGAATTAAGTCTTATAATTATGTCAAAGTAAAAATTAAGCAGATGTTATACATTCAATCAAATTATTTACATATTTATCAAAATATGAATTTGAATCTTCAAATATAGGATTAAGAAGAATTTTATTATTGGTTTGGTCACAAGATAAATCAATTTAATAAGAAGTTATTAAAAAATTTTGGAAACTCTTTTTGAAGGATAATAAGAATACAAAATAAATTATATTATGTATTATAGATTTGATAAGCAATTCAAATTAGAAGGAATTATTATCAATAGAAAAAATTATATTATCATATGAGACTGAATAAGCTCCAACTTACAAATTACCTAATAAAGCATTTAGTATTCTTTGGGAACTTTTTGGTAGATCAGAAATTAATTAAAGATCAATGCTTATTTTTGTGAGAATTATGCTTACAAGAAATTGTTCTTATTTTAGTATAGATAAAATAAAATAAATTTAAGAATTATTAATGTGTTATAATAGAAAAGATCCAGATTGGATCATCATAAAAGAACTATCTCTCATATTAATTAAATTAGATAAAAATCAAGAAAGAAATTAAGTTTATATTAATAATTCAATAGAATTACTAACTAGATTACTTATAAAATATAAAGATACATAAGATATGAATTATTTTAGTGCATGTGATTCTATCATATAATTAATTTCACTCTCTTCTAATCCTGAAATTAAATTTGAAGTTTTAATTAAACAATTTGAAATTGAATAAAATACAAATAATTCTATGGAATTAGAATAATTAAGTAATAATGATGAAATGCATTTAACTCATGCAATATATATAGCAGGATGCATATCATTATAACTTTTAGTTTTAATAGATAAAACTCATAGATAACTTAAATAACTTAAAAATGATAGAGAATCATAAGTAGGAAAGGAATAAGAAATAGATAAGATTTCAGGAGGTTTAGAGGGTGAATTTGAAAGAATACATGAAGTAGTAAATGAAATACAGGATCTCAATTTAGTATAATAAAATCTATTGTCTGTATTCTCCCCTTTAGTAATAATGATAATTGATGATTGTCTTGTAGATATGGAAAATAAGAAATGTTGTGATTTAAATTAATAATCTCCTCTTATATAGGTATGTTTAATCACAATGTGTAAATTTATGTGTTTGTCTGAATCTTATTGTAGATAAAATATTGAAATGTTATTTAATATTATGAAGTAAATATAAAATTGAGTATATTTTAGATGTCCTTTGTTTGATTAAGTAGTTAAGAACAATGTATTAATTAGTATTGGAGATCTATTACATATGTGGCCAAATACTGTTTAATAGTTTCATAAATAGATATATTCAAATTTACTTGATTCAAATGGGCCTCTTAGAAGAGTGACATTACTTGTTCTTACTCATTTGATTTTGAATGATATGATTAAGAGTAAGACATCCTTATCACATATTCCGGTTTTATTAAATGACCCTTGTTAATAGATTTAAAGTATGGCAAGATACTTTTTAAATGAATTGCAAAAGAAAGAATAACGAGCTATTTCAAATGCTGTACCAGATATTATATTAAATATTCATGAACATAATGAGATTATTATATCTCAAATATCTTTATATATTGATAAAAATTTGGTTGAATCAATAGTAGAGAAGTTAATTAATATATTAGGGATTAGTTAAAGTATATATTAATATATAATTATTTATAGATTAATCAGAAATAAAAAACATTTCTATATTATTCAATTATATGAATCTGACTCAAATTTCATTATAAAGATTTTTAGATGGATGGGAATAATATAGAGAAAAATTAAAAGATTAATTTGTTTATAATTAATTTATTACTTTAATAAAAAAAGTATTATATTTCTTAGTTGTTTTAGTTAAGAAGAACTCTACCATAAGATAGTAGAGTAGTAATTGATGAATTTGAGATGAAGATAGAAAATTATGACAAAGAAACATTTGAAAATAGAAGAAGAGAAAAAGTATCAAAGAGAAAAAATGGTAAGACTTAATTCCAAGTTAAAGATGATAAAGAATTAAAAGAAAATATTAGTAATGTGAAATAATAGTAGAGAAGGAAAGTTAAAAAGAAAGATGAAGAAATTATAGAAGTTGAATCAAATTCTGAATAAGAAACTTCTTAAGCTATGGTTATGAAATAATAAACCAATCAAAGAAAAAAAAGAAGATTTCTTTAAAAAAATGAAGATTGATATTATTGTTACTAAGTTATTTATAAAATTAATATTTTTTAAAACGATGGATTAAAATTCTAATTATTTTTTCAATTCTGCTTAAAAAGAAGAAACAGAATTTTGGAATAGAAATTTTCATATTTTACTAAATAATCATGAAAATTTTGATATCTAAAATGATAATTGTACTAGTTTTAATAAGAGAAGTAAGATTCTAAAAAAATGGATACCTCGACTTTATTCTGTTCAAGGCAATTATTTATTGTATGGTGATAGAGTAAACTTATATCATTATTAAGAATCTCAAAGGTTTTAGAAAATTAGATTGTGTATACTTATTATCTGGTCTAGTTGAAGGACCATATAAATATCAATTATAGTTGATTTATTGTGGATATGTTTTAGAATTATACACTGATCAAAAGAAAGATTACGACAGTTTTAAAGAAATTCTATAATCTCATTGTATACTAACTGATTTTCATACTTAATATACATTATTAAGATAAATTGGATTTGGATCCAGTGCTTAAGTAATAATATATATTTGAATCTAGGTCTATATTGCTAGGAGTAACTACAATCAATAACTCTATGCCATTAAAAGAGTTCAAAAAAATTATTCAGTCAAACAAAAAAAATATGAGTAAGAATAAGCTTTGCATAATGAAATTCAAATAATGAAAGAACTTAATCATCCAAATATCATTTCTTTCTATTCAGTATTTGAAACAAATAGTACTTATAATTTTCTATGTTTAAAGAACATATAAATATTGTTTTAGAATTAATACAAGGAGGAGAACTACTCAAATAAGGATAATATAAAAGTATTAGAGATGCAAGAATTGTTGCTAAGTAATTAGCTTTATGTCTGGATTATATGCATTAGAAAGGTATTATGCATAGAGATTTGAAACCATAAAATATCTTATGTAAATCTAATTCTCTTGATGTTTTAATTGCTGATTTTGGTTTGGCTACTTATATTAAAGCATAAAAATAATAATATTATCGTTGTGGAACTACTGGTTATGTTGCTCCAGAAATATTAATGTATAAAGAAGGTTCTAAGATGTACAATGAGAAATGTGATATCTTTAGTCTAGGAGTCATCTTCTATTAATTGTATCTATTCAAATTTATAAGAATTTTCAATACTCATCCCTTTAAAGATAGTACTAAAGCTGGAATGTTAAAGAGAAACTTAGCTGCTGATTATAAATTAGATGATCAAACTAAAGTTCCTCCAAGTTGTAAGGATCTTATTGCTTCTATGTTGAGATTGAATCCAAAATAAAGACCTTCTGCATCTTAAATCTTAAGACATGATTTCTTTAATGAAGCATTAAATGAATTATCTTATCCAAGTTTGATTGGATCTTTTCAAGAGTAATTCATATTATTATAATTAGTATAAGTGATCATAAGAAATCAGGTCAGTCTTTTAATTCTTAAATAGGGGAATTGAAATTATCTACTTTCCAAAAGAATGGGTAAGTGTCTATTTTCGAAAAAATGCCACTAAATATTAAATCTGCAAATTAGAGTATGGAATTCAAGGAATTATCACCTCTATGGAATAAGAAAATTACACTTTAATAACCACTTACATAACCTAGATCTAAAGCTTAATCTATGTATTCGAATAAAAACCTAGATAATAATAGAGGTTAAAAAGTATCTATATTTCGACAACAATCCAAAAATTCAGAAAATGATATTGATTATCATTAATTTCCCTATTAAACCATAATCAATAGATGTACTATTAAAAACAAATGACAATTATTAATACTATATTAACATATTACAACTAATTTATTGTTTAATTCCAAAATAACTGATTTTAATCTTGTGAAAATTTATTTATTAATATTATTTATATTATATACTGTTCTAAATATAGAAAATTAATTAGGTTTGCCATTCCTCGAATTCCTTCAAGCCTAGTTATTAAATCTTTTTCAGATAAAATAACATATTTATCTTCACATTTACTTTTAATACTTGAATTCATCTTTAATTGTGACGATATCAAAAGAAATTTAAATTAATATTATGAATCATTCAGACGGTGCTTAATCTCCTCCTTATTTTGGTATGTATCCACTACCCTATTGGCCAACAAGTTCACAATTTCTCTTAATGATGAATTTTCAAAATCCAATGATGAGTCCAATTCATAATTTAGGTTCTCCAATTTTAACTTCCCACTTAAATTTTACCTAGCCAACAATCAATTACGATATCAAATATGAATAATGTAACATCTTTTACTTAAACTTCTTTAGATTCATAAAATAAAGAAATCACATAGGTTAAATAAACCTAATAATATGCAAGCCAAATTTAAATCATTGCTCAGTAATTAGATGACATGAATTATGATGAAATCACCATAGAAAATCTTGAATAATTAATTCATCTATTGTTTGTAGAATAGCCTAAGCTTAAAAAGATCTTATAACAACTGAAGGAAAAAAAATGTCTTAAGGTTGTCAAGATTCTAGAGACTTTAGCCAAAAAAATAAGAACATAATCTAAAAGTAGAGAAGAATTAATCAAATTTTGTCTTAGAAAAGCTTTTAGAGAGATTTTTCATTAAATCTAAGAAAAAAGCACTAAAACAAGTAATCAAATCTTTAAATATGTAGAACTTAATCTAAAGGCTGCTTCCAAAATATTTTAGTAATCCTATTAAGCTGAAAAGATGAAATCTATATCATTACCATTCAGAAAAAATAGTAAAAATAAAACAATGAATAATCATTTCCTCCATGAATTATTCTAATCAAAGTAATTTTAAGATTAATATAAAATATTTCTTGGTATCTAAATTGTTTCTTATTTATTAGATAATCTAGATACAATTATAGAGAATGATAGAAATAAAAAAATTAAAGCAATAGCTGAAAAATCATGGGAATTTATCTAATCTAACAGAAAAGTAAAAAATAATTATTAATTATTTAAAGTCGTACACATTCAAAAGGTTGCCTTGGTCAATGAAAAATATAGAAAAATTGAAGGAAACAGCTAATGATATGTTAAATTACTGTGATGATTAAAAATCTATTTGAATTATTATCATAATTAAATACATCTAAATATTATATATAAAGTACAAGAGATTACCTTAACTAGCATTAATTAGAAAAATAAAATATTCAAAAAATCTTTTTAAACTTTTCATGGTACTTTTAAGATTTTTGCTGAGCTTCAAAAGAGACTTTCTAATAAAATATAGAAAATTAAGATCATTATTGTCTTTTTACTTAATCATCTATACAAATATACACTTAATTTTGATTTATTTCTTTTGTATTCATTAATTCTATATATAATTATGGCTTTAATATAATTGCAATTTTAATTTAAAACTGGATATAATTATTTTTCAATAATATCATAATAAAAATATAAAATATGTACTATCTTATAATATATTAAATAGATATCTAATAAAAATATGAATTTGTGTATATAGAAAGTATTTATTTAAATAAATATTTAAACAAATTTTAATTATATTTTTTTAATTTTAATATATGTAATATTAAATAACTAAAATTTGTTTTTAATCACTTAAATATTATTTGCAACTTTTATTAAATATGATATCTCTCTTAAATGAATTAATGATAAATTAAATTTATTATTATTACATAAATGAGAATACAATTATGAAATTAATCTTATTATTTATTCATATTTATTCAGATAGAAATAATATGCAAAAAGGAATAATAAATATTAATTTTTATATTAATATAAATCATGATAATACTATGCAAATTATATGAATTTTGTTAAATTCATATAATTATATAATCATAACAGATTTAGCATCTAAACTAAATCAAACTACATAATTTTTATATCTTAAATGATAAATCTAGAAGAATCTTAATATAAGAGTAAGCTTTCTAATCATTTTACAGAATGTTCAATAAAAATGAGAAGAGGAAACAATAAAAGATAGTTCAATTAAATTTTCAGTTTAAGAAATGAAAATAAATGTGGCAAAAATATTTGAAAACTTGAAAGTAAACATTTACTTTATTCTTTTATTTTTTATTTCTTTTAATAAACATATTTTACATTGAAACAACTAATTAACAATCACTTAATATTATCAATATAAATTTATAATTTTCAATATTTCTATTAATCACTTTTAAGATCAATTTCATCTACCTTCATTATGATTTTATTTTTCAATACTTTTTTATTTTCGAAAATTTCGATTGTGAATTGTTCAAAATTTATATTTAATCTTTTAAGATGAGTTGATGTACTCATTGATAATCTTGATATTTAATCATGATCACTTCTAAGACATCTCTAATGAAAATCTTATTTAAAATGAGTTGTTTCTGTGTTTAATGAGTTTGATAAATTTCTAAACTTTTTTCCTTTTTAATTATCATCATCTTGGCATTCTTTTTCTTATAAATCCATCTATTCAAATACATTTTTCAATTTATTTAAAGTATCCAAACCTGAAAAAGTACCCACTATTTTATTTTCATCATCAGAATCATCATTATTATTAAGATTATCCATTGATTATTTATTAAAACAATCTATAAAGATATTATTTTAAGGCTCAATAATTTCATCAGATTAATCTTCTTAGATTGCTGAAATAATAAAAGGTGTATCAATCTAAGGTATTTCTTAATCTTCACCTAACTTAAATTTATTTTTGTCCTCATATTTTTCAATATATTCTTTGATACTTTTCCAAACTTAAGATTTTTTTAATGTAGATTCAATCACTTTCAATTCATTATAATATGGTAAGAAATCACTATCTCTAATAAGTTTAATTTATAGCTATTATTCAAAAGCATATAATTATTTATCAATTCTTTTGATTTACAATGTATATAATTTATTTTTAGTTAATAATTAAAGACACCAAAAGGGATGAAAATCATTTAAAGCCCTCTCTAAAATAAAAGCAATCATATTATAAAAATATTAAATAAGAATATCTGAATGATTGTATTTCTTAATCAAATTTATTATAGTTTCCATTACATTAGATTAATCCACTCTTTACCATAATTCAATATCTGATATTCTCACAATATTATCAATTATCTAAAATTTAATAATATATATATAATTACTTCAATTAATTTTACATCTAACAAACCTACCTTAGAATGTCTCAAAAGAGTATTATCCAATATATTTTTTATACTTATAATATTGAAGTTTCTAAAAAATTCAGTTTTCCTGAATTCTTCTGTAATTTGTTAATTGTAAGGTTCATCTAAATATATATTTTGTAAATCTAAAGAATAATAATTTGAAATCAACGAAATTATATGGGCTGCATTCTTCCGAACTCTTTATATTTATATTCAATACATAAAATGAAGTGTATCTTTTTATATTATATCATTTGCAATCATCATAACTTAATTAGAAATTAAATATTGCATCAATTCTTTAGTTTATATTCGAACCATTATCTCATGAATTAAATAAGTAAAATTAATGGCTGAACTGAAATCAAAATTCTAATATTATTATATTCCAATCTACAAAAAGTCTAATTGCTATTGATGAAATTAATTATCAAAATAAATCAATAATAATTAAGCAACACTATTATTATATATATATGGTAAGAAATGTTAAAGTAATAAATTGTTGGTATTTAATGAATTTGTTATTATTATTTAAGATCTTTTTTAAATTAATTGTAGAATCTTAAATGCCTATGCCCATTGAACATCAGGTATAAATTTATATGCTAATATCTCAAATAAGTGATTGAAATTAATCTAAAAAATTTAAAGTCTTTATTACTTCAATCTACTATAATATTTCTTCTATATTAAGTTCTATAATCTCCCATACCTTTGTAATAAGAATTGAATAAGTATCATATTGCATTGGTTGAATTTCTTCATAATTAACAAATAGGATCTATAATAATTGCTTTGCATTCTAACACAAAAATTCTATTGTTATCAAATCGGATGCTTCAATATATTTTGTAAAGGTATCATTAAGTAGCAAGACTCTGAGATCTGAGTGGGCATCCTAAATCAATTATTCAATGATATAAATTTTTTTATCAATGTTCATATTATTTATATATAATTTCTCAATAACGTCTTGCATAACTTCTAGTTGTGGTTGTTGATGTTTAATTCATAATTTAGGAAGATGATGTTTATGATGGTTATTATTAAATGGATGAGCTAGTCTAATAAATGGATGAAGCTGTCACTGGTTTTTGAGTGCTTGTTGTTGTTGATTAGACCTATTAAGCTGTAGGAAATAGATTTTATCTATAGCCACTGGATCTATTTGATTGACTATCATCTATCTATTAATAAGATGTTTAAGGTTGTTTATTCACTTAGGTTGTAATGGTTGTACTGAATTAATTAGTTTGATTTGTAATTTAAGGAGGATTATCTTATCTTAATTCTTTCACTACAGAAGCATATTTGTTATTCCAAGTTTATAAATCCTATATAATAAATATATATGAATACAGATGTTTAATTAGAAATTATGTTTTATTATCTCTTTATCTCATTTTATAAATCATTAATTTATTGGTTCAACTTCTTAATATCATTTTATTAGTTATCAAAATTCTTCTTACTTGTATTTAAATCAGAATTTAAGCTATTCACTTTAGCTTCTAATTCTTTCTTTAATTTTTCTAAATTAGATGAATCCTATGAGAATTTATCAAGTTTCTTTTTCAAATCATCTAATTCTTTGTCTTTTGCTTAAATTGCTTATTACAATTTACTAATTTCTGTATTATCTTTTTTAACTTTCTACAATTCAAGATCCATTTAATTGAATCTAAATAAATAACATTTATTACTTCTTTTTAATTTCTTCATTTTCTTTTGATCTTTAAGCAATTTAATCTTATAAAGTTTTCAAATCATTTGGATTAGTATTATCTATAACTTTAACTTATTTAACAACTGATTCTTGCTTAGTTATCTGTGACTTTAATGAATTAATTTCATTATCTTTGGCTGCAAATTTATTCTTTAATTATTCAAACTCTCCATTAATTGAATTATATAATTATTGGAATTAAGTTTTTTATTTATTTGCATCATCAGCTACTAATTGTAAATCTGCTAATTTTTATCTTAAATCTCCTAATTCTTTAGTTTATTAATCAATTAATTATTTTAATCTTTAATTTTCAGCTTCTAATGGTTTTAATTAAGCAACTTATCCTTCTAAGGTTGATATAGTCTTAGATTATGCTGCATTTTCATCATTCTTTACTTAGATTTACTTTCCTAATTATTCAATTTCAGCTTATAATTTTGCTATTCTATCTAAAAGATTATCTCTTTCTGCAGCTAATTGTTTAGTTTATCTATCTAATTAACTTAATTGATCTCTTAAATCTGCTGTCACTAAACATCTAATATAATATAATAAATATAATATACTCTCTTTCATATAGAGCTTTGTATTTAATAAATTCATTTTAGAATCCATTCAATTATTCAATAACTTTTTACATAGAATTCATCTCAGATACTTAAGAATTATATTTATTAGTCAAATCAGTTAATTATTATCTTAATTTATTATTTTCATCTAATAATTTTTATAATTAAGCTTATAAATCTCCAATCTACTTTTATCTTTATTAATCTAATTATTAGAGTTNTATTATTTATATATAATTTCTCAATAACGTCTTGCATAACTTCTAGTTGTGGTTGTTGATGTTTAATTCATAATTTAGGAAGATGATGTTTATGATGGTTATTATTAAATGGATGAACTAGTCTAATAAATGGATGAAGCTGTCACTGGTTTTTGAGTGCTTGTTGTTGTTTATTAAACCTATGAAGCTGTAGGGAATAGATTTTATCTATAACCACTAGATCTATTTGATTGACTATCATCTATCTATTAATAAGATGTCTAAGGTTGTTTATTCACTTAGGTTGTAATGGTTGTACTGAATTAATTAGTTTGATTTGTAATTTAAGGAGGATTATCTTATCTTAATTCTTTCACTACAGAAGCATATTTGTTATTCCAAGTTTATAAATCCTATATAATAAATATATATGAATACAGATGTTTAATTAGAAATTATGTTCTATTATCTCTTTATCTCATTTTATAAATCATTAATTTATTGGTTCAACTTCTTAATATCATTTTATTAGTTATCAAAATTCTTCTTACTTGTATTTAAATCAGAATTTAAGCTATTCACTTTAGCTTCTAATTCTTTCTTTAATTTTTCTAAATTAGATGAATCCTATGAGAATTTATCAAGTTTCTTTTTCAAATCATCTAATTCTTTGTCTTTTGCTTAAATTGCTTATTACAATTTACTAATTTCTGTATTATCTTTTTTAACTTTCTACAATTCAAGATCCATTTAATTGAATCTAAATAAATAACATTTATTACTTCTTTTTAATTTCTTCATTTTCTTTTGATCTTTAAGCAATTTAATCTTATAGAGTTTTCAAATCATTTGGATTAGTATTATCTATAACTTTAACTTATTTAACAACTGATTCTTGCTTAGTTATCTATGACTTTAATGAATTAATTTCATTATCTTTGGCTGCAAATTTATTCTTTAATTATTCAAACTCTCCATTAATTGAATTATATAATTATTGGAATTAAGTTTTTTATTTATTTGCATCATCAGCTACTAATTGTAAATCTGCTAATTTTTATCTTAAATCTCCTAATTCTTTAGTTTATTAATCAATTAATTATTTTAATCTTTAATTTTCAGCTTCTAATGGTTTTAATTAAGCAACTTATCCTTCTAAGGTTGATATAGTCTTAGATTATGCTGCATTTTCATCATTCTTTACTTAGATTTACTTTCCTAACTATTCAATTTCAGCTTATAATTTTGCTATTCTATCTAAAAGATTATCTCTTTCTGCAGCTAATTGTTTAGTTTATCTATCTAATTAACTTAATTGATCTCTTAAATCTGCTGTCACTAAACATCTAATATAATATAATAAATATAATATACTCTCTTTCATATAGAGCTTTGTATTTAATAAATTCATTTTAGAATCCATTCAATTATTCAATAACTTTTTACATAGAATTCATCTCAGATACTTAAGAATTATATTTATTAGTTAAATCAGTTAATTATTATCTTAATTTATTATTTTCATCTAATAATTTTTATAATTAAGCTTATAAATCTCCAATCTACTTTTATCTTTATTAATCTAATTATTAGAGTTAATTTTATAAGTCATTAACATGAGATTCTAATTCACTTATATAATTATCTTTTTCAATTGAAGAATTGCTACTTGATTATTATAAATTTGTAATCTAAGTTTATAATAAACTATATTATTATTGAAGCTTATTATATAAATCTTGAATATTTCTTAATTTATTTAATTCTGCTTATAATTATCTCAATAATGCATTAAGATCATCAATTTCTTTATCCTTTTATTCATTTTGCTATTATAATTTGGCTAATTGATCTTATAAAACCTATTGTTATCTTTCCAAATTAGCAATATCTTCATTAATTTCATCTTAATTTCCTCCTCTTAATTCTAACATAGGATCTTATTAAAGTGATTCAGCTTTCATTCTTTATAAGTATTCAACTTCAAGAAGCAAATACTTATATTTACTTTCATAGTATTCTTTTTCTCTTCTTAATCTATCATTGTCTACTCCAATTTTATTAAGATCAGTCTTAACATTTTCTCTATTTTATATTTCCTCCTATCTTACAATATCTAATTTATTATTTGATAATTGTAATTAATTAACTTAATTAGCTTCTAAAGACTTATCAAAATATCTTCCATAGAGATCTTCATATTCTTTTGTCTTAACATTTAATTATTAAATTAACTCTTAGGAATGTTATCTTAATAAATTGATTGTTTATTCTAATTCAGGTACTCTTTATTCTAAATGTTTTAAATCAAATATGGTTTGATTAAGATCATTCATTTTTGCTCTCATCTATTCATTTTCTTCAACTTTCATATTTAATTAAGTTTTTAATCTATCTATTTCTTAGATATATAAATGCTTTTCATTTTCAAGTATATAAATATGATTATTTAATTATTCAATTTATTATTTAAGTTTCTAAATTAATTGATATTATTCGAAGTTTTATCTTTGAAGATCTTATATTTATTTTCTAAGTTGATTAATTTCATCTTAATCAACAATATGTTCAATTTAAGGAGGTGGTTAATGTAATTATCTTTACTTCAATCTCTCAATTTCTAATTCTAATTATCTTGCTCTAATTTATTCTTATTTTAAGAGTTCAGCTGTGAATTATAAATCAGACACCAATTATTCAGATTACAAATACTTATCCTTCCAATTCTTAATTAATTAATCTTTTCTTTGAATTTCTAATTATAATTCATTTAAATATCCTTCATATTAAGCTTTTTATTATTCATATTATCTATCTTTTGCTTATAAATCTAATTCTTATTATAAATTTTATTATCTTAATTTATTTAATTCATCTTTCAATTCTTTAATTTCTTTTTCTAATTATGCATTCTTATCTTCAGCATCAGCCAATAATTATTAAACATCATGAAGTGTTTTGTCTAATTAATCAGCATCTCTTTCAAATTAATTTCTTTCATTTCTAACTCTTTATAATTATTCATTTAAATGATCATTAATTTATAATAATCTTTAATTATCTAATTTAAGTTCATCAAGTTCTCCTTCTAATGTATGATATTTATTATCAAGTGCAAGATTCTCATTCTATAATTATCCAAATTAAGTTTATAATATTCCCTTTTCTGAAATGGCATCAGCCAAAAGGTTTCTCAATGTTGATATTTCATCTTCTAAAAATGGTATTTATTTTAATTAAGCTTCTTATTATGCTTTAATAAATGAGAGTTCTTCAACTTCTAATAATCTCTTTTAGATTTCACTTCTTAAATGATCAACTTCATCTCTAAGTAATTATTTCTCTGATTCAAGTACTTGTACTTCTCCTTTATACAAACGTAAAGCTCCTACTTCTCTTAAAGCAGCTGCTAATTTTTCTTTACATGTAGTAAGTTCTTAAATCTTAAAATGAACCTATTATTTAAGATTCTCAACTTCTAATTTTAATGCTTAAAGATGATTTAAATCAGTTTACAATTAATCAATAATTTCATCTTATTAATGAATTTTATCATCTCTTAAATTAATTCTCTCTTACTTTGATGATAATTCTTATTACAAAGTCTTGATTGTTCCTTATAATGAATCTATACTAGCATTTTCAGTTCTTAATTAAATATTAACTTTTTCAAGTGATGAATATTTTAATCTCCAACCATCTAATTCAGCTTCTCTTTATCTAAGAAGTGATTGTAATCTATCAATTTCACTTTACATCTATAATAACTTATTCTCAGTAACAATAGTAACTGAAGATCCTCCTTATAATTTAAATAATTCAGCATCTCTTGATTATACATCATGATTTAAATCATTAATTTGTTATAATTTCAAATCTAATTGATGTTGTATATTTTGTAAATCAGATCTTAATTATTCAATTATTGTAGTTTATTCTCTTAATTCAGAAACTTAAGATTATAATTTACCTAATTCACCCATCAATCTTTTGATTTCATCATTTAATCTAGCATTCTCATCATTAAGTTATTAAACATCATTTTCTAATTCCTCATTTCTAGCCTACTCTGCTTAAATAAGAGTTTCATAATCAATAGCTTTTCCTCTCCAATCTTCACATTCTTATTGTGATTAAGATAAATCTTATTTTAATTTTATTATTTGTTGATGTAAGCTCTCAACATCCCCCTTCTATTATGGAACTTCTCTTGGCTGTTATCCTAATTATCCCTAAAGTTATTTTAATACTAAATTATTTCATTTTTATTTACAATCTTCTAAATCTTTTTTTTCTTTTTCACCTCTTAAACATCTCTCCTTCCAATTAGTCAATTCTTATTACAATTTACTGATTTTCGATTCTAATTCAGAGGTCTTTGTATCTGTATTGGTGATAGTACTTATCTATTTTTCTATTGTAAAAACACGAGTTTTCCATTCATTTACTTATTTTTTTGATTGATCCAACTGCTTTTGTAATCTTTAAATTTCTTCATTCTAATTTTTTT